GTAATTCATGCAGTAGCAGATAATCGAGCTGGCAGGCTTGTTGACAAATTTAGTACAACACGACACGAGAAAAAAATACGAAAGAGACAAAAAGAATGTGGGATGCGTAAAGCTTACTGGGGTTTTGGTATCACTAGATATGGATGGGTAATATTTGTTTGAAAGATACGTTGTAACTGTGATGTCACAATGAAGCTGAGGATAAGGAAAGGAAGGACAAAATGAAAATTAAAGCAAGGAAAGAAAAAAATAATTTTCAACCTTACTTTAAGAATAGTAGGTAGTAGGTGCAGATGTCCTTCCACTAGGCAGGACCAGATTAAGTAAAGGGAAGGGAGTAAGGGCAGAATATGGTGTAAGAGCGCTGGAGGTTGCGGGATGTTGAAGAGAAGGAAGGGTGGAGAGAGAAATGATCACCACCAGCGACGGGATTCGAAGAAAGAGCCCGACTTACGTTCACGAAGTAGATAAAGAAATTGAATCAGACTGGGCGAGTCTGGAATATGATGAAGATAAGGCGAGAGGATATGTTTGCCTGAACAAGACAGGTTAACGTGTTGCGTAGAAGTTGTGTGTTGTTGACTTCCAGTAGGTGGTGAAAGACGAACAGGAGATGTAGAAGGGAAGAAATGTGGGAGGATGAGACTTGCAGGAAAAACATGAATTTGAAAAGAAAGCTCCAGCTGGTAAACAGAAAAGAGCAGGATCCCCTAAATCGATCTGGTCCAACCTTATTGGGTTGGTAGCTGTTTATGGCAATTGTTAAGGGAAACCGCGTTGATGAGGGCTATGATGTACACATGTACAGGTCCATGTTCACTGGTTACATGTATTCCTTACAGATTATGTGTGTACGTGTAGGTAGCCTGGACCACTGGCGCGGTTCTACGCGTGGAAGTTGCGTATGAGTATCTAGGTACCTAGGGAGTCGCGAGGGTGAGATAGTATGTGTTATCGTAGGGTGGTCCTGCTTATACCCAGATGTTATTGGCAACCTCGATGGGTATTGGCTATATCCAGGCTACCTAGACAGGTAGGTGTACCGCACAAGGTCGCTATTGCACTAATACATGTATTTGTACTCCCGAGAAACGATATTTATCTCTCTCTCTTAAATATGTGTAGCGGTCAGACACGAGGACAATGAATTTATGAAACCCCCTATATCAAAACTCCTGGAGTTCCTACTCTGTTAACTGTCATAGTATGTTTTGTAGCTGTCTTTAAAGTGATCTTCTCATGGGTTTTAAGAACGCGGGTACATTTGGGGATTCTCATGCTTCGCTCCCCTTTACCTAGGTAATTGTCTGCCTCGAGCGCCCAAAGGTACGCATATATCTTTCCGGATCACATCGGGCCTCTAAGCTTGGCGTACCTAGGTAAGCATGAAAGGCTGCCCTTTAGTACCTATGCAATACCAATGCCTTACAACTTCGAACGCCACCCATTTGGCTACAACACGCGCATACGTGAATCCAAGACCGCCGAGGCACTCCAGTAGTGTATCTCTAGACCAAACTACATAGAAGCATAACAGAAAAATTGTAGTTCATGTACCTATAATGAACGAGTAAGCGACAATTTTCTGAGCTACCAACACATCTTCGCTGCCGACAACCGACGTTTAGATTGTAAAAACTTTGCTGCTTAGTTATAACAATGACAAATTTCTACCAGGCATAATATACTCCCTTTTGCCAGCAATAATTGCGAATGAGATCAGAGGGGCGGCTGGTGCTGAACTATTATTAGCAATGAATAATTAGGCAGGAAATTGTTGGCAACAAAGCACCTACAAGACGTGTTAACCCGTACTCGGATATTGAGAAATGTTCGGTTGTATTGTCAAAAATAATATTTAGAGTCTTAACAGAAACCTATGGCATGGTAGATTGAAGATGTAAAAGTAGGAATAATTTTGATGGGAAGCTACAATAAATCCAATTTGCATTCATGATTCTATAACCCGTGTACGGAGGAGGAATTAAAAGGAAGTTGGTTGCATTATTACCGGCTTTTCCAATTCGGGGTCATCGAATGAGAATACCTTACTAAAGCTCCTTTTAGGATATAAAAATCGAGACAATTACTGACCTAGGGAAAATGAAATCAGAGCATGTGCTTACCCGATATTTAAACCCGCGCTTATGTAGGTGCTAAGAGACATTCGGTTACATTATCGCCGAAATAGTCGGTCTGAAACATCAAGGAATAGTATAAGTTCGGGCTACACTATAGCTTAATAATGCCTTGGAGCTAGCTGTCGGTGGAGCGGGGATTACTGTATATCTCCTAGTACTACCTAGGTAGGCAGGAAACGTGATGTCGACCATAGCGGGGTCTACACATAGTAGGAGGATCCTATTCTTCTCTGAGACGTTAATAATATTCACCGAATCCTCGACGGGATAATTTTATGTGATTGAATTAGGTAGACCCGAAGTATACGACGCTAAGCTACCTAGGTACGTAAGGGGGCTCTGCCTGTATCGTAAGACAGCTAAGAGTTGACGAGTATATAAATACGGCGATAATTCCTCTTGTCAAGACCTCTTCACTCGCAACTACAGCCAGACGAGAAAAACCCCAAGAACAAATACCAATAACACCGACAAACACAACAAACACGATATTCTAATCAAGATGTCTGTCCCTTCTGACCTCCCCAAGATGACATACCGTTTCCTAGGCCGATCCGGTCTCCAGGTCTCATCCATTTCGCTAGGTGGTTGGCTCACCTATGGTGGCCATGTTGAAAAAGGTAATCTATCGAGGCGTTCTTCTCAGACAGTTGCTAACGTGGGATGGCAGAGAATACCTTCGCATGCATGAAGGCCGCTTACGATAGTGGTGTCAACTTCTTCGATTGTGCTGAGGGTTATTCAGGTATAATATACCTTCTCTATGCCTCATTATAGATAAAGGCCTATGTGCTAACATGCCGAATTTCAGGTGGTAAATCGGAGGAAGTGATGGGTGAGGCAATTAAAAAATTTGGCTGGAAGCGCAACGACCTTGTTATCTCAACGAAGGTATCGTAATTTCCTACTCCCCCAAGGAATAAATATTGACATAGCCATGAAGCTTTACTGGGGTGGCGCACATGGCGATAATCCGGTAAATAACAAAGGCTTGAGCCGAAAGCACGTTATCGAGGGTATGAACGGCTCGCTGTCTCGTTTGGGGCTTGAGTACGTAGACCTCATCTACGCGCATCGTCCGGATCGACAGACGCCGATGGAGGAGACGGTCCGCGCCTTGTCAGTAAAACCTGGAGTCCTTTTCCCCATTTGCTTTTTCTGATCGGTCAAAACTACCTGACCATGTCCACAAGACGGGCGATTGCTAACTGGGAATGTTATATGTAGTAACCATTTGATCAACACTGGGAAGGCCTTGTACTGGGGTACATCTGAGTGGAATGCCGACGAAATTGCACAGGCATGGCGCTACGCCGATAAATTACAGCTTATTGGGCCAGTGATGGAGCAGCCGCAATACAACATGTTGGACCGAGAGAAGGTAGAGAGGGAATATGCCCATTTATACCGTGAAGTCGGTTTGGGGCTGACTGTCTTCTCTCCTCTGAAAACGGGTGTCCTTTCTGGCAAGTATAAGAATGGCATTCCTCCCGATTCGCGATATGCTCAGGAGACGGTGGAGTTCATCGCTGGTTTCTGGAAACGAACGGGCAGCAAGGAGAGGTGGGAGACTACCATTGCTCAGGTGAACAAGCTAGAGCCCATTGCCGATCAATTGGGTATAAAGCAGAGCCAGTTGGCCCTGGCATGGGTGCTTAAGAACCCGAATGTGAGCTCGGCCATCACGGGAGCGAGTAACCCCGAGCAGGTCTACGAGAACGTGCGGGCTATAGAGGCCGTGGATAAGCTGACGCCAGAGATCATGACTCAGATTGATGAAATCTTTGGAAACAAGCCGCCCGCTATCGTTGAGAGGTTCTAGAAGAGCATCCTATATATACCCATAACCATCAGCCAGTCATGCTTGATTTATAAGGGGTGGTAGAAATACTTATCTATATAAAATAGAATGAGAGGAATACTTTCTGACATTAATTGCCCATGTCCAAATCACACATTGCGTGAGGATTAGTTGAGCAGAAAATATTGGTATACATTAAGAGTAAATGCAGAACGCTCTTGATATGCCTGACGCCAAATACAAATGCAAAAGTCCGGACCGTACGAATGAACGTGGATTCGTGGTATTCCATGTCGACCGATGTGAGTAGTACTCTATATAACCCAGCCTACCAATGTGTCGGATCGCCGTCCGACATATATCCCTATTTGTGACCGGCTCCATCAGAAATTGCTTGCAAGGTTTATCCATATGCTATCCCAAAACTCCATTGCCATAACAAGATATATGTTCCTATCAAAACCTATTATCTTCAATACATAAAATGTGTCGCTTAGTTCGAATTCGAGCTAAGAACGGCCCTCGGAGGAAGTGCCGGCGGATTTAACGTCGAAGGAGGCGTTGCTGAACGGGTCTCCTCTGTGTCCCGTCGAATGTCTTCATATGTCGGTAGTCTGCTAGTTCCAACACCCTCCGTCGCTACAGTGTTGGATGGTTGTGATATAGGTCTTAATTCTACTTCCTCTGCGTGATCGGGTTGCTTCTGTGCTGCTGTGTAGGCAGGCGGTGCTTCGCCAAGCTCGTTTAAGCCTTCCTCTCTGCTGCCAAACCCGAGCCCGAGTCCTCGTCGTTCTCTCGTCCGCCGCTCGTTGGGTGCCCTCGACCCCGACCGATTACCCATAGCTTCTATGTCCCGCTCCAAAGCACTGGTACCATATTGCATGCGCAACTTTCTCCGTCGGCGATAACGGTAGCACACGAGCAATGTTCCAGCGCCAACAAATATGATAAGTGGGACGAGCACCCACGAGAAAGGGTATGTCGAGAATATGTTGCCCGAATCGGTATCGTCGGAATCCATATTTAATTAGTAGTTGGCGCTTGTCGCCTGACAAAATCGAGGGGAGGATCGGATTCAGAGGTCGGAGAGATAGATAGTATATTGGTCTACGCTAGGTAGGCGAGGCGGCGTGGTTGACAAATTTAGGAGCGACGGCTAGATGCTCAGTTGATGTTGACGAAATGTAAAGTATTAAGTGCGACATAGAGAGCGGAGTTTTGCTGTAATACCGGGACGGTGACGAAGGGTGGTGATTTCATCTAAGAATACAGCGGGTTGTGTAGTATCGTATGGTATCGACCTTGCAACGCTGTGCTCTTGGGTGCATTTACATGGGAGGAGATCCGCAAATATGCGCCCAGCGTAGTTCATAGAGGCTCGGAGATCTATTTGGTGGATTAAACAAGTACAATGTATTGTTGATCGTCCAACAAAGAAGTGGATGATTTGAGAAAGCTGTAGTGGTGAAGAGCAGAAGGCTATGGCTGTCCCGAGACAGCCGATTGACTTTCCATCTAAGGGGAGTTTTCTAGACTTTGCTCTGCAAGGGTGGAAGAGAAGAAGTATGAGTACATGATTAAGGTCTTAAGGTTCGACTAGAATTTCACAATTAGATCGGGATGTTTATACCCGGTAAGTTCGGGAACGTCTATGTCGATATGACATTCATGAGATGTACTTTCTTTGTCGTGCGACAACCTACGGCTTGTTAGCGTACGAGCATACGTAAACCCTATGGGCTAATCCCGCGCTAAGTAACATGTCACTGCCCCGCAGCACCCCTTATCACCACCTACAGTACTGTACATGTCCGCATGTACGCAAAAAAGCAGAGGTACATGTGAATACATCCAACACGTCGCATCTAAATTATATATGTATGTATATTACTAGGACTTAAGCAAAATATTTAATTGCTGAGTTCATTAAAGAGAATGTTAGGCAGAGGCATCTAAAATTCGAAGGGTTCTAAAATATCTCTTGTTTTCGGGTGCTAAATTGTTCTTTGACCATACATATTTGTTAATAATTGGCATTTCCTTTCTCTTTATAAATGTACATCTACGTATTTGGACGATACCTTGACTAGAGTCCACTAGCTTTTTTACCCTGAGCTTTATTTCAAGAACAACTCAGATCTTATGTGGGTCTCCCGGCTGGACAAGCACCCGATCTGACACCTACTTCAGCTAAGATAACGCCTAGAGCTGCCACGCCTTCTAGGTATTCCCTTTTCTTTCTTGAATTCAATCACTCAACCCAAGGGTAGATGTCGTTAATTCCGTCGTCACCAACGATCTTTATCTCCACATACCAAACATACAACTACTTCTAAATCCGCAATAAGAAAACCACCCACGCTCGTGTTTACCCCCTAGTAATACAGTGGACAAGGGGTGAGGAGGATTGACCTTGCAGGATGGTGCGCGCCATCAAAGGTCGGTCTCGTTCCTACAGCTTACTAAAGGGTATTCTTTAGGTACTGATTTACAGCACCAGGTACCTTGGTCGAATGTGACCCCTCGATCAAATCCATCATCATCAGTATCGACAGCGAAGATAATGAGTATATAATCGAGGACCTTGATGAATCTCATCTTGTAGTCAAAGATAATATGGTGGCCAAGTTGAAGATGGAGCTCGACAGGGTATGACCAAGCTCTTCCCAAGTCATCTTATTTATCTACTGACACACCACAGCGATTGAAGGAGAACGTGCCCGACGTGGACGACGACTCCGATTCGGATCGAGATGTCAAATGAAGAAGCAGCTCAGTTTTAGACTATAGATACACTAATTATTGCCGAATACAATGCACGAAAAGGATAGAGGACCTCCAGTCTCCTCAAAGTATACCGTGGCCGGGTTTATCTCTGCGTGTTTATACATTCTCCGGGCGTGTCTTACCGGATAGTGCACTACAATTTCTCAAACCTCGGCTTGGTCTTTTTCAATCCAGATAACAGCGCCACTTTGAAATCGTCCGATTGGAGCATCGCCTGGTTCCATATGCTGGTGTATTTTAGGCCTAGTCTGGTTAGCTGTGATAATATCTCTTCGAACCTAGACTTACTATCTGCAACCGTGTTGTCGCGCGAAATGTTTAACAATTCCTTGGTGCCTTGCACAGCTACAGGGCTTTTTGAAGATATGAGGGCTGCGAGCTTTGTGGCGATATCGATGGCCTTTGCTTTGGTGTCAAGAACTTGGCTCACGAACCCAACAGCGAGAGCTTCATCAGCGCCGAAACCCCGAGCCGTCAAGCAAACGTCCTTTACCCAGGAGAAGCTTGAAACAATCTTTGGGAGCCTACTGAGGGTGCCGATATCTGCGGCCATACCGATATCTACTTCCTTTACTGCGAACTTGGCATCTCTGGAGCAGATCCTCACGTCGGTACAGCAGGCTATATCGATAGCCAAGCCAATAGATATGCCGTGTAACACACAGATTACAGCTAGTAACCAAATTAGTTGCTAACCATAAATATGAAAAGAATAGTACATATTTACTCACGCTTTTCGCATTTCTCTATCTGTCCTATACAGTCTTGGAACTCTAGGATTTGACGCCGATGCTTTGTCGCCTGTCTTGCTCCATCTAGCCCATCGTTATTCCCTAAAACGCTTTGATCTGCTGCTTGTACGTCCAGGCCAGCCGTGAAAGCCCGGTCTCCGGCTGCAGACAATATTACAGCTCGGACTTCTGGATCATGAGATAATTTTGCGAATATCTTTCCAACTTCATCCCACATTTCCGGTATAAATGCGTTTAGCTTAGATGGCCGGTTTATCTCAACGTGAGCCACATATTCAGACGGTGACGAGATGAGGAAGTGCTTGAAATCAGAGTATCCTTTTAATTGAGACATGATTTGAGATCGGAATGTGAATCTTAGGTCTTGAAATTCGGTATATAGTAGCTTTACAATATGTAATAGAGTCTTTGAAATGAAGAAATAAGAATAATCGTCTTCCTACTCGGTACTCTAACATCTGAAAGATGCCGAGGTATCTCAATAGACCCTGGTCATATAAGTACCTAGGTACCGTAAGCACCCCAACCATCGCTTAATCCCTGCTTTTCTTATCGAATATCTTATCATAGCATACTAATCCATAACGGGCTTAGATCGTCGGTGTGAATTTGTCTAACTTACCGACTCGAGAAAAAAAAAAGTTGATTGGATTTAATTCAATTGTTTTGCTTTCTTCAACCGAAGCACACGACAGCGACACCAGGTCCATTAACGATGGCGGCAGAGGTTGCGCCACTCCAGCAGTTGAAACTCCCTTCGGGGCCTTCACCGATTACTGCAGAGCAACGATATTGGAAATCATTCAAGAACCAACTCGTTCTCTCATCTCCGACACAATATCCCATCACTCACATCACCGTCCCCGCGGCGAACCCAGCCACCCTTGGCTCTTCTAACAACGATTATTTCGCTGTCACAACAGGAACACGCGTTCAAATATACTCGATAAGAACAAGAAAGTTAGTCAAAACCATCACACGTTTTGGAGATATTGCGCGGAGCGGAGATGTTCGACGAGATGGTCGCATAGTAGTAGCTGGAGACGACACAGGCAAGATACAAGTATTCGACGTCGGGTCGCGAGCGATTCTTAAGACATGGTCGCACCACAAGCAGCCAGTATGGACAACAAAATTCTCCCCCGCCGACCTCACAACTCTCATGAGTACAAGCGACGATAAGACTGTACGATTATGGGACTTGCCTAGCCAAGAGAGCACATCAACGTTCGTGGGCCATGCAGACTATGTGCGTAGCGGTAGCTTCATGCCAGGAACCATGTCGAATATGCTCGTCTCCGGTAGTTACGACGCGACGGTCAAACTTTGGGACCCCCGAACGCCAGGTGCTTCCGTCATGACATTCAAGCACGCCGCACCCATCGAAGACGTCCTACCCCTCCCCTCGGGCACCACCGTGCTCGCCTCGTCCGAGAACCAGATCTCCGTGCTCGACCTCGTAGCCGCAAAGCCACAACACATTATCTCCAACCACCAGAAGACTGTCACTTCCCTATCCCTCGCGTCCAATGGCCGGCGTCTAGTGTCCGGCGGTCTAGATGGCCACGTCAAGATTTTCGAGACGACGGGCTGGAACGTCGTCGCCGGCGCCAAATACCCATCTCCTATTCTAGCTGTCCGCGTCATCACCGCCGGTGCCAATGGCGACGATCGCCATTTAGCCGTTGGCATGCAGTCAGGCGTGCTATCATTGCGCACACGATTGACAGGGCCCGAGGCAACACGTGAACGGGAGCGTGAGAAGGAAATGAGCGCTTTACTCGCCGGTACCATCGCCGCGCACGACAAGATCAAGGGCAAACGGAAGCGTCGCCACGGCGCCGCGAAGCGCCTCGACATGGTGGGCGAAGGCGCTGATGTCGTTGTCGCGAACGATTTATCCCGACCCAAGCGTGAAACAGCCTGGCAAAAAGACTTGCGACATGGTCGCTTCGGCGCTGCGCTTGATCGCGTGCTCGATTCTAGCGCTAAGGATCATACTCCGTTGATGGTATTGACGGTCTTAACAGCCTTGCGACATCGCAGTGCGCTGCGCGAGGCACTTGAAGGTCGCGATGAGACTACCGTACAGCCTATACTACGTTGGGTGCAAGCGCATGTCGTGGATCCGCGGTACGTTGGTGTATGTGTCGACGTCGCTACGCATCTGCTAGACCTATACTCCGAATTCGTCGGCGGCAGCGCTGAGCTTCAAGCTGCGTTCAAGATGCTGCATCGAAGAGTGCGTCTTGAGGTGGAAAGGGCGCAGACAGCAGTGCAGACTGGTGGCATGTTGGGGAGTTTACTGACGAGTATGGACTGATGCGCTTAGTTGCTCATGAACTTGGCTGTATCTGGAGGTATACCTTAATAGGGAAGGGAAGATATGGAACACAGGGAGGAACAATCACGAGTTGGTTGTCTTGTCTTGCATGGCGATGGCGATGGCGTTCAAGGTCGGAAAATAAGGGGTATTTTATTTTAAAAGTCAATTCAGGATCGGACTCGATAGCTCGGCAGAATGAAGCACTGTCTGCCATTGGATGGTCCAAGCGCCATATAGTAAAGAGAATACAAACGATACATAAATGCTACATACGATGAGAAGTTTTTAAAATCCTCTTGGAAAGTGACTCATATTTTCGGGTTTCCAACTTTAACGTAGACACAAATTAGAAATAGGTAAATTCTTATTTAACCCTTTATATTATTTCGGGGTCCATACCAGACCGGCTCTATAGCAGAACTGAAGATAGCTCATACCTTACCTACCTAGGTCTCCAGCTTAGCTTCAACGTTTTAACTGCCTCGAATGCGTTTCCCCGTCCAACCTAAAGTTTGGACTATTTTTTGCACTTGGGCCTCCTCGCCCCTTTTTCACCACGCGCCATATATCTCCCCCTTCCATGCGTCTTTGTCTAAATAAATACGGTCAAAATATCCCAATATTCCGGACAAGAATGGAAGATGGAGAACCAAGACCAGAATAACAAAGTAATAAGCCACCAGTGCCTCTTTTGCTTTAAACATTATAGTATACAACGCCTCTTTTTAAAGTCGTGATGTTTCATATTCTCAATAACCTCCATGTCTTCGTGCTCTACCTGTGCCAATATCAATCCTACTCATTTCTTCCATGAGCGCCCAATCTTCCTCTCCTCGCCCAGGGGATGGTCCCAGTCCACCACTCATCATCGGTATTTTGGCCGGAATTGGCGGTCCACTGCCGTATCCCGAACGAGCGCCACCAGGACCGTGGTTTTCGTAGTCAAATGTGCTGGCGCGAACAAGAGCTCGTGGAGGCGTACTGTTACGTTGATGGGGGGTAGAAGGGCCGAGTGGACTGGGTCCTGAAGAAATCGGTGCCGGCAGGGCTGACGCACGGTGTGCCTTCTTCTGTAGGCGATTACGCCCCGCACTTGAAGAAAGCACCAATTCAGAACCAACATACGTCGATGGTGGTATACCAGCCGACGACGACGGTCGAGGGGCCTCACGGGGCGCGCGTCGACCAGACGGTGGCATCGGTTGTGCGCCTGCGGGCATCGGACGTGACCGTGTCTGGGGGGTTTCGACTGGCTTCTTCGGCTCTGGTTCTGGTGCCCAGGTGTCCATAGGTAAGTGATCTGAGGGGTCAATCTCTCGACCATCTGGAGTCACTATTTTCCCCTCCGCATTTGTGTATTCGGAACCTTTCGCCACATCCTTCGCTACGGTAGGATTCAGAGCATCATAAGAGTCGGGACCAAACGGTACCCCTGAAAGTCGCCGGCCATCCGACGGGGGAGGGGCAGGACTAACGGATTTGCGTTTGATGGTGTGGTTAGTGCCCGGGTTTGGAGAAACTCCCCGAGGTGCCGACACTGGTGGCGCTCCCGAAGGTGTAGTAGGTCCACTTGAATAAGCAACTGGGCTTCTATCATAGTTTCTCGAGTTGCTTGGATGGTGACCATTAGGGGAGTATTTCACTAGGTAATTTGACGGAGGCTCGCTTTGCTGTCTCCCTCGAGTTGTAGGATGCACGGGGGGCGGTTGAGTATACCGACGGCCTTGCTTCCTTTCCTGATGATATCGATCCGATATCTCGCGTGCGAAAGCCGGATCAACTCCTGGCACAAGAGTCGGAGGTACTGAAGGTGGATCATAATCGCCCGGTGTGTGAATATAGCTGTCTTCTAATTCACTCGGGTGACTTAAAGTATAGTCATTGTGTCTCGGGTATGATCGAGACACTAGAGTGAGAGCTTGTGAGTAATCCTCAGTGGCCATTGGCGATGGCGAGGGGCTATAGCGGTTGGGATCGTAATGCTGTTGAGATTGAAGAGGGGACGGGTTATAATGGGCAGGCTCCGCGCTACCACGCCCACTTAGATTCAGCGGTGCAGGACTTGTGGCTTGATGATAATCCCGTTCATATTCGACTGCTTGCGACCCGCTCACTCGACTTCTCGCGCTGGGTGGTGTCCAAGATTCCGGAACATCCTCCACCGTAGGCTGCATAGATCGATGATGTGATTCATAAGCTGAATCATAGGAATGGTGTCGAGGAGCTGATTGATGAACAATCTCGCTCTCGTGATAATGGGCTGCATTTTGCATATCTGGTGCCGAATCGTATGGACGATACGTAGGTCGGCCAGGATAAGATGACGAGGGTGAAGACACCGAGTAACGCTGTGCCTCGCTCCGTAAAACATCGTGCCTCATAGGCGGCGTGGCCTTGTGTTGTAACGCGTCGAAGCTACCGCGAGGCACCAGCTCATGCGAACTGCCACTCAAGTTTCTAACTCGGTGCACCGGTGGAGGTGGTGGGCGGTCATCTTGTTCAGACGGTTGTCGAGAATGGTGAACTAATGATGAAGACTCGTAAGGTGGTTGGCTATAACTGAAAGATGCTCTAGGATCTTGCTCATATGATCGGGAATAAGTAGGATCTAGCTGGTGTGGGTGTTCGTTCTCCTGAGGGAACTGGTAGTTCCTATCTAATGTTCGATGTTGTGGGTGATCGACCCGATGAGGTGGTGTCGAGTATTGGCTGCTACTAGTATGCGATGGGGGGTATTGATCAAGCTGGTGACTGGGCCTGGCTGAGGGCGATGTGCTATATTCGACGGCCTGTAATGGTGGTTGAGTCGGGGCAAATGTAGTCGGGGGGTTTGGCTGGGCTCGTGGTGGAGTGTGGACTTGGTCTACCATCGGTGGTGAGGGCGCTTGACCTGTAACGGGATCAGATGGCAGCGGTCGTCTCTTCACTGCTGATTTCTGAGATGCACCAGCAGTCTCCGCCTCAGAGTTGAGTGCAGACATACTTGGCTTTGCTGTGGGCCTTTCAGGCTTCGGGCGACTGTCGTAATACGTGATCTCGATTCTGATCTCGCCAGCATATTTTCCTTTACAATTCAAAGTGTGCCACTGATCACTCTGACCGCCGCCTCTTACAACTATATCACGCAAGTCGATCCACGTCTCGCCTATTAACTCCGTCTTCCTATCGTCGTTGAATACAGATAGCTTCAATTGGTAGTAATCAGGTGAGTCGTGCACATTAAATCGGAGTTCTTGATCCCTATTTTGTAGATGAAATTGTTAGAAATGGTAGTTACTAGTTACTATCGTTCGACATACGCACCATTTTGGAGTCTGTCCACCTCTAATATCTGTAGTCGTCTTCTTGGCCTCCTTCGCTAACCGGGCAGCACAGTAAGGATCTTGCTTCCCGATAGTCTTTCTATTCGGAAGATTCTTCGCTCGATCGATAATAAGGACGAGAGTTCCAATATCAGGACCGTCGATGCTCATATCGGAGAAAATACCAGCTGTGTGCATACCGTTCAAGGGGTTAGATAATTTCGTTTTGGCGGCCATGACGAGTGAGGTTATTTAACGGTTCTCTTAGGAAGGCCGAAATTATTAAAAACCAATCCTCACTCGATCAGGTACCAACCAAGGGATAATTTCGAGGTCGTAGTTTTTCGGTTCTCTCGGTTGCTCGACTCGGTGGTAGAAATCCAATGCCTTTGTTTACTTTGCGAACCAGCCTCATTGACTACGCTAAGCTGCGCCGAGCTTAGTGAGGAAGACGATCAAAGAGAGTTCTTGATACGTTGGTTTTTAAAACGACTAGAAAGAGAAGATGAAATAAAAATGATTAGAATTGATTGAGACCAATAAACGAGAGAACCCCAATGAAGACCCAACAGTGAGAAGTGAGAAAACCAATTGGTCTATACCGGTGGACGCAGGAGTGCAGAAAAGAAGACGATGACTTGCAGGATTGCAGGTCGCAAGAAGATGCCCATACCTAATTGAGGCGGACAGCGGCTGCAATTGAGTGGCTGGTGAAGGAAAACAATGAGGTTGGGTCTGTGGTTGGCTGAAATGGCCCTGAAAGCCTGCAAGCTTGCGGGTTCCTTGGACCTACCTAGGTACTAGTAGGGGCTGCTAGGTCCTGCGTACCCTGCTACCTAGGGGAACTCTACCCACCCGCTGCACCTGCTGCAACCTCCAGCTGCTCTGGTTCTGCTAGTTCAAGCACCCCGCCTCCCCAAATAAAAGAACCTTGGAAGAGCTAAGGGTCAGGGCAGATAGGGTGACAGTGACAGGGACCTTGTTTAGTGGGCCTGTGGCCAATTAACGCGCTAGATCGGAGTAACGTGTAATAAGAAAGATGCTTCCTTGGCTGTTTGATCGAATAATCTTGTTTCTTATTAGTCTAGGAATTTTCTCTATAGGTGGTAATAGTATCAAAAAAGAGACGTCAATTCCTTGATTTTACTTCATCCGAATTTAATTCATGGTCTAAGGTAGCAGCTTTCATCCTTTTTAGAAAAATACGGAAATATTGATGCCTACGGTACACAGCCCAGACGCGCAATTGAAGAGGGCACTGCACCGTGCCGAGACACCTAAATATCCAAAATGACGCGACCACAAATATTTTCCGACGGCTCAGATCAATCCCGCATGCCGGTTGAGCATCATATCAGCTGATCTTATGAGTGATCGCTTTCGAAGCTCCGTCTCTTCCAGAACAATAAATCCCCTAATTCTCCCATCCACAAAACTCGCTACTTGTACACAACGCCAAGATTCTGACGCGTAGGTGCGATTTCAACACACTGTCATTTAGCTTACGAAGTACTAGTATTTTGAGTTTTGAGTTCGCCGTCAACTCCGTAGGTAAACTCCATCAGCAGCACTCAGTGATTTACGCATCAACACCCTAAGTAGGTTGTGGTTACGTATTTCCAGATTTTACTGTGGGCAGTAATAGGGAGTATTTACCCTAGCAGCCTAGACAGCCCTGACTTATTGTATGACCCGTATATGCATCCCACATTTTACACGTCGAATACGGGTCTGCATTTAATACCAATTGTTTCTTCAATTTGACCTATAGTATAGCCCTGATTAACACTACCTAACACCCATAGACCCTCGACTACCAAACTACTCATTTATTCAAAGTTGCTAACTCAGCTGCAGATTCACTCTCCTGGTTTACATATTGTTCAAACGATCCTGGGCGCTTTGCTTGGCTTCGTCAGAGATTTTGGGGTTGTTGATGGTTCTGTCGAACAAATTAGCAAAGTATTCCAAGTCCTATTGGGAGTGGGACACTTACGCCTTTAACCCACCCGCAACATTTCCTGGGTTCTTATTATCATCATCGCCGGCCTTGGGCACTGTGAAAATCGTTAAAACAAACCAACATTGACCAAATTTTGATGCAAGAAGTTCTTACCATCACCTCCATTGAACTCATTCTCCAATACTTGTTTGGAGTGATCCTTAGCTTCCTGGCTGACTTTAGGGTTATTAAGGGTAGCCTTATGGCCGCCAGCAACTTGAGCTTCAGTAGGCATATTGATGTATGTATAGTGCTTGAGAAGCTAGTAAAAGATGGGTTTTCGTTATATGCCGTTGCGAATATTATTGTATGAGCTAATGCTGGTAAATTACATTCTATTTCCAGGCGGATTCATCTCCTCTTTATACACATTCGCTAGGTCATAGTCGGACTTTGTTCTCAAAATCTTAAGGCCATACTGAAACCGCTGACGCTTATTGTATGCCTTCGGAGCTAATCACTCCTTTCCATGCAGCATAGATTGTCGAGTCATGACGACAATATCTATGCGTAATCGAAGGTCATGCCATCACCACTCCAGCCACCTCTTACGACTAAACCCCGAGACAGAAAGAATATGCCAATCCGTCCTCACAAGCGACTTGTTAGAAATTGAGTTCCGGGCCCGAATTTGGTATTCGATTCGCTGTTGTCCACACCCCGGGATTCGTGACGTTATTCAATTCAGTGCGTGGGGATTCGAACATCGATATCGAAACTCACCCCAACATGAGGCTCATCCCTCCCCAGATATGATCGTCAGGGGGCGCCGGACAGTCTTCTCCGCAAGCTCAATCGATTAGAAATAAATAATTGCCCCAAAGAAGCCCGCAAGTATAATAATAATGGAAAGCGACCCGCTCGTTTTCACGGTGTGGCTTAAAATGCGATTCAACCTCAAAATCGGTGATAAATGCATTATTCCGCATTCTCAATCACACTCCCCATCCTATTGTACCAATGGAACCACCAATCCACGAAATAGAGCATTCAATTACGTCTAGAATAGAAGGCGGCCAACACTTTGCTTACCATTGCACATTGGAACAAAATCTAGGCGCGTCGCTCTAATCAACCATTTATCAAAGAGTAAGGTTCTCTTGTCGTTATTGACACTCAACGCCTAGGTACCCGGGTTACGCGAAGTATCCAAACAACCACTAAGCTTTTTTTTCCCTACGTCCATACAAGAGTTGACCCTAAGATATCATTAATAGTAAATAACTTAAAAGCAAGCTCAGGAAGTTATGAAGACAAAGCGTAGAACAAGTGTGTTTCCATGAATCATTATTCCAAGTGGTGACCTACCCACATTGATCCATCCACAGTGTGTATATACCTCCCTTGAAATGAAGACCTCAAATGTGAGGCGAGCGGTGTAATTATTAAAAAAAGCAAGTCGATCGGGGCGTCAAAGCTTTCAACCCCCGAAGTCTCTACCTCTTATTACTAATAAATGAATATGACGGGTCGAATATCTAATCATGATGTCAACTTGAACGTCTGGGAGCACTGACAACAATGCCAGGGGCTCGAACCAAAACAGTGCTGCCAACATAGCAATATCGCTGAAGAGAAGACTGTCTCCTTAACTAATATGTTACTATCACTTTAGGCTATTAAAAAGTGGAAGTTCGAGAAAGACAAAAGGAATCGAGGTATTTGATATGGATTTCAACTTAACAATATTACTTTTCAGGTAATTTCATAAGGACCGCCAGGAAACACGGTGTGTTCGTTTCGTCAAGAGAGTATGTATATGCTACTCTCAGTACATTTCGAAGGCAGTTGAAACGATTGAGGGTAGCATTCCTCATAGTAAACAAGTTGACGTTGTACATATTATGTAATACCGAGTGGGGTCATTCGGGCTCAAGCCACTGACTGTATGGCGTATTTACCTAAGTTGGGGCGGGCGCAATAACTTAGCCATACACTCAGAGGTCTCACAGACAAGCGTTCCATCATTTACTTTTTCTTAAACCACAGCCTCGAAACAATTTATACAAAACTGAAGAGATGTCCTCCTCAAACCAGTCACAACCGCCAGCCATTAATTACGTCGTTGGTTTCTTGCTTGTCGGGCTTGCTTGGGGGCTTACGACGCCTTTCATCCGCCGCGCGGCTCGGAATCACAACCCGCCGCCTCATCCATTGCTGGGAAGGGATAATGTGAAAGCCAGTTGGCTCAAGAGTAAACTCTACGGTGCCTTCTTCGCCGTCGTTGACTTGCTACGGAATCCGAGATATGCCGTTCCACTTCTAATTAATCTGACGGGTAGTGTTTGGTTCTTCTTACTCATAGGCCAAGCAGGCAAGTTCTCTCATTCTTCTCTAAATCTACCAAAGATTCAAATTACTAACGCATCGCGTAGAACTAAGCTTAACTGTCCCAATCGTAAACACGTTGGCATTTCTTTTCACGGTGCTTGGCGACTGGTGGGTTGACAAAAAAGTTATCAGCAGGGGTAAGTTCCCAATGCCATGGCATCAAGTTGGAGTGCTTGCTAAACGAAAATTAGACACATGGATAGGAATGATTTTATCCTTAGGTGGTATCGCATTGTGCGTTCAAAGCAAATCTAGCTGATGAATATCCTTACCAAACACTCCCTTACGAGGCTATACATAGATTTTTTTTTTTTTTTTTATGTATTTTAATGGGCTAGCCGGGAATGATGGGGGGTACTGTTGGTCCAACTACATCAAGGGTGTAAAGTGTATCCGATATGGCATTGCGTGTAACTAAGAATCCAGAAAAAATACAGGATTTATATGCCTCGAAGGCCGATATCGTCCAACGGTGTCAGAATTAGTCATGTATCAATAGAATTGATACCTTTGTTTTTCTCTTATTGTCTTAAGTTAAGAATCGTTTGGATGATGACAAAGCTAATGACGCTACTCATTGCTAAGGCTACATGTATGTGTGCCTTTCACTTAAAAATTACCTAGGTACTAATAAGTGGCAAGTCACAATTAAAACAAACAAATTTTGAAGCTACTTATGCGCGGATAAAATCTCCGAGCTCGGGACTAAGTCCACTGACGTATCATAAAAGCGCTCTGTAGAAGGGATTCAAGATGCACCTCTAAGATAATAACAGGAATTATTAATTCGAGTAGTCGGAGTTACTCAGGTATCACAGTTGATATATATTCGAACCTGTGGCGCTCGGTAAGGAAGTCGGTGGAGGAAGTCCAGTAATAGAAACAATGAGATTTTAATAAGTGCATGAATCCAAAGACAACAATGAAATTGACGATAAGGGGACTGTGAAATTGAAATGTACATCCATTGCCCATGACTGGGTACATATGTACCTGCTTTGTAACTTAGCGCCCGTAGTGGGGTTAATCACCTCTGCGCGAAATACATCTTAGCCGTGACTTAGCTCCTTGCATCCCCTGAACGTATCTTTTTTCTTCTCCGAAAGGAGCTTGTTGGTTCCCCCTTTTATTTCGTCCTTCAAAAGCATTTCCCCATAGGAACAGATCGACAGCCAAGAAATAGGAACAACCTAGCGTGATCGTGCTTGGCCTTTTCTTCTTCTCCAATAATACACGCCCAAACCTCTTTGATCAACCAGGAACCGCAGGGATATTGACTGACATTCTCCATATTACTTGCGACCTCGTACAGATAGTCAGGTCCACTTGGTACTTGCAAGCAAGCATCGACAAGAACCAAAGAATGTTACTTTCGACAAAGCCTAGTGACTCGTGTTGGTTGGCCAGATTGATATTTAAAAGCTGACGGGTTTCCTTCTTCGGTGGATTTTCTATTATTTACATAGGTACGTCCGTTCATTGGAACAACGTAATATTAGCCTCTCACTTTGCTTCTGTCAAATCAAGCCCTACCAACGTTTACTTGGACCCTGTATCAACCGCTTCTAGTCACTTGTCCAAGACATTGCAAAGATGCGCGTTTCTTCCTTTTTAGCCACCTTAGCCAGCACTAGCATCGCGTCCGCGGCGGTAATGCGGCTTGCTGCCGACTCCATAAGCTGGAGCTGGACCGTAACTGGGTGGAGTGCCGGATGCGCAAAACAATGCAATTATGGTAAGATATTCGATCTGGATGTATTCTTCTTATAGCTTATCGGCTTGAAACAGATTTCAATGTGACCGGTGTTGGAAACCATAGTGATAAGCCGGCGACGCCTTCTTTCAAAGCTCACTGCAGTGGGCAGGGAGAGGGTGCAGCCTACGAGGCTTGCACTGCGCTTGGAGAATCCGAGACCGAATTTGCAGTTGTTGCGAAGCTCCTTTCAAGTAACAACAACACGTCCAACGGAACATCGCATCGACCCCGTATCCAAGTTAGTTTGAAGTATACCGATTTGGATTCGCCAACGACGTGGTGGAACTACACAGGAAAGGCCGAGGCATCATACAACCAATATGCGGCGTCGGTTTTGAACTTCACCATTACCCCCGATGAAGTTTTTGGTGTAGCGTAAAGGGGAGTTGCCTAGGGATAACGTACGCCATATGTCGAGTGCGACTTGTGAGCGTACTTGTGGTGGGCTATCGACATGAGTAAAGGAGTACTTGTGTTGCCAATTTGGACACCTCGCTGGTGACTGATGCACAACGCATTAACTGGCAACGACCAATACTCGCTGTGAAATCTCCTTGTCTGTAAGGGGAGCACAGACAACTGAGTATTTGGTCCTTTTTCGTACCAGTGTGAGTTGTCAAGTATGTTACTATCGGGTCAATTTCTCAAAATCCAGAGTTCGAGGTCGACCCATCCAATTACATATCTCGATTACTAGTGTCAAGATGGGCCATCCCTATATCAAGGTTTTGCAGATTGGTATTCTGATACGTGCTCTCTGATGCATGTGTTGTGTGTGTATAAGTATCGATGCTTGTTAGGTACCTACTCGACGTGATGACTTGGAAGTGTCCAATACCATGGAAACCTGACCAATTGGCCACGTTAATCTATATAATGTTAATAAATAATATCAAGACCTTCATCCTATCTTCTAGGTATGTATTGCATGTATTATTGAATTTACCTAGTACCTCATGTATGTTGGTGACTGTAGGTGTATATTCAATTTATCGTGAAGTAGGCAGTAAAAATGATGTTTTTGCCAAGATTAGGATTTGAACACCAGTTTAGCGACACTATTAATATCCGTGTGCCGAGGTACGCCTTCTAAGTTTGTTGCCTGAAAAATAAGATACTTCCTTACCTAAGCCTGCTTGCGTTGAGCCTTACGCAACTAACTGTGGCTGGTGACTTTTTGCCAAGAAGCTAAGGTGGCTAAGACCTAGGGGGGGTAAAGAAATTACATCAGTGTCGCAGCAGGAGCATTCGGCGCTTGTCCCCCCTCCCCCGCCGAACCTCCTTGTACGCCGCTTTGGCTCGGACTGCCAACTTTCTTACCTCCTAAAAACCACAATTCGAGGTAGCCTAATCTAGGCAATACATCTTTGAAAGAGCCTCGGGAGGTTCTCATCATCATTTTGTCCAAATACGCCTAAGTTTCGAACGCGAGCCTCTTAACCCAGTACCCGCGACCGCATATATCTAGTAGACGAGCGCTACTAAAAGGCTGACACTCAAAAACATCGCTATTTACTGCTAGGTCTTGAAGCCTAACGAACCATTCTCACCCGCTCTTAAACCAAACCCTATTGGCCATGAACGTTATAAAGCTTCAGAGGTAAATTTCCAACGTTTATCTCCTTCGCTCTATAGATAGTAAACTTAACTATCCTACACAGGAAATATCCTCAATTTGAACAAGGCGACATATTCGCCTTAACGGATGCCTTCCGGAAACTCGACGTCGACGACAAAGGCTACATCGATGAAGCCACCGCTATCAAGGCTACCCAGCAGGCCGAGAGACAGCCGTATGATGTCGTTAGACAGGCTCTGAAAGAAGTTGAACTTGACTCTTCCAGAAGGGTTGAACTCGAAGATTACGTTGGTGTAGGTTAAATGGTATTGCGTGGAAGATGCCATACTTCTGGTACTAATTCGTGTCTAGTTAATCGCCAAATTGCGTGAATCGTCTCCTGCTCAACGGCGCATGAACACCGGTGGCCCTGCGCCGTCTGCCCCTGCTGGCCTCGTATCTCAAAGGACCGGCGGGCACTCCTCCAAGGGAAGTGTTGGCAAGATCCATGTCCAAGGCTCTAGCGCCAACGTTACCCACACAATTAATGAAGATGAACGAACCGAGTTCACCCGTCACATCAATGCGGTCCTCGCCGGCGATCCTGACATAGGGAACCGATTACCCTTTCCGACCGATACCTTCGAGATGTTCGATGAGTGTAAAGACGGTCTCGTCCTTGCCAAACTCATCAATGATAGCGTTCCAGACACGATTGACGAGCGTGTACTAAACGTCCCTGGCAGAAAAATCAAGAAGTTGAATGCTTTCCACATGACAGAGAACAACAACATTGTCATCGAGTCCGCAAAGGGTATCGGATGCTCCGTCGTCAATATTGGCAGCGGTGATATCATTGAAGTCCGGGAGCATTTAATTCTAGGTTTAATTTGGCAGATTATTCGCAGAGGTCTTTTGGGTAAAATTGATATCAAACTTCACCCCGAGCTCTACAGATTGCTCGAGGAAGATGAGACGCTAGAACAGTTTTTGCGATTGCCTCCAGAGCAGATCCTTCTGAGATGGTTCAATTATCACCTCAAAGCGGCCGGTTGGCAGCGCCGGGTTGCCAACTTTTCAAGCGATGTGAAGGATGGAGAGAACTATGCGGTTCTACTAGCACAGATTGGGCGGGACTACGGCTGCAGCAGAGCTCCCCTTCAAACGCGCGATTTATTGCAACGAGCGGAGGAGGTGCTGGTTGATGCCGACAAGCTTGGTTGTCGAAAGTTCCTAACGCCGACCTCGCTTGTAGCCGGAAACCCTAAGCTTAACCTGGCCTTTGTTGCCAATTTGTTCAACACACACCCCGCTCTGGATCCAATTACAGAGGAAGAAAAGCAGCAGGTGGACGACTTCGATGCTGAAGGTGAACGAGAAGCCAGGGTGTTTACTCTGTGGTTGAACAGTCTTGACGTACAGCCTGCTGTTGTTTCCTTCTTTGATGATCTCTGCGACGGCACAATTTTGATGCAGGCTTACGACAAGGTCATCAAGGGATCAGTGAACTGGAGGCACGTAAATAAAAGACCAGCCAGTGGTGCTGAATTGATGAGGTTTAAGGCTGTTGAGAACACGAACTACGCCGTTGAGCTTGGTAAGCAGAATGGATTCTCACTGGTTGGAATCCAAGGCGCAGATATTACCGACGGTAACAAGCTACTTACTCTGGGCCTCGTCTGGCAATTGATGCGAAAGGACATAACCCTAACACTGTCGGCTCTGGCACAACGCCTTGGCAAACGAGAGATTACCGACGCCGAGATGGTAAGATGGGCGAACGAAATGTCTCGAAAAGGTGGTAGAAATTCATCGGTTCGGTCGTTCAAGGATCCAGCTATCGGCAGCGGTATCTTTTTCCTGGACGTGCTGAACGGCATGAAGAGCAGTTACGTCGACTACGACCTTGTTACCCCTGGACGAACCGACGAGGAAGCGTATCTCAATGCCAAACTTAGCATCAGCATTGCCAGAAAGCTGGGTGCAACGATTTGGCTGGTTCCCGAGGATATTTGCCAAGTTCGAAGCAGACTAGTTACCACATTCATCGGTAAGACATCAAAACATCTAACCCTGAGATGTACAGCTAGAAGCGTTTACTAACTACGGATTATAGGCTCGTTAATGGCGACTTATGAAAAGATGCAGTAGATGACTAATTCTCCTCTTCTTTCCAATTTCCTTTACAACACAATGCGACGCGACGAAGAGCAAAGGGCCAAGGTTACTGGAAAAGTTAGGAGATCTGATGATGATACGTTTGAGCTCATTGCGTTGCTTGTTTGCCCTGTTGGAATTCTCAATGCAGATTTTCTCTTGGGCACCCCTTATAGATAAGAAATAAAAAAGAAAGTATCAGGATGAGTGAATTATTAATATATTCCACATCGCTGGACTTACGATGAATACATCGAAATGGATGATATTTGGGTCTACCCACATAGGTGCCGAGGCAGCGGGCAGGTACCCAATCCGCCTATAAAGTGTGGGGAGTACATATGCAGTAGTGCCTTATTGTACCTACCGCACCAAAGTAAGAAAGAAATGTTATAAGGGATTCATAGGGATTAATTGTTGGTACGGCGCATGCAATGTAACAGGACCCCACTATTGTTTTGCCGCGAAGAGGGCAGGGCTTACCACTTGGGCAGTTAAATGGCAGTTAGATGGTAAGATTACAATCATATTACGTCTAACATTCGATTGCTGACGGCTCCTTTGTTTTTTTGCCCAATTTTATCATTTTCGGTAAGAAATTCCATGTGAAAGGTGAAGGGAGACAAAGACCCAAACAAATTAGGGTTGGGTACTTGGTAACACAATCCTCTTCACACCCATCGTGCTCGTACTCGGTTTTCACATTACTCGATCTGCGTAGCCCGAGCCTTACTAGGATGTAGGCCGAACAATACTCCAGAAATAAAATAAAGACATACATAAATGCGCCCGAAGATTGGTCAGGTACCTACCTACTTTAGTATTCGCTCACACATGTAGGTCAAGAGATTATCACCGAACATCAACTCTTCAAGAATATCCCACGGTCACGCTCCAACCGGCTCAAGCGGATTCTTAAAGTCGGTGGGCTCGCCCGGTTGTGCCGGCCATACTAAAAGTCAGGTGGCAAGGCTTGATACGATAGATCCGAACGAGCGAGATATAAGCTTAGAGGCTGGCCTTACTTTATAAATACTCGCATTCCGGATGTCGATTCAACTCATAACAGCGTAAATGGTGGCTCTCGCTATCATTCGACCTTCAAATAACATATCAACAACAACGGGTTCCCGAAAACTCATCGGCCTTTAGGTATAAGCTACTATCGTCCCGCCGGGAGGGAGGCGTTAGTTGTAACCAATTTTTTCTCATTATTCCTACAACATGCCCACAGCGGAGGAACTCCGTCCTGCCTCGCCCGACCTGGGCAATCCTATATCGGACAAGGATTCTTACGAGGTGCATTCAAAACAAGAAGCACAACACCCAAATTCTTTAGCCGAGGCTCTACGAGCCGTACATCGTACTCCAGAGACTCCATCAGATAGCAACAGTGAATATGGCTACGATGCTAGAGACAGGCCCTTAGAATCGGTTCTGCTACGACGCAAGTCTGAGACAGATTCATACGATAACTCGGGTTCTGATACACCTGAAATTCTCCCGCTAGAGAATCCAGAGCTGAACAAGACGAAACAGCGCCACCAAAATTTGCCTAAATTAAATGCATCAGGAAAGGGCAAAAAGACATATGTAGTGGCGAGCGACGATGCAGAGCTTCGTGATATACTACGGAGAGGCCTAGAACGGGCAAGTCAAAACTCCTTGAAATTATCATTTAGTTTCATTCACAACACACTAATGCCGAAATACTCAGGAGAAAGAGAAGCGATCTCCAATTCGTCGTGAGAAGCTCCGGGATATGGTCTTCACAAGACAATTCTCAGCTTTCGACAGACAAAATCAAGTTGCTGCCAATAGCCCATTCCATGGCTTTTATGTACTTTTCTGGATTGCGGTTTCTATATCTATCATTAAGATAGCTGCAGAGAATTGGAGGAAAACGGGAAATCCGTTGGGTACTAACGAGATCATGAAAACAATGTTTCGAAGAGATGGTAAGTTCATTCCTCAAGATAACGAAGACATTAAGAGTTATATTCAAAGTCAGAACGGTTGATTGACTGCTTAGTTATTGTGCTTTTACTCTCCGATGGGATTATGTGTGGCCTTACTGGTGTGAGTTGGGTAATTCAACGCCTAGTCTTTCTCAATTATATCGACTGGGAGAGAACGGGTTGGATCTTACAAAATGTAAGTTTTCTTCGTGGCACGTAATGAATGAGAAACTTTGGCTTATGCCTTCACAGCTTTGGCAAACGCTTTTTATCGCCAGCGTGGTCGGCCTCACGCTTGTGCGAGATTGGCCATGGACACGTAAGAGTTTCCCAGACATCCGTCATTAATTACCTCTGAATACACCAACACCAACACTAACCTTCTAATAATTCCTTTACACCCATATACTAACCAATAATTGCTAGACACCGTATTTTTCGTCCTTCACGGCCTCGTGATGTTGATGAAACAGCATTCTTACGCATTTTACAATGGCCACCTTTCGTCAACATATAAGAAACGGCAGGTTAGTATCGCCAATTCGCCTTGGGTGGCATCCAGCTGATAATTCATACGCGCACTCTAGAGTCTACTTCTTAAATTAAAACAGCTAGAGAGTATTTCTCCCGTGACATCACCATCATTAACGAGCCCTCAGGTCTCCGCTCTCTCTACATCACACCTTGCGCTCCCACCATCAGCGGATGAATATCATGAGAGACGACGCTCATTGTCAAAATCTCAATCAGCTGATCAAAATGACGTCGAAACAATTTCTCGCGCTATCGAGACAGCAGAACCACTCGACATGGAGCAAGTACACCTATTTGAGAGACTGATCAAGTGGGAAGCCGACGCACTCACAGACGAACTTCGGGGTAAAGCGACGGACCCTACACATTATTACCCTAACAATCTCACTTTCCTGAACCACTATGAGTACATTGTCCTACCTACTGTTGTCTACGAGTTACAATACCCTAGGTCCGACAGTATCAATTGGCCCTATGTGGCCGAGAAAGCCTGTGCTCTAGTCGGTGTAATATTCGTTATGATAATGATTTCCCAGGGTTTCATCTATCCTGTTGTGATGAGAACTGTTTATATGAAGGAGATGGGTTGGACGGTTGCCCAACGATTTCAGGAGTTCCCGTGGTTATTGAGCGACCTCATCTTTCCCTTCATGATGGAATATTTAGTGAGTTATCGCAACTTTCATTTAGTTTGATATTAGCCACCGTTTCTGACCATTCATAATTAGTTGGCATGGTATCTTATCTGGGAAACGGTCCTCAACATCCTTGCGGAGCTTACTTATTTTGCGGACCGAAGCTTCTACGATGCATGGTGGAACAGCGGTACGTTTCCCAACCACGATGTGTTTTTTTTTTTTTTTTTTTTTTTTTTTTTTCATTTTCATTAATAATGTATCTCATCTAACTGGTAATTACACAGTTTCGTGGGACCAGTATGCTCGCGACTGGAATCGTCCAGTCCATAATTTCCTTCTACGGCACGTCTATCACAGCTCAATCTCGTCTATGCGAGTCAACAAACATACTGCAACACTTATCACCTTCTTTCTTTCCGCTTGCGTACATGAGCTCGTTATGTGGTGTATATTTAAGAAGCTTCGCGGCTACCTGCTTATTTTACAGATGTGCCAGCTTCCACTCGTGAAGATGAGCCGGACGAAGTGGCTTCGCAATCAAAAGACATTTGGGAATATGCTCTTCTGGATTGGGATATTTACAGGGCCGAGCTTGCTCTGTAGTTTGTACTTAATCCTCTGATAGATTCCGAATTAGGTACTCGGCGTTTCGGGGATATTCGGGTGCAAATGAGATACAAAAAAGAGACAACAGGGCGGTAGGGCTGGGATATACGGAAGAAATCAAGACCATTGGCGTTTTGAAGGCGTTGGGGCGTTGTCTATCGATTTTTAGAATGGTAGCACAGCATTATCTTCATACTAGAGAGGAAATGATACGCTGCTCGTAACTCTCTTTAGTGTTACCCGGGCTCTAATTTACTCCTATTAGATGAACAATCTTAGTGACTCGTAGACACCCATTACCATCATTCGCCAATGAGGGACTGTCCCTATCACGCATGTGCAATGGTCTGGAACATGCATCGAGATTCCCGAAAATTACCTCATGCGAAGAGCTGTATGTAATGAATGATACGATATTTTCGAGAATTAGGATGACAGTATTAGGTGAGAAATACGTCCATACTTCTCCTACTTATCATCCTTATGCATTCGTCTAACCTCTTGACTTGACAAGCTTATGCAGCCTTCATGCAGCACATAATCTTTGCAGCGAGTGATCAACAGGCCATAGACTGCTATTGAACATTTTGGGATTGATAGGTCGGGCTGACCTCTGAGAATTGGTCGGAATATAGCACGTAATGTTCAATGATACGTAGATGGTAGTATGGTAGTATTCCTCAAGATCCGGACAAATGATTGTTTTAAAAGGGATGGCTATCTATTTTCGTTACGTGGGGGGATTCGTGACTTTATCTCCAACCGGATTCGACAGTTTTCAATTGGAACGTACAGTAGGTGGTAAAACGCCGGTTTAAAACTGCCAATTGCTTGTATGTCTAGATAGTTAAATAGGATATTAAATGGTCGCATTTGAGATTTTACGTACCTACCTAGGTAGGTAGGCAAATACCTAGGTACCTAGCTCCATTTGTTTGTTGGTCGGTGCCTGCTGTCTTTCACGAAAAGGTAGAAAGAGCTACTGTGGAGCTACGTCATAGCGTCCTAAGAATGGTTGCTGCGTTATGCAATGTGTCAAGTGCGGCCAATTTAACACTGTGTCACAGGGTTGAAAAAAGATGTTCCGGCTTTCTGCCGGCCCTTTCAAAGCAAATTTTATGGTTTCGGCCAACCACTGAGCAAACCTGAACCTCTCAGACGAACTCCTCTAGCTTTCGCTTGGTTTGCTGGGGATTCCTTTTTAAACATCAAACTTGCCCCCAACACGCGACCCTCTCAATTTATTTCTGCCTTGTATCATCGAGGATATTTATTCCTCACTAATTTTACTTTTCTATTTTCTTTCTATTCCACCCTAACCTACCATTAACCAACCTGCCATCATGTCTCGAGGAGGTACCACCCTCTACGTGACCGGCTTCAGCCACGGCACGCGTGCTCGCGACCTCGCATACGAGTTCGAACGGTATGTCCATTATCCTCGTCGGTGAATCGATCGACCGTCCTACGGATGCGGTGTCCGATGTCACCTGCCTTCTCGTCCTAACCCCGACCTCGCTTCGTCGTTCTCGGCTTCGTCGAGTCCTCGATCCGTCTTCTTGTCTCCGCTCCTGCCTCCCACGCCCTCCGTATCCATCTCAGCATCCCATTTCTTTCGATCGAGCGGTCGTGTAGCGTCTAAGATGCATCGTTTTACCGTCCCCCTACCCACCGCGATGGGAATTCGAAGCTTCATGCGATCGATACAAATCATTGGGAAAGTCAAATAAATTTTCTGGTATTGCTGACATAATAAATTCATTTAGCTATGGTCGCCTTGTGCGCTGTGACATTCCTGCGCCGCGATCCGCGAGCAGTAGACTGTAAGTGGCAAAAAAAGCATAGTTAAAAACGCGGTAGTGACGCGGTCTAACTAGAATTTCAGATTCGCATTCGTGGAGTACGAAGATCGCCGTGACGCTGATGATGCCTATCATGAGATGCATAACAAGCGCATCGGCCGTGATGATCTTCTGAAGATTGAAGTAAGTTACCCTCTGAGACTCGATCATATTTGGCATTTTGAATTAACAATAATCTATAGTGGGCCCGAACACCCCCTTCTGCGTCCTGGCGGTTTGACAGTGGCCGTGACCGTGAGCGACGCGATCGTGGAGGTAGATCCCCGCGACGTGGTCGTTCTCCTTCTCCCCGACGCAGCACTCGCGACTACTCTCCTCGCAAGGATGACCGCCGCGACCGCGACCGGGATCGTGACTACGACCGTGATCGTCGTGATACTCGTGACCGTTCTAGAAGCCCGGATCCTCGGTACATTCCCCCGTTCTCTGACTCCACCAAATCGGAACTTACACCCTAGATACATAGTGACCGCGACCGTGACGACCGTGATGATCGCGACCGCCGTGACAACGGTACCAATGGCGACGACCGTAAAGGTGAGTTAACGCCCAATCAGTTTCTACAAGTCGAGACACTAATCAATTTGGGATGTAGCTGTCGACAGTCCTCCCCCTCAACACGATGACTTGGACGTTGCAGAGTGATAAGTATACCCGACTATCTTATTCCTCGGCAGTGGGTTGCATCTGCGACGTAGTGAGGAAAATAAGACATCTCCTTTGTCGCGGTTGTTTTGGTTTCGCGTTTTCACTGGGCTGTAACTCATATTCTAGTTTCGATTTCATCAGTTGACCCCAGCAATACTTGATCTCCGACTAATGGGGAGGCCGAATCCGGAGACGACGCCGATTAAGACTGCTAAGATTTTCTATTCGAGAGAGCCGGAAATTACGAGGCAAGTGCAGCTAAGCTAGGTACCTAGTCTGCGACGTGCCAGGACGATGGATTTGCTAGTCACCTTAATTTAGAGAATCAACCAGATTTCGTGAATTACGTCCAAATGAATAGTGTGTATGTTAGTGGTATCCAATGAATATATGTATTCCCGAATATGCACATGCATTCGTGACCATCCCTACATCTAGTGACAACGATTTGTCGCATCACTAAAATCCCACGAAATTCTAGGGGTATAATATAACATGTAATGCTTAATATATGAGTTATCTTTAGATTTACCTACCTAGGCAATCATGTAGAGTACTACTATTTTTTTGATATGAGTGTTTAAAAGCCGTGAAGCTCTTCGTATGTGTAAATCTACATGTCTGGGTAGGTAACCTGGTAGGCTGGTTAAAGGACCACGAGCGCTAAGATCGACCTGCATGTCCAGGTGCATATGACTTCGAGGCGGTTCATTGAGCAGCTTCTTAACGCTGAGATATCCCTAGATGGCTAGATGCTAGAGCATGGTAGCCAACCGAATGTCAAGCAGTTATTGATGAGGCGGAGATCCCATGCAAGAGGTAGTGAAATATACATATCTTTTTTCATGTCGAATGACAACTGGTTATGATAACAACAAATCCTCATTCATGTCGAGTCACGTCATATTAGTACAAGGGGTTCTATGTCCTCTACAGCACACTGTCGTATCTGATGCATATAATCCCTAAACCTGAAGCCGATCTTACGACTTCTAAGCCTTGTGAATATCTATTTGTTACTGTTTCTTTCTCGGTTTTATGGTTTGCGACGCTGGAGGGTTAACTGAAAATATAATGTACCAGGTACCTTTGATCCGTAACGTAAAAAAATGGGCGCCATGAAAATCTATTTTAAACGTTTATCCTTATTTAAAGGCATTGACGTTTGAAACTTAAATACCATTTCTTAATGTATTAGCCTAACGTCTTCGCCGCGATCCTTAAAGGGATGTTACAAATTTACCAACTACCAATTAAAGACTTAAAGGAGCTACCTATATGTACTCGTTAATTGATCTAATTATACCTCTGTTTACCTCCTTATCCAATTACTAATTACTCAGAAACCTTGGAAGGTATTTGATATTTTGTTTATTTCATTCTACTATGTACACGCACGAGGTACGTTCTACATGTGCTTGTACATACATATGTAGCGGGTGGTGATACGGTCATTTTCAGTTATTGTCAGTACTAGAGTCTCAGGTGAGTTACAGTCTAGCAAGTGACCGCTCTCCCCTCAATACTTTTTTTTTTCTCTAAGCTCCGACTGGCCGACTCCCGACTTCAACGCTTGAAATCTACCAGTCAGCTACGATTTTACCATCCTATCTTTCATACATAGGTAGCTAAAATTTCTAGCTCTATTTTTTCCTCGTCCCCTTTTTTTCTTCTCTCGACTTCCGAGTACCACGTTTATACACTCTCCTTTTTTCCTCATTATGATAAAGCAGTATTGATAGTCTCAATATTTCAGGAGCAGAACGATTATGAGCGTCCTATGTGCCTTAACCAATTCGATGTTCTAACCGAACGGAACGAAGAGCGACTCCCTTGAGCAAACCGAACAATACTTGGAAAATCTGCGCAGTTACCGCCGTTACCTATGTTTGCCCTTGATAACAGCCCGCCCTACAAGCTCGACTATGTCGCCAGGATCGTCCAGAACCTTTCGATAAAAACTACATTGTTCCCATAGTCGTTCTAAAAATATCTCTTTCGATATACATGCCCAAGTATCAGCTGCGCGCAAATTTGTTCGACCCCGTACTTCGGCCCCGTGTGAACCACACGCCATCCCTCCTCCTCCTTCGTCGCGTCGGCCGACTCTGCTGCATCCGCATAGCTAGAGTTCCACTAGAGTTCCAATATGGCTGTTGTACGTCTACTTCGTCCTTAAGTTAGCCTATATAGCAGCAGCAATAGCTGACCCAAATCCTCTAGAGCCCGGAAGACCTCAAGGCTAAATACGCCGACGGACAGAAAAATGCGCAGTTTAAGGACTTCATCTCACAGCCGGTGGTCGCTGCTTTCTGCGCTGGTGGTGTTGCCGGTGCGGTGTCGCGAACCGTCGTGTCCCCCCTCGAACGCCTAAAGATCCTCTTCCAAGTACAAAGCGCCGGTCACAATGAATACAAGTTGTCAGTGGGTAAGGCACTTGCCAAGATGTGGAAGGAAGAAGGTTGGAGAGGCTTCATGGCTGGTAATGGAACCAATTGCATTCGCATTGTCCCCTACTCTGCGGTGCAGTTCGGTAGTTATAACCTCTACAAACGGGTACGTCCGCTGCAGTGACCACTTCCAAGTTTACAAGGCTGCCTGACTTTGACTGCGCAATACAAAGCACCTATATCAAACACAGCCCTTATAGGTCGATTAACTAACACATAATAGCATTTCTTCGAGAAGTACCCCAATGCCCCTCTAAGTCCTCTCGAGAGACTTTTGTGTGGTGGCATTGCAGGAATTACCTCCGTCTTTTTCACATACCCGCTTGACATCGTGCGAACCCGACTATCCATCCAATCGGCGTCATTTGCTGCGCTTGGCAACACATCGAAAGAGAAGCTCCCGGGTATGTGGACTACAATGGCTGTGATGTATAGGGACGAGGGTGGTATATCTGCATTGTATCGTGGTATAATACCTACAGTTGCGGGTGTAGCTCCATATGTGAGTAATATTCCACATATAAGAGTTACTTCTTATACGCGCTAACGCAATGCTGATGATTTTCCAGGTGGGATTGAATTTCATGACGTACGAATTCGTCCGCAAAGTTCTCACGCCCGAGGGTGATCAGAATCCTAGTGCAGCACGGAAGTTGCTGGCCGGAGCTATATCTGGCGCTGTTGCTCAGACATGCACGTATCCATTGTGGGTGTACCGTTGCCATTTTTTCCCCGATAACTGATTCGACTAACATACCTACAGCGACGTTTTGCGTCGAAGATTTCAGATCAATACTATGTCTGGCATGGGCTATAAATATAAGTCGATAGGAGATGCCGTCAGAGTGATATTATCTCAAGAAGGGCCACGGGGCTTATATAAGGGTCTAATTCCGAACCTGCTCAAGGTCGCACCTAGCATGGCCGCCAACTGGCTGAGCTTTGAAGTCACCCGGGACTTCTTAGTCGGGTTGAAGCCGGAACCAGTAGTTTTATAAATGGAGAGGAAAGGAACTGGATCGTAGCTGGATACGTTTCATTTCTGGATTACGTCCGAACTGTACTTGACTACCTTTAGATATGCAGTGTTGCTATCAGAATTTCCCGGTGGAATAGCGTCGATGCACTAGCTAGAATACGGAATACCGGATGATATACGTTAAAAGGGGGACTTGGTAGATCAACGAACATAGAGGGACCTAGAGGTTCTTGATTTAGGTGGCAGCGGTGGTGGTGAGCGATACAAAACAGCTCAAGACACGTCCTGTCATATATCATATATGTCGAGGATGGCCTATGTATTTACCATGAGGTCTTTTCCCCAAAGATATAGCTGTAAGACAGTATTTTGTATAGAACAATAAAATAAATTTGAAAGTAATCAGGAGTTACCCAGGTACTATGATAGAATAACTACATGTATGTATGTAGAAGCAATCATGCGCTAGGCATTCTAAATGGGGAGCTTAGACCAAGTTTATCAGTACGTAATCGATGAATCTCTTGGCGCCAAGAGTAAAAACCGGAAAAGTACCTAGGTACGTACCTCTGTAGTACCGACCAACCCTAACTGCCAGTGGTCACCGCTCGCCCACACAATTCTCTCGATTCTTTGTGATTTCCAACTTTTCTGCGGTCCACCTGAGATACTTTTTCATTTTCTCAGTTACTACTAACCCAACAGCACAACCACTTTCCCTTCCCATCGACTCTATTTCCTTCAATTACAAAGAGTCACCGTCAAGATGGGTACGTTCTTTATTTATTTGGAGATTTCTATGCGAGTGGAAACTTGAAAGATGAGCTACCTTGTTGTCGCTCATTTATTTTCTCGTTCTCTGCGATCAACTGGGAATCATCCTCTGGGATGCGCCCGATAGAGCATATTTGAACCAAAAAGCTGACTACGGCTTTTTCTCTAAATAGGTATCGATCTCGACCGCCACCACGTGCGCAACACGCACCGAAAGGCTCCTAAGAGCGACAATGTCTACCTCAAGCTATTGGTGAAGCTGTACCGCTTCCTGGCCCGTAAGTAGTAACCCTTCGCAATTTGAAAACAGGGTGTCGGCTATCCTATATGGCCGCATAGTATGATGATACTAATCGAATGTTCTATCATGTAGGCCGAACCGACTCTAGCTTCAACAAGGTCGTTCTCCGTCGCCTTTTTATGTCCCGTATCAACCGACCCCCCGTCTCCCTCTCGCGCGTCAAGGGCCAGATTTCTAAGGGTCAGGAGGGAAAGATCGTTGTCGTTGTTGGTACCGTCACCGATGACAACCGCCTCCTCGAGGTCCCCAAGGTTTCGATCGCTGCTCTGCGATTCACTGCCACCGCCCGTGCTCGCATCACTGCTGCCGGTGGTGAGGCTTTGACCCTCGACCAGCTGGCTCTACGTGCCCCAACTGGTAGCAACACTCTGCTACTACGCGGCCCCAAGAACGCCCGTGAGGCCGTCAAGCACTTCGGCATGGGTCCCCACAAGCACAAGGTATGTAGACTCGGTCTACTTCTACTAATTTTCGCCATACTCACGTTACGTAGAAACCCTACATCGAGTCCAAGGGCCGCAAGTTCGAGAAGGCTCGTGGTCGCAGACGGTCAAGGGGTTTCAAGGTGTAAGGAAATATGGGGCTGGGTTTGGTCTTGCGTTGCGTCTCTTCCGATATACCATGAAGGTAGTCCTCAACTGGGAGGGAGTTATGCTACTTCAGGAGTGGTTTATGCATGGCTTGGCGTGATACGGGATAACAAAATCAATTCATACAGAAATATGATGCTTTGCCACTTCTTCTGATAAGATGAGAATATTCTTCTTTCGAATGACTCCAGTGATCGAGTGATATTCTTAAGCTATTATACCGCACAATGATCCATCTCTACGACACCTACATATCTTGAGAAGCATCAATGTCTCGTCAGCATTTTATTCGCCAATTAAAGAGAAAGATTTCTAGCATCTTGTAAAAATCAAAGAAAGACATCACCTGACCCCGCGTCTGAGGCATGAGGGTTTGAATATGAATTTCGTCATAACTAGATAGGTACCTGGGTAACTTCATTTTACTTATCAACCCAACTTAATATACCAAACATTTATCTTACGCCCCAATTAGCCTTCCTTTCGCCTTACAATTCTTCCTCTCCTTCGCACGATCATCAACCCCCGTATTAACATCACCCATTGAAGAATGTGTGGGCGCTATTCGCTGGCCTTGGTACGTCTTAGAACCTTGCAATATCCATTCAATTAGTTGAGACTAATCACAAACCGAATTCGTAGCGCCCGGCGCAAGTTCGTCAGATGTTACAAGACGACGATATGTCTGTAGATGATGCCCCAGACGATGAAGGCGAAGGCGCTCCCAGGCAAAGTTATAATTTCGCTCCAGGTTACCACGGTATTGTCTACCGTGCCGATGTACCAGACTGGGGAGCTGGCTCTCGAGGGCAGCATACGGACGTTTCTCATAAGTCCAGGAACGATGAACACGACGAAGGTGGGGTTAAGACCAAAACATCCGCGTCCCGGCCGATTAGCTACAAGCTACAAAGCATGAAATGGGGATTGATCCCCTTCTGGACTAAGCGCAACCCAGACTATGGTTCGATGATGAAGGCCATAAATTGCAGAGATGACTCGCTCGCCCAAAGTGGCGGCATGTGGAGTACTATGAAAGCAAGGAAGCGATGTATCGTTGTTGCGCAAGGGTTCTACGAGTGGCTGAAGAAAGATGGAGGCAAGGAAAAGATCCCGCACTTTGTGAAACGAAAGGATGGTAAACTAATGTGTTTCGCTGGATTATGGGATGTAGTCCAATATGAGAGTAAGTTGGAGCTATTAAACAGAAATCGCAATACTAATTAGAAATTAGACGACGAGGATAAGCACTACACTTATACAATCATCACCACAGATTCGAACAAGCAGCTCAACTTCCTCCACGACCGCATGCCCGTAATTTTAGATAATGGATCCGAAGATCTACGAATATGGTTAGACCCCAAGCGCCACGAATGGTCAAAAGAGTTACAAGCCCTACTGAAGCCCTTCAGTGGGGAGTTGGATGTCTACCCCGTCAGCAAAGAAGTAGGTAAAGTTGGTAATAACTCGCCTACATTTATTATTCCTGTCGACAGCAAGGAAAATAAGTCCAATATCGCAAACTTCTTCGCCAAAGGTGCCGAGAAGAAGAGCAGTAAGAAGGAACAACCCGACATAAAAGTCAAGGAAGAGGGGTTCGTCACAGATGACCCAAAAGAGAGCCAATCTTCGGTGGGCGTCAAGCGAGAAGCTGAAGACGGAGTTGTTGTTGGGGAACCCCCGAAGAAAGCAGCCACGACAACGTCAGTGGCGTCAAATAAGTCGCCGTCTCCGCAAAAAGGAAAACAAAAGATTAGTGCTACCAGCAATGGGACTAAAAGCCCAAGCAAAGCGAAACAACCCAGCACACAGAAGATCACAAAATTCTTCGCGAATGGCTCATGAAAGCATAGCCTGCTCAAATCATAAAGGTCATGGGGGATGGCCCCTGACCTCATAACTTCGCAATTCTATGTACGAACAGTATCTTAGTTATTTGACTAGGTAAATTAATACTTTCTGAATTGAAAGATCTACAATGACCGCAAAAAAGAGCGCGCTTCGTCATGACCTATCTTAACGAGATACATCACATGAAACAATATCCAAACTTCTCACAATAATCTACCTAAGATATCCCCTGCCTTCACGGCAATCCTATACGAACCTATTTAGCAGGCGAAGACATCAGGGCCTGGGACGATGTAGCTGTGGAAGTTGTTGTAGATGTTGGCCGTGTCTATTAAAGCAGTAAGGTTAGCTAAGGGCATGTCGTTTATAATGGATGAGGTAAGTCTCACAGCCTGGGTCAGTAGCCTTGAAAGCACCGGGAATCTTAGCAGTGGGCTTGGGCGAGGCACTGTCACCACCGCTGACCTTGATCTGACCGCAACCGACGTAGAACTGCGGAACACCACCAGGGTTGTGGATGGCGAGTGACTGAATTCGGAGAAGGTATTCGCCGCTAGGGACACACTTGGGGATGGTGTAGGAGTAGGTGTCCTTCATGGTCCAGCTAGCCTGGCCGCCGCTGAAGTTGGGTGCCCAGTCGTTGATCTTGAACCAGTCACCGCTTCCATCGTAGTCGACGGCGGCACCTGGGGCCTTCGACATGTATAGCGAGATGGGACCCTGATGGTACACGGCCGTGTCGAGGGTGAAGGTGAACGGGTCGCCCGCGTTGATGTCGAGGGTGCTCGTGTTCCCGCCGGTGGCACCGCCGACATTGCATCGGAGGTCATTGGAAGAGAGGTCTGTTGGCCATGTCTTAGTAAGGGATCTACTATTATGGCGATTTGAAGAGTCACTAACCGGTGACGGGGGAGTTGTAGTTGGTATTGCGACGGACGTATTCGTACGCAGTTCCCTTGGCGGTGCCCTTGGACAAGGACTGGAAGATGTAGTGCGCAGAGGCGCTCTGGGCAGCCAGAACGGCCGTGGCGACGAGGGCAACGACGTTCTTCATTTTGATCAAGGAGAAACGATATGGAATTATCTTTTTTTGTCCTATTCTACCAAGAGCTGAAAGCAAACAAGCGGTGGGCGCAAAATATCAGAGTAGCAGGCTCTGCCAGCTACTTAGGTGTCCTAGAGCCATCCTTAAAAACGAAAGCGCCTACGATCTTGGCCCCTCGGCAGTTCTCGACCTCTTCAACCACCCCTAATCCCCGGATTCTGTATATGAAGCGGGCCGCGGCTCCAGTCGTCTTGGTAGGAAAAAAATTGGCTAAGCAGCACTTCAGCGCTGACTGAGGCTTGGGGCGGCCTGGTATAGTCCAAGGGGGGGTTGGACTGCGAGCTAGGCGTCATAGGACAGCTTGTTAATAAGATAGATTAAACCGCCTAGTTCAGACACCATCTTGGTTGGCTATCGTGACTCGTTGCGGTGCGTTTTGTGGGTGCAGAGCAATTTACGTTCCTAAGTAGGGATATATATAAATGTACGATGTCCTCACTAACGAGCAAGTAAATTCGGCACTGGAGTCTCCGGAGGAGCGGATGCGAGATCTGGCTACCAAGGATCGCTCAAGATGCTCACGATCGAATACGCCTTTTTGGTCACCTAGTAAGGGAGATCTTGTGACCTAGATTTCTATTCATAAAAAAAAGGAGAAATACAATTAAATCCTGGCCTTTCCGTCCAAGATCTAGGCGACAATGGGATTGGACGAGGAAGTAGTTAGATGTTTTGCGGTCGAAGTAAGAATTGCCACCACATGAAAACATATCCTTTCACTGCCTATGTAGAAGGCATGTTGTTAACAACCCACGGCAACTTCGTCAAGACAGTACCTAATACTCCTATTATCGAGATCACATTTCCAAATAGCTTCATTAAATAGCTTCATTGAGATATCATGCATTTTGGGCCCGTTTTCGTAGAGAAGAGGGGAGGTTGGTGAGGTCTTTCAGCCGGAGCGAAAACTTCAAATAATACCTTCAGTTCATGTAGTCTGCGTGGTGACGAGTATCCCCGATTAGGAACGTTTGCAACAGTCCGAGTAACCAACGAAAATGCGCGTGATACTATTCGTCACAGCTATGATATTGCGGAACTTTGTTCTTGTAGCATCAGGGATACGATTTCTCATAGCGATGCCGTCAAATGTAGTAAGACTCCCATGAAATGCATGCGTAGCAGGGAATCACGATATACTTATAATCCTCGATATAACTTCAACGTATATCTGACTTTTCACTGCCAAATACCCACTAAATCCCATAGACAAGACAAAGTGGTGGTAATTAGAAAGTTACCCGTCCATTGGTTTCACCAAGGGTGAGAAGCTTATTGCTGGGGTTTGTTTCTAGAAACGGCCCGGGGGGCGGCGACTAGAAGGAGACGGGAGATGAGCGCCGAACTCATCTTGCCTAAAACGAAGCGTAGGCGACCGAAAATCTACTAGCCTCGCCCTCGGACCCTGTATGTTCCTGTGTCGACTTTCTGGCTCGCGGGTATGCAGTCAAAGACGAGCTAGGGTCTCAGCAATGGTTCCTTATGCGTCTCCGAGGTAGAGTATGCGATCTCGTGACAGCAGCCTCAGTCGGCCCTTGCAACCGGCTGGCATCCTGGGTGGATTAGTTCCGAGAGAGGTGGCCAGACCTGGGGGGTTTCGGGGCGGAAAGCGATGGAAGGAGTTGATGTTTATGCTTACGAGAGTATGAGAGGGATTATTTTGAAGCAAAGGCGGAATATAGGCTGAGAAGCGGAAAATGGTAAACAATACTATCGCCGGTGACAAACCGGGAAAGTGTCTCATCCAAGTATATTTATCCAAATCAATAATCAATTAACCTTATACGTCTTGGTTGGGGAGACGACGCTAAATAGAACCCCTGCAGGTTCACCATGCTAAAAAACAAAACAAAAAAAAAAAAAAAAAAAAAAAAAAAGGCCGTGACGACATGGTTCTATACTGGTTGCGATGTATGAGTTTGCAATGCTTAGAAATGAGATGCATGCGTGAGGGTTATAGCGAGACAGGCGAGAACTGGGGAAAAGAGAAAAATAGCCCTGAAGGTACACTAATCCATGGAGCGGGGAGGGGAAACAGTGGATACTGTGGGGGAAGAATGGGCTAAGCGGGCCTAATCTTTGGCTTGATCGGTGGAATTACGGGCCTGAGGAGACGCTCCCCTGAATGTGGAGAGGGCTCAACGCTTAATCTTCAGCCCTTTTCGCACCTAATTACTCCGTAGACTCCGCAGACTCCGCCAAGACGGGGGTCAAGCATCCAAATCATTAACTAAAAATCTGCTCAAATTGGGGGGGTCAATAACTAAATAACCTTCTTTCTTTTACATCCAACCTCACTGGCGCGCAACCCCAAAATACCTGACCATTCCCCTTCTTATTATTGGACCACGGCTTTACGTTCCAGATTTTTATTTGTCCCTGACAGCAAATTCATGAATAGATAGATGGATAGATGTATGTACATACATACACACATACATTACATCTTATACCCTGGTCATTCTTCGTTTAGTTGCCGTCGATCTACTTCGCCTCCGTCACACATCCGACTTGGCTTGCCCCCCAGGCATTTCCATCCATACAATATATGCAAATGCATTAGTTGACCTTACTTTACTTTACCTTACCACCTTAGCCTAGTTACCTTCCTTGTTTACTTGTCATAATGTTAATGTTATCTTCAGGCAGGTATACTGCTAGCTCTCAGGCTCAAATGAACTCCTGAATCGTATTCTCTTATTACCTCCGTGAATCAATATCGCCTGGGTTATTGCTAAGCGCTTTTAGCTGACAGCCATGGGCGTCTATCGCCTGTTCCAACCAGTCGGCTCCCATGTCCATCCTCTTTCCGGATTTGAAACAATATACGGGCCTTTATTGTAAGGGACTAGCATCATCCGTGCTAAGCCTTTTCTATACGGATCCTCTCCGGCACCGTCCTCCGCGATCCAGTTCGTGCTTTAGCCAGGTCCTTCAACTTGAGTAGTAGATACAGTATACTTCCATTGCAGATCATGTCCTATCACGTCCTCTTCCCGGAATACCGGGCAAGCAATGAGATTTCTTGGCTTCATCGGAGCCACGACATGATGCCATTTATTAATCGACCTAGCTCCCCTTTCTGTATAGTCCATCAGCCACGCTACCTTAGGTCTCGGACGCTTGGACGGTAACCTCAAGATGCCGTCTTTTTCACGTATCGCGACTGCTGTACTAGCAGCTGCTACTAGTAAGTTCTACGGCGTCTTCAACGAAGTAAAGACACCCGCTTAACACAAGTAGCTTTCCGGGCCTGCCTCGCCCAAGATGCCGTCCCCTACACTGATGCCACCACGGGCATTGAGTTTGGAACATGGGCTCAAGGTGACCAGACCTTTGGTCTTGCTCTGCCTGAGGATGCCTTGACCAAAGATGCCTCGGAATATATCGGTATACTAGTATGTACCCAGGCATAGTCGAACTTGCGGCAGCCTTTACTGAATACTTCTCTAGCAATGTTCCACGGGCTGGTGTGGTATATCTCATGGAGAGTCCGGACAAATGACCCAGGCTTTGCTGCTCATCGCCTGGCCCTATAAGGATCAGGTCTTAACGTCGTTCCGATTCGCAACTGGTTACAACTTGCCGGGTGTATATACCGGAAATGCAACACTGACCCAGATCTCGTCTAAAGTTACCGAGACCGGCTTCGAAGTCATATATCGATGCCAGAACTGTTTCGCTTGGAACCAAGATGGGACCAGCGGCAGCGTCCAAACTAGCGGTGGAACGCTCGTCATGGGCCGAGCTTCGGCAAAGACGGTCCCCAGCCACCCCGAATGTCCCGCCGATATCAGCTTTGTACAACACCAGAGCTTCGGACAGTTCGGTGCTCCTTTGAAAGATATTGGAAAGGCCAAATACCCTGACTGGGCTGCGTTGGCAACAAAGAATGTCACGGGTGAATGTGGTGGTTCTACTACGCCGCCGCCGTCGGCAACCCCTGTGTGTGCTAAGGAGATGGCCAACCAGACGTTCGACTACATCGTTGTTGGTGCCGGAGCCGGAGGTATCCCCATTGCGGATCGATTGAGCGAGAAGGGCCATAGCGTCTTGCTACTTGAGAAGGGGCCGCCGTCCTCGGGTGTATGGGGTGGAAACATGAAGCCACTCTGGCTTGAGAAGACAGACCTCACTCGATTCGATGTTCCCGGTCTTTGCAACCAGATCTGGGTTGATTCAAACGGTGTAGCTTGCCTAGATACTGACCAAATGGCCGGATGTGTCCTTGGTGGTGGTACGGCTGTTAATGCAGGGTTATGGTGGAAGGTAAGGTATCTCGATCGTATATTTATGGCCTCGATGCTGATGGGCTACAGGCCAACCCGAAGGACTGGGACGAGAACTTCCCCGCCGGATGGCACAACTCGGATCTTGTAGGAGCTACAGATCGAACCTTCACACGTATCCCAGGAACTACGAAGCCCTCTCAAGATGGTGAAGTATATATGCACCAAGGATTCGATGTCATCGCAAACGGGCTGAAGGCGGCTGGATGGAAGAATGTCCCAGTCCCCAATGACGCTCCAACCGAGAAGAACCACACTTACGGTGCCACGACATACATGTTCTCTGGTGGCGAGAGAGCTGGACCTTTGACAACTTACCTAAGCACAGCGGCCAAGCGTGATAACTTTGCGCTCTGGATGAACACCCCCGCCCGAAGAGCCCTTAGAGAGGGTAGCCATATCACTGGTGTTGAATTGGATTGCACAGTAGAGGGTGGCGGATACGGCACTGTCAGCGTTACTCCCAAGACTGGACGAGTTATTGTTTCGGCTGGAACTTTCGGCTCAGCGAAATTCCTTCTCAGGAGTGAGTTTTAATCGCATCGTACTTTTTACTCGAATGGTTTACTGACTGTAGTAGGTGGTATTGGACCTAATGACCAACTCGAGGTCGTTGCTTCATCGCCATCTGATGGAAAATCATACGTTGCAAAGGAAGATTGGATTAACCTGCCAGTGGGATACAATCTAATTGACCACGTCAACGTAAGTAAGCTTCAACACACGATTGGGCTTCTCTAACTATTACCGTATAGACCGATACTTACTTCACCCATCCTGATGTTGTATTCTACGACTTTTACGAGGCATGGACGACGCCTATCCCCTCCGACAAGCAGAAATACCTAGCAAACCGTACCGGTATTCTCGCCCAATCTGCCCCTAACATTGGCCCTGTGGTACGTGTATTCAGCTTCGCTCTACTTCGAGACCCATTCTAATGAAATAAATAGTTCTGGGACGAAATTGAGGGAGCGGATGGAGTGGTCCGTCAAATTCAGTGGACAGCTCGTGTTGAGGGCGAGGATCAAACCAACAGCACCAGTAAGTCACTATGAAACAATTCTCCAAGAATAAGCACTAAATATATACAGACACTATGATTATGAGTCAATATCTTGGTAGAGGCCAAGTATCCCGTGGTCGAATGACCATCAACTCTGGACTAAGCACTGTCGTTTCCACGCCTCCCTACCTTCGAGACCCGAATGACAAAGCAGCTGTTATCAAGGGTATTGAGAACCTACGAAACGCCCTAAGCAGCGTCAAGGATCTCGAATTCCGATTCCCGTCCACAAACCAAACCACGGAATCTTATGTCGATGCTATTGAAGTGACGGCGGCTAAGCGACGCTCAAACCACTGGTTGGGTTAGTATTTCTAGGCTAATTGTCTTCTTCTTCGTCTTACTAACGCTTTACAGGTACGGCTAAGATAGGTACAGATGATGGTCGCAAGGATAACGGAACGGCCGTTGTTGATCTTAACACCAAGGTTTACGGTACCGACAACCTCTTCGTTGTTGATGGGTCGATCTTCCCAGGAATGGTCACTGGTAACCCCTCGGCTATGATCGTTACCGCCTCAGAATTTGCCGCCCAGAAGATCCTAGCTCTGGCTCCAAGGGTCCCGGCGAAGATAACAAAGAACACAGGGGCTCAGATTCTATCTCTATAGACTAGTCTAACGTAGAACTACTATAGAGCCGATATATATGGTTCGACAAAATTCTTGTACATATTCTTTTGATTATCGGGACGTCTATGAGGAGCCCCTAAAATTATATATATACATATATACGTGTAAATTTGCATAAAATTTTCGGTCTCCTCGAACTTAAAGTGTGATTTAGTTGGACACAACCGGTGCTTTGGTTGTAATTAGTTATGAGAATAAGCTCTCGAAGAAATTCGCGTCAAAGCCCTGGAAGGTCCACTGATCTACGTCTGCTACTAGCTCGGGGAATTGGTACGGCGCAGCAAGATTCGGCTCAAATGGCATAAAGGAGAAATTAGAATCTTCTCCGAGCGAAGCCAAAAAGCCAGAAGGGGGCTGAGAAGATTGCTGTAGATTCGGATCAACCACGATATCTTCGGGGTTATCGGAGGCGAGATAGATACTATCGGGCTGAGCGGAATCCTGCGGGTCGCTTGGTCCATTGTATACCGCTTCATCGTCCCCGTAGTTGGTTGATGGCATCGTGCTGCTGTCGCCGTCTAGACGATGTTGTTGTCGTTGTGTGTGTCTGCTTACTGGGTTGATATTGATGGTGCCAAGATACGGTATCTCCAAACGCACGGGCGTGTCAATGCCACCACTATCCGCCGTTAGATCAACATTCGTCAAGGGTAGCAGTCGCGTAATTATGTCGGAAGTCTCACGTGCAATTTTGTCATCGTCTCTCTCGGCCATCCCTTTTACGACGTCCCTGACAGTACGGATTAGGTTGCGATCTGCCTCACGGCATTGAGTCGTTTCAGGGTCCCGCGACCGCAGCTTTGGATCTAGGTAGCCAAGCAGAAGTGTTAGAGCTGCGGTTAGACCGCTATAATCAGTATGCCGACAAGCGGACGCGGCGTCGATGAGAGTTCGGGAGACGACATAAGCTTTGAGCATTTCGCGAGAGGCTTGTAAACACGCCGTTTTGCTATAGTCCCAGCGTCGCTCCTTGGGGTCTCGCAGCATATACGGTAGATGAAGTAGGAGCAGAAGATGGTGATGATCCATATGTATCCGGATGTGCATATGTGCCCGGATTAAGTCCTGCGGCAACGCCGCGAATGTGTCGATCTCTAAAGGTCTCCACCAACCCTCACCCATCGACTCTGCTGCCTGCTCTAGTTCACGTTCAATAGCTTGTGTTACGCCAAAGGCGGCCTCAGCTGAACTTTTATTAATGCTGATGTTGCGTCTGATAATGGCCCGTGTGATGACCGTGTGTAGCCGCTCAAGCCTATATGCCGGGGGCATGTTGGCGATGCGTTCTGGATCGGCAAAGGAAGTATCGTCATTGGCAGCATCGAGACCTAGAAGAAGTGACACGTTTCGATCAGAGAGATTGATGTGATACCACAATGCGCTGGCTCGGGTGCGCGTTGAGGGATCCGAACGTGGGTCGACGGATTTCAGTGGCTTTTCGTCTGGCCATCGGTCTACACCCATGAGTTGCGCAACAGCAAGAGCGCGGCGAAGGGCGAGCCAGGCTTTGCGGAGATTCCCTGCGTTAACGCTAAAGCGCATTAGAAACTATTGTCGACTCTCGAAGTATAATAGATTTACGTATGAAGAGAAGGTGTTTGCTATCAAGACATTAGCAATAAAACCCAAATGCGTGGAACATAAATCAACTTACAAGTATAGCTAGGTAGCTAGGAAGACTCTCAACCTGTTCATTATCCATGTTTCGAAAAACAAAACGAAAAAACCATTATTTCATTACTTACTGGTATACCACAATAAGACTTAACGTTTCCGAGCCTTCAACAGAACCGACAAGGTCGTCATTGGAAGCGACTAGGTCCACAACCAAGTTTACCATTCTATTCGTCTGGGAGCGAATAGGTCCCTTCGAGACAAGGTCTCTTGGGAGAAAGTTTGAAGACATGCTCTGCATACAGTTCGCCAGTTGCATTAAACGCTTCGCCAACAAGGCTGGGTGACTGGTCACGGGCGGAACCACCGTGATGGTGGATGGGGGCTCAAATGAGCCATCAATATTACCGAAGAATCCAGCGACACATTGTGCGCCCGAACCAACTGCAGCTATTGCATTGATATCGCGTTGGCACGGGAAAGCTGCGTGGAGAGTCCTCGAGACATTGGCATACTTGGCGGGGAGGACGCATACATGACCATGTGCGGATGCTGGGGGCGGCCCAAAGGTCGTATGAGCTGTAGTGCAAGCCTCGTCACTCCCCTGTAAAGGATCAATCATGCCTATGGTTTGGGATTGGTGAGCCGCTGACGAACATAGAAGGACGTCTGATGACGAATCGAGCTCATCTTCGGCCGAAGCGGAGGAATCAGAGGGTCGGCCGCCGGGCGGACCAAGCACATCAAGTGTATAAGAATTAGGTGCTAGCCGTTCGACAAGCGTCTCAAGTAGGCCCTCAACTCTACTCAATCTCTGTGATAGCCCTCGTTCTGGTGTTTGGGGCTGGTCATCGGTGAATTCCTGGGACACGCAGGCAGTGCCTCGCGCCTCGCAACCAATGCAGACGGCAGTTGCCTCTGATACGAATTGGCAACGAGTTTTCCTTCTTCTGCCTTACCATCGAGGACCCGTTAGTATCTGACAGTATCGGTATTAGATGGGTACTCACATTCCCAACAACTATGCGTCCCCTTACGGATTTTTCTCCTTTTTGCGTCTGGGTCTTGCCCTCCACTTGAACTTCGCATAGGAAGTTGGGGCATTTTCAAATCTTGCTTGAGCGGTATTTTATACCAACAAAACCGGCGCTTGGGACTATCTTAATTGGTGGCTTGTCTTGCAGTGAACATGTAGTAACATGCACACCACTTTCTGAAATTGCAAGGAGACTATCATACAACAAGGAATGTTCATACAAAATACTCATTATGTAGCACATTAGGGTTGTGGTTTTCTAGCAAAATCGATCAACTAACCTCTAATGCTCTGCTTTCTATCTCCTACCTAACCTCCTGAGCTTGATGCCAAGAAATTTCGTCCGAATTTGACGGACGAATTTGTCAGCAATTTAATGGCGGGGTGGTCCTTGGTAGCTGACGTTTATTTCCAACCAAACGAAGTGGAGAGTACCCTGGGTTGGTAGAGACCAAGAATCAGTCTCTTCCTCGGTATACATATTTCAACACGAACTGGTCATGAAGATGTCGTCGCATTAGCCCATCCTTTGTCCCGCACAGATTATCATCATGAACTAGACCGGCAATTTTAGCAAGGATCTGCCCAGTGGCACAGCATGGGTACTCCATAACAATACAGCGATCCAGCGATAAAATGCTTGGCCTGTCAAATAGGTACCTACAAGCCAGGTACCTCTAATTAGAGGTTCAGCTACGCCCAACCGAAACTGATGTGGCCAAAGGGTGGTGGCACACGGCTCGACTACGGCCAAAGGACTGTGCTGTGGCCAACCGGGTCGTTGTCTTACGGAATCTTAGAATCTCCGAGGAGGGTGGCTGCAGAACGAGGCGCGATTTCGGGTCCCAATCACCCACCTAGATACTCAGCGCAGCAACATGGCGCATAGAGTCGAAAATTTCGCCCGATTGTCTCCGTCGTTTCTACTACTCGGCAAGCGAACTAAAATGTAAAGGCATCTAACCGTTGTTCCCAAGCGCATCTGCCGCGTCCCCACGTCGAAGATTGTCTTCCAAAACACGCCCCAACTAGAAACTTCAGGCGATGATGCATTACCAGATAGCTACTTGACCTCCGATCATGAACACTGCGGCTGCTCTGATCCGGTGGAATCGAACATCGGATGACGTGGCTGGGAAAACTGGCCTCTACCCGGGTCGTACGAGCTGCAAGTGCCGGTGATTGTCAGACGGCCCATCCAATCATGATCGCGACGGAAAATTCCTTCTATGTAGGCAGGAGAGCTGCATCTTGATAAAGAGGAGGTCCATAGGCAGTGAAGGACAGTTCTAATCATTAACAATAGGATTCTCTTGCCTCCTAACCTCACATAGTGGTTCTACTTGTTACTAACAGTAGGCCCCGGAGGCTTTATTCTAGCTCGACAATCAGTTCCGGGCTTACACAGCCCAATATACGCACAAGAGGGGGGACTCTATGCTAAATGTCTGAAACCGCCAAGGAAACTTGTTCTCAAACTTGAACTCATTTTATCTTAGCACACGTCCCAAGTGTGGTATGAATAGGGTTGGTTATGATTTTTTTTTAAAAAAAAAAAATAAATAAATAAAAAAAAATAAAGGGAAAAAGGACTAGGTTCGAGAAGAAAACAAAAACTAGAAGAGATAGCGGTCGTTCGGGCGTCTATCTCAATGTTATATCGCCAAAAGAAAAGGTCACAAGGATAAGTTGACGACGATGTTCTGCCTAAAGCTCACAGCCTGGGTTGACGCCGTTTGATTCAGCTCTAAGCTCATAAGATTAGACGCTCTGTCATCATGGACAATCCAAGCTCGTCGTGAGTCAGAAGTTGGTAGCGAGCATGAACCCAAAACGTATGTGCAACGGAAACCCATCAAAAAGAAGAAACATGGGTGAAACTAGCAGTACCTAGGGGTATCTTGGGGTATCTTGATTCGGGTTACGGCGTTACGGGGCTACAGCGTTTATGACCTTTTGAATAACAGCGGGGACGTTTGAGATCCGCACAAGGGATCGGCCCAGTCGAACCAGTATAATTTTGTGTAAGGAACTTTTTCTTCTTTGTTTTTATTTTTCATTTTTATTTTTATTTTTATTTTCATTTATGACATCCATTAGGTCCGTTTTAAGTAGTAGAAATAAATTTAGAAATTGAGAAAATTGGGATTTACGGAACTGACTGCGATACAGTAAGATCGAATACTGCCAAGAACGCCACATCCACATCGGAAACCTGCCCAATATGATGAAATAGGTTTCCCATGAGTATCAAGGGGGTGGACGTTATTACCAAACCATCCATGGATGTCTTATGCAATGCAAATCAGCAATCCAGTAGACTCTAAACGACAAACGGATAGATCTCTGTGTCTTGTCTGCACATAATGCTGGGAACGCATTAACATCTACCAGTCAGGACAACTATTTTCCTTAGGGGCACTCAACCTCCTAGCTGGATTTATTCTAGGGCTGAAACGATCCGGAGCCAATCTTTAAGAGGCAGTCTTAGCGATCCATCGGTGTACTACCTGGGCATCTGACCCCTCGAGTTCGAGTTTCTGTACCTAGAATTGAAACGGTCGTCTCACCAATCGCATTTAACTACCGAGAAGAACAGTGATTTGCAATTGGAAATTGGAAATCTGCGCAGCGACTCTAATTCTTTCCATGTTAACGCCATCCGATTCACTGAACAAATATCCCAATTACCCCAATGTCCACATTATCTACGAGGTATCAATAGTAATTCGACGAAGGGATCGACATATCAGGACAACGGACTTAAGTACTTGTAGCAATTGCGTACTTAGGCACCTAACTTCAAGGATCCTTGTCTGCCACTATCCATTACCACCATTTGCGCTATGCAACCAGCCTTCTGGCCGATACATGGCTTGAAGGTTCTTGCCTTGTAGGTGCTAGAAGGCCACCCAGAAGGGGAGAAAAGAAGAAAAAGCGACACATATCTAGGTGCACTTTTGTTCCTCGCACAGTAGTGACGCCACAGCGCACCACTATGTATTATGGTCTTCCCTTCAATACACTGACACCCCTCGTCGGCCCCCAAAACCCCCCAGGCATGCATTTGTCCCCGTAACAACGAAAAGGGGTCTTGCCCTGTCAGGCTCGGCACATCCCGACGGGGTTGGCTGCATATAATATCCTGTACCGGTCTGGTTCTAATCCGGTCACAGATCGCGGCTCTAGCTCTAGTGGTTAGCAACCTTTTTCGGCGTCAAACACCGCATAAGAGTTTCAAACCCCGTCGTCGTCAGGTCTCAGCTCTAGTAGATCACAAGCATCGATGTCTGCCTGCACAGACCGATTAGTATGAACATACTTGGATATACCTAAGCACATACGCAAAAACACGCGCGTATGGTAGGTATCTATGTACCAGCTCGGCCGGAGCTATCTCTAGAGAGGATTGGCTACTAACATGTACATCAGAGGCAGCCCACCCTACTTTGAGAGAGCATGGCTCCATTTAGCCCCTGCACCCCACATAATACCTACCTAGGGTTATAGTACCTAGATGGAGCCTCAACCGCGGGAAGCCATACGCGCGATGCATGGTAGGCGTCGCAACCCCTAACGATATACCAAGAATAGGAATCATCATATCTAGCAGAGTGCCTATTTACCTAGGTAACGATGCATTTTATTTTGTGGTTATTCGAATTCGACAATCCATCCAACAGCTTATCAGGATAACATTCAAGGTTCGATATGAAGGCATACTAACTAACTGTCTAGCCCTTCAGATTACTCATAGTACTTATTCCCAGCGAAGATCACGGGGGAAGTATTTAGACGGAACGTTTTACGCCATGATCTACAGCGCGTTGATCTGACACACGGGTCGCTTCCAAAACGACTTACACGCAGACTCCTAACGATGGCCGCCTATACAGTGAACCGCTACTTCCTACCAGGTACATGTCTCCGTACTTGCCCCCTACCTTCAGCCTCCGTATGCCCCGCCTTCCTATATCGATCGCGACTATAATTTTTCCGGAAAAGAAGGTACAATCCTCGACGGGAATCGGAGGGGTTTTCGTTTGTCAGGGAAACCGCATACTGGAACACTTACCTAAATCGTTCTCCATCGTCCATCTATGACCCCTGCCGATTTACGTCCTACCCACTTGCATCCATGGAATATACTCTACTCTACGTCTTTGGGTAACTATGTGAAATCTGCCTCATCTGACATGTACTTGAAGTACCTGACAGCAGTGTATTTTGTGCAGTGGAAGCCCTTGCCGTCTTGCGGCGCAATGCATAATGTGAAGTGTCCGTGTGAGCCTCGTATATGGATAGCATGGTAACTCTGCTCTAGAACATTGCCTTTTCATCCTATGATCCTCGTCCATTTTCCTATGGCGGACGTCTTTTCCCCCAGTCTGTCCTTGACACTCAACACCTTTTGATCGGCCTCCGGATCGGACTCAGTACAAACTTTTGCTTTAGTCCTCTGAGGACTGAGCTTGAATTCAGAAACGAAGCATCTGTTTCTCTTCGGATACCCCAAGTTACACTTTTCCCCAAGATCCCTTCCACCCTCCCAAATTACCTATAATCCCCGATTCAGATACCTGCTCCTTCACAGCTGTGTAGCATTGACACAGCCTTACTATTCTCCTCCAAGGCCAACCCTCCCGTTCCGTCTATATCGTCTTATCTTCACGAATTGTGTATCTATCCGTTTCCCCTGTGCTCCCCCTTTTGTCGCCTTCATTACCGTCTCGTTCCTGACACCTCTGGAGTAGCCACTCCTCCTTTACGACCAGCCAACCTCGGTTTTAAGTGTTTCTAGACGGGCCGAGCAAGAAGCTTTCTCACATACTCGTCAGCAACGCCCCATTGTAGAAGGAAATCTAGATCTATAGCTAGCTGGACGTTTCAGGCGAAATCATCAAATAGCCAGGGAGCCCGGTGTCGTTCCTGTTGCTTTTGCTTCGGTCCCCCTATGATCCGACTCACCTGACTAACCAGTACCTACGTAAGTACTAACTCTACTACCTACGCAGCCACGCAAGCAGGCTCTACAAATTCTCTGCTAGCCTTCGGGCACTTAGTTACATTGACCGTTTCAACCTTCTGATGCTAATCGGTTCCTCTAGCGGCGATCATTGTTGATAACTCTAATACTCCTCCGTATCTGACCCTAGTTATACTTTGGCCCAGCCAACAAAAGCTTAGGGCCCCCCACAGCATACACAAGTCATCTACGTTTCTTCTGAATATTTGTCTCCCTTTTGCCGCCATTGCAACAAAAAGGAAAAACCCGACTTGTGCCCTCGTGGCCAAGGTGCCCTCCCCTCCTACGACAAAGCTAACAAAATAAAGGGAACTACTAAGTTCTCATGCGAGGGTGAGGGGGAAGTGACGCCCCCCTAGCCAATACTCCCGCTTCGCATTTCCCAATGGAGTTTTCCTCCCAAGCTATGAGTCAACACGGAAATTTTGGCATATCGAATACCTCTCTTGCCGCAGAGGTTTTCGTTTACCCAGAGGAACTCTAGCATACTAAAAAGTAACGACAAGATTGCTGGGAGTGGATAGTCACTTGCCATGTGGAGGGGTCTTTGGCCATCGACTATTGCAAATCTTCGTCTCGAGTACGGCCTTCTCGAAAAGAGGGGTGGGGATAACTAGTTACCAATCCTGATTAGTTGCCGCAGTTTCCTTTTTCATTTTGCTCTATCTTGAGAGCAAGGAAACTCGCAACTTAACAAGAACAGCTGGATCTGTCCTTCCAAATCCTGGACTCCTATACAGATGGGCTGGGGAAATAGATTCGGTCTGCTACAGCCGCTCATCATATTCCTTGGATCTCTATCGGAATAATATCCATTTTGTCCTTAGAACTTGGCGAAATACATGAACTATCCCCATTCGGAGGGAGAAAAAAGAAAGAAAAAAGAAAAACTACAAATCATCAGGAGGTTATTGTTTAACCTACCATTCAGGATTCCTAACATCATGGACGTTACCTCGTTGTTGAATTCATCGTCGATAGTGAAAGGGGAGTTAGGGATAAAGGCGGAGACACGAAGTGCGACAGATCATATTATTAGTACAACATCCTCAACAGCAGGAGTGGTTGCAGAATGTTCACCTGTTCCAGGGAATTCACTGGGTGACAAGACATCACCTCGGAGAGTGAGTGATGCAAGGGCGCCCAGCCGAAGCAGGACGCCATGGAGTGCAAACGGGTATGCGCTTCCGCTTACACTGGACACCAAATCAACTCAAGCACCAGGGGGGACGATATCCAGCAGTACATCGCCCGCGGAATCTGGGAGTCCCAAGTCACCACGACACAAATTCTCCGATAGTCATAGTAGCCTTTCATCTTACACGTCCTCGTCGACTTCGCTATCACACTCGAGGATTTCGTCAATGTCTACTGTGGGGGGAATCCCGCCAGTCAGTTCTATGCCTGACACACCTTCACTTGAGACTCAATTCGAATGTGTCGAGTTTCCAATACCTAGAATTTGGCCATCAGATGTCCAGCAAAGGTTGAGAAGAGAAAGAAATCAATCGCCACCTGCAATCGATGGGGAAAAATTAGTCATGGATCTAGGACGATTGGGCTCTCCATCGGATGCCATGTTAATGTCAAGAGGCACGCAGAGTGTGCAGAGTATGCAGAGCATGCAAGGTGTGGATCGGGCTACTAAGAGAAAAGATTCCATCATGTGAGTCAATTGCACTTTCTTTTACTTACTTATCTCTTTCCTTCCAAACTCCTTTTCGCGGTGCATGATCTCCGAGTGGCCGATTAGCCGATTAGAAAAGTTCGGACCAAGTGTCGAGGAAGGTACGAAGTGTTCAAATAGGGGCAATCAACCAGTCACCAGTCACGTTAGTTAGCGCGCTTGACATTTTTTTGCAGTCTTCTATCTCGATACCCCATTCAACCTATCATGATATCAATTTCATCCCAAACATTTATTTCTATTGTTTAATTTGTTTTCTATTCATGTACTATCTTTTCCCCAACGTGATTGTATTAACTAGTGGTAAGAAGTTCGAAATTGTGTGCGCGCTTATTTATTTGAGAATCTCTCCAACCCATTCTCTCTTTTCTTCTTTCTTTTTTCTCGAAATCAGGGCTGGCTATTCAACAATTTATAGAAGCTGATCTCTCTCTCTCGCTTTAGTGCTAAGGATATCAGACCTAATCTTTGTCATCTCGTCCCTCTTGAGTTTGCTAAAGTCCACAAGAGGGCCATTTCAGCACCAGATTTCGCACCATCAGACACAATAGATCGCGAATTCCCCCCACCACCTTCTACATTTCAGCCCACTTCATCTCCTTCCCATCGAGGTGAGCCTCGTTCAAGTTTCACCATGGAGACGACACCTTATTCCCCTCCTCAACCCGGTCAGACTCCTCAGGACGACGGCGTTTTCTGCATGTATAAAACAAATTGCGATACAGGCTCTCAGCTTCGCAAAGCTATTTCGCACATATTTGGTCGCAATAAAACGTGCACGCGAAACATCCCTTCGCACGTCTGGGTTCATTTCTGCAGGAAGCACTACCAACGCAGCCGCTATCGCAATGCGCAGGAATGGGCTAGAATTCAGTGTGATCTGGTTCAGAAACAGATTCACCGGGTCCAAGAATGGAGTGACAAGAACAAGCAAGACGGCTTGCCTGGAATTGTTCAGGAATGGTCCTTGTCAATGAGGAAGCGAGAGCAAAACCGCGTCCAGGAGAAGACCGGGAGAAAGCGCACTTACCGCAACGATAGTGACGACGACGACGATGATATACCGGATAGCGCTACGCTTAACGGTACCGCAGTCCCCGACTGGCTTCGCAGCAAATGCGGTGATGGGTATAGCACAACTGAAATCGAAGAGATTGTGGCTCGTCTAAAGCAAGAGATGGTAGAGACCAACATGACCCAAATACCCGACATAGAAATCCTTCCTAATATCTCTATGGATGTCTCGAACGACACAAGGCCTAAGACACTAATGAAGCGAAAGACTAGTGCTGGGAACAACACTCACAAGCGATCACAGTCCGTTGGTGTCGCTCTCCGACCTGAGTCGCAGGCCATGGCTCGTCGGGTAAGCCAGCCCACGTTCTGGAGAAATGACGATAACACGCCCCCTTACCCTTCCGAGAAACGTCAGCGGACAACGGATCTACCGCTATATAGCGACAATGCAAATATGAGTGCGAGATTTCCTGAGCGTCCGGCGCTTGCCCCACTGCGAGATATGCGCACGCTTGCTCATCGTCCCGCCTTCGACAATATCCGGGAGAATCATGCGGAGGAGTCATACTATAGCCGCGAGGGCGCGAAAGCCTTCAGCTATAACTATGATCATTGGCCGACGCCGTTCTCCCAACGGAATGGCAGCCAGCCGGCAGCTCTGAATTCAGACCCTAATACCTCCCGTAGCTATCTGAACGATAGGCATAACCCCCATCAACGATCTTTGTCACAAGTAGAAGGCTTCCAGAATAACTTCGCCTATCGCTCTTCTTCTACTTTCCCTCCAAGCCATGCTTCGGAAACGGCGCCACACTACGACAGAGGTCCAATGCCTTCCAGACATTCTCATTATGGCGACCATTTACCACAAGTTGAACAAACTTCGACTTCATACCAACAACAATGGGCTTCTTCTGTACCAGCCCACACCTCTTCTTACTCTGGGTATAAGCACATGCGCCATCAGAGTACACCATCAGCTCCTCATAGTGGTAATACCCCGCAGGTACCTAGCACTGAATACGAGCCTGCTAACAGTGCTCGCGCCGCCGGTTCATATGAGCAGCCATCTTTATGCCATCCTCGCCAGGCCCCGCACGCTCCGGCGCGCCAATACTCCCATCGACCTCTGGTCCAAGAATCCGACCAAGCTAAAGCTGTCTTTAGTGAGCGTCGCTAAGGCATCGATCGCCATATCTGACTCAAGCTCGTGTTATTCAAATAGCCTTGACTTGGGGATGCATTGATCGACCTTTTTCATTATCAGTATTATTAATATTCTGCGCCGCGTCCTACTATAATCCTTTCGTTTTCAACTAGGACTACCTCTTTCTCGGCGAAATCGCGAAGATCTCGACAAACTATAGAATAAACGAATTAAAATATTAGACAGGATACCCCGACCGGAGTCACGAAATCGGCCATACAACGTGGATTGGGAAGCGGTGTCCCTCCTTGGCAGGCCTCCGCGTTACGGCATCGTTGTCATCTTCGGATGTGTTTCTGCTGGTCATATTTTAGAGAGTTGACTTAACTCTGCTGGTTTTGGCTGTTAATAATATCCTTTGACAGCCAATATTAGTTCGGTGTTGAGGAGTTTTCGCCAGACGTTTTATGCCGCTATCCGAAGGGTTGCATTCATTTCTGATACCACTGTCGAGGGAAGGGGAAGGGGGAGGGAAAGCTCAACTATTTTACGTATTCAACAAAAAGGTAACGGGGGCGTATGGATTGGTCGTATATGGTCTACGGCCTATGATGTCTGTACGATAGTTGACTAGCACCCGCGATGATTTTTTTTCCTTTTTCTATTAAAATAGAGCACCTGCATCACACCATGATGAGCTTATGAAGTATACCCCGCTTTGTCGTCCAGCCATTTCATCAGTGGCGCTAGAATAAAAAGCAAATCGCCAAAAGACACATACGCAAATTTTATTTGTTGAGCTGCAACTATGACCCATGTAATTACACTACGGTTTAATAATTACGAGATGCAAAATATCCCGATGTAAGTCGTGAGAATTGGCGAGGCTCTTTCTTGAGTTGCCTTTTGCCTCTTCGATAACAGTTGGCCACGGGTCCCATGCTTTTCTGTGATTGGTTAGTTTAATGAATATTATCTCGATTAGGAAGTCATCCCTTATCAATGTACCTAGGTATCTATATCTAAGCGGGCACACCTACATGACAGCGGGAGGTTTATCGTCAGTGCGTAGGTACCTAGGTACATATAGCTAGCCCCTCATATTACTATGTTGTGTATGTTGTGGCACAAGAACTAAGGCATGCAATGGAGCTGCGATTGGGTGATCGTCATTGTACGACGAGTTCGACTGGGGATGGTACATGGCTGGCTTAGTTATTAAAAAAAAAAAAAAAACTAAAAAAAACTCCCCACATCATATATAAAACATCGAAGCACATGTCAAAACGTGTCTAAGCAGCAGTTGATAGGAAAATTCGAACTCTTTGCGCAATTTCGGAGACGACACATAATTGCTTCATGCTGGGACCTTCAAGTCAGATGGAAGCTATGACAGACAATCATCAGCGTATTCTTTCCTCAATTTCCCAAGGTTTTCAAAAAGGAGAACCATATCTGACCCTACCTAGGGGAGCAAAAGTTTGGCTACAATATGCATTGATTATGGAAGAGACAAGTGAGCTTTTATCTTATCATGGCTCTCTATGAAGAGCCAGATACATTGTCAAATCAACATAGAAATTGCTCGGGTAGCTGTGTCACCAGACAGTGTTTGCTAAGAGCGATTGATGCGTAATTTCCACAGCTAATTCTGCATGAGGACTGACTAGACCTGTCAACGAACGCAGGTAGGCAAACGCTTATTAGTACCTACATAGGCACACGTAAGGTAGGTGTTGGACTGTTTACCTACCCGCGCGGGAACTACGCACTTTCCAACCTCATAGCAAAAAGGTTAAATAGACCGAGCAAATAGGCTCGTAATCGTTATCATATACCCCTGCCCAGACAGCGTAGGTTTAAGTTTGAGCCTCATCCAACGTCCTTGCCGTGTCAACAAATATATCGGGAGACAGACTCTGTGATCATCAAACTTAGGGAACATTGAAACTTACCTAGATATCTATTGAACTTTGTAAGGACGTGATGCCATATCGTCGACGAGGAAAGTAGTCACGATCTCTCTTCAGAACGCATATAAAAGGGCGCCCTTCTTCCAAGATTTCCCTCCTCTCCTCTTCACATCTCACCTTCAAATTTCATCTTCAAATCTCATATTCTCAGCTTCTCATCACATTTCTCACCACTCACGTCTTCGGGGATCGCCAATACCTACACACCTAGCTCGATATCTTTCTTATCGGTATCCAGTAAGGAGACGATGGCACCAGCTACTCACATTCCCGCGTTCGTATTCGACATCGATGGGGTGCTCGTAAAGGGCACTAAGCCGGTTCCAGGGGCCCGCGAGGCTATTGAATTGTTGCAGGACCTGAGTATCCCATTCATGTTTCTGACCAACGGCGGCGGTCACACGGAAGAGGCTCACGTCGCCAAGCTCAAGAGCCGGCTTGGTCTCGCCAACCTAAGCGCGAAGCAGTTCGTACAGTCCCATACACCGTATTACGACCTCGTGTCTAGGTATGGTGACAAGACGATCTTGGTGCTTGGGGGCCACGGCCAACAAATCCGGGACCTAGCACACGCCTACGGCTTCAAGAAAGTCGTCACCTCGTCTGATAGTAAGTAAACCCCTGATGTCATGACGCCTCACAGTACTAACATGAAAATATAGTCATGGCCGAATTCGAGTATATCCACCCCTTTCCCGAGATGACCAAAGCACACCACGAGGAGCACGGGCGCCGCAGCGATACATGGCTGCGAGACACACCGATCTCGGCTATCCTCTGTTGGACATCGCCACGGGACTGGTGCCTCGACCTACAAGTCGTCAAAGACTTGCTGTTGTCAGAGGGTGGTGTGCTCGGGACGCAGTCAGCCAAGAACGGCGATGCTACACTACCCGACAACGGGTACTTGCAAGACGGACAACCGGACCTGTTCTTTTGCAACCCAGACTTCGAGTGGAGCACAGAGCACGAGCAACCACGGTTCGCGCAGGGGGCGTTCCTCGAAGCGTTGAAGGGAATTTGGAGCCACACCACACAGGGGAAGGCCGACCTTCAGTACACAATGGCCGGCAAACCGAGCAAGGCTACATACCAGTATGCCGAGAAGGTTCTGCAAGGGTACTACGACGGCGAGGTGAAGGAGGGAATGAACGGAAGCCCCGCCGCCGTGAAGCGCCCAAAGATCGGCACCGTGTACATGGTAGGTGACAATCCCGAAAGCGATATCGCGGGGGCCAACTCGATTCAGTCACAGCGATTCATCGGGTGGAAGAGCGTGCTCGTCGGGACGGGCGTCTACAAGCCTGGCTCGGTGCCTACACACAAGCCTTACCACACGGCCAAGAATGTCAAGGAGGCCGTGGAGTGGGCGTTGGGGGAGGAAGGTGTGAAAGAGGATTGAAGGGGTTTCCTTTTGTCCTTCCTTCTAGTGTAGCAGCCGTGATGCTGTGATGTGCTCGGGAGAGTTCGGCGGTGTTGCCATGCTGTCATGTTATCGGACGTGTAATTGACTACCCACCTAGAGAGGGTAGCCAGTAGTCGTGTATAAGAGAAGAGGAGTTGGGAGTTGAGGTACCGAGGCTAGCGGGCTAGCAAAATTGTTTCATGGCTGGGTGGCGCATTATATTGATGTCGGACAGCGGGCCTATCGGACTTTATTTAGGAGTTTAGTATTTTGTGGCTTTCTTTTATACATTGTGTACTACAAAGGCGTTCGATATTAGCGATAGATAGTGATATTAGTGAGAGATGCCTGCGACTTGATAGTACTTTATGTAATGGTAATTGTTTAACTTCATCTGATCAAGTACTTGCCTGCACACCTAAGTTTGAAAGTTGTAGATATTACCTAGTAAGATAGGATGAAGAAAGGAAGAATCGAAAGAGGTATGGCCTGTGTTTTGTGCTTGATCTCGTAGTTCAATAGCCCAGCAATATGTACTTGGAGGAATACCTAAGTAGTTTACGTACCTAGTACCTATTACCTATATTACAGGTCTCATTAATAGCGCTAAAACCATCCGCCGTACCTCCCCCACCACCGGAATGTCGAGCGGAATACCCTTACCGTATGTCTGCGGTATTCATTATCTATCCTTTTCTGATTATCATATTTTTCATATAGACGAAGACTTGATTTTACCTACCTAGGTAGTCAGGAGGGAAGGATGCGTTGGCATCTCATGATTCCCCCTTTCGAGCCCAGGCAATTACCTAGGTATGGTACCGATGCGGATATGCCCCCCCGTAGGCTAGGAGTTGGAGAGAAGAAGCCGCCTATTAGCAGCGTTTTAGTTCTTCCGGTTCTCGAGTTATGGTTGGTTTCGATTAATAGAACCCATTCGAGGTAGCAGTGCTAACGCAGGTCCATCGTTGTTCTCATGTTGCCCTAAAGAATATAAAAAGCTCCAATGAGAGTCCACAAAGGCGCCATCGACACAAGGTTAAAAGGCGGTCAAATTACTCGTCTGAAGAGCGGGTGCAGTTACTTATACTTATATTTATAGCATGTGTGGTTTCTGCTGTTTAATGTGGTAGCTCACCTCAGTGGCTGCCCAAATGTCAAATTCGGTATGTGTATTTGCGTATCGAGGTAATATGGATTGTCTATTGTTGTTCTCTATATTTTATGGAAGGGAGAGTGCAAATGGCAGGTATGGATGCGTTTAAGTTGAAATGGCCCTGTTCGTCTTGGTCGGGCTTAATACATGCTCAGTGGATATACTCTTAAAAAGATATCGAAACTATCGATGAAAAAGAAAGCTAAAGTAACTGCGGATCTAATGTGGTAGTCGACCCCATCAAATGTACTATAGAATAGGACGTTTCTCACTATATTGATGCTGAAGGTACCAAATATGTACTAAATTGCCAATTATATCAGATAATTACTCGAGATGTCATTATCAACATGTATACAAAAGTACGTGATATCATTTTACAAAACCAAGTTATCATCTTAATTGCCTTAATTAGCTGTGTGTGACTTGGAAATGTGACGATAGAGGGGTAGGGGTTCGTGACAGGGGGGGCGGTGAATGGATGATTAGATGCTGGCAGGCTGGTGAACTATAGCGGGGCATTATACACTAATACCTACATAGGTACAGCTTGCTAGCCCAACCGTGCCTTGCGCCATTGCCCAAATTGATGAGTGATGGATGGTACATGCATCATGTACACGCGACCTCTGAACTTGATAGCATGTGCACATGCCTTTTTTGGTCTGCCTAAGAGACGAAGAAAAGTAAGAAAGAAATTGTGGTAGAAGCTTTTTCTTACTTCGAACAATGTGAATTGTAAAGTTGTCGCAGTGAAGTATCGTTTAGTTTCTTTATTATTTGTGAAGAAAATAGAAAAAAGAAAGCCACCATTAAATAAATCTTGAAATGAACGTCTTCAACCTTGAACCCATGGACCAACCGTTATTCGCCTAACTTTAACCACGTGCAGATAAGCGATAAGACATACCTCGTCGAGATAACTACCTAGGTACATGTAACTATACCTATTTAGTGCTTAGCAGGGTACATGCAAGTACCTTTTTGAGCCAAGCCAAGTGGGAAAAGAAGAATCTTGGCCAGGAATAATAATCTCTTACCTAGTTAGTACTTTATTAGGGCCACCTTGATCAAAAAAATTAGAAAAAGCCTTATGGTTTTTTTTTTTTTTTTTTTTTTTTTTTTAAGAAACCTGCCATCTACCCCCTAAGGAAGAAGCTGATAATCTAAGGCCCCTCTCTCCCTCTTCCTAACGCGACGACTCTCTACCAACCATCCCCAAACTTGTCGCCGATGACTCCCCGCCTCTAAACATCTCGTACTGACGCGATTCTTCCGCCAACTTAAACTCGGCGGCATTCTCCGAAGACCACGAACGAACCGAGCGAAACTAACGAGAACGAACGTCCAGTCCACCCACCTATATAATATCATCTATCATAGATAATACAACAACCCTGGCCGAAAGCCTCGCTACCTCGGCGCGGCAGAAGCCACCACTAACGCGCCCATGTGGTGGTTCTTTCGCCTCGTCTCCGGTTCCGTCTTCCTCTTGACCATCGTCTTATCCATACCTATCTCTTTCGATGTAGGCGGACGCGATAGCGGGCTGGCCTACAGCCTTTCCCTCTTCGGCTTCTACCTTGTCTACAGCGCTGCCAAACTTGCTACCCCCGATAGCTCACGCGTACGCTGGACCATCACGAAGCTACTCCAGTCCTCCCAGTGGATTATTATTCCCTCACTTCTAATATGGTCCCTCCACAATTTTGCCGTTGACGCCAATAGTACCGACTGGGTGTCCAGAACTATCGGCGGGCTCGGACAGAAACATGCCACTTGGACAGACTGGTTTTTCGGCAATGGAGGATTGGTAGAATCAGTTACCCTCGGTGGTTGGGATAAGACGTTGCGTTACTCAAGCCCAGTCTTCCAGCTTGCCGAAGGGTTCTGTACCTTGTTGGTCATTCAGGCTGCGGGTTGGATCTCGAGGGAGCTTGTGAACAGAGGAAGAAGCGATACCTGGGTCGTAAGTTATCCTCTACATTATAGTCCCACATGTCCTCGTCTTTGTCCTTTGTTTTTCTCTTCACATGCTGACCTATACTAGCTTATCCTCCTCATCATATCCGCCTCTATCATTGCCAGCTCTGTCTACTTCCTATGGAGAGTTGCTTTGTTCCCTTCCGTCAATAATGTCGACGCTATACTTATCGGTGTTACCGTCACCTCAGCTATCTTCCTAGGTGCCATAGGAATTGGTACAGGCCGCGGAAATCCCGTCGAATCGTCATTACTCTTCGCCTATGTCGTTCTATGCGTTTACCAGATATTCACCGACTATGTTCAGTCGCCAGAAGCCCAAGCCCAGGCTGCAGAGCAGGCTGCCAATCAACCAGAATTTCCGCCTTTACCACCTATTATCATGGCAAGCTACTCGACCCTTCTACATCTATTTAACTTCCTACCTTCGGCCGTCTACTCCTCCCTAAGCTTTCTCTATGCGGCGTTCCAGACTATTGCGCCTTCAGTCATGATATCCCTAATTTACCGACTGATTGTGTTTTATTGTGCAACTCGAATTATTCCGGCGGTGCGGGAGTCAGGTATTGGTGCCTTAATAAATGACCCTGCTTTTGACGACTCAGACGATGCAAATCGTTTATTAGGGTTCCTTTCATGGTTCTCGCCTTCGATCCTAATTGCTGTCTACACAAGTCTCCTTTTACAGCACTTCTCTGCCAGTGCTGGTGAGGAAGGCTGGACGCTTCGTCATGGAGACGCAGGAGGCAACACTTGGCGTTGGGTCAATGTTGCCGCTACTATGATTCTTTACGCCAACGAGTTACGAATAGGCAACGAACACCTAAAAACCGACTGAACACTATCATTTGGTAGTCTAGGAACAGGAAAGTTGAGATATTTTAGGCCTGTGGCATGATGCCAGTCCGGAACAACAGGTGACGATGACCTCATTATGAGGAAAGTTACATACATTTTTGACCTTCGTCAGTCATAATTATGATTGAAAGTTGGCGGCAGCATTGGGCAGGGTAGGTCGTCGGCTTGGGAAACGAAGGTTCACAGCACTCGGCGTTAAGGGGCATAGGGGACAGTATACCATTCCATTGAATTCAACCATTGTTTTATTTGTTACAAGGCAGCACTTACGTCTAGCTTAGCAGGCGTGCCGTGCATTTGTGAGGAGTTCTCATGCTTTGGTGTCGGGATTTGCGGAGGATATTTCACATCCCATCATAGTACGGATAGATCCTGTTTGGCCTTCTTCCGCCAGGACACAAGCTCCGTGAATTGAGCTATTGACCTAGGTAGACATACCCCCTGAAATTCACAGCCCCAAGAGCGAATATTCAGCCCAGTCACAAATGAAGATGTCCTGTCATAATGTAATATAGCATTAACAGTCTTATCGATATGGTGTAGGCTCTTATAGATAGGGGTCGGCTTAAAACCCATGTAACACCAGGCTATGCTATAACAGATGCTCGAACAAATTCCTCCATTTCCCCTCTGCTATATTTTTCATGATCATTTGAGTATGACCGAGATTATCGCCCCTTCTAGGAATGAAGATTCAGCTGATTCAGTAATAATTTTATGGGAACAGACACATACCTAATCAGATGTTGAAGGACGCATACAATGAACCACATTTTGCCCCGACTAAAAATGGAAGATCAGTTTCTTGATATTCCTTAACAATATATTAATTTCGAAAGACCTCGGATTGATCATTTTCTCGATTTTGAGATGCCGCATCTAAGTCCTAAATACTCATCGTCACTCTGCGCCGTTGCCGCCACCTTATGAATACTTATGCAACGCCCATCAACCCGTCTAGTTCCAACAGGCTCATCGGATTAAGCGGTTACCCATGAACCTTATGCCACCATAGGTGCTAAATGATCTCTCCCAAGAAATTCGTATAGATTGCCCGTGGTACGATTTCTATGATTGCTAAGCCAATGACCCTCGGTTTGAGATAATCTCGCAGTTTTCAACATGCTTTTGTCTTACGTACACATAAGAGCCGCGGTAGTTCCAAGCCTGAGATTAGACATAAAAATGTATCTCAGTAACATGATATCGAATATCAGTCTATAGTCAATAAAAATAAGGATCACTCGCTGCATTCCCGTTGTTAGTGAATACAAGATCTCGCTTATCAACCCTTAAGTACTAAGCTTATCCTCCAGAGAGCATACAAGTTTTCAAGAGACTCGTGCCCCCAAGTAGAATCGACCTCTCCCAGATTACTCACTGAAGCTAATATCTTCGGATATCTAAACACTTTTCTAGATAAGGAAAGTATCGTAGCGGACCATTGACGCGATCGATACCTCATGTCTCGGAGACTATACACATAGGCATGAGCTAAACCCGGAGTTATCTACGGACTTTTCTGTGGTATTTCATCACTAAAGGAAACAATTTCCGAAGTACGTCCCAAACTTTGTGGTTAGCCCTCGGTATGCTTAATATTAGGTGCTGACTCCGGAGTCTCATCGGCTGACTATAAGCCGCTCGATGAGATACAGCTTATCCGGATCAAGAGGGCCCGAGAAGATAGATATGCTCTGCATTTAAAAGTGAGGCCTTCACATAAGCCTGTGGGTTTTTATATGTTACTTTAAAAGCTTGAACTGAATAATATGGATATTCGTTAACTTCTCTATCCTCCCATGGAATTGGTATTCTTGGGGATATGGTTTATATTGAGGCATCTACTAGCTTAAAGGTTGTGAGATTTTTATATATAACTGAATAAAATATTGCCATCTGACGGAAATACGCAATTTGTATTTTAATTGTCTCTCGATCTGTAGGCTATTGTTACCGATTTCCGTACGAAGCTTCTCCCGGGCCATCATGCTTCCAGCGTCATTTCTGAGTAATACCCTCAAGCATTTTATAAGACCCCGTGAATGATAGTAAACATGATAGTGACGACATGTAACACCTCGTTACACGCTGGAAGCTGGGTTAGCTTCAAGTCAACCACCTTACATCACCACATAGCACCCCCAACCCAATGAACACGACCGCGATCTTTTCACATGGCTAAACCTTGGCACAAAAGTATGTCAAGACACCATGGATTAAGCAGGGGGTAAGAATGAAAGCTTGCTACCTGGCGTTCAGACATTCCCCTTGGACAGCACCGATGAATGGCCAAACGTGGTACAAGCCACATTCGAGTGGCGGTCTTGCCATCACTATGGAATGTTTTGCCCCGAAATATTCAGGCTCGCCCGGGGTTCCGTGGTAAATCATAAAAATAACACGTAGGGGTCCATATTCCAATAATATCTTTTGGTACGTAGTTGAGGCTCATAGTTCCCGAGTAGCTTGATCTGACATCAGAGCGATTTTCGAGAAGATTGGAAATATAGCTTTGAGTCCATAAGTACCTAGGTACTCAGGTAAGCATTTGCAATGTGTCGAGAGAATTCCATTGGTGGTTTATTGATAATTCCGAAACTTATCTCCGATTTCTCGAATATGAGCGTTGGTGCTTAACAAGCCTTTAAGGGGTAAGAGTAAGCTACTCGATTATTTTATTTTGATGTGGGCATGCTCGAGTATATCGGTCTTTTCTTCCCATAGATCGAAGCATGCTTAACTAATCACAGAAGGATTGCTTTCCTTCAAAATGCATGCTTACCTGGGTAAGGGGTATTAACGCAATGAAGCCGTCGAACGCCCGAACCTGGCTAGAAGTTAGGAAAGTTGGCGTTACATAGAAGGATCTAGCTTCGAGAAATGTTCAAGTCATGACTCCGTTGACGGCATCCTTTAGTGAAAACCAACACCGACTCATGCAACTGTGTTGGAATATACGAATGTATTTTACTCGCACATTAGTGCGCGCGGAAAGGGGACTTGAATGCACATTGCTGACTCCATTTGTCGGCGAACTCCCTAGGCACCAGATAGGTACAAATGTAACAGCTATATTACTTGTGTACCTAAGTATTAAGCCACCATCGTCATCATCACTAGGTGACCGGGAATGAAAAATCGACCCGTTTCCGACGGATGTCGGAATGCGATCAGGGCACGTGTCCAACAAGGTGCGAGTCCATCGTTCTTCGTTTCTTGATTATCGCATACCGGACTCGTTATCCGCTCATTTAGTAAGTACCTAGAGAAGCCAAGATAGTCTATCTCAAGAGAAATCATCGACTAGTAAGCTCTTAACTAGATACTATGGCATAGCCACAAACTTGTAAGTTATAGCTTAGTGTAGCTTCATTGATCTTCTTTCAACATTTGTATAGCAACGTGACGAATAAATGCACTTCCTGATTCATGAGAGCGTAATACGAAGATGGCCAACACGGAGGACTGACCTAGACCGATCAATGCTTTGTGCAAAAGTCGGAGGCGGAAGCATTTAGAAGCAGAGACGGGTTGTGCATGTCGGAGAATCCTTGAGGCGTAAGCACTATGACCGAGTGTCGAAGTTGTGAAGATCCCATTGGATATCACAAATCAAGTTGCTGCAGAAAACTCCGGCGATTTTTCCCAAATGAGAACGCCTTGTTTTAGATAGTTCCCGTGTCGACATCTTATCTTTTCATACCAACCCTCAATCTAGGGATAGATTGATATTGATTAAAGTTTAAGATAATTCCAAAAAGGGGGGCCTCCTTTTCTTTTCTTTTCTTGCTTATTTTTTTTTTTTTTTTTCTTTCTAGGGGTCGTGTTCGTTGCGATTTTCTCGAAGACAAGCCAAGAAAATAGCCATGTGGGCAAATGTAGACGGATGTGGACAAGATCCAGTAATCAACGAAGACTGATTCGACATGGAGTTTTGTTGACCGATATACTAAACCTATTATGGCTAGATAAGTCCCCCGGGGATGGTACGGATCGTTATCTGGGGTAATTTGGTTCGGTAGTGTATATTAAATGCTCCGTTTCTCAACGGATGAGACGACTAGGGGGGGTTAATTTGTCGGTGAGGGAACCCAGTCCCCCTAAGTACACTAATTACCACCTACAGTAGCCCTGAAGTTACTCTCTGCCCACTATCTGCTGTCGTTCATGCCCCGCAGTCGATCTGTCAATGCCATGTCCGTCATTTCTTCCTTCTGTTTGTTATCTTTACCTACCTGTTAACTCTCATACTCATCTATACCCAGGTATTCTGATGCTAAACTTGTAGCACCATTGTCTTTGTTGAGTTGCCTACGAATTGTAACGGAGTCGACTAGGACTAGGTATTTCCATTATCTTGGCCGTTTTAAACACTATTACAATAGTTGTCGGCTATGGATCTTGGCAAACAACTACCCGCCGATCTAATATTAGATACCTGGGTACTTATTATAGTGTATGGATACCTGTAGGTAGCGAGAATGTATAGTGTAAATTGGATGGCGTCGAGTATGTACAACACATACAGATAACCTACATCTTTACATTCGTACGTATATACATACATACATCAGATCAATACATTATATGGACATTCAATAGAAACTAACCTCCAAAGAGAATAGATACAAGATCGTCTGATCATCACCTTCTTAACTTCCTAAACCTATATGGGACTACGCAAGCATTGTAGGATGAAAGGTGAAGCAGCATCTGCCGCTCTTGGCCCTCTAGATCCGACTTGCTCGCTTTACTTGCAGGTATGAATTCCGTCTTGGTGTAGTTGCAGCCAACGAATCAGACCCCAGGTAAAGAAGAAGATCAACCTAGTTCTTGCATGCATATACTATGTTACTATGTGTTGTACCTTGTAATGCTTGTGGTCTAGGTAGCTAACTCACTTACACACGCACGACGAACATCCAGGTCCCCTTGTCAGGATCAGCTCACCTCACCTCACCCCGGACCTCCGATCCCTTCTCAACAATACCCATTCAGTTCATTCAAAGCCAACATACAAAGTTCCCTATCTCCCTCTTCCGATCGTCTCATAATCCCCTCATTCCTCCCTTTACTCTCGTCTCTACTTGTATCAAGTCATTGAACCTTACAATATTCTATCCTTTTACCTTACCTCTAAATCTAATCCTTGCTCGAACAAACCAACGCACTGACATGGCCGGCCCTCGTCTTACAGCTCCAGCTACCAAGCTCGCCCGCTCTATTAGCACCACAGCTTCCGCCTCTGTGCCCAAGTCGGCTACGATACTGACCAGCTCTAAGAGCTCGGCTCCTCTATCCAGGAAATATGCTGATCTCCTTAAGGAGCGGAATATAGATCCCGACGTAAGTTTTTCTTGCGCCAATTGCTTTTCGCATAGCTCTTAAGCTATTTTGATGCCTACAATAGCTAACAACTCTTGCTTAGCACCCGCGTCACCTCTACACTCGTTCTTCAAACCGCCCGCATCCCCCTCCCCGTACGATGCGCCTAATGCAGACATTTACTTCGAGCGCCCCTCGCTCCGCCCAGGTTGACACAACCACCTTGGACAACATTGTATTCCCAGGTTCTGCCGCCTTCGAGGGCGCCTCTAGCGATCCATTCGCGCACCTTCGTGTGCCGCTTCTACCGGATAACTTTACCGCCCAACACACCCCCGAGGTGGTTGACGGCCCTGTCGCGCCGGCCCAGATCAGCATTGTTGCTGCTAACCCTGAACTCGTCTCCCCGGCTGCTCTCACCGAGGTTGAAGGCATGGGCATCGACGGTGTCGAGCTCAAGTTCGCCCACGAGGGGGCGGCCGAGTCAGAGCATGAGCAGGGAATGCTTACGGATCTATGGAAGGGTCTCGTCGACGACGTATTAAGTAGTACGAATAAAACCCGCGTTGCTCTCTAACACCAGCTTGTCGACAAATAACGGTTATAACACGAAAAAGAAAATATCTGTAAAGGGACGGTGTGAATAGCGTATTGTGTGATTCGAGCTCTGTCGGGAATTTGGCGTTGCGCGGGCGGTTCTGGAAGTGCTTCGGACCGGTTTGAAATCATTTGATTTTTTTTTAATTGTCTTTACGAGAACAGAAAAGGCTGCATCCAGAAAATGGAGTCGAAACGTATCTAGGATGCGCGAATTGAACTGAGACACGACGATATCAAGTCGTGAAACAACACCCACTACAATATTTCCATGCTCCTATGTGCTTGTTGTTGCGTCTAATTGATCCAAGGCACTTGTCTATCACTCAACACCAACCAACTTCTTGCTGATCTCCCACAACTTCTCTTCTTTCTCACGATCATACGCCCATTCCCCGTACCCATATTCAATTACGTCACCATCTGGTGGTACAGGGCCTGCCACTGATGCACCTTCAAGGTATAGGGCTCCTCTACCCTCTAGATCCTTTGACACAGCCGCGTAAATACTTGTAGCACAAGCTTGTTGTATATTGACGAAATACTTCATTTTCCGTTCATCGCTTTTGGTCTCTTCCATCTCTTCTTGGCAGAACTTCTGCAAATTGGGGCTTACAAAGCTGCCTGGGTTCAAACTATACCCATGTAGACCTTGGGCACCATAAAGCCTCTCAATTTGGTTTGTCACTTTCTCGAAGTTAGCAATTTGCTAATGAAACGAGGCCAAAGGGGGAAGAGAACTTCATGTGAAGGATTGTGCTTACTATAAATCATAGCTGTCTTGGATTGGCCGTCTACATGGAGGAGCGTTAGCTATCTGTGGTCATCAATGCCATTGGTACCAAACCAACAGCTGAAGCAGAAGGAATGGCCACTTACATGCAGCCCATCCGTTATATTCGCCCTCAAAATTCAAGTTGTCGAATCGTACAGGGCAATAGCGATGACCCGAGGACGAAACGTTGACGACGCGTGAGTGGGATTCAGGTGTCGAGCTAGAGAGCAGGAGATCTTTGAGAAGATAGAAAAGGAGGAAGTGCGACAAATGGTTCGTCCCGAACTGTAACTCAAAGCCGTCCTTAGTACGACCTTCGGGTGTCTTCATAACACTGGCATTGTTGATTAGGACGTTGAGTTTGCCGTCACTCCGCTGTCTAAACTCGGCAGCACAAGCCTGAACGCTCGAGAGGTCCGTCTGGTCCATGAACAACAGATTCACGGCTCCATTCTCGAGAAGTGAAGAGCCAAGGACTTCCCGCGCTTGGTCAAGTTTTCGGGCTGTAGCGAAGATAGTAGCCCCCGTTGATACCATAGCGCGAACGGTTTCGGGACCTATGCCAGAAGATACACCAGTGATTAAGACAACTTTGTCGCTCATGGTTCTAACGAGACCTTCATCTTCAATTACTTCCAAGGCTGTTGGGCGAGAGTCGCCAGGGCCGTTGACGACTTCCCACTTATTACGTTCGGCATAGCGACCGGTAAGTTGGAAAGGGACTCGAGATAGCATTGCCATGATTGAAGCTTGAAAGTTTTCTCACTCAAGTAAGTCTTTCCCTTGCACTTGTTCTTCAGGAGATGTTTGATACTCATTTTCATTAAGAAGGAAACATTACGAAGCAAGAAGAGTTGTTACTTGTACTGGATGTTATTATATACAATAGTGCAGGGCTTTTCTTTACTTTCTACTTTTTAAAGGGTAGTGGCTCCATTCCACTTAGTTCCGCCTACGACGGCTCCTAACTTGCTAATAGACTACATGTCCGATCAACTCGATCCTTTTACCTCTATCCAGCATCAACACCGAATTTCCTGCTCACCGCATCTGTAAAAGTTTGACCAGACTTCCGGAACCCATTTCTTAACTCCAAGCCTGCAGGTGGCGCATAGGTCCTCCACCAGCATCGAGCCAATAGAATATCGTGGTAACATATGCATATTAAATCCGAAGGGGCAGGCCGGGGACCGCTAACCGACTTGGTTTTCTGACGTTCCCAAAATGCACGCCAGGATATCGATCGCAGGCGACTTAACGGTCTGTGTGACGTCTCACTGATGACACTGACCAATCTAGTACTTAGGCGATTAATAATAATATCATAGTTGGCTTCTCTTATTCTATCACTATTAGCATCTCGGGAAGGTTAAGACTATTTCCTCGGCAAATAATTTATGATTATCTCCCTTATCTAGGTATTCCCCATACCAACTTTCACATTTCCTCGGAGAAAAGCTCAATAGCACATTAGTCTCATATATAGCTTATTCATGGACAGTTTAATAAGCTTATTATTAGGCCGATCCATAAGGTTGTCGTTTTACATCGTTGAAGCACTCGGGTAGTATAGGGATAGATGCTGATAAATTACATAGGCAGGTTTATCCTTTCCTACCTAGGTATACCACGATATGAACTCACATGATATTGAGAGACCAACATAAGCCAAACACGAATGACGGAAGAAGAATAGGCTACACGACAGAACTTCCACCACCTCTCTTATGCGAGATTGTGTTCGCACTTATATCCGGACTCCATCCGCGCCCAACCCTCAGAGTCTGTTATTCCAAGACGTCGTATGAGAAAGAGTCAGCGAGCTTGTTTGCATCCGTCGAATCGTATGGGAGCTGTTGACGAGAGGGCGGGAATATAATAACATCCTATTGGATATTGTGTTGTCAGACTGGACTACTCACTCTTGGCTTATCCAATCAACAGTATAATGCAGACCCGAAGTAACCTCATAGTCTCTAGACTCACACAATTATATTATACCTCATGTCACGACAGCTGCATAAGATGCCTACCTAGGTATGGGGGGAGCTATAATCTATAAGGGTCAATTTGGCTCTATAAAAGCCATATGTATCCGACAATAGCACGAAAGGAAACGGCAGGCCGAGTCCAATTCATAATACTATACTATAATTCACAACTGGACTTAATCTGCGGATAAAAATGGCGTCGCAACTGGCAGGATTTATATCTATCTCCTTCCTATCCCCCCTCATAATAGGCCTGCTACTTCTGCGTCTTGCATACTCCCGTATCTTAGCGTGGTATCGACTCCGTCACGTCGACGGCCCATGGCTTGCCCGTTTTTCATACCTGTACATGCTCTTGGTGACGCTTAATGGCCAACAATCCGCCAGCTACCGCGCACTCCACCAAAAATACGGACCCATCGTACGTATTGGCCCCAACGATATCATAATCGATGACCCCGAGATCGTGCGGCGGATGAACACGGCCCGATCTAAGTATGGGCGTTCGTCGTGGTATGATGCAATGCGCATGGACCCATACCTTCCATCGCTATTCGCTATACAAGATACGGCTGCGCACGACAAGCTCAAGGCGCAGTTGTCATTCGGGTATGGGGGTAAAGAGAACCCAACAGTCGAAGACGGCATCGACGAGCAGCTTGCGAGCCTCGTAGCGTTGATCCGACGTAAGTACCTGTCGACGGACCATGAGATAAAGCCACTCGATTTCGCCCTCCGGATCCAATTCTTCACGTTAGACGCTATCACAAAGATTGCATACGGGAGGGCATTCGGATACCTGAACACCGATTCGGATGTATACGGCTATGTCGCAACCGCCGAAGCAGAGGTGCCCGTTCTTGTAGTGTGTGGCGACGTCCCTTGGTTATCGCGATTGCTCCACAATAAGACTGTCCTCCGTCTTATTGGACCTAAAACTACGGACAAAAAGGGAATGGGTAAAATGATGGCGGTTGCCCAGGAAGTCGCCGGCGAGCGGTATGGACCTAATGCCAAAGACAAGCAAGACATGCTGGTAAGTAACTTGCCCTATCATCCGAGGTTGTGGACCGTGCTGAACTTAGAGAAAAGGGGTCGTTTGTGAGACATGGCATCATGCAGCGCCAATGTGAAGCCGAGATTCTATTCCAGATTATAGCCGGGAGTGACACAACAGCCACCGCCATCCGTGGGACTTTGTATAACCTTTTGACCTCACCATTCGCTTATTTTAGACTGCGGGAAGAGATCGATGCGGCTGCAGCGGAAGGTCGGATTTCATCACCGGTCAAGAATGATGAAGCAAAGGAGTTGAAGTATCTACAAGTAGGTGTAGATACAGTTTGAATACGCGTATTTGGCCTCTAATGCTGACGATGACGCGCACAGGCTGTGATGTACGAAGGTCTTCGAGTTAATATCCCCTTTTCGGGGCTCTCTATGAAGCAAGTGCCCCCTGAAGGAGACACAAGTGAGTATTCTTATTCCAATAAACCCCACTGGGGCAGTTTAGACTGAAATTAAATGCCATAGTCCATGAAAAATTCATCCCAGGGGGAACTCGCGTCGCCCATTGTTTTCTATCCACGCAACGCTCAACAACCATATACGGCCCTGATGCCGATCTATTTCGACCGGAGCGCTGGCTGGATATCGATCCCGAGAAACATCGTGAAATGACGCAAACAGCAGAGCTTGCCTTTGGCTATGGCCGATGGGGCTGTAGCGGCAAGAATGTAGCGTTTATAGAACTGAACAAAATTTATGTCGAAGTGAGTGAGCTCCATTCATAACCTTCTAAGTCTTCCTTGGTCTTTCGCTAGAGGGCGTGGTTAGTACTAGAATGTATATGCTGATGTGGTTTACTCCCTTAAGCTGTTGCGGAACTTCGATTTCCAGTTGATCGACCCTAGGAATCCTATGCAAAGCACCAATAGGAATATGTTCTTTCAGAAGGGTATGTGGGTGAAAGTCACCGAAAGAGTTTAGCCAATACTGCAAATGACGAGAGGAACCCGGTACGATGTGGGCAATATGAAGTCAACGACCTCGACTGTTATGGATTTCAGATTGAATAGTAGTACGGCAATGTTCGAGAGGGGAATAGCCATTGAAGTGTTAATCTCAATGTAAGGGCGACAACCATGGATGAATAGAGACAAAAATACCATTTTCTCGGGCTTGGTAGCGATGTCGGGGGAAGTTCGACAGCTTCTATGTAGTAACCCAATCTAATCTTCACTTTTATCCACTATCGATTTTATATCCTCCTTAGGGAAATAAATAATCCTGACAACTCTAGATGTAGTAAGGTACATCCTCAAGTATTGTAAGGTCGAACCAGGCGAATTGTAAATCTGTCAACGATATTCAACTTGGCTTCAGTGGAATAGTATTTGATTTACTATTTGCAATTGTGACCCAGTGTGTCTATACCTACAAAGAAGGGTATCGTGTGTCTGGACCAACCCAAAGCTATCCTAGCCCGGAAGGCTGGATAATTTTTTTTGACCATCTGGCTATCTTCGCTCTCGATAATAGGAACCGGCTCTTCTAGTATCACAAATTTATACGACGCAAAAGAAATTGCATCTCCAACACATACAACTATTGGCTCCTGTTGTCTGAACTTCGCTCATGGTTCGCGTATATGTGTTTCGCCTATGTTTTTCTTTTGCCGACCTTCGGCCTGCGCGTGATGCAAATTTTTCATCACGAATTCGTATGTCATCATCGTCACCGTCGCCGCTGGGACGGCTCGCATCATATTAACCCCCATACCTGCGTAGAAGGCCCTCCAGCCTTCCTCCCGTAGAATGGTACGAAATGTCATAACCACACCCCGATATTTAGGTTGAGGTCTGGTACTCCGTGCGTTGTTTGGTACATGGCTTTGACTTCCTGGTGTAGACTCAGAGACTCCCAACCCTTGTAGATATTCGCTTCCGGGCGTTGGACGCCTCTGTGTTTGTAATCTTGTGCGAATCACCTCATGGGGATATGTTGCTGAGCTAGCCATGATCTTCGACATTATCGAAGCAGAGAGTACACCGAGCCAATGACTCTGCTTATCGTCACCAGTCATCTCACCCATGGCCTGGCCTGTGAATTTTTTCCTTAAAAACTCGTACGCTGGGAATTGAACAGCAACGTGCGTTAAACCCAGAAGGGCCGGAGTAAGCCCAGAATAAAATGATAATACACCCTCCGAAGAGTACATTTTACGTGCTGCATCAAGGGTAGAGCGGTAATGCCAAGGTGAATCGATGGTTGGCCTCGATGTTGGGGTATTCCCAGACCGTGGAAATGAGGACAGTTGTCTGTTGTAACCCGTCGCAGACTGTGACATAAGCCGAGTTTTGATCACCCATATTGGATTCGTCACTATTGTACTGCTAGCCCCAGCTATGATTGAAGACCAAAAGTTGATGATAAATTGGTTCTTCTGAACTGTAATATGGATGCAATAATTAGCTATCCGTTGTAGTGGGCCGGTATCGTGTGGAATAACTTACGTTTCTTCTCTGCTATGAATACCTTGCTCTTATTGTAAACAGTGAACCAAACAGCCCAGGTGGGTAAATAACCAAGAATGATGGGTCCTAAGCCTCTATACATGCCGCGCAATCCTTCTTCTTTCCATATCACTTTCGCCGTACCGATCAGACCTGAATAGACCTTGTGGTGTCCGACATATCTTCCTTTGTTTACTGGTACAAATCCTCCCTGAGCTTGTAGCTTTGTCTTGATAACGTCAAGCGGACATGTCACTATACCGGAAGTAAAACCGCCGACGGCACCCGATAGAGCGTTGAATTGCGAGTCGGACGCATTCACGGCCCATTTCTGCAGCGGAGAAAGGGCTCGGGGATCGTGCAGCTCCATGTTTGCTACCGCGGAGACCAAAGAGCTTTGATTATCTTGGCGACGAGGAGAGTTCGCGGGCGAATGGGTGGGAGTAGCTGTGGGGGAGGAATGATGGGAGAATACCCCATATTCTGCGGGATTGTGTGATGACCGTCCTGTCGGATGGCTCTGTGCTTCGTCGTGAGACATTCCCTCGTCGGTCCAAGGAGTCCAAGAGGGACGGGACAGAACGGGGACCGAATTGCGGTTTCGGGGCCTCTGGAACAATTCAGAGGCCCCGGGGAGTAAATGGGGGTTTAAGCTGGGCGGCGCGGGTTGGGAGAGACGCAATGGATCTAGGTGTAGGTATGAAGCAAAAGGTCGAATCGTCGCTAGTTCGGCTTAGAAGAGTCGTGATGGTGTGCGGTGTGCGGGGAATGCACCCTCGCAAATCCACCGTCCCGTCGACCCAGCAGCTACCGTTTGTCACATGCCATTGGCATCAGTGAAAGCCCCCGTCGAGCGAATGGGATGGAGCTTCGACAAGGCGAAAGTGAAGTTGTTGGCGCACAGAAGAAAATGTAGAGATGCGAAAGAGGGAAGGGTGGTTGTTGGAAGTTGGTTGAGTCGAGAGGCGTGGAGGCGTGGAGGAAGTCCGAAGCAGAATAGAATATCGATCGGACTTTGGCTAACAGAAGCGAGGCGAGGCCAAGCGGGTCGCTCTAATCGTCAAACGTGATTGGGATTAGATATGGATCAATCGAAAGAAGTCCAGTCTACCTTTGACTACTTTCTACTTGCTACTTGGTACAGTAGTCGACATGCACCAATTTAGCGTGCAAAGAGACGGGCAAGTGAATTGAAATGTTACCTTAGATACCTTGGATACTCTTGGATAATGTATGTAAAATAAATAATAAAGCCTTTCTGAACAAGAAGAAATAAAAATAAAAGGGACTAAGATATAACAAGAATATTGCGGCAATTAGAACTTTACTGGTAACTCGAGTTTAAAAAAAAATGCTTTGTCAGGTAAGTTTCAAAGTGTTACGGAGATACACGATACACTTGGATATAGGCAAGTAAAAAAAAATGATTGTAGGGCAGGTGCAGGCGTTCATTGTCTCGTCAGCAAGGAATTGAAGCTCCGACTTCTTAGCTCTGACGTATTTTACTTGACTTCCCTAATAACTTGAACTGACGATGTACGATGTACACTATACTTAGGTACTTGGGTACTTCTCGTTGGTACTTTCTCTCTTATCTGGGCAATCCCCCGTCGAAGAAGGCACGGGGGAACGCCTCCAAAAATTATTAGGTCATTTATATGGGCCACAACTTAGTCCTGTGATTGTGTTGCCTGGTTGCCTTTGAGAAGGAAATCCATTGGAACTTAACCAACACACAGGATATACAGATATAAAAAGTAGGTTATTGTGGTACTTACAATAACTAGTCGTTCTGTTCCGAGTATGACAATGACATCAATTTCTTGGATGGATGCACAGCATCAGATGATGATGGTTCTGAGATTTGGGACATCCTGATGGAATTGATGGAATATCAGCCCCAATTTTGGAGACCCGGACTTTCGGTCGAACTGAAGTGGACCCGTTTGTTGTGGCATGCATTAGATCACGTGATGTCTTCGAACCCGAAGAGCGATTTTGGAACTTCAAATCTGAAATCGAGAAGCTAACGCCCTAGTCAGAATATACAATCATTACGACCCCCCAATAGCTCTCTCAATTCCGCCAAAAACGATTAAATTGTCGCCATGGCCTCCTATCCTTCTCTGGCCCCTTTCATCTCAAAGCGACCGTGGCTACTGAAATTCTTTAAGCCCGTCGCCAGTTGGTACAGTAATGCCGCCGGCTACCGTCAACTCGGTCTTCGGTACGCCCTTCTTTTCAATTGGAATTCAATGCGACGACAATCGAACATAAGCCACTAACATATCTTGACAGAGCCGATGACCTGATTGTCGAAGAAAACGAAAATGTCATCAAGGCATTGAAGCGCCTACCGTCGAAAGAGGCCTACGACCGCGTTTACCGACTTCGACGTGCGTTCCAATGCAGCACCACCCACAAGCTGCTACCCAAATCCGAATGGACCAAACCCGAGGAGGTGAGTTAATATAAAATTACCAGGGGAGTTAAGAATATGGAAGAAATAGAGTACTTGCGAAGAGTATATACTGATAGCACTGGGTGAAATAGGACATCCCTTATCTACAGCCATTGATCAACCAAATTCACGCCGAGGAGAAGGAGAAGCAAGCCTTGGATTCATTGACTGTTATACGAAGTCACTAAATTAACCTAGCGACGAATACTGGGCGAGCCGAATGGCAGACTTGTACAAATAAGACTTGCATTAAGGAAAGAGGAATAGAATTGGCTGAAAGGGCACTCCCAATGATTCCAAAGTGTACATACCTAGACCACTTTTCCTCCCATTGAGCTATAAAACTACCGTCTGAACACATGTGAATCGTCTTGATCTTATGTTTTTTCTTTCTTTCTGGAAGATAGTCCTAGTTAGTTGTAGCGCCAATGATATAAATACGAAACTACGAAATAGATCTATACGATCATTGTATACCTAGGTACTTATAATTCGAGACAAACAGGTGGAGGATATGCAACAGATTGTATATATTAGTTTTCACTCTGATATCCGCCTTGGCCCTTTCGATCCCCTACGGACGCTTTCAAACCACACAGCCTTCTGCGGCTGAGGCGAAACCTCTGTACAAGTTATAATCGCCAAGTGAGATAACACAATGGCATTTGACCAACAAAACTCCGTGTAACACGCCTGACACACACATGTGCGCGTGCCTTTGCCTGCCTCCAAATCCATATGGGGCAATAAGAATTGCCAAATTCTATTACAGCAGAAGCTCACAGACGCCCCGGTCATAACATACCATCGTGCCCTTTCCTAAGCACGACAAAATGTAGAAGTCCAACTAGCTCGACCGACTAACCAACCCAACCAACCAATGTGTATGTAAGGCGCGAGGGGAGAATATCGAAGGGGGGAGTAGGTGACGGAACAATAGAGTCAGGGATGAGATCCTAAAGTGTGAGGTGTGCGAGCATGCGTGCTTGATGAGTAGCCGGACTTCCTCTCCCCCTTTGAACGCTATGCCAGAGAAAAGATAAAAGGAAAACAAGATCAATGGCATGAGAATCGAATATCCCATCCTTTCTAAACGCCTCTTTGCCCAACGTATCTGACGACTCTGGTATTTTGATGCAGTTGCTGTGTATGTGTGTCATGAGTTCCTCGTACAAGTATTACGTTCCCTGTCCCATCTGGACGTCGATTGCCTCAACGGCGGGCCAATTTGGTACGATGAAGGAATGTTGTTATAGACAAGGAAAATATGCAAAGGTTTCCAAACGAAGATTGATGGTAGCTTATGCGTTTCCTGGCTTTTCTTCTGTGTCGATGTGCCAGACGACGTAATTCGGTAGTCCGATGACTTCGTAACCAGCCCTCTTGGCCATCTTCGCAAACCCTTCCGTCTCGGCTTGGTTTTCGAATGCATAGCACGGGAAATTGATGCCTAGATGCACATATTAGCATATGTCTTTAGATACTACATTTGGCGTGGTAATATGACGTACCCGATCGATGAACATCGGCTTTTACTAGAATGTTGACACCTCCAATACCATCAAGCTCAATTTCCTCATCTGGGTCGTTTCTCCAGTCGCCCATGCGTGCCATGTACGTCCTGCCTGTGTCGTACTGTTTATAGCCTGAGACACCAATATGTTAGTAACTCGAGTTATTGCTGTGGGAGAGAAGTATATACCTTCTGCTAACACTATGTTCTTATCTAGCTTCGACGCGAGTTTTAGAGCTTTTTCGGATTCGACCCAGGAATTGTAATCGACTGTGCACCAGATCATTAGCCAGGTAACATACAAGTTACATCCTTGAGGCGAACTTACATCGTCCCTCGATATCGTATTTGTTTTCGCCCTGGCCTTCATAACGGTGAAACCAAATATCTAAGATATATCAGTAAATATTCCCTTCTATTCGCAACGGGTGAACCATACTGGGCACAAGAATGTCTCGATCATGCGCAATGAAATCTTCGAGAATCTTCTTAGGGCTATCCACGATGTCGACATCACGCCAATACACCCAAGAGTGCTCCGGTTTTAGAGCAGCGGATAGTAGGTAATTTCTAGCGCGGCCCATAGCCTTTCGTCGTGGGCCTTGAGCCTCAAAACTATGCCGATCTTCGACAGACTGGCTAAGATGACTTCCAAAATCCTTCTCGACAATAAAAACGTTGTTGAACGGGATATTATCCGGGCGCTTTTGAATGCGATCTAGCTCCATTCCCAGCACACCCATAGTATCATCGGTAGAGTCTCCAACAAGGAAAGCAAGATCAATGAGACGATGAGGATAAGTCAGCTCGGCGATGAGTTCGAAGTATTTTGAAAGGTACGGCGCAGCATCCTTCAAGGGAGTGAGGAGGAGGACTCGCTCTTCATTGTCGATGGCTTGGCGCGTCGATTTGATCTGGTTGAGATTGACGTGGGTAATCGAGGATTCGTTGATAGTTATCGGAGCATGGTGATTAAATATGACAGGTGTTTGGAGGTGAGCATTCCACGCTTGCTGCTCATTAAGTGACATATCCATTGGGGGTTTTGACGGGCCCCAGCAGTAAAAGCTGTTAAGGCCAACCAAGGTCAGTAAGATCCGTTTTTAGGGATGATATTCATGTATGATAAAATCAGATAATACCTTTGCATTTCGCTCGCCGATGTCCTAATGCCGCGCCATAATAATAAAATTATGCCAGCGACGGCAATGGATAGAAGAACTCGCGTCCGTGTTAAGAACATCCATATAGCTCTGGTAGGGGGGAGTTGTGCCTTTGCAGACTTCCATGTAATGCCGCCTTTTGGAAGAAGCATGTTGAGCTCTTCGGGGCGGCTCTAAAAACCACCCTAAAATTGCGCGGTAACAAGCAAAAGAAGGGGACGGATTGAAGCTTAAACGCGAATAACAGGCAGGCTCTCGCTCGATTTCAGGCCGGCCTCCTTCGGGGGTAACCGCGGTGAGTAGGATGACACGATAGGTAGGTAGGTAGATTAATTAGAAGGGCGGTTGGAGACAACCTTAGTGGAAAAATCTATCAGATTAGCGAGCGTAGTTTATCAGGCCAGTCGGAGGCGCTGATGAGGAATAATTTGGATTTGATCTATCGCAACTGCGTCTCGAAATATGCGAATAGGAGCAAATCGACACCAAGGATGAGGGTGGGTGAATTTGGCGCGAATGAACTCAAATTAGACGAACCGGTTGTGTTGAAAAAAGTCAAAGTCAAAATGGGGTGCGTTAACACGAAAGCTGGCCTGGCCACTGGTGGCTTGAAGATGGGATGCAACTTTGAACTAAAGGACCTAAAGGACCCCCCGAGGTCAGACTTGGGACTTGGAAACTGGACCCACGGGGCTTATAGTTTTAGTGGCGGAGTACAGCGCAGAATGTATCCGACCTTGGGGTTCAATGTACCTAATTTGACGAATCTACAGTATTTACAGAGGGGAATACGGTAAGCACTAACAGGAGGGCCAACGTTTTCGCACTAAAATTTGGAAGCATACCAGAAAGTATGTACTTAGATACTTAAAGCACTGACGCGACAGGGCCAGGCTTCTATTCATTTTGGCACGATAAGATCGTGCTCGGAGTTAGTAGCCCTAGTGTCTCATGATTACACGTTGCATGTGTCCGTTAATTAATAAAGTATTCGATTTTGCCAGTCTACTTAACCCAGATACATGATGTACTTTCAAATGAAATCATATCGCTTCTTCACTCCTATGTATTATTATAAGCATGTTCAGCCTAGACTCTTGCGCCTGTTACCTACGTGTATCTCAAGGAAATTTATTTTTTAACCTTAACTTTTCAAATACCAGCCAAATAAGAAAAGGGGTTAATCCCTATTCATCTCGTCTTCAAGGTTACATACATCTATCACTATAATGCATTCTTAGTTAATTAACCATTTTCAGTATGGCATATTTATTTTGTGTTCAAAATCCAACAAAATGGACAATTGGCGAACATGGAAAATGGCAAGTCGCATAAGGAAACCCATATACGCCTCAGTGCTAGGACTCAGACTCCACCTGTAGCTTTCATTCCAACGGTCCAACGGTTTATGCCAATTGTTCCAGCCCATTAAATATGGTTGCGGAGCCGACATCATTTTTAGCCTCAAACTTTTGGGATCGAGTGTCTTCAAAACCCAATTACTAAAATACTCGAATACTTAGGTACCGAGGCCGTAGACAACGAAAGCCCTATCAATTGCTGCTGACCATCAATCGTAATACCTAGGTACCAAAAATACGTCAGCTTTAGCGAACTAGGTACCGAAATTTAGGCAGCCTTGGCAACCAGAGTAATACTTCAGGCAATCTGATCCATCATAGCCTACCTAGGTACTCTTCCTTCCCACCAAAATAAGAGGAGTTACATACCTAAGTAATGTTAATAAGTATAAAATAAGCTTAACAGGCAACCATGCCTAAAAAGGTCAATATCGACACATAAAATCCATATATGCTTATCAAACTTCAAGACCACATGAGTCAGAAACGGAGATATTAGCTCTAAATCCCGCCTCAGCCTTAAATGTCAAAGCAAAGGCGCGTCGAGCTACCCCAGAATTTATACAACTTTCATTGCTTCATACACAACAAAACAATGATAATATACTACCTAGGTATTCGATTCATTATATTTATTTGATATTCTTACTATGATATGTATCTATTTTGAGACGGAATAAAATCATTTAAGTTAGTTGCGATCAATGACCCTCAATTATAGGTAATTATAGTTGATCAACGCCTTCCTCACATGTGGACTTCGATAAATCAACTCATCTATTGTATATCCTCTGATCGCGTATACCCTCTAATTTCTAGAAATCTTCCGAAACCAGTACCCCATCTCGGTAAATTGAATGAGAAAGCAAGTCGCACAACCACATACTACGCAGCACAGAGGTGTAAACTTTCGTTTGGCAACCAATCCCTAGGACCTTTATACACCCTTCCACAAAGACGCCAATCTCATAACCCTAGGCGCGCTCCATCACAGGCCTGCTACGTAAGAAATATGGCGACACGCAGATCTACGCGATTGAGCGCAGCGTCAACGACTTCCAAGTCCACAATAGCACCCCCTCCACCTACCCCAGTACCAAGAGGACGAAAGAGGAAAGCTGGGTCGGACGAGTCACAGCAGGAGGGACCGAATGGGGCTCAGGAAGGGCACAAGGAGATCAAAGAGGCGCCGGCGGCAGCACCTACAACTCCCAAGAAGCGCCGTACCCGGAAGCCTGTTGATCCTCCGCCCTCAACACCTACACCTAGCAACGCGCAGCTCATTGGCGAACCTGCCAGGACTCTTGAGACCCCCAAACCGAAGCCAGCGGCAGTTAGGCGGCTAGCGGACCCGAACGCTACCAACGCAACACTTCTCTCACCAGAGACATCACGAGTTATAACTAGAGCTGTTTCACCATCTAAAGCGGATGCCAGTAAGGTAACGACAACTAATCTTCTCGAAGAAGCATGTAATCATCTCATTGGTGTCGATGAGCGAATGAGGCCGCTAATCGAAAAGCATCATTGTCGAATTTTTTCCGCAGAGGGATTGAGCGAAAAGATTGACCCCTTCGAATCACTCTGTAGTGGTATCATCTCCCAGCAGGTTTCGGGAGCAGCTGCCAAGGCAATCAAGCAACGGTTTATTGCTCTGTTCGACGACGGTGGTAAATTCCCTCACCCGTCCCAGGTAGCTGGGTGCAGCATCGAGCAGCTCCGGACAGCAGGGCTCTCTCAACGAAAGGCCGAGTATGTGCAAGGTCTCGCGGAGAAGTTTACTAGTGGCGAATTAAGCGCACAAATCCTAGCAGACGCTTCCTATGATGTTGTTCTGGGGAAGTTGATTGCAGTGAGGGGATTAGGTCGTTGGTCTGTCGAGATGTTCGCATGCTTCGGTCTAAAGAGAATAGACGTTTTCTCTCTTGGAGACCTAGGTGTGCAGAGAGGAATGGCTGCATTCGTGGGACGAGATATTGCAAAATTGAAGAATAAGGGCGGCAAATGGAAGTACATGTCAGAAAGTGAGATGAAAGAAATCTCCGACAAATTCGCTCCATATAGGAGTCTCTTCATGTGGTACATGTGGAGGGTCGAGGAGACCGATATAAGTACACTGGAATAGATTCAGCGTTGCGGCTTAACTCTGAAACTATACAAACCATCACAAGCTACATCGTATTGATAGACTAAGAACTGATCCGGGTTCTCGCGTTATTCACTGTGTGCTCGTCTTGGATTAAAGATTGTTCTCGGCTCAACAACTCGGTAGAAGACATTCAGCTCATTCATTGCATACTCTAAACCCACCTACCTAGGAAGGTACAGACAGACACCAATGGAGTCCGACGATGTAACTGGTTGCTTTCATTGACGATAAGTACACACTAACTACAGGATTGCAATAAAGCGGGTTTAAAGTAGTTGAAGTTACCTGTACGAGCTTAGAAGTTCAGTGTCCCTAAACACGCAGCAGCCTTGAACATTAGGCAAGAAAGGTGGTATCTCCAATGCAAAGTTAATAAGTTCTCGTGTTCTTTACAATTGCTGTATATAGCTGGTTGGTCCGAGGTTCTCTGCTCTTGGAGCATGTCTTGACAATGTGGAATTAATGAGGTATGAACGATGGTTGCCCAGCCTACAGCATATTTAACCCGGATTGTGATATTCGACTTTATAGTTTTTGTATGAGCAGAGGGCGAAATTTGACGAATAAAACGGAGTCGGGAAGTGCCGAGTTGGCTACTGTGAAATGGAAACCAAAGCGCTGGGAAGTGCTTTATTGATACTATTGGTGAGTGTTGGATTGTTGCGCCGAATTTCGAGAATTGTATATGTGATAGGATACCTACCTAGGTATGTTCGCAAGGTATTCATTGGATGGAATAATTGGCGAAGATATCCTGTTCTACCTACGTGCTTAGCTGGTTTTTCATAGGATGGTTTCACCGCTAGAAACCCGACAGGAGGGTTCCGATACATATAGACTATAACATAGCCCATTGCGTTCTGAAACTTGAAGATATTGCGGAATTGATTACAGGCCAAGCAGATCGACCGGGTGGGCACATTGGGCACGTTGTTGAATCTCGACATACCCGCGCTAAATGAAATTGCCGTTGTAGATCACAGAGATCGGGTTTGGGATGCTAGTCAATGACGCATTTCAGACTGGGGATTTGAGGCCGCTAGTCGACAATTTTGTCGCAGGTCGTGAAATCCGGATGACGAGCGACAAAGGCGCGTGCAGGAGCAAATAGAAATGAGCTCCGAATTGACGATTGCCACGATGGGGATGGGGGGTTACGACTCCTCATTAATACGAAAAGAAATACATATATGTGTCAAGCTGCTGGCTGTAGTTCTCGTGTTGAATTAACAACGCCAGATCGAATTGATGGCTCAAACGACGCGTCAGCATCGCCTCCGGAGAGTTGAATGGGTGTTATAATTGGTCCTTTTTGTTTTCTGTTCTTTATCAATGCGAATGCGTTGCGTTATTCTCGTTAGCAGGTTAGTGGTTGAAAGTGGGAAGTACTTAGATATGTAGCTTCCCAGCTGTTATCACAATAAATAAATAAAGACTTCCCTCGAAACTTTTCCTCGATTCGGCCTAGTGATCAGAAGCGAAGCTTTTTAGCCTCCACTGCCGATGCACCTAATGCTGCATGTCGACGACCAAAAAAGTGGTCCCAGTTTAATTGATGCGCCCACGGTCTAGAAGGAGGGGTGGGAATTGCAAGGATGTTGTCCCTGCTCTTACTGAAAATGATAGGTGCTATTGGACAGGATGCAGATCCCTAGTCCACCCGCGGCCGCGCCGTAGCTGACAAGGGGTTGGGGGAAAGGATGGAGGCTTCTCGTGTAGATTTCCTTCTGAATCGAGATTCTTCCAAAATGAAGCCGTGGTAACCAATCAATAATTTATTCCCGGCACGGAGTCGTCGCCAAAACTCCCCAAAGCCGGATTGATGCGCCGAACATGATGAATATCTTCTACCAATCCATCTCTCCCAACTTACGAATCATCACAAGTTACACGTGCTGACCGAGTTGCTCAAATCAAGTTGCTGCTATTTTCATAAATACATACCCTGGGGTCTGAGGTAATGTGTACGTATAAAGTAGTAATATCAGCCAAGTCAATTCATCAAATATTAAATATCTAATATAATTCATCTGATTAAACTGTTATATCACCTTAGGTAGCTTGCATGTGAACTACTACCAACATGGGATGATATTCATATATCCCTAGAAGCCTAGGTAGGGTTATGGAGTTCGGTAATCTATGGTATACCTAGACTGAGGTAGTATAGTGTGCTGCAAGCCTCACCGGAGATTGATACAGTGGGTACGCATCAATCCGGCCTGTTCAAGATTAGCATGATATCGTCATTGCTTCTCGTGCCACACACGCTACATACAACTACCTAGACAACTAGGTAGCTAGCCAGTACTTGCGGTGTCGCCGTAGGGAGAAGTAGGGCCTCCAAGCATTCGAACTGTCAACTTTGCGTTGCTGCGACCAGTCAAGTTCCGTAACAATATTGGTGAAACGATACAGAAACAATTCTAGAATCATAGCCAAGGTGAAGGTGCCCAGGGTTATTGCTCTGGTATTGTAACGAAATATATACCGCCCGTAGTACATCGACATGCCTGAAGGAGAAAAAAGGTCAGTGACCAACCTGGACAATGATCGACCCAGGAGTCATTAGATTATGTATTGGCACGTTATGATACGTATCGTATGTAACTTTCAAGGCAATTCGGGGGTGAATTGAGGGAATGGAAGCAATGGATGCCCCCAAACCTTGCGACGATTCCCTGCTTTTATCAGACTAGTCCATCGAAAATGAGGAGCCAATCTCGCCAATTGGCCGACTTGATATGAAAAATTACGACACTGTGTTTCTTAAACCATACGGTATTATCCTTGCCACCTTGGTTGCCTCGAACGCCTGTACGAGGTAGATATTTGCATGTACGGCCGACCATATCGCTCGTAAAAAAAGCACGGAATTGTTGGTTCTACCAATCGTGGGAAGACTAAAAATGTTGATAAGGTGAGGAAAAGTAGATGCGTGCATTGGTGACGACGATAAATACGAAGACTTTTTGCATTGGATTACCAAAAGGAGTTTACTGTACTGCAGCCAAAGATCCATCATGCATTTGAATGTACAGACGTACTTGAGTATTTACGTACCTACATGTGGGTATGTAATTATGTATCTAAGTAAATGAGGTGGATACCTCGATATTTTAGCTCTTCATGTACCTGAAGCCGCTTCAATTTTTTTTTCTTTTTCAGTGCATAATTAGCACTAGGGAAGGTACAGAGTATCAGTGGAAAGAAAGAAAAATGGAGAGATAGGCAGTTTAGCTCCGGATGCCGTTCCTTTCATAAGCCATTCATACCAATTCATACCAGCAGTACCAGGTTCAGGGCCTGCCAAGTTTGTTGTTCCTCGCTTGAAATTGGTGAAGATCATTTTAGTCCGAGCTGCCGACTTTATTACTTATTATTGGGTCTAGTTAGCAGTGGTACGTTATCAGAAATGCACACTGTATGGTTTACCCCTTAAAGAGCCCACCCTTATCCACCCAATCCACTCAATTCGTCCAATCCCCGTCTCCTTACTTTTCCCACACCCCTTCCCTACAAGGAGCCACGCCATCCATCAAAAGGTCGAATTCCAAGACGTTTCGGCCTTTTCTTGCCCTGACTTTCCCTCCAACTCCCTTTTTTTCTGCCATCTTCCTCCTTCTCGTTCGGATTCATTCGTTTGTCCATATTCCCCATAGAAAGAGGAAGAGCACTCGCTCAATAACTTCCTCCTCACTTTAATACATCCTATTGCCTGAGTTCATCTCGAGTTTCACTCGCAACCGCGTCAACACACTTTCGCTCTTAACATCAAAACAACATCCAGAGCTCCTGAACAATACGAGGCAACATCTACACTTACTCATCCCACCCGCGTCGACAGGTGCCCGAGAGGTGGTTGATTTTCTAGGTCTTAAGATTTCTGAAAATTGAGTCTTGAGTATAAACAGGTTAGTTTTTATTCATTTATTTTTATGTTTGACGCGTTGGGCAACGAGGTCGTCGACAAAATTCACCATGCCGTGGACCATTGGGAAGCTATGCCACCGGAATGTTTACATGGGATTTCGCCAATCGGGGTCTAATTAATGTAACGCGGGTATGACTGGGCACAACATACTCTGATATCAGTCATCAATACTGTCCTTCAGGTCAGATGGTGGCTACCTATCTGAGTGGCGTCGACATGACTACCGCGTATCGTGCATATAACATGAGGGAACGTGTTATATGAATTCCTAGTCGACGATAAACATGCCAAGTTCATTGGAGTCAGGATACCGATATTGGGTGTTGGTATTGCCAAAGTACGAATAAATCACATTTAACGGCAACCGGTACCGGGACGAGTACAGCTAAGGCTTGTCAAGTCAACCACGTACTTCTTTGTTCGGACTACAGCGGTGGCGACCGGGATGCCCATAATCAGAAGTCCCAGTCAATCCGCCTTCCAAGTCACCAAATATTGCGACTGCCTCTGGGATATGGTTTTCGCCCTTGAACCAAACCAATTGATATCAACTTGTCAATATTTTGTACATTCGGATTTCCAACACTAGGCCCACGGTTATTGGTTTTTTGACCCGTCGCGTGCCTTATCCAGTCGTATTGGTGCTTCCGATCTGTTGACCTTTACGACGCAAAACACTGCTTATCTTTTATTTATATTTTCACAATCGACTGACGCCTTTACAGTAATCCCAACAAAATGTTCAGCAAACAACTTCTTTCCGCCGCTACGGCATTCAGCATGCTGTCTGGTAAGTTGCCACAATTATTCGTTGTACTATACCATCTTCTAACTGGTGTAATATACAGGCGTGTTCGCCGTAGGCTGTGATGACCCTACTGCCACTATCAAATCCGCGGCCGACGCCACCCAAGTCGCCAACTGCGATTCCATTGAGGGTAGCGTATTAATCGACCGAAACGCGGGTCCCGATATCGATATTGGTGGAAAACTTTCTGAAATCGGTGGAGATCTCACAGCCGAGAACAATGGTCTTTTGAGCTCCTTGAGGAGTGACTCGCTGAAGACTATCGGTGGTGTTTTCAAGCTGAACAACGTCACTCATGTCTCTACCCTCTCCTTCCCCAAGCTTGGAGAGGTTGGTAGCATCGACTGGGCCACTCTCAGCTCTCTCCCTGAGCCCACCTTCGGCAACCCCGGTATTACTAAGGCGAAGAGCGTCGTGATTTCCGATACCTTCATCGAGAACATTGATGGTATCAACGTTGACTCTCTTACCGACATGAACATCAACAACAACAAGCGATTGACCAAGTTCTCTACCAGCATCAAGAGCTTGAGCAACACGCTATATGTTACTGCCAACGGTCTCAACCTTACCATGGAGATGCCTAACCTCCAATGGATTGCCAACATGACGATTGCGAACGTCACCTCTTTCTCCGTTCCTTCCCTGCACACTGTTAACGGCTCAATGCGCTTTGATTCCAACTACTTCGACACCTTCATCGCTGCCAACTTGACTGACGTTATCGACGGTGATGTATCCTTCGTTAGCAACCCCGAGCTCACCAACATTTCGATCCCGGCTCTCACCCATATTGGAGGTGGTTTCACCGTTGCCAACAACACAGCTCTGGAGAAGTTGGACGGCTTCGGTAAGCTTAACGAGATCGGTGGCGCTGTCAAGGTCAAGGGTTCCTTGAGCGAGGTCGATCTTCCTAGCTTAAAGGATGTCAAGGGTGCTTTTGACGTCTCTAGCACTAAGGATATTGCCGACTCTTGCAACACGCTAGGCAGCTTCAAGGGTGGTGTTGTACAGGGTGACTACAACTGCGAGGGTAACGATGCTAGCGCCAACCAGGACACCTCTGATGCTTCCAGCGATGGTTCAGACTCTTCCGGCAATGGTACCAGCAACAAGAAGAACGCTGCTAACCCCGTTGGTGGTGCCAGCATCTCTACCCTCGTCACCTTAGCTGCGCTTGGCTCCCTCGTCACCGCCCTCTTGTAATAAAGTGGTCTTTTTTGGGTTGGAATACGGTGGAACATGGTGGCGTTCCGAACATTCCCTTTTTAGTGTCATAAAACCTGTTGTCATTTCAAGAGTCGCGTCTAGCGACTAGGGCTACGTATAAGGAACTGCTAGACTTAATACTGATGCATGTGCTACTTGTAACGCAGTCTCGTTCTCTTTGCAATTGTGATATCGTTCTGTCGACGGGCTTTTAAATAGCTTACGGATTTTTTTTGCCTTGCTGGTCTTGCGCTACAATACCATTTTATCAGGATCCTTTGTGGCATATGGTTTTTAGCGTGGCATTGATGTGGACGTGATACGTTGTTAAGGGGCTACATAGCAGATAATGGTAATGTAATTTTGGTTAACTTATACCGCTTGAGTACTTGAATACCGAGCCATGAACAACTTGAGTCTTATAAATGTGGATGATTTAGAGGAACATAGATCTAGCTCTTATACTACTATAAGTCAATATTCTACCCATTCACACATTTACCTAGGTATGCATGTTTAGTCCAAGAAAAAAATATGGAACGCTAAGGATTTTATGCTTAGTTTCAAATCATGGGCATATGCCCTGGTATCTCGGACGTCACAATGTGTCGCTGTTATTGTCGTGAATGACGGGATTGGAATGAATCGTAAATACATTATACTAGATAGAGTACAATACGCGTACTAGTTCGACTCGGTAAGTTGTACAGCTGTCCCTCGCCTTCCTAAACGACGACGGGGCTTTCTTTCTCTATCTTCGCGGCTATGCTTTCATTACTCATAAACCCTTTGTTCGAATTTCTCGACGTCGTAGAACTGCGGCTGGATGGTGTTGCCGGCAAATATGCGGCCATCCAGAGCATTCACTGCCTACAATATGATTACAATCCGTTAGCACAACCTGACTTAACATTCGATGAAGGCGTAACGCAGCGGAGTAAAGGGGCTGCGTAACGTTCCTCAACAATCATGGGGGATAGGGGAGGGGAGGACGTACTCTTAAAGCTGAGACTGAATCGGTAAATTTGATGTATACCCGCCGGCCTTCGACATCGATGTACAACCTTTCCACACGGCCATATTTGTCACCGCACTCTTCGCCGATCTCTTGCCCTAATCCAGACTCCATCTCACCCTGGAGATCTTCCATACCCTCGAGCATATTCCGCAGAACGACAACATTGCTCATCGGCCCGAACTTACCGCCGCTACTCTCGGGCTGGGGCGCGGCACCAGTCTTAGAGCCGATGATGCGTCCTCGTCCGCCGGGTTCGGCCCACCCGCCACCTTCGGCGTCTGATTTCTTCTTTCGTTTTTCAACCTCGACGCGCAACGGTTGTAAGATACCGCTAGACTCAGCGCCCAGACCTTGCCCTTTCGCCCATCCATATTTGGCCATGAGACGTGCGGCGAAACCTTTCTGGCCAGGTCGGTTACTACGCTCTTCTAGATCATCCTCGGTGTTAGCCTCGGGCGGCACATATTCGTCTTCGTCCTCGTCCATGGCGTCTGGATCTGGCGGCGCATTTGGTTGTGTGGGAGGATCTGGTTGTGTATAGCGCACCGGCGCACGAGATATAGTTGCGGGTTCCGATATAGAGGATGCTGCTGCTGGTGGAGGCGGAGGTGGCGGCGGTGTGGGAGATTGCGGTGGTGGTGGCACATTTCCTTGAGACATGGCTAGTCGCCGAGCATATGCATCGTCGCCAGTTTTGTCGTCTGGTACTGAAGCCCGCGGGGGTGACGGAGGAGGTGGTGCGAAGGAGTAAGAATCGGGTGGCGCAAACTGATCTGTTGAAGTTGCAGTATGTAAGTAAGAGCAAAACATAGGTAATATGCCGTGTCGCTTAACGTACTTTGCACGGGAGCCGTATCTCCCTCGTCCGAACTATCCCAACTTCCACGTCTATCGTCGTCCTCGCGCCGTCTATGCCTGTAAAGCAAGTCCTTCCATTCACGCACCTCTTGTATTCGCTCATCGCTCCTTAAATACTCGTCAACATTCGTAGGTCTCGAAGGGTCATATATCTCGTCCCAATCTGTCTCAGCGGGGATGTCTTCGGCCTTCTTCTTTTTCTTCCTCCGCCCACCACGTGCTCTCTTCTCGCCGGTGCCGTACATGTACTCGTCCTCCTCGGTAGGCGCCCAGTCAGCTAACCTACTCTTCGCGGGAGCTGGGTTGGGCGCGGTGCTAGGGACATTCGAAGTACTAGGTGGAGGAGGTGCTTTTGGAAAGCTAGCTTTGGGTTTCTGGGTTTTTTGTTGCGGGCGACGGATTTGCGGATGTGGTTGAAAGCGTAGAGCGGGGTCGAGGGGTTTCTTGGAAGCTTCTTGTCCTTTCACTGCATCGAGTGCTTGTTGCGACACAACCGGCGCGCGTGATATAGAAGCAGACGAGTCGCCGTCGGGATCGAGAAGGTTCGCGTATAAGGACAGGCCTGTCCGCGGCGGCTGTTGGCCAGCCATGTCCCCTCTTCTCGCGTAGATTATGGTATTTTGAGACGATATTTATGAAACAGCCTAGGGAAGATGCGTAGTGATCAAATTGTTCAAGGGAAACTATTGATTGTGATATTCAGCTTGCTGCGCGAAGCCGACGAAAGAGCCGAAGTTTACTTGGGTAGGTCAAGTTTATGGGTAGAAGAAGAAGATTATAGTACCTAGTCAGTGCCAAGCTTTAGAGATTACAGGGGTTTCATATCGCCATGTCCGCTAAGCATCGGATCATTAACGCCAGTAATTGGCTAAAAAAGATGCCCTAACAGGTACCTAGATAGGTACCAGGCACTAGAGCTTCTAGGTGGGTAGCATAGCTTGCTTCCTGTGTACCTTCCAACGGTTTTTGATGGCGGGGGGACACCAACTACTATATAATACATCCTAACCTTATATAGATCTGGGTATTGTGAGAGCAAGGTAGGAGCTACGGAGCCCCTACTTGCATTGACCCGTCAGAAAACGCAGATCTTACTCATCGTATGTTTCGTCGAGGATAACGTCGTTGCTTCACTTTTTTTTTTCTCTTTTCTCTTTTCTCTTTCCTTAGACCATACTTTTTTTTCCATCAATTGCAAACTAGACCTCCTATTGTGACCCTCATAACTTATCTCCCCATTCCCTATCATCATAGTTGCCCTTTTACCATATTTAGAATTACTTCTTTGACTTAGAAGACGTTATCTTGTATTAGTCGCATTAAATCTAGACATGTCTACCCTCCAAACTTCCATCAATGGCGCAGACTCTTCCGTCGCCGTCATAATACCCTCGAAACCGAATCCCTTAACAGTGACCTATAAAGATCTCGTAACTGAATGTTCCTCTTTCCAACACAAGCTCGCTGCCATCGGCATAACCAACCGTTCTCCCGTCTCGATCGCAACCGTAAATTCGTATGAATTTATCGTCTCGTTCCTGGCCACGTCCTGGCAGCGCGGTATCGCGGCTCCTTTAAACCCTGCTTATAAACAAGACGAATTCGAGTTCTATATCGAAGACATCAAGTCCGCGATAGTCCTCGTGCCAAAGGGAGCCTATGACACCGACGCGCCCTCCGTTAAGGCTGCGCGCAAGTTCAATGCTGCAGTCGCAGAGTGCTATTGGGACAACGTGAAGAAAGAGGTTGCTTTAGATGTCAAAGATCTCGGTCAATTGAAGGGACATAGCAAGGAGAACATACTACAAGCACAACCAGATGATGTCGCCTTGGTCTTACATACAAGCGGCACAACATCGAGGCCGAAAGTCGTATGTCATCGATCGTCCCAGATGTCGGTTATTGATGTTAACGTTAACGAACTCCTTTGCTAGGTTCCATTAACGCATCGCAATTTGACAAGAACAATGAGTGGGTTGAAATATGAATTTACTTTCAACTCGTGACTAGCATGACGCCGAAATCAGTGCTGTAAAACTGACTTTTACCATAGAGAATATCCAGGCGACATATCAGCTTACCGCGCAAGACCGAACCATGCTAGTTATGCCGCTATTCCATGTCCACGGTTTGCTTTGTGCTCTCCTGGCCCCTCTGTACTCTGGTGGCTCTATGATTGTGCCAACTAAGTTCTCAGCTTCGGACTTCTGGCAAGATTTCACTGCTCACGGGGCGAATTGGTATACCGCCGTGCCAACTATACACCAAATTCTCCTCAAGAACCCCGCGCCAAGCCCTCTGCCCAAGATTCGCTTCATCCGCTCCTGTTCCTCGCCTTTGTCACCGACGGTATTCCACCAGCTAGAAGAGAAGTTCAAGGCGCCCGTGCTGGAAGCATATGCTATGACGGAAGCTGCCCATCAGATGACATCCAACCCCTTACCCCCCGCAAAGCGAAAGCCTGGGACGGTAGGTTTAGGCCAAGGCGTAGAGGTCAAAATCCTCAACGATGCCGGCGACGAGGTGTCTCAGGGCAGTGAGGGCGAGATTTGCATTCTAGGCGAAAACGTGACCAAGGGCTACCTAAACAACCCAGCCGCCAACGCATCATCCTTCACTAAAGGTGGCTTCTTCCGCACCGGTGACCAGGGCAAGAAGGATGAGGATGGCTACATCATTATCACCGGCCGTATTAAGGAACTCATCAACAAGGGTGGTGAAAAGATCAGTCCGATTGAGCTAGACAACGTATTAACGAGGCACTCGGCTGTCTCCGAGGCTGTTAGCTTCGCGATTCCCGACGATCTATACGGCCAGGACATTGGCGTTGCAGTTGTGCTTAAGAGCGGGGCAAAATTAGAACAAGACGAATTGAGGGCTTGGGTCAATGAGAAATTGGCTAAATTTAAGGTTCCCAAGAAGGTGAGCTCCCGAAATTCTAATCTCAAAACTTATAGTAGGAAAGGGGGAAAGACTAATTGTGACAGATTTACTTCACTGAAGTTATGCCTAAGACTGCGACTGGTAAAATTCAGCGGCGTATCGTGGCAGAAACAATGCAAAAGCAAGAATCGCCCAAAGCGAAGCTTTAAAAGCAACCACAGAATATTATATCATTCGATTTATCCTTGGTAACGCCCAGGGGATATTTAAGATGAAAAAATCAACTACGAAGCTACTATGCAGGCATACGAATCAGAGAGTGTGACAATAGGTGTACATATATCATACAATGTATGTAAGACGAGACAGATGCACAACTTATCATATAAGACACGGGAAAGCGATCACGACGCATTGCATTGTAGATCACCACCAATAGAAGTATGCGAGAGACGAGATGGCGTTTTTCTTGTATTTCTGGGTATCTCGGTATTCATTTCATCCAAACATTAAAAAAAGCAAAAGAAAAAACAAGCCGCGGCCATTCCGCATTTTATACTTATACATGGATGTACTGCCCGCTCAGCCCCATCCCATTGCGATTCCTAGAACGCCATTTCTCCTTGGCTCGCAAATAATCAGTTAAATCCCAAAGGTCCCAAGACCATGCCAAGATGCGCGCTGTCGCAATCCAATTTATTAAGTAGAACAATGCCAAGCTTGGCGCTCCCCCCTTTCTTTATATCTCATTTTCTCTCACCCTACAGCAACGGTGCAGGTGGCGACTATTCGATGGAAGCCACCCTCGACGCTTCTAGTTGTTGTCGTTGTGTGGTAGTCCATCTGCTGATCCTCCGCTTCCATTTCCATTATCTCATCGTCTTCCTCTTCATTTTCGTATAGTTTGCCCGGTGTTACCAGTCGCCGCGGGGCGCCTTGGGTTTCCACTCTTTGAGTACTCTGCGCTACGGCTTGGTCCAACGAAGCGAACATGGTAATGGGTGCACCATTGAAGTCTCTAGGCTGGTCGAACGGAACCGGTGCTGCCTCCTCCTCATCAGATAATATGCTTGAGACGGAAGACCGCCTAGATCTATTACTAGTCCTCGAAAAGATAGATTCGCAGTCGCTTTCTTCGTCGTAGTCGGAGAGTGCGCTAGAGTCGTTGGAGGAGGGGAAAGCAGAAGCGGAAGCAGAAGCGGAAGCGGGGTAGGTCTGGTGCTGCGCCGCCCACCTCTGCGACTCGTTTTGGAGATAGATGGATAACATGATTTGGTAGGTTGATAAAATGTGACTATCACGTAAAAATAAACCAGCTTGAATAGACTTTTATGTGCAGGAGCAGATGTTACTGCCTGCTAGCCAGATAGGTACGCAGGTAGGTAGATATGTTGTTAGTTGAGTCGAAGGAGGTCTGGTATGTGAGTGTGTCTCTCCTCTTGATCGTTGTTCGAGATGGGAACGGGTCACACTTAAAAGCCACCGACAAAATAACTCAATTTCTCAGACCGAGGCATCCCCAAGCTTTATTAATGAATGAATGAATGGATGGTGGTCATGATATCCTGGAGAATTTGGGGGTGCACCTGGTCAAGCTTGATTCTCCAGACCGCCGAAAGCTCGGCAACATCGCGTTTTCAGGGTCCATGGTGGTCCATGGTGACCCGTAGTGGCTAAGGAGTCGGACGATGACGAAAGAATTGTAACGCCGATGGTAGCCCCCCCTGTTGTAATGGTCCATTTGGCATATGAAATTCGGGCGTGCACACGCAGCACAACACATTGGCAGGTAAGCTGGCAGGAAGGGATCTTCCTAGCGCATTACCTACTACTATGCTTATTCTGCTTGATAATATTCTTGTCCATGGGGGGGAATGTAGGCGAGATCCTAGATCTGACTTTGCTTGGCACTTGGCTGATCACATAGTATGGAAAGAAAAAAACAAAAGCAAACGCCCAGACTGATAGTAAGTAAAATCTACCCACCCATACCAAACCAACATGTATTTATTGCATTACAAACATATATATTATGTACGTGCATATTGTAGTAACTATGTCGACTTGGCTAGAAGCCGGGGCGGGGGCAAGAATTGTTATTTTCCGAATTAAGAGCGAGACAGAGGAATGAAGTGGGGAGTGAAAGCGGAAAGCGGATGAGGAAGAAGAGTGGTGGCTTCGAGTTCTCTGTTAGAAAGTCGTACTTGTACCTACCTAGGCACGTTAGAGAATGCGGAAAGTACACACGAGCTTGCAGGGAGGCTGATGCTACAGCCCATGGGTCCAGGCTATTCCCTCTTTCCCCAATCGGTTAGAAGAGGCCAATGTTAAATGGTGGAAGCTGCCCAGGTTCTTGTGCATTTGCAGGCTCAATTGCATATGGGAATTACGTTCTCCGATGCCGTCACAGAGGAAAGAGTGCGGGGGTTTATGAAACTCATGTACCTAAGTACCTAGATATTTCGGTATTATGTATGTACTTTACTACTTCAAGTGAACAGTTCAACTTACACCACAATCCCATTGGATGATGTTATGTACACGTTCGCCTTCAGTTGCCAAGTCGTACCTCGGACTTTAGGAAGCCGGCAAATATCAAACACGGCATTGGTCTAATTAACGATAAACAAACATATAACTTCCGGCCAACCCGTTAGAGGGGACGCCTCTTTCTGTCTCAGTTCTTATGGCTTTTCACTTCAGGATACTTCGTAGATTCTTCCAACCAGTATCAGCCAGAGTTCAACCCAATACCATTAGATTCACTCGTAACCTCCCCAAGACCCAAATGGCTTCTATTACGACTCCGCCGCCTGGCAAGTTCGAGTGGCTTGTCATCGTGCCCGATAAGCCCGGCACCCAGCAAAAGAGGCTCGAAGTGCGCAAGTGAGTTGGGCTTACACCACCATCAACAATACAATTCGATGATCAAGTTCTTGGCTTACATGACCCTCATCGCTAGTCAGCATTTTGAAGGCCTCAAGCCCTTTATTGAGTCTCAGCAGTTCAAGGCCGGAGGTACGCTGACTTAAACCCTTTGGGAATTTTCCCCTGTCCAAAAGATGTACTCAAACAATTTTTTCTCCTTTTTAAAAGGCGCTGTCCTAAACGACAAGCCCGATAGCGATGACCCCTCCAAGTTTGATTGGTATGGTAGCACAGCCGTCATTGTCGCTGAGTCCAAGGACGAAGTGAAAAAGATCCTCGAGAACGATATATACACCAAAAGTGGAGTTTGGGACACAGAGAATGTAAGATGACCCGTATGAAAATAAAACAGAGATATACTGATAAGTTTACGTTAGGCATTAATACTGGCGGTAAGCCCTTCATTCCCACCATGGCATTCTACGACTTTGCTAAACCCTCTTCTTAGGCCAAATATGCATTCAGATTCCCATAGTTAACTTCAATGGCACGATCTTCTGGTGGTGCAAGCTAGGTGTATCCCGACACGGATATCACATCTAATGTATTCAATTCATATCAATAACTTGAGTGCTCGTGGTTATCCCATAGTAATGCCAAACCACAATGGTTACATTACCCCTCCCTTGGTGTAATAGGAGATAAAATACCAATAACATCCCGTAAAGCAAACTCCTTCAAGCAATACTAATCCATACGCCCCTATTATGTTAATAAGTCGAGTCGAACGAACTAGCAGAATACATTCGCGAATTCCTTAAAAAGCGATGGCGCTACATCTATACCGCCGGTTGCGGAAGTGGTTCTGGCGTTGGTGATTCTGTTGCTGCCTCTGCAGCTACCCGGAGCTCATAATTCAGGTCGAAGCACTCGGCGAGCAACTCAGCGACGCTACCTTGACCTTCCGGGATATCTTCGCCAACCATAAATTTTCCGTCAACCCTCATATTGTCAATCGAATGCAGTTTCATACTATAGGGGTATAGCTCCCTTGCCGAAGTAACACCACCACTGTTTTTCACTTCGACCAGGCATCGCTTTAGGGTTTGCAGTTGGTTATAAATCGGTAGAAGAGCCTCGGAAACTGGTTCTGATGATACCATAAGGTGATATATATAACCGTAACTTCTTCGGATTAGGTAAAGTAGTGTCTAAGACGCCGTTAGCAATTTATTGTATCTAGAAGTGTGACGCGATGAGATAGCATACTCGTTGGACATAGAGTTCGGCCAGTTGTCCCTGATCGTCGACCCAATTTCCATTCACCCTACTCTCATCAATTCTATCCAGTTGCCGCTGATAATCATACAAATCCGTCTCCCGTAGGGACCAGGCTTGAGTTAATGATAATTTGTCAAGTTCATTTCTAATGCCAACGAGCACATCGTAGATTGGCTTCCACTTGTCTGGGAACTGGCCGTTCCTTCAAATGAAGTTAGTGAGTGTGTTCGCGCGAACATTTTGCATGACGTACCTCTCGAGGACGATTTTAGTATAAGCCAAACACCTGTCTAATAACGCGGAAACACCCTCGCTACCTTTTAAGATGTTCCCATCAGCGTCAACGAACTGCCCATCCTTTCGCCCCTTACTAATCTCCTCTAATTCAGCCTCGCGCTTATGTATTTCCGACGGTGTGAACTAATCCAGATCGTCAGCAACGACAAGGTCACACGTAGAGCCTGCATGGGCGGTATTCACTTTAGACTTAGTATTAATCACGGCCATTTGTCTCATTATAGAGACGAGCTTATCCGCTGTTGGCCTTAACGGCTCTGCAATATCCTCAATCTTCTTCTGTAGAGTTGCTAGGGATGCTCTACATCGCTCTATCCGTTGCGCGATCAAGGTCTCGAGGAATGGCGCAGGCCTCGTGCTAGCGGAATTGTGTACAATTTCTGATAGGTGCTCAAGCGTCTGAGACATACTCTCGAGGTCCTGGGCAGAGTATAGGTTGGCTTCTGCTAAATGATCTAGAAGTCGTTTGATAGTCGATGTTAGCGCGTATGCTGCGGGAGCCTCGTTGTTTCGGCCGATTGTCATGAAGAATAGCGATAGCAGTTGGAAGCAACTGTCTACAACCCTGTCCACTAAAGAGCGGGATTAGTTACAACTGTACAAAACGCAACATATCTGGATTTTAATGTCTCGGTACCTCGATTCTCTTCTACCGGCTTCCCGGCTCTGATCTCGTTGAGGATCTTAACCTGTTCAATGGTTTGGTCATATAGGACCATTACATCTTGTGTTCGAACGTAGGTTGTCCGATCGAGTTTGCGCAGTTGTAATTGGTCGCGAATAGCGATCAGATTCCCGAGGACTTCCTTTTCTCCTTCGTCTTTTGGAGCCGGTATCTTTGGGGTTTCCATGTTGGTGGTTCCCTGGATAAAATGTTTCGAGCTTGTACGAATGGCGAATAATTCTCTGTGCAGGAATGGAGAATAAAGGGAGGAGGGAGGAGGGAGGGGGACTGAAGTAGAGGATGTCACCTCGTCTGTTGCGATTAGTGTCTCCCCTTTGTCCACTCGATATCTAGTTGTAGTTTCTTGACCCGTTATAGAAGATGTGGATGATGTTGTGATATCGAAATAGAAGTTTCGTATAAGAGCAAAGTATAACACATGCGGAATCCCGGAAGCTGCATGCGGGCACGTCAGAGCCAATGACGATCGGATGTTTCTGATGTTTCTCTCTTTCGCAAAAATAGAATTTACCAACGCAGGGGCGAACTTGTCTTAGGTGCACATGTCCCAACAGCCACACTTGCAGGGCAGTGATTGGTATGTATATGTGGTTGGTATGATTGATAAGGTATGTTAATTCTTTACACCAGATGCTGTGAGAGCTTACATATGTACCTAGGTAATTACTACAATATCGGATCGGCGGGGTTGTTTGACTTGAGTAGGACCATGAGGCAAGACAGACTTACTCGCAGTGGGTAGGTGGGGTTATGTGCTCATCACAACCTAGCTTACAGGTTGAATTCTGTAGTGTAGATGTACCTAAAGTAAAGTATGAGAGGTACCTACCTGGGTACTCTGGCGATCTTGCGGGGCGGTCGATTTTCATTTTGATTGGTTCTATTATCCAGCCAATCAAATTAGGTGGACTTAACCAGTCAACTACATGTATGTAGTGGGGGCAGTACACCTAAGTACGTACCTTCTACCTTCCTCACACAATTAAGAGAACGGAGACTTTATTTTTCCCATCCGTGCTAGCCCTACCTTTCTCCCACCAAAAATTTCGCATTGCCAATTGAAAGTGACCTGAACTTCGGTAATTTTCCACGAGCGCAAATCCAACATTCAATCTTCGAGTTCGTCCTCCCAGATCAATCAACACACCTAGATCACACAATCCACCAGGACAGATCTACCACAATGTCGACCGCCGAACTTGCCTCGTCCTATGCGGCGCTCATCCTCGCCGATGATGGTGTTGAGATCACTGTAAGCCAGCGCAATACCCCTCCATCGAATTTCAAAAAATGCGACTACAAATTACGTATGGTGATGCTAACAATTTACTACCCAGGCCGACAAGCTACAGACCCTTATCAAGGCCGCTAAGGTCATTGACGTCGAGCCCATCTGGACACAACTCTTCGCTAAGGTACTACGAATAATCGAATAACGGACGAAAGAACTAAAATTGCTGATGCGTGTCTTAGGCTCTCGAGGGCAAGGATGTAAAGGACCTGCTATCGAACGTTGGCTCGGGCGGTGGTGCTGCTGCTGCCGGTGCCGGCGCTGCCGCTGCTGGTGGTGCCGGTGGTGCTGCTGAGGAGGCTAAGGAAGAAGAGAAGGAAGAGGGTAAGTTTGAAGCTCGCCAATGCATGATACTACATAGGAAAAATATACTAATTCCCGATTTAGAGAAGGAAGAGTCAGACGAGGATATGGGATTCGGTCTTTTCGACTAAACGTTACGTTCTGCGATCACGAATACTCACCTTCCCTTTGTACTTTCACTGCATGGTTCTGGGGTTCCATACACCATTGGTGTGGCGTGAAGGAGGCAACATTAGGATGCCATGGGCAAAGTTCACCCAGTCATAGGTTAATATGACGATGCGCTTAACAATGAAATCGTTTGAGACCAAAGTACTATAAGTTCATTATGCTGAAGTGTGCCAAGCATCAGAAACGAGACGCAACTATGACTTAAATCTCTATCTAGGTAGGCTATGGAGAATTATAATAATTTCTCTTATAGAATTTTGTGTGCCTAATTCTGTATCGACCATCTCATGCGAATCCTTTAACCTGTATCCTATGCCAAACCATAAACGCCATATTATACGTTCAATCATGAGATTCGTGTTAGCCTAGTTCCCAGTCAATTTACTGTACGATCAAAACAGCACTGGGAACTAAGCCGGCTTCCTTTAGGGTCTTGCCTAGATCGACACCTTCAAAGACCTTTCTGGGGAAGTTCTGAGCGAACTTGGTAACAGAGAGTCCGTTCTCCGACTCTAGCAGCTGCTTGACCTCGAAAAGCGTAGTGTCTGCTGGAAGTGTCTTCATAACGTTGCCGCTAGGGGTCTGTAGTCTCAAGCGGGCTTCGTTGTGAGTAGCGGCAGGTCGAGCAGCAGCTGGGGCTGGCGTCGGAACTGTTGTGGTGGCGGGAATAGATCTACCTTCTCTAGCAGCTTTGGCCTCCTCGGCTTTGCGACGACGCTCCTCCTTGTCGGCTTCAATCTTGGCCTTGATACGCTTTTTGGCCTCAATGTCGTCGAGCTTCTCTTGTCGCTTCTTGGCTGCCTCCTTAATCTGTTCCTTACGCTGAAGCTCCTCCTTCGCCTCTTGAGACTCCTTGGTGGCCTTCTGGCGAATTTTCTAGGTAACGGTTAACGATTATATTAAATATGATCCAACTGGCTAGACGTACATCATTGCGCTTCTGTTCTTCCTTGTCTACCACAGCCTGGCCAGCTCTCTTTGCTTTAACACGCTCACGAAGTTCTTCGAGTCTCTTCTTCTTCTCTTCTTCGGTGAGAGGGGCGATTTCCTCAGTAGACTCGGCAAAATCAGTGTGACCCCTGGAATTTAGGTTAATTCGGGACTGGTTATAATATATCAATCATACAAAACGGTAGGATAGAAACTTACGATTTACCGGCGTGGAATTCAGCCTCGCCTTGGGAACGAAACTTCTTGCCGCATTCATTGCAGACGAGTGACATTGCAACTGTACCATCTTCTGCCCTTGTAATGCTGGCACCAGATGCTTCCTCCTCGAGAAGTTCATCCAATGGAGTGTCTTGGGTCTTTTCCAACCAGTCCATGGCATCCGGCACTGGGCCAAATCATCAGTAAATCAATCCCTAACCAGTAGAATATTATTGAGTAAGGATACTCACATCCATCAGATCTCTTTGCTGCTAGCTCGGCACGTGATTTGTCGAATCCCATCTCTAGGAGTTGGTTGATCAGTTCCTGTGACATCTTGGGCGATGTAGCTGTAAGTTATCCCCGATATTGGGCTTGGGTGATTGAGGATGTGTTGTAAGTTGTTTGGTGGAAAAAGAATGGGCCCCGGAAGGTTATGGCAATGCCAGTGGAATTTTATATTTAGGGATAAGAAGTAAGGTAAATTGTATTAAACTTATGGGAGCTGCAAGATTAAGAAAGAGTCGACCAAAGCTTCAGGTGGCACGTCATTTTGGATGTTGCCTCAAAACGATAATGCACAGTCGCGGACACGTCGGTACCTTAGGTACTTACATAATGTCGGTATGCGGGTAGGTACCTCAATGTGATGAATTTCCGGCCTTAGAATCCCTGAAGGTACTTATCTCCTTACCAGTTAGAGCCTATTAGATACCTCGGTAGGTACTCATTAGGTGCCATACCCCTCGTGGTGTAGCACATGCCCACTATCTTCTAGAGATTTGATAGGTGATTTTATTGTTTCCTTTTGCTTTTGATAGGTGCGGACCCGTAGGTGTGCGTGCGCTAATGTAATTACTAAGCTACATAAGTCACTCTAAGTGGCCCAGGTGCATTTAATATGGAGATCTACTCACTCTTCACCCCTAATGAACAAATACGTATTGGAAGTACAAAGAACATTGAACGTTACAGGGGGTACTTTCAGAAGGTCCCAGAGGTGAACCCGATGTCGTAACACGACGACAACACCACAGCCGTTCGCCGTCCGTGCATTTTATTCCCATCTAAGCCAGATTTCTATCTTCACATTCACATTTCCTTGCTTGTCGCGCTCTCACAAACAACTTATCAGCAACTTTTTCTTCTCTACCTCTTTTCTTCTATTTCTAATATAACCAGTCCCTCAACTACACAGCTTCCTGGAAAATAATTAAGCTGTACTTTGGTCCTCCTTATTGATAAGACCTACACTTTTTCCTGCTTTACTTTAGGACCCGAGATTTGGACTGCCATCGCGCCGCTGACATATCGTCAACTCCTCCGACCGCTCCCATAGCAGCATACCGCGACAACTAAAAACCAAAGCGAAACCCGTGCAGATCGCGTAATCCGTTTGCTATCATGTCGGTCGATATCGATCCCCAGGAGCTTGGCTTCCATCGTACGTCATGACCGAATCTTGCATATCAATACATATTATCAGTATAGCATATACTCACGGGTTAATAATACAATAGGGCCTTTTACAGCAGAGGTCTCCGAAGTGCTGAGGATTAAAAACCCTAATACCCATCCCGTTGCTTTCAAGGTACGAATAACGTCTATTTCCCGGCCCGCCACGCCGTCCGTGATGACGCTTAGTTCAACGGCTTAGCTAACCTTTTACAGGTCAAAACCACCGCACCGAAGCAGTATGTTTCCCATCTAACCAACCAACTATACCCGACCGTAACGAACTGTGTTAATCCCTATCCCAATATACTAATAATGGTCGTCACCGAAGGTATTGCGTCAGACCGAATTCGGGTCGAGTCGAGCCAGGAAAGGAGGTTGAAGTTGCAGGTGCGCATCTTCACTATACCCCCTTGTGTACACCATCCTAATAGTTTGCAGTAATCCTCCAGGCTATGAAGCAAGAGCCTCCCCCGGATACGAAATGCCGTGACAAGTTCTTAGTCCAGTCCGTTCCTATCACGGGAGACAAGGAATTTGCCAACTTAGCGTCTATTGTGAGTAGTGCCTTGCTACACTTCGCCCTTGAGTAAACGTATAGCTAATAGGACCAAATAGTGGGATGCTATGGAGAAGTCGGCGATAACAGAAAAGAAGATCCGCGTCGTCTTCTTGCCTCCCGTAGGTGCCTCTGGATCCGCTCACCTCGAAACACCCAGCAAGCCCTCGGCAGTTAATGGCGTAAGTTCCATCGCATTGCATTGTTCAGCAATAGCGATCTTACCGTACTAATATATTCTATCTCAGACTCAGGCAACACCAGATGTGGCCCCCCCTGCTTACTCCTCCCCCGGCGAATACACCGGTAGCCAGGCAGAACCCAAATCGTCGGTAGAAGAGAAGGATATCAATCGCGAGGAGATCCCGTCAGTCGCCGGTGCAGCGGCAGCAATTTCTACCACCCAGAACAGTGACCCGAGCCCCGACGAGTTGAAGCAACAACTCATTAATGCCGAGAAGGTGATCGCGAAATTGAAGCAGGATCAAGAAGGTCTACGACAACGAAAGACGGCGAGTGCAGACAAGTCAAGCGCCAAACCCGCAGAATTGGCCCAGGCGACACGAGCTGGCACAGAAGGCGTACCGGTTAAACTTGCGGCGATTTTGTGCTTTTTGAGCTTCATGCTCGCTTACCTCTTCTTTTAGGCTGCGATGAGGATGTCCTTGCAGATTCTGCCGGAGCAGACATCGAGGAATATTTGGTATGGTTGCGATGTTAATAGGCGAGCCTGCTACTAGATGGAACGACCCAAGTAGGAAAACTACGTCTACCTAGGTGAAGAGGCATAATAAGAGATGGATGGGAAGGAAGTCGGCCCTTCTATTCGGGATAGGTGGAAAGTGAGACGAAGGATCTAAACTAACCTTCGTTGTGGCATACGCATTGTATTCTAGCATGTATTCCCCTTTGTTGTCTGTTTGATCGCCGAGGCATGAGCATTCTGATATATAGTCCCATGGCATTAATTGCTCTATATGATCCCACTGGAACCTTGATGGCTCCCTAAGGACTCGTCCTTGGCTACGCTGTTCTCTGCGTATCGTGCTGTCCCACTAGTATGTTGGCTAGAATGATGACTGCTACCCTCTAAGATATAATATTAGACTTATGGGAGTTGGCTAGGAAACACTGTTTCCGAATCGATTCCATTTCTAACCCATGGGCCAAACGCCAAACCGTAACCCTGATTAGACACCCACTAAGCATTAATTATATACACTACTTTCCATATGATCAAAGATTACGCGAAGAATACACGTATATCCCGTTTTCATTTCGTCTAGGCTTCGATTTCGGTTTCCTTCCATGCAGTTTTCTGGCCTACTAATCTCCCACCCTCCTTACGCTTTACTCTGCATCGGATACCCACGCTCTCGTCGAAGATGAAGCGCCAGATTACGTAAGTCCAGCTGCGGTGGTGAGGTAGATCATTGTAAAATTCGTGGGCTATCTTGTTGAGCTGGGGAAGTCTAGTCCAGGGGACAGCAGGGAAGTCGTGGTGCTCGTTGTGCAAACCGACGTTATACACTAGGAAGTTGAGGGGGCCATAGTACGAATACGTCTCCGGTACGGGGATTCGGTTTGTCGGGTCGGACTGCGTAGGCGTAACGGTCTCGTATACGTAGTGCTCGGCAATAAAGTGGCCGGCCAAGGGGTGCAAACTGCCAGCTAGGAAGGAAGATAGCAGGAAGTATAGTAGAGAGCGGACGCCCATAGTCTTAAGGATGACCATATCGAAAGCTAATTGGGTGGCAACGTTGGTGGCGGAAACCCAAGTGAAGGGTACCTGGTAGACACACATGGGACGTATGGCGTAGAAGAAGATCTGAAAGGTACAGAAGAAGGACTTGCCCAAGATCGAATCGAGAAAGATGGCTTCAAGCATTGTAGGTAAATCGGTATCCAGGCCGTCGACACCGAGGGACTTGTGATGAGTCAAGTGGTAAGGACGGAACGAGGCGCTATAGGGAATGCCGATAGGTAGGTTGGCAATAATGGCAAAGAGTCGGTTCGCGGTCGGGGAACGGAAAGCGAGGTTGTGACTGATTTCGTGGATAGCCATGAATAAATTCTGGTTGGCGGTAGCACCGACGACATAGGCAAGTAGCCAAAACGGTGCCGAGAAGAAAGACGTATTGCGGAGAACGTAGGCGCATAGAACTTGTAAGGCGACGACGCCAAGGACGACATACTTGGTGAGAGGCTCGGGACCGCAGAGTTTGGTCACTTCGGGATGTGCCTTGATGATTGCCAAGCGTCTTGTCCGGTGTGGTTCTTCAGTATAAGTCCAAAAGAAGTCGCGATATTTAACCTCGATCGGATCTCGCTGGAGGACTGAAGATGCATCCTGAGCTTGCTTGTCGTCCCCACCTTTACCGTTGAGACGTATTGTCTTCTGCAGCTTGGGTGCTTCAGGGACACTGCTGGTAGTGGTAGAAGCCGCCGAAGGTGCCATTTTTTATCTTGTCCTTCTCTCTTGATTTTTATCTCAGGGGTGTATTCCTATTATCTCCTCCCAGTTAGAGAAATAAGAGAAAAAAAAGAAAAAGGAGACCTCTCAAGGTGGCATGAGAGTAAAAAATCGAGAGGAGACAGAATTGCGTGTCTCCATTTTTGCGGTGAAGATGTTTCCTTGTCGGCTTGTCTCCTTGTCTCCTTGCTTGCAGTAGTGCACCTAGTTGAGTAACAGTGGAAAGTGGAGCAGTGGAACAGTGGACTAATAGGGTATTTTTCAGGGTCTTCAATTGACCACTCTTGTCCAATCATTCTCCATCCTCGGGGCACACGGACCCCGCACGACCTCCCATCAAATGTCCTCACCCCACTCCTCCAGCGGGATGTTCCCCTGAACTTTTGTTACTCACTAACGTTACCAGACAGGAGGGTAGGAGCCCTGGAGATCGCTCAACTGTCGTACTAAGTTCTACCTACATATACTTTTATACACGTGATGATACTTTCAGCTACCTACCTAGGTACCTATATATTAAAGTTGTCTTTTCTAGAAACTCGACATACATGTAATCATTCATCGCTACTAATTTACTCTAAGGCCTAACTCTAATTCTAGGCTTCTCAATTACATACCTAAGTGCAATTTACTCACACCCCTTTTACTCCTTTTATTCTACCTAGGTATACAATATGTGTCACATTGTCATACCCGCCACCTAAGCCACCAAGTTCACGGTAATCACGAATATACCAGATAGACGTATGAGTAAGGATCTCATATAATAAGATTATCATAATTCAGTCAAGCCACCCGGTTCTAGTCAAAACAATTATGTAAGTAGAAGAGAGATCCCACGACAGAAATCCCTTGCATCTCGCCTACTGTACCTAGGGTCTAGCCATTCACGTCTGATTCTTGGGACTACCAGATCTTATCAGATGCAATATGATCCTTGCGCAAGGGCGGTCACAGCTCATGTGCCGGTAATGGCTGGCGAATAGGGTGAGACCAGTGACCGATCGTGCCATACAGCAGACGAATTACTGAGGCCCTTGGTTCAATGCACTAAAATTCCACCACGAGATCGTCTTTATAGTCTTATATGGGGCTTAAGCCTACACCGCAGCTCAATGGCTTAATAATTGTGTAGCCACCTACCAAAGGGGCGAGGCAGGCTGTAGGTATGACATTATAGATAGGTGATCAACTAATCCCCAGTTACGATCGAGCCTCACATAATATTCCATCTAAAGCGAGATATAAATTGGCGAAGAGTTCTCTTAGATCACCAATACGTCAAATACCTAGGTAGCTTTCAACTTTGATAACCAGGTTGCCAAATTCCCATTCTATATAACTAATGAATACCTTCGCCGTTAGGTGCCGTCGAATCAGTCGTGATAAATAGCGCGGCATCTTGTTGGAGCGAGCCGTTGTAGCTAGAAGTCGGTCTACCACCTCAAGGGGGCCCATCCAACCATAATTGGTTTTGTGTATGTCAGGGTGAAGATATACAGGAATTCGGCTAACCCGTAGTCTAATGTGCCACTGCTTCTAACGCCAGCCCCCAAGTATTTTATCGTTATGTGTGTCCTTATCGTGGCTCGTGATTCGGTGCCTGCCGGTCTTCCATGACAAGGTGGCTTCGCTATGTTTTCCTACTTGATGAACATAGGTACGTGGCTCCGTCTAGGTACTCTATCTAAGTAGGTATTCGCAAAAGCACGTTGCTACGTAGAAAAGCGTGTCATTTGACTAATCGACTTTAGAAAGGTACTATAAAATATTAAAATATTTATTATCCATAGATTATTACTAAGCTCTATCTTGCTTCCTTAAGTCGCATGGAAAATGCTGTAGTGTTGCCCATAAAGTACCGAGATAAAACTCCGGTGAGTATCATGCGTACATAAAGGATATCTAAACGGAACAAGTCGTGAAATCCTTCCACTTAAATCCATTGATTAGATGTTAACCCAATATAATTTTCTGCAGTGCGGATAGCTCGGAATCATCCGCCTATGCCTCGAAGATATCGAAACATAAGTGCGATCTGCCGGGCATCCGCATCTCGAAGAAGAAGGGATTGGTGGCTCTTTATGATAACTCAACAAGATTTGACATGTAAAACTACTAGGCAAGTCAATGATACGCTGGAGAAGCCGTCCTATAGCCAAATGAGGCGGTCACAAGAGCGATCCGGGAGAAGGAGTAAGCGCATACCTATATATTATTTGGGTATGAATGTGCGTGAATAGATAGCCCGATCCTATCAGGAGCCGTCTCAACTGCAATCTAAATGGGGTCCAAAAATGCGGGATGGATGCCACACAAGCAGGGCGGACCAAGTGCAGGGCTATACAACTATGGTAAGTCAATGCATCTAGGGTCAGAATACTACGTAATTTATTAACCACACAGCCTGGTAAGGCATAATATATAATATCATATTTACAATAATATTTTGGCCGACCTAGACCTAGATTGAACTCGGGATGGGGTGGACATGTAAGGGGGGCGGAATAGCTGTTGGCTGCTTTCGCTTGTTAGACATTTGAGACAAGACTTGAAAAATATGTATAGAAGAAAACGGGAGGAACTAATTAAATACGGACTATAGTTTCCTTTCGTTGATTAATAGCCACTTTTATTATGCATATTATAACTGTGAAGTGATAGCCGAGTGGCACTCGAACAAGACCCTTGTCGAAGAGCCGATGCATCTCACCTGCATCAAATCCGGGTGATCTTTTAATGGGCAAAAGTGTAGCATCCCTCTGCCAGGTTCTGATACATGGCTGTCTCCGCCCAAGCCCAAGGCTCATATCCTTCAGATTCTAAAGGCGGCATTAATGCTGTATGCACGAGTGAAGGGTCTGACGTAGAGCACGAAGGCGAATAAAGGTGACGAAATTCGCCAATCAGCTTGCCTCTACTCTTGCCGATAGTAATAGCGTCCTCGGGGAGTAATGGACTCCCACTTGTCCCCGCTTCCAGATGATAGCCGACTCTATTAGTATTTCCATCTCGCAAACTCGTTGTATTCTGCCCTAATATGTATTTTTCGCGGAGCATACCGGTTAGCTTAGCTGCGGGATCGAAGCTGAGATAAACCAAGACTTTTAGACCATGCGCATCTTCCCCCGTTGCGTAAACTATCGACCGTTCATCACTAGAGGTGGTAACGCTACCCAAACAACCAGGAGGATTTAGTATTCCGTAAATACCGTCTAAAAAGGCGTTGCGGCCGAATAAATCCGGATCTGGGGGCCAGAAATGTATTTGATTAGGTTGGTAACGTATCTCCGTTTGGCTGATAGGTATTAAAACGCCCCCATCCGAAGGGAGGGGTTCCTGTTCCCTATGCCCGGTTCTCAAGCGTAAGCGGCGTAAACCTGTCGATCCGCTAGAAGCGTCATCAACTAAATCCAAATAAGTATTAGAACACCGTTGATAAAAACGTAGATGAGTTTGACCACGTGTGAACATTGGTGTCATAGAACTGTCGTCTCCTGGATGTACCTTTTCGGATGGACGGAGCCCCGAAGCTACCATATTGTGCTTGTCCAAATGCTCAATTGTCCTGTTTGAAAAGCCTACTGGGCCCGCTGGGATATTTGGGGCAGGCTGGGGTTCTTCGTCGTCGCTCGTTTCCGAGTCATCATCGAAAAACACCTCGGTGATGTAATATGATCGCCGACTTCCACTTATTCCAGCAAGCCATTCTTTTCGAGATTCGATTATGTGAAGTCTACCCGAAGCCTCGTCTTTTTCAAGCTTGAGAAATCCCCATCTGTCGTCTATGGGACCTTCGGCATGTTCTCTTCTCCAACTAGGATCTTTCTTCATGGTTTGCATCTTAGAATTCGGATCATGGAGTGGGAAGCGAAAGCAGTGATAATAGGAGACCCAGTCGGCTTCTCTGAGCTCAAAATCAGTTTGATTTGACAACCCATAAAAGTGGCCATCCCAAATTTCAAAGCAAACAGTGGAGCCGAGCTCATACCCGACCACACTTGCCAAGTGCATTTTCCGAGGGAACCATGAGCCCCTCTGAATATTGAAACCGGTCAGCACCCAATTCCGAAAACCATCTACGCCTTCTTCCGAATGCGTCCCAAAGTACAGGTAATCTTCATTGTTTCGCACGAATATTTTAGATGTAGACTCTAGTCGCAGCTTAGCTATGATTTCCTGCTTTTCGGCTTTAATAATCAATAGCCAGTTTTCCGTGTTTGGTAAAGCGAATGAAAATAAACATGAAGTAATGCCACTGGCATGATACAAAACCCGGAATTTGTATTTTCGACTTTTTGCTGATCGAGGTACTGCCTCACGAATTAAAGCTGGAATATCAATGACGACTTCCAAGCTTGCAGATCCATGTAGGTCCAGAATCCGCAGCCACCGACGCGGTCGCGACTCGACAATGTAACAAAGTATCCCGTGAATATATTCGAAGGAGTCGGCAACCCCAACAATGCCTAGGATGTATGGTGACGCTTGTGCTAGTGCCTGGTGTCTTTTTGCAACCCGACGTAGGGCTCGGGAGAAGTGGCCGGTCCGCTGCGCCTCCCGCGCCTCAAGAGTATAAGAAGCTTTGGCCTTTTGAGGCGGAGTTGTTAGCAACGGAATTCGACGACGCAGGCTGCCTCAATTTGAGATAGAGTGGCAACTCACAGTCATAATCGCTCTGCAAAAACTTTCTTCTCTCACAAGGTATTGGAAGTGGCGGCTACATAAGGATAAATTGAATATTTGATCTATGGTTAAATATTTGACAATATAAGCCATTATCTCATAAGGTAGCCGCTGTAGTCCCGGTGTCCTTGGAGGTGTTATCAACTGGTATTCCGACGCACACATCGATCCTGGACAAACTAGTATAATCGATGTGGCCGGGACAATAGGCAGCTAAGTTGGGGGTGAAGGGGACGGAGGACCACTGATCGTACATTGCGTACTTTCAAGAGGGGGAAATCGAAAGTAGGCGAAAGTAGGCGGACTGATACCCAATATTGTTCAGGCACGGCGAGGGAAAAATAGGTACTTGTAGGTATTCTATTAGCGAGATTGCCGAAGAGCCTCATTATTGCCCGAATGAATGATCCACAACATGGGTTTAGGGGAAAGAGCAAGGCTCTCGAGTTGATCCACAGACTACCTAAGATAGGTAGTGTCTTTCTTGTCTTGTTTGGAGAGTAGGGCAGTGCAAATCGATACTACACAGCCAGCCTTATATCTACTGCACTTGCGGAAGCCATCTCGACTGACCTGGCAGCCTGGGCAAGGGATAGCAAGAGGAATTTTATGGCTGATTTTAACATATTCGCCTGGTCTCGATCTGTATGGCACGATACACATTCTTTGATGTGTCTTAAGTGTTAAGTGAATGGTGAGAAAGCAAAAGGGCGTGTGGTGATACAATGCTTCCCGACTATCTAGGTAGGTAGGTAATTACACATCGGTTGATACCGGGTATAATTGGTTAGATGATACAGGCATGGCAAGCCTTGAGAAACATAAAGAACAGCGATCCCCTTTCGAAGATTCCTTTATTGTTTTCCTGGAGGGGAAAAAACGTGAGCAGAGCCGCATTTACCAAGTTCTCGTGGTGATCCTACCCCAACCCAGTCTGGGTCCCAAAAATCTTATCCCTTACATTCCCCTCACCCTCTTGAGCTTTTGAGCCGCTTGATATTGTCATCATATACCTTATGTAGGCTAGGCGTTGTGGATATTCTGTCTAGATTCATACAATCCATGCTGGGTACCCAGATACCTAGGTACTTATCAAGGTACCTGAATACATACCTAGGTACCTACATGGTATGTATTGTGCTACGGCATTTCCTCCCATTTTTTCCGCGCTTGATGCAACATGAATCGGCCATCTAACTTAAAAATCATATTGGCGGATTGGATGCATCGGAGGTCATTATGTACCTAGGTACCTCAACCCGCATAGATGTTATCTATGCAGATAATGATAATAGGCTAGCTTGATTTACTACACAATTAATTGGTCTTAACTTGAGGCTCAACATACCGGGGCCGCGCCGAGATTTACTTATTCTGGTCTTGGACCCCAAAAATTGAAGCAGGCTCTACCCGACTTATTTCTTGCACTTCCGCCCCCATCCTGTCCTCGCTTTATTCTCGTTTCTCCCCTCTTGAACGATACCTATACTCTTTGGTCCGACGTGAACAAATCAGCGAGAATATCCAGCCCCGTCCCAATTTGAGAGGTTCTTCCTTTTGAGTAAGGCTTTTATTGTTTTGGGCATGTATTTGGGCAATCATACGTCAGCTCCGGATCTAATGGGTGGCAGGAAAACCCCACGGGTCTTAATCGTGTATCGTGTAAGAATATAGCGTCAGTCAGTCAGTCTCGTGACTTGTGGTGTTTTTTGGGCGCTGCATGTGAACCATCTAAGCACACGAGGAAAAAGCTTCCGCGGCAATCTAAAAGAGAAATGCTTTTCCTCGGGAAATGGTAGTGTGAATAGTTTAACGAGGAGCTGAAAAAAAATAAACCTAGGGGGACTATCGTCTACCCATGAAGTAAGGATCATCTGCAAATCGAGTGTTGGCTATACCTCAGCGTACCATCGAAAAGCCGCGGACCGTCTAAGCGAGGTGACTTTAGTGGAAGGTTCAGCTTCCAAACGGCAGAAGAACGTTACACGCTGGTTAGTCCATCCCACAGATCGCTCTTCAGTGCTACGGCTAATAATGGAAGCACTGTTACTATACAACCATCCTATTCACAAAAAACGCCTTGTATCCTGCTCCTCTGAAGAGGTTAGCACTCTGAAAATCCACCCTGGGATGCCATCGTTCAGTTGCAGCCGAGTGTCTACTCTACAATGCACATTTTACAGGCCGAGAAATACCACCGCATCCTGACACCCAAACCATACCCAATCTACTTGATAGAGTAGTTGAAATTTGGGGTTATCCGCATCCTATATGGTACTCTATTTAGGTGGTAGATTTCCCCCGGATTGAAACGTAGCGGACCCCCGGTAGTAGACCTCTAGGAGGTACTGCGCAACTCATGCACAGTTCCGATAGAAATTCATATCAGTCACGGCGTCCACTCAAAAGTGGGTATGTCTAGACATGTCATACGATTACTTGAGAGGATTAGCTTCACGCGTTAGAACGCTGATGAGATATCAATTTCCCGAGAACTACCATGACAAAATTTCAGCCTACCTAGGTTTGAAAGACTATGCCACGTAGCCTTTCGTAATGATTGGAATATAAGGGCTACGGATAGCTTGAATAAGATGCCGTATAGGGTGACTGTATCCGATACAGGTGTTGTGTCCATTTCTCCCACCTATAGCGGTTCTATGCTAACTGTTGAGTAGAGCACTTGAATTCATGTTGATTCTATAGAATAGAATTTCTCTGGATCTCCTGTGGCTTAGTCACAAACGGAACGATGCGTCGACAAGCAGATTCATATATCCGCAGAACTAATTGGCCCAGACCTCCTTAGGCCATCTGATGCCAATTAATGAAGATTTTTGGGCGCGGCCATAATTCCGACCCAGGCATGACGCTTTATTGGTTTCCTATACCCCGAGTGGACAGTTATCCAGATGTGTGAAACACCAACTGCGGCCCGATAGGATAGTTGTCTTGCTGAAGCCAAAGAAACAGCACGAATATAACGCGAATGATCTCTGCTCACGCAGTATCTGGGCGCCGCCTTCATCGATAATGAATGTCGCCACTCAGACGGTGAAGATCTAGTTAGGTCAGGCGACAAGTAGATCGAGTTTGTGTCACATTACAAGCTTGATAGAAACTTACGGAATATGGGGTTGTATATGTTCGGATGTTTCGAGGCATACCGAAGCCGACGATGCTACTGCTGACTGGCTTCCACGCGGCCCATAAGCAACCAAACGAAAATCTTACTGAAACATTGACAAGTGCTGCAACGAGTCATCGGCCCGCATCGACTGATGGTTGAGGATACATCCGAAATTTGGTCCGATCCTATTCGATAATGTATAGGATTGCACAATGATAGATTCCCATGCGGTTGCTATGTGTCAGGACCAAGACCCCCCGAGCGAAATATGTACCAATCATGTAAAAAGGCATTGTCGCTCGTTATTCCACACCAAAAGTATTCCACATCAGAAGTATTCCGCTATCGGTCGCGAGAGGGAGGTAGATCATGATCAACGGCAGGTATCAGGCATACTTGCATGAGGCTGACTTGAACTTGGCGAGAACCTGGTTCCCTTGGCTCCCCGAACCCGAGAGCTGCAGATTATGCGATGCGGTAACAACTGTGAGCTTTACATGTCACCTATCATGGTGCCAGCCGAGCTTTCTTGGTGCTGTACCGTAGCGTGCTTCTAGTGTCTCATCTAACATGCATGCACAACTAGCATATTGGAACAGAATCTGTTAGGCACACCAGTGAGGCTTACAGGAATGTAATGTCGACTGCTACCTACCTTGGATCCTTGGACTGGAAATGACTTCCGATAGAAGGAGATACGGTCCCCAGTACCGGGTTGCAATCACTTTAAACAGAGTCGTAGAGCATTTTGTATTGAAGCGTGGACCTGGTAGTTGGCTCTTTAGGACGATAGATTGGACCTATAACGGGTATTTTTTCCCTGTATATGTCGTGTAGCTCGAAGGGGAGTAATATTTATTAGTCGCGATTGCGACATTATGGTAGGGAGATAATGTGGGATTCGAGATTGTTTGAACCGTCATATCGGAACATATCCAGGTAGACGAGCGTGTACCTGGAATGATGCTTGCGATGCTGATCTCTGGAGTTGGTTATTAGGTATTTAGCGAACTTAACCATTTGATTATTTTTTGTCCTTGATTTCTTTTATGTCTTCTTAGTATGATTTCGTTATTAATGAGGATTTATTGAGTTTGGTGGGAGATGGCTGATTTAGAATATTCAAAAGAAAAGGAATTTACATGGATGAATTTAGAATCAGATTGCACCTACTCGATTTATTATCGTATGATTTATGGTTTGCACTTGGCAGCAACTGGCAAAATAGGTAAGGTCGACTTAGTCAAACATACGATTATTAGGTAGGTACCTACCTAGGTAGTTATTGGCAGACAACCTTGGAACATTAAACATTAAGAGTTCAGTTCGTGACCACATTGTGACAACTACGAACCTACTCCTAAAACCTCGTCCATCAACCACCAACCACAGATGATATCACAATAGTTTTGGTGGAGGATTAAAATGGCGCTTAGAGGGAATATAACGCCAAAGGTACGCTTTGCGCCTTATCAATCACCTATCTTTCGCGCCTGCTAATACGAATATCGCCTATCAAGACTATTATGGCACCTGCAGCCGCCTTCACCATGGCATGTGTCTTGTTTGTGTGCGTACCTTGTGCACATTATATTCATACATTTCTATAAGGTTTTTTTTTTTATTAGGCGCTCGATATAAATATTAACGGATCCCTTAGCTACACCCGTTCTTCTATGAGAGAGGCCAAGCGCAATGCTGTGAGTGTTTCAAGCCTCCTCCCCTTGCCAACTTTTATAATCAAAAGCAAGTAGCTTATGAGTCTAGCAACATGAACGGGCGCAAAAAAGAAATCAGCCAAGCGGGCCAAGCGGCAGGGCAGAGTAAAGAAGATTGAAGCGGACCAGGTTTCTATCTTGCAGGATGAATCTCACCGCTTCTCTTTTGCGCCATGTTATAAATCATTTCGCCACAAAGTGAAACGCGGACGTCGATGAGACCATATGATGCAAACTCGATTGGCTCAACGTGCTTCGCCGGATGGTATTGGGAGAGAGTAGGCCTCCGAAGAAAAGACCTCATGGAAAAACAAGAATGCTATTAAGGCCCGACCATCATAGTGTGAAGGAGGGAAATGTCATAAGAATGACTAGCTGAGCCCGTTGGTGTAGGATCCTATGGGACCTATTATCCAAGGTTGTCTTCGGGTGTTACAACCTCTTTCGTTAGAGAACGCCAATAGGATAATCGTCTCTTTCCTGAATGTGATAGACAATGACTATTGATTGGTTATTCGGATTACGAATCGATCGAGGATGTGATATCGAGGAGTAAAGAATTCGAATTCAGGGTCGGGCGTTATTTTATATTATTCGACTCAGGGTACCTATTGTTGTACCTAGCCCGCGTGTATCAACAATTATCATAACTGAAGCCACTGACTGACAACTGCTAGAGACCCCACTACAACCCCTGTCACGGGTATCTTACGTGGATTTTTAAGCTCTAAGGCACACCTGCTTGGTAACATTTAGCGTAGAGTTAATAGGTATTAGGTGGTATTAGGTAATGGGTTCTACGTAATTGTCTACCTGTCGCAAACCGAAAGAATTGTAGCTTCAAGAAATCTATCCTTTTCCTCCATTCCCGTACCTACCTACCTACCTACCTAGCCTAGGTAATTCGAGGTATTACGCCGACATATGTACACCAATCTAGTCATGATACATTAGCATTACAATTAATACTATTATGGCTGGTAATAATGTCCTCTCCCTGTTGGGGTGGACATTCCTCCCTAATGTACGTTATCGCCATTCCCTCCTCATGTCCCTCTACCTTTGTCCTCTCCTCATCTCCGTCGACAATAACACATTGTAACTAATTCCGTGTAGCTTGCGACTGGCTGGGTACAATCAATCTACTACGGTCTTACTATCCGCGCCGGCGACCCCAAGCCCGCACCGAACTCACCTCGCTACGTCCAACATCGTCGTCGAATCCATATCCTCGTCGTATCGCTATATCTATTATACACCATCTACGAAGCCGACTACGAGCTCCGTCGCGCTTCCGACTACTATGCCGAACTTGGTGTGTCCTTTTCCGCTTCCGAGCGCGACATCAAGAGCCGTTTTCGCCGCCTTGCTGCCCTACACCACCCTGACAAACTTATGAGCGCTGGTGGAACAAGCGAGGACGCCGATTTCTTCATCCATCTCAAGACCGCCGCCGATACTCTCACCGACCCCGCGCGACGCTTCGCCTACGAGCGTTTCGGCCCCGACGTCGTATCTTGGAAGCATTGCGTCACCATCCGCGACTTTGTTACCCGCGGTGTCCAAGTTCTCGTACCCTACTACGGCCTCGCCGCCATCGCCATGTACGTACTCGGGTTATTGGGTTACTTAGAATGGGGACGATACTGGAGATGGTTGACCTTGATTGTTCTATGCGTTTTCGAGCTACACACTATAACACGACCTACGTTCCCACGGTTTCTCGGAAATCTCATCAACCCATTCTTGACACATTTCACTTCTCATCCTCCATATCTACCTTTCCAGGTCATATCCCTTGCGCGCAAGCTCAGCATTACGCTATATATCGCCTTCTCACAGATCGGACCGCTGCTGCAACAACAAAGCGTAAAGCCAGGCGAGGCGTCGGAGAAGGCGCTGCGACAGAGTCTAGATAGGCTCGAGCAGACAGCCCGTAGTATGGATGTCGATGCAACGCGGCTCATGGAGTTGGAGATGGCGCCCTTCGCTGGCGACCCTGAGGTGATTAATAGCATGCGGACAAAGCTCAAAGAGTGGCTTGTACAAAACACAATACGGGCGGATCCTATGGTGAAGGATGCCTTAGGGAAATCGTTTCAGAAGAGACGAGTAGATGCCCCGGCGGGTGCTAAAGGAAATAGATGACGAATTGTTAGACATTCTACCTTACTAGACACTTTATACACCAATTGAAATATGACCAACTTTTCCCTCTTTTGCAATCCTTATATACATGATCGTACATATACTATTAATATTCGCCATGATACATCTATTAGACTTCTGGAGTCTTCACGCCATTATGAGTGAAAGGTATCTTATACGACCATGGTTTTATTTAGGACTCTGTCCAAGAAATAACCCCTAGAGTCTCTGCCTCCCTCTAGTTTCGATAGGGATCAATACCATCCCAACAAAGGCAGCGAGGATCAGAATCGCTGACATGTATATAGGTGCCTTGGTGCCATCGCCAGGTATATTAGCGGCGAGAATCGGAGCAATGAGCCCTGTGACACGGTTCAGGAAGCTCGCTACACCCGTTCCGGCACCTCTCACGGGCGCGGGGAAAATCTCGGGGGTAAAAGCGTAGAGTACACCATACATGATATTCTGGCAGAAGGCCTCGACGCAGGTGAAGAAGAGCTGCCAATTGGGCGTCGTACCAAAGGCCACAAAGAAGAACAGGAATACGGCCGAGATTAGCGTGGAGATGGCGAGCGTACCCTTCCGTCCAAGGAACGGCGACTTGTGATCGACGGTATACGCGGCGAGTAGACTTCCCGGTACACCCACCACGGATATTATTGCATAGTTGCGATATGTTTCCGACGGAGCGGCATTGTGTACCGCAGCCCCCTCGCCGCCGACTGGCGCATCTGAACCACCATGTGACAGATATTGTGGGAGGAATGCATTAAAAAGCGGATATCCTAGACCTATAGTACTCCAACAGAACCAAATTAAAAGCGTCGCAACGCCAAGTTTGCGGTTCTGGAAGAGTGGCTTTATGTGGCCAAGTGAGAAGGACATGAGATTTTTCTTGATGATGTTCGTAGCTGAAACCCTCGTTGGTATTCTTTCGGCACCTTCAGCATCCACCACGGCATCCATGATCTCGTCAGTAAGCCAAGTTTTCCTCTTATTCCTGTATGCGATACCGTGGACAACGGTGACGGCTTCAGATTGTCGTCCCTGGGACAGAAGATACTTGGGCGACTCGAACAGGTGGAAAACACCGAATCGGATAAGGAACATAACAAATGTGATTATACCAATAGTCAAGATGAAATGTCGCCATCCTTGGTCGGCAGGCCAGTTTGTAATGAAGTACCAAGCAAAAATGGAGGAGACGAGTTGTCCTACTGGCCACCACACGGATAAGAGAGTTAACAGAGCACTAGAAGAGTCTGGTAAAATCTCTAGGAAGAGTGCCCCATCAACTGGCAGGTTTCCCCCCACTCCGGTCCCCATACAAGCAAAAAGGATACAAACAGCTATCCAGCTCGGCGCATACGCCGCCCAGATACCGAAGATGCTCGTGATTAGTAAAGTGACGTTAAAGGCAATGCGTCTACCTATAATATCGGATCCCAACCCCCAGAAAAAACTGCCTAAGCAGAGTCCAACGTAGAGAGAACTGGTGGTATATCGAACCTGTTTCTCCGATACGCCAAATTCATCAGAGAGGGATGGAAGAGTCAACGAGACGCCCTGTATTTATGTAAGACACGAGGTACCAAGACAATAAACTAGAAATATGAAGTAGATAATTACTTACTTGCATCCAAAGACTATAAGTATGATTAGCACAGATGCAAGACGCTGTTGAAATTTGGGTATGCTCACTTGTCGGCAAACCAGCCAAAACCACACAAAACGAACAGTTGCCAGTTATACCGGCCCATGCCGATATCTTGAATGGCCTTATTTATGAGCTTAGATTTTACTGTGGAGGGTCATTATTAGCACCGGCTCTTAATTAGTATTAAGCCAGTCGAGGAGCGAGGCTCACATTCGTACTCGGTCCATTGGCCTCGAGATTGACCTTTGCGGACTTCTCTCCTTAGACCTTCGATAGTATACTCAGCCGCACTCATCTGCAGCATGCCGGTGTTCTCATCGTCGCCATCCTTCGGTAGGCCGGCATCGGGGTCATCAGAATTAGTGCCCGCTTCTTCTTCTTCTTCTTCTTCAAATTCGCTTCTCCCGGATCTCGCGGAATGACTATGTAGGTGCGCTTCCTCGAGTGGGACTAGGACGCCAACATAATCGTGAACGGATTCTCGGGGCCCGAAGAATGATGGGAAAGAAAGGAACCTCATAGTGGAAGCAAGAGGAGTATAGCGAGGGACGATATATTGAACACTACGACCCCATTCGTCTAAATTTCAAGGTCGACGAGACCTCAAAATGGATTATAGATTAATGAATTGATGAATTTGGGCTTTTTGAAGCAAGTATCGAGAATTCCCTCCCGTTTTCGGTCTAGGGAAACTTGGAAAATGTCTTGGAATGCCACGTGATGAATAAGTAAGATAGATGACACGAGGCAAGACACAAAAGCACTGACTTCTCCAAAAAGATTAGAAATCACCTTCTTCTTCCTCTACTTCTCTCTTCTCTTCTTCTCTCGCCCTCCCCAAATGATTAAATGGGCGGATGACGCTGTTTCGTCGCTCTCGGTGCAGGTGATGAAGAAGTTCTTAGATGTACCAAGTAATAAAGTAATCAAGTAACATTGATAGGATCGGGTGATTGCAGTGAATGTCCGGATGTCTTACGGGGTACGGGGTTATCCCTACCTAGTAGATGCCCCAACTTCTTTAAGTTGTCGCTGTCCAACTGCAACGCTACAAATATGCCAGATATCCACTTTTTAACTACCTGGACTTACTACGGAGTATGTACCTACTCCGACGCTCAATTCCTATTGGCTACTTAGAATCGCCATCTTCAAATACAGTTTCACTATTCATTGAGTACATGTACATTGTCTACCTTATGTACCTAGGTACCTAGTATTTCCTTGACTTGAGTCTCTGAAGAACATTGAAGCAACCAACTATATTCAACTAGTAGCAGTTGATGGTACATGTAGTATATATATCTCAAGCACGTTTAAATCTAATAAATATAGACGGTTTTATCAAGTATTTTCAAGCACTTCATTAGAATAGAAACGTACCTAGAAGATCTTCATCTTCTGCGCAAGTACCAAAGCGCCCCATCGTCATAGGTCATTTCAATTTCTACACCGGTCAAGGAGGTATCATCCGCGCTCGATTTTCCAGGCAGCCAAGGCAACCATCCTTATTGACACTTATTTATTGCTAAGCTTCTATTCTAAGCTTCTGAATATCGGTAGTTACACTTCTGGATCGAAGTAATACCAGCTCAATGTGATATCTAATAATACAGAACTGGTTTCTCGGAAGAAATAAAGAAATTCGAATATTCGCGACAGGGCTCCATAAATCTCCTCTGCCATCTCAGATGTCAAATCCGAGCCGAATTCCGACCTGAGGTCGTGTAACACTTATCGTCTAGATTTCGTGCCCGTTTCTCTTACAAGATAAAACTGACACTCCTATGGTCCTTCAAAGGAGGCCTTCCGACCTGCACCACGGTAGAAGGAGCATCTCCAGGGCTGATATCGAAGTAATCTACTTTTGAAGTTCTTCGTAGTCCTACGCACTTGCGCTCCGTTACCGTACCCAACCCACCAGGCGGCGTGTGGGGGTGAAGATCGAAATACCCCCCCTGAGAGCCCCTCTCGGACGAACTCCCCGGTTCGATGGTATAATATTGGTCATTTTGGTCGTTATCGTGATCCGAATCTGCCTTAATCTCATTGCTCAACCCAGATCGTTTCATACCCCCTTGTGTCGTCTTCGGCTGTGTCATGGTTAAGCCCGTGTCTCTGATTAATCGATGTGAAGACGATCGACCCAGTCCCGGCCTGTTCGAGTTGCGACTGCTGTGTAGCGAGTTGAACTGCCGCACGTGTGCATGGTCGAGTCGTTCGTAATGCCAGGCTGCGTTAGGATCGTTGCTTATGGGAGTTCGAGATGGTGAAGGGTCTGATTTAGAATGAGGACGACCCTTCCGCTGGCTAACGGTTCCTCGTTCTTCGCTCGGTTTTCCCAGTCCCATTTGGTGTTCCCACCACCCCTTTTCCTTGGTCCCGCATTTTGCGACGTCGCAGAGGGCCTCCTCCACAACCTGTTCCTGCTTCTCGGAGAGTTGTATGGTTCCTTCGTTCGCTGCAAGGCTAACTAGGGCCGCAGCGTCACGTGCATCACGTTCTTTCTTGACAGGATTAGATCGAAGCCCACTCGAGTCAAGCTTGAACACAATGAGATCAGTGAGCGAGATATACGGTATTTCGCTACTGGATATTTCTTGAACCTTCGCAGCCGATTCTGGAAGGTAAGGCGACTACACTTGTCAGTTACATGTAGTGAACCCGCACCCAAACATTCAAACTTACCAACCACTCGGGACTGATATCGATTCGAATTTCTTGTCCTCGTGGGCTTTTATAAAAGAGCGCCTGGGAACGTTGAAAAAAGGGCGAACCCGGACGCTCGAGTAGTCGCTTTTTCAACGAACTAGGCGATGTTGAGATGTTTGTTATGAAATTAATATTCTATCATAAGACACATGATGTTAGCTTATACTCCTTAAGTGTTGGTGCTATACTCTATCTTACGTCTGTTGAGCGGTATTCTGGGAGGTAGTGCCATAATGCTAGCCCGCCGATGACCGAGAGCCTCGCATGTCTGAGGTCCTGTATCTGCTTCACGTTTTGGATAACATCTCGAGCAGCACGTTCAAGTTCTTGCAATCGAGCCATTCTGCCTCTATTTGAACTAGTAAACTTTGATGAGAAAGGTAAGACTTAATAAGTCAAAAAAATTTACGACGGTAGCGAAGTAGTGCGTCGTTAATAGAAGACAAGTTTTAGAAAGGTTGGAATGGTGTATAATGGGCAAGTGAGGGAATAGAGTTGGAGCTGGTGGAGTGTTGATGATGTCTTGATCTCATAGCGGCGCGGGCATCTCCCACTTTATACACCTTTGGTTATATTGGAGACCGCCATGTAACACGAAGGGTAGGGGGTGTGAAATTGTCAGCAATCTCGATATCGATCCTCGCTGTGTCGTTCTGGTGAGCAGTATCGAAACTTACGAGTCGTGGGTAATATATCAAACCCCACGAAGTCGTGACTAGGCGAGACCCCAGAGATGAACGAAGCCGGGGGGCCTTATGTCCACTAAGATGTGAAACCTTAGACTGTCCTCTAAGGAGGGGAGTGGCGATAGAAGCCAGCGAATGAAGGATATGGACGACTACTGGTAGTTGTTGATATCCCATGTCTCCTTTCGCCGAGTCGTCAAATGTTTCCATTGTGAATTGGTGGTCTTCATAGGATACATGTTCCGTGTTATTCCAATGGTGTTCATGACTCAGACAATTGATGTTCACAATCTAAAGCTGTAAGTTGAGAGGGATATACCTTGATGAACTATATCGATTCTCTTCTCTAACAAATAACTAAGGTCCCCTTAAATCCGTGCTCTCGACAGGCCACATAGTTACTTGGAGTGCTATGAGCAAACCCAGACGTATCTCTAAATGCTCTTAATACCAACAATCAAACTAGATTTCCTATTCTCGACCCTCAGGGAAAAGTCATATCCGTTCATATAATTCCTATACATATAATCATAACGATCTAACATAAGTCTTCTAGTTATCGGTATTTGAAAGGAGGGGGTGGGGGCACATACAAAAATCCTCGAAGGAATTTACCGACTGCCCTCAATTCCATTGTTCAGTATGGGAAACTCTTGCCGATTTTTTTCAAACTCCACTCGAACCATTAACTGAATCGTAATTTGGGCTTGGCCTCTCGTCATGAAAATTTGGCCCTTCATAGTATTTCTTATTGGATATGATTGAATCTATTAGTTAGAATATGGCTGTGCTGTCTGCGATAGTGTGGCATTAGGCTGTTACGCAAGCCTCCTGTTTTCCTATATTCGGTCTAAGCATTAAGTATGGCGCACTTTATTGATACTATTCTCTCCTCATTTGCATAGTACCTGTCGAATATGGTAATAATACTACTAGCCCAGCCGCCATGTTCCCGGACGCATTACGAATACTTTCGCGGGTCCATAGAAAACTCATTACCGATTCGCCATATTCCCCAGCCGAGACCATACTGCCAGGATGCTCTCTAGACCCTAACTCCCAACCTTTCAAGCCATGTTGCCTTGTTCCTCTATTTCCGAGCGAATCGTAGGTTGTACAAACGGTTTAATAAAAAAGATGCGATTCGTTTTCCGCCTATCATAATAGAGGCGGCCCTTCTTTCAAAATCTCCCCAATAGATAAAATCGTATCCGCCGTACCATCGGAGTTGCTGTGAAAACGCATTCGTCTTGGGCCAAAGATTTCTATCTCGTTAGATGAGGTAGTGCTTGTCTTACGTGGTGATATGTGGGGAGGAACACGAATCGATGTTTCCTGCGAGTCACTTGATATTGTTCTCTCATCCCATCTGATTTTAGACCAACGGGGCCATTTCCAGAATTTGAAGCGGTCAGCCCGAGTCTTCCGTAGTCGGCTATGGCGGTGGTGGTGGATGCGAAGGAGAAGGTTCTATACGAGAACTCCTTCGTCATCACCCTCTTTTGCATCCTCCTCATCTTCCTCCCAGTCGACCTCGCCAGCTATTGCTTCGGCCTTCCTCTGTACTTCGGCCAGGCCACTAAGTTCCGCCACATACTCTTTATCTTCTAGAGCACGCTTTACGAATTCCCATCCTTGAGTCCTATACGCTGAAATGATTGGCTTGCTACAAGCACTACAGCATGGATATGAGTGACCTTTAATAGTGAGATTCTGAAACCGGTTTAAAAATCCCCGTATCTGGTGTGGAACTATTCCAAGGGCAAACTCATCCTTAGGATCGCTTTCGTAAATTCCTGACGAGGTGCCGGTCGCAGGGGCTGGCGCGTGATGGCCTAAGGGATGCTGCAACAAGCTCGTCAAGAGTTCTACGAGGAGAGCTGAAGCAATCGCAGCGATGCCAGGTCGTGTGACTGTGCATTGTTGATCGAGTGTTAAGTCCTTTTGGGACTAATTCAATGTTAGACAGGGAAATCGGAATCTATATGGGTGACTTACGTCTCCGGGTGTTACTACATCATTGCAGAAGTAGCAACCCAATGTTTCTTCGCTGCCGTCTTTGGGTTCTGCGCCATGTCGCATGACTACATAAGAATCGAAACCAAGAGCCGCATTCATGACGATTTTTCCCGCCGCCTTGCCCATCACGGTAGGGAGCCATCTCGACTCTCTACTGTCCATCAGGAGGAAGATCGCGTCATGCTCATCGATTAGCGACTTCAGCTTTTCAAAATCCCCCTGTGTATTCTCTACTATTGGATGACCGAGCATTGGGACCGATAAAACATGACCTTCGCTATCGACGCCTGGGTAAATCTCTTTGAGCACTTCTGCTGCCCGTGTTGCCTTTGGGGCACCGCCCTTTAAGCAATCGTTGTAAGTGAATAACGGTTGCCTTACCGGGTTAGAGAAAGATACCGAGCCATAATCAACAAAAGTGATCTTGCGCACACCCCATCCCATGAGGTTCCTCGATATATAGCTGCCGAGTGTACCGGCGCCGAGAAGAAGGCATTTGGTATTTTTGATGATTTCGAGATTGAGATCCGGCGAGATCCGCCATTTCATCAGCTTCAGGTTGAGGTCGACCGACTGATCCGCCAGTCTCGTGGGGTCCATGGATTCAGCTAGACTTACAGACCTCGCCATCAGCTTCCCGGATGGATTTCGCTCCCAACCAGTTGCTTTCGGCATTTCGGTCGTTTCGATTTCCTCTACAGAGTCCATGGAAAGAGGCAATACTATGCTGCGGGCTTCATGTCTACGCGAATGTATATCTCTGTAGCAGAGTATCTGAACGTTAGTCAGATGAAACCGTTGTCTCACTAGTACTAATAGGTTCCTGAGGGGCCATGCCGGGTGCTCCTCGTATGTGGATGGATCGACAAAAGCGACATATCTGTCTTGGTCGGGTACCCCACGGAAGAAACCTGTCTCAAATTCGCGAAGCGAGCCGACCTCCCATTTATAACCGATGTCTTCTGATGGTGGTTCGAGAGGAGGGGATTGGGCCTTGGTGCTTTTCTTCACCTGTACTTTTTTCGCAAGGAAAAAGCCGTGTTCTCTGGCGTCGACGGTGTATCGCCAAGTGCCTACGCGGTCCGCCAAAGCTGTAGTCTCGTCCGGGGTAAAATGAAGGATATCACTAGTACGCTTCCATTGCGGATCGGAGTGGAGAGTTGGAAATCCGAACCAATACGTCATTCGGTATTTCTTGAGGTCTGCATATGAAAGTATAATGTAGTGCGATAGGAGCGAGGGGACAGAATATATAGTGCCGTCTTTTATCGCATCCCATATCTACGAGAGAGAATATCAGCATATTTGTCAGTCTTAGTTTGGTGAGATCAGGATTGGGAATAGTTGGTAGGAAATGACCAACCTGACGTGCAGCGCCTTGGATCATCTCCGTCTTATCCACTTGCTTAAAGGCTTCTAAGGTATTTGTATTTTTGATGATGCCCTCAGCTCTGACAGCATTATACGGCACACTGTAGACCGGACAATTAGCGGACGAAACGACGTTTATACTGCCGCTGTCATCGGTAATAGTCATGGGTAATGAAATATGAGCAAATACAAACATACTTATTACTAGTAAGAGCGCTGGCTAAGACTTGCATCTTCACGCTGTCATCTGGGGCAGTGCCGGGACGAGGCTCGTAGAGCCCTAAGACTGGTCGCGCCGAATCGCTGAGTTTATCATGATCTAGCTTGGAGGCAAATAAGGCCGAGTAGAAAGGCAATTCAATTTCAGAGGCGAACGGCGCAAATTTCAGCGCGGCCATACTGGCGGGGTGGTGGGATGTTGATTGAATAAGAGGTGTGAATGTGAATGGAGGTAGAGGATACAAATGGTTCGGCTAGGTGCGCCGCAAAAAAAAGTGTTAATGATAGATCGTCGCAGATGAACGATCTATCATATATCACAGAGGTATCGCACGGACAGGCTATGTAGCTATATACTCTCCGAGGAATAATTTGGGTTGAATGTTGTAGCTATGAGAAGGAGAGGAGGGGCAGAATTGTTAAAGATCGATTAAATCAGGCTTGAAGTTGGTGAGAGCGGGGCAATGTTTTGAATGCGGCGGGATGTGACTTCCAAAGGGATGACATATGACGACGCGGTATACTAATACAAAATATAACAATTATGAAAGAGACAGTTAAGGAATTTCATTTGGGCTAATGATGACCAAGGCAAAGGCTATTAATATAATAAATAAATAATCAAGAAGTATGTTCATAAGTATTAGAACTTATGATTGATTTTGGGGTCACATGAAGAATCACGGCGTGACCATACATAGGGCAAGTGAGATGTTGCTGATGTGAAGATTCGGAAGCTTTCCAGGCATCATCCCACGCAAATGCTTTGTACTCCGCTGACGTGACCTACCCAATGCCAGGGGCAGCTGAGGGATTCTTGGCATTGGATGGATCTTAGGTACATATATACCCAAGGAAGGGGGTATCTGGTTAGGTATCCACCTAAAAATACTTAGATACTTCAAATGTTATCCACCAAATGCGATAGGTTGTCGGCTAAGTCTCGGCGTTAATAGCCTCTTTTCTTTCCTTTTTTTCCCCTACGCGACGCGTCGCGTCTTACATAGATTAATGAGGGGCTATCTATTTCACCATTTCACCAAGTACCTACCTAGGTACCTAAGCTAGGATTACAAAATTCTGCCTGGAAAATGAACAACTTTCACAAATGCCGACTGCATAATTGAACTTTGAGAAAATATGCTGATAGGAATTTGCGGTGGTAAGATTCCTGATTCTACCTAATACCATTCTCCCTTAAAAAGGCTGTCACTTACACCGACTCTTAGCAAAATGCGCCGGGAAAAGTACGGTGGCTCAATACCTAATAGACCATCATGGGTTTAAGAAGCTACACCTAGAGAAATCAACATCCCAAAATAATGATCATTCAGGTGGATCCGAATCCCAAGCAGAATCAGCTACCCCTGACACCACCAGGACAAATCTCCCTCTACACTCAAGACAGACACCCAGATCTTATACATTCGCGACGTCTACGGCTCTTTTAGACTTCGTTACCAAGCATTGGCGATCTCGGTGGGTCGTAACCGATATCCACGATGAAGCTGTCCTAGAGATTCTCAGTAGACGGCCGTTCTTCATCTTGATTAGTGTTGATGCACCCTTGACTGTGCGCTGGCGGCGATTTCAACAACGATGTAGCGGGCAAAAGGAGGCAGATAACCAAGACCCCATCGGCCTTGAAGATTTTGTGTCGCAATCCGATCGACATCTTTACGACACCTCATCCGGCGTCCTACCACTTATGTCGCGGGCCACGATACGATTATTAAACACCTCGTCGGATCTAGCGCACCTATATGCTACATTAGGCAAGCTGGATTTAACAAACCCTGATCGTCTCCGCCCTAGCTGGGATAGCTACTTTATGTCACTAGCATCTTTGGCAGCGCAGAGGTGTAATTGTATGAAGAGGGCTGTAGGATGCGTATTGGTTGACTCCAAGCATCACGTCATCAGCACGGGCTACAACGGGACGCCGCGACACCTACAGAATTGTGGAGATGGCGGGTGCCCGCGATGCAACTCGGGCGAGAGTAGTGGAGTGTCATTGTCAACATGTCTTTGCCTCCACGCCGAAGAGAATGCCTTGCTGGAAGCTGGTCGCGAGAGAATCCGTGACGGTAGCGTTCTGTATTGTAACACGTGCCCATGCCTAACGTGCAGTATCAAGATTGTTCAGGTGGGTATCACCGAGGTCGTATATAGCCAAGGCTATAGCATGGACAAGGACACAGCTCGAGTCTTTAAGGACGGCAGTGTGAAATTGAGACAGTTCTCTCCAGTAAGTGTGAAGCCCTATTATATTAGTTCCCCTCTACAAGCGTTGATGCTGATTGATACCCAGCCGGCCAATGGGCTAATCCATCTAGAAAAGATGGAACTTTACTAAGACCAACAATGCAATAAAGTCTATGTAGATAGCACCAAGCCCACCTGAAACAGTAGGGACCATCTTTAAATCACGATAAAACGTCGACTGGATACCAATCCCACGTAGAAAATCACGGCCTGTGCAGGCCAGCGATGCACTGAAGGCGACAATATCTTAAAACTAATTGGTATTAGAGAAAATTAGAGTATTTCGCACTCTATCGAGACTAGCATCTTCTGATCAGAGCTTGTCAAGTGGTACTGTTAAGCACGTAACGCGAAACATAACTGACATTCTTGGACCACCGTCAATCTCAGAATTCCCAGGTCGTCTCGCATAAGAACATGATTGACCAAGGCATCTGCGAGGGATAGACGCATTGCTGAACCAAAAAATCGGTAACATGGTATTAACGTCTCGTTCCGTCATTCGTAGCCCCCCCTCCTTCCCCCGGACTTCCCTCCATTCTCATTTATCATCTACGCGGGTAGCGCAGCCTTTGAGGCTCTTCGCTTCGCGAGCCACTTGGATATCCATAGACCGATTAGACCGACACCGACGACGAAAACGATGCAGAACACGACGACCACACCAGCTTCTTGTTGCTAGTATACGTTAGTATCAACTATTAAATAATTATCGCCATAGGTTGACGGAATAGTCTCCTCCAGGAACTATATGCGAGACCCAGGCGGTGAAGGAGGGGAGGGTGTGTACGTACAGCCCAGTTCTCACGGGGGACGATGCGGCTGATGGTGTCGCGAGCGACAATGGCGTTGTTGATCGCAGGCATGATGGCTATCTAGGAATAAGTTTAGCGCGCTGGTCGGTTTGAATTATGGCTACCATGAAATCCAAATTGAATAAGCTAATTGATGCGAATAAGAATAGCAAAGGTATGTTCTGCTTCCGGAACAACCGCGGCGCCACCTCGTCAACGGAAAAAACGCGCAATTAGGAATCTATTGGGTTCAAATGCACCCTATCCCAGGCTTCCGAGAGCTCCATTGAGTAAATTTCCGCAAGGCGAATGCAATTGAGACATATTTGAAGCTAGGTAGAGCTACGGGTGAAATCTCCAAGCTTCCAATTGATAATTAATAGGAATGCGGCTTACCTCTCGGGCGGTCAGAGCGGTTGCTATGTGGAGCGCAAATGGTTGACTCGAGATGTTTTGGTGGAGCTTAACTGTTTAGTTGACGGTCAGAGAAGCTGAGTCTGCGAACAACACAAGCCCTTGGGTGGATGAAGAATATCGCGGTTGAAGTAGGCCTTCGCAAGGACGAGTGAGTTGAGGAGAAGCAAACACAAGAAAGAAAAAAGGGCAAGAAAGGTGGGAGGTGCTCGGGTCAAAAAGGAAATAATAAAATGAGCAATTCGGCGTTAGACCTGGAGACGAGGGAAACCAAAAAAAAAAGCTTGTTCCGGGGCGGGAGCTCGGTAAGTGTGCAGCAAAAAAGACAGGGCGTTTGATTTCTGCGCGATTTTGTAGGTGGAGAGGTTTACAGGCACCGGGGTCACCGGGTCCACAATGTGGGTAGCTGTATTATTGTAATGCCGCAAATTGGGTATAGCGAACGGACATCTGATCTGCAACAATGGGGAATGCGACGAGGATTTGGAAGGGTCGTAAGTAACGAAGCAACGAGCAACGCCGAAAGCTGGCACGCGATGACGAAGCTCTTTTCTCGTTCTTCCTCTCTTGTTGAGGATCAATTGGAAAATAGAATATTACTTACCCGTAGCTATAGATGCCTAGATGCTTTTCCCTAATAGCTTCGGAGGTTCTTGTATAATGGAATTGGTTTTTTGTTATACAGCTGGGATTCTGGATAGAACGGGTTATCGTAGGATTTAGTGAGGAACTTGGAATTGCAGATGGAGAAAGTCGAAGGAGGATGTGGAGTCGCTAGGATATTTGTTTTCGTGCAAGTGCAGTGATGTCAGGCTTGCAGCGGTCCGGGCGTTGCCCGCTACGATGCTAGCACCGCGTCCGGTCTGCAATCAATGGCCTTAAACCCTTTTTGTCATGGTCATGCGATTCTACGTACCTAAGTACCCGGTAGAAGGTGTACCTTTCCCTTACCGCATGAAGCTATGTCCAGATCAAGTACATACATGTATGTAACCTGGCTTTGTTTACAGTCAGCAAAGGTACAGAGGGATTGTAAGAAAGACAAAAGAGGATGGAAAGAAAAAGCCTCTGCCACTGAAGAGACTATCATATCCTATTTTACTCTACAACTACCTAGGTAGGTAGGAAGACAAGGTTACTAGTAGTACACATCTGTGATGAGTGAATTTTGAACATGTATGTATTTACATACCTACATACATAATGTAGGTACAGATACTCGAGGCCCGGGGGTCTTATTGCAATGCCACAAGAACCCTGTGTACCTAAACTAAGAACCAATTCAATTTACGAATGACAATCAATACGTACCTAGGTAGATACATTAAGACCTTCCAAAGATCCTAGCAAAGCCAAGGCGTAAATCGTCGATTTGATGTGGTTACACTTACGAAGTAGATTTGCGGTGCTGACGGTTCATTGACAGCGTAAAAGAGTTTATTACCTTGGTAGCCAAGGGGTTCCAAGACAAGTAGATGGTGCGCCGGCATTGAAGAAAGGCACGTAGCGGTTTATTACAGCAGCATAAGTATAAATTACTGCAATGCGCTAATAAGTTAGTTCTTCTGGAGACTTTAATCGTGCATCCTCAAACCCGGCGCCGTCGTGGAGCATATTATTTTATTTTATTTTTATTTTTATTTTTATTTTTAACAATTATTATGGTTACTATGATCTCGTTAGGTGCCTGGTTAGTGGAAATATCCTGGGAATAACGGAATTATACATTGGATGCACAAACATCTAAGCCGGCTTGCCTTCTAAGGAAAAGGCAAGTACTTATCTACCTAGGTAGATTATGATAGCGAGCTTAGACCGAATTGCGTGTCGAATAAGGCTCTGTGTCGTATTGATGACTACCTAGGTACCCAGGTAGTTTCTTCTAAACTACTCCTATCCGATTTGCCACTCGCCTATAAATTAATTATTAAAGGCAAGGGATTAGGTAGGTATTAGTGTCGAATTTATTCAGGGCTCGAATATCAATACTATTAGGCGGCTGTCATTCTCTAATAGGTACCCCAGATAGCTATAATGGTTCCCGTCACGTTTTTTTCGCCCAACCTTACACATAATAGTGCTTCAAGCAGATGCCTAGAATTCATTCTCTAACAAAGGACATGGTAAATACGCACAAGCGTTCTACATGTATACGAAATCTAGAATCCAGAAAGACTAATCTAAGTGGGCCAATTGAATCCTTCGAAAAATCCATGTCAAGTGCTATGTAGGAAAGACCATATGTAAGGGACACGCCGTGCTCTTTCCCAAATTCACTTTGGATTGGACTTTTCTTACCTACAAATCAAGATTTACTTTTCCACCCGTTCATCTTGATGCTTTTCTCCCTTGGTTCTGATGTTTCTCACCGAGTTTACCTAGGTATTCTAAAAGTTCAGCGCCAACCCAATTAGGACCTCCACCGTCCAGGACACCAAAATGACCCTAGACTACAGCCCAAAATGGGTGGCTAGTTTTCAACCACTACTGGTCGCTATTGTGATAGCTTGCTATGTCTTAGGCCTCGGAGTCTATCGCTTATACCTGAGCCCACTAGCCAAAATACCTGGCCCTAAAATCGCTGGTAACAAATCCATTCGTTCGTCGTTTCAGTTGGTTGAACGTATACTGAGTGAAATTATTCAGCATTGACAACTTGGTACAATGCTTATTACGATCTCTGGAAAAAGGGACAGTACGTCTGGGTTGTAGAGGACATGCACCGCAAATATGGCCCAATTGTTCGAATAAGGCCTGACGTCGTGCATATAAATGACCCTTCTTTCATCGAGAAAATATACTCGCAATCTCCTAAACAGCGACGAGAGAGGTATCAAACTATACTCAAAACTCTCCAGGCCGCAGGGTCAATTCTTGCGACGCAAGACCATGACCTTCATCGTAAACGTCGGGCAGTGCTCAACCCGCTCTTTTCCCAACAAAATGTGCGTCGTTTGGAACCTGTCATCAATGACGCGCTCGCAAATTTATTCTATAGAATGGACGGATGGGCGAAAACCGGAACACCTCTGCGGATGAATGTCGCATTCAGAGCCGCAACGAAGGACATCATCCAAGCTTATGCATTTGGTGAAGGAGACAAGTGTCTTGATAAGGAAGATTTCAATACTGAGTTCTTCGATATCAGTGCGTGTTTCTTGAAGTCACCTCGCGTCACCTATCATTCGGGATTATTTACTCACAAAATAGCTTCACTCATCCGCACGTACATTAAATGTTGAATAATGATTACTGATTCTAGGTGATACAGTGGCACCAAGCGCTCTTGCTCATGTCGGAACCCATTTCTACTGGTTGGCCACTTTCTTAACCAATATACCACCAAAGATAATGATCAGTTTGGTTCCTAAAATTGGATTATTTTCGCGTTTTGTAGAGGTAGGTGGCGTCCGCCCAGAAAAAGCATCGTTTTAGAGATATTGCACAACTCACACCACATCACAGGGGCTAGCTACCCAAGTCGAAGAGATCCGAAATGCTAAGGAGATTCCTGAAGGGAAAACAATTTTTCATGAAATTATCCGTAGCGATATACCCGAGTCCGAGAAAGGGACCAGGCGACTAACCGACGAAGCTATTGTTATCGTCATCGCGGGAAGCGAAACCACCGCATCCACATTAGCGGCAATCATGTACCATTTGCTCGCTGACAGGCAGTTATTTAACAGGTTGAGAGTTGAGCTAGAAACCGTCATGCCTGATCGTAACGAGCTTCCAGTGGCGTCAAAGTTGGATGGACTTCCGTTCTTGAACGCGATCATACAGGAAGCTATTCGGCTCTATCCTGGCGCCACCCACCGACAGGATCGCACATGTCCCGACGAAGACCTTGTTTACGAAGCGCCAGATGGGCAGACGTACGTCATCCCGGCCGGCTCAGCCGTCGGCATGGCTGCTCCGATTCTAAATCGCAACCCAGGTTTCTATGACCAACCAGACAAATTTCAACCTGAACGCTATCTCGAAAACCCGAAGCTTTTAAAATATCAAATGTCTTTTTCCAAGGGCACAAGGCAATGTATAGGAATTAATCTCGCTTACCAGGAACTCCAAACCTTCACCGCCGGCCTCATCCGTCGGTACGACTTATATGATCCGACTAAGAGGATTCAGAATGGTCCTACGCTGGAGCTTTACCAGACTACAAGGGAAGATGTAACAACACATTCCGACTTCATAACCACTTCGCCATATGAGGGAAGCCTAGGGCTTAGGGTTCTGATTCGAAATTAACTGCCCTGGTTGCGTTTCTGTCAAAGCAGGCTTAGACTATGTTACATATAGGTGTATAGAGCTTGGTCGTGGTTCCGAGTACATAATAAACGAGCAATATAGGTGTCTGTAAAAGTCTGCATCATTCCAGTGGGCACTTGATAAATTTCCAGGAGGTATTATTTATGATCCACCTTAAGTGCATTCCTATCATTTCAAATGCGTAACTCGCTCGATATACGTATATCCAACTCGAATGCATGTATCATGCATATTTGTTTTGAGCGTCCAAATAGACGTAGAGGTAGCCGCCACGCGTTTAGTTGTAAACTACATACCAAGTAGGTAGTTATAGGCAACAATGGATTTTGTAACGATAATATTGTCTTAACATCTTATAACTTTGCGGTCTCGGTCAACTCTCCAACCTTCAACTTTTCGCCGTATTTCTCGAGGACACTCTTGCCATGGTATTTCCAAAATTGTTTCGTCGCATTCTTGCCGGCCATACGTTTAAGGATTTTGGCGCCACCTGGATGCTCGTCAAGGAAATCTAAAAATTGCCGAGGAATCGCTGTTAGAATTAGGTCGTACAACAATGAAGGGGCGGATTGGGATGGGATGTTCTCACTTGTGATGTCGTATACACCACTATCAACAATTATGTACATGCCGGCACTTTCGTCTTTGTGCTCGGCGACATCTTTCGCTGTAAATGTTTTAGACATCGTCACGAGCACTAGATCCGACTATTTTAAGACAATATAGTTGGTCCGTAAGTGAATATTTATTCTTATAAAATCTTATCAAGTGGCTGTTCGTCTGTTTCTGTCCGCTTGTAGAGAAAGTGGTAGAAAAGCAGCTTGTCGCAAGAATTAACTTGCGATTCAACGGATTTGAAAAGAACCTCGGCATAAGAAGAAGCAAGGATTCAATTATCCTCGACATCATTGGTGCATTTTATAAGGTTACTCCCCCTACCATGGTAAGAAAGCCGCGCTAGTACATTCTTGGTATAGTTCCGATGGTCGACCGACAAGGATCTTTACACACTTCCGAGTATTTATGTACCCAAGTACACTTCCCCGATACCGAAGAGGATATCGACTTTTTTGAATACATAGCTCGGATCTACTCCCATCTGTATTCTCGATTGGTATTGGTATGCTAATGTAGGTGGACAACTCACTTTGTCTTTGTTTCTTAGCTCTAATAGATACCTTTACCCAACTTCGTAAATATAAATATACGATATGCATCTATTTTACTCTATCAATACGCCTTTCTCCATGGCTTTCCTAAACAAATCAGCGAATGCCGAAGTACCCCGACAGTCGCTTTCCTGCATCTTCTCTAGAGCCTTAGGCATCCATTCCCCTATTTTTTGTATTCGGTTAAAATTCTACGTGTGGTTAGTAACCGGTCCGGTTTAGGATATTCAAAGGAGGACAGGGTACGTACGGACGGATGAGTACTCATCCATTCGGGTGGTTCTCCTTGTTGTGCCCTCTCCATGCGTTTCCAGAACCCAAGTGCTTCGCGTGGATCATAACACGCCTCCGCCATCATCATTAAGCCGATGTAATCCGCCTCGCTCTCTTGCATACGGCCTTGAGGCCGTGAGAAAAGGAGATCTAAAACTGCGCTGCCGATAAATTGCGTGCCCAATATTGCTATGCCGCCAGTAAGAAATATGATAGAATATAGTAGTATGTTCACACCGATTTGCCCAGACATGCGCTCGGCCACGTGCCCGGCGAGATTATGGGCAATTTCGTGCCCTAGCACCGTTGCAAGGCCATCTTCATTCCGCGCTATGGGTATCAAGCCGCTGAAAACGAAAACTTTCCCTCCAGGGAGGACGAAGGCGTTTGCGGTATCTGAGCATTGCGTGTTAGTCCTTGTTATCGCATCCCGCACGCGTGTCGCCCCCTTTGAGCAAAACAAACCGAAATATGGGGGTCTCACGTACGAGGATCGTCGATTACCCTGATCTCCCAGTCTGCATCTTCCATACCAGAAACGGGAATCAACCTCTTCATGACTCGCTTCACCATAGCCATTCGCGGGTCCCAATCGCTTAAGAACCGGCCGCCGGAGCGTTCCACTTCCCATATTAATCTTTTGACTTGCGCTTCGCTGGCCGCTTCGACTGTCTCGTCGCTGAAACAATTGAAGCGCCGCCTCCCGGATACTGGCACGGTCTGGATATTACTAAAGTAGAATGCGATCGCACCGACGACTGAGAGTACGACGACCGTATGTAGGCTTGGGGAGCGAACAAATTTTTTAAGGCGATCGGAGGTTACGAGGGGTTTAGCTTGTGAGAGGCGATAGTGTGGATCGGGGTTGTAATTTCGTGTCTCGTGAGGGGGACGCGGCCAATTGTTCTTTCGGAGGGATGTGTGGGAGAATGGTCGAAATCGGTGAAGGGAGCGGAAAGAAAGAGGAGAGGTAGAAGGAGATGAGGGCCACGTTCGAATCGTCGTGAGCCGCCCAGCCGGCCGCAGGAACCGAAGCGACTGCATCGTGAGGTTGGTCCTCGGGTGTGTTCGCAGTCGCTGATTATCTTTTAGAAGACTGAGATATTACTTTAATCGCACCTTTCTAGATGCTAACGTTAGGATTGAAATCATGGATTAAATCATATTCTTAACGCGTTGGGAACATGATACCGGGTACATATGCGCCGGATTGTCAGGATAGGGTAGAAAGTGTAGATGTAAATAGATCCTTTAAAACACTTGGAGGTACCTAGGTATGACGCAGTGGGATAAGATTAGGTGCCTACAGGTACTATATTCACTATATTTTATAGGTACTTAGATTTCTACTACTTAACTCAATCCTTTCCCCGCTGCCCCGCCCACCTTGACACTCCTTCGATTCTTTCAATCAAATACCTACATGTAGGTGGTATTTATGTAAACGATTAATTATGTCTAATTTCTTATAATAGAGGCGATAATAATTTATATAGCCCAAACTAATTCGTACATACAAGGCAACCCCAATGTATTATATACAATCATTCAACAAGACACGACTTTATCCTACCACCTAGCTTATAAAACAAGGAAGAAAAGAGCTGCCGTGCCCATGAGGGTGAAGCTGACACCCGTCTTAATACCACCACTAACCTCGACGATACCACTGCTCACGGGGACCACGGATTCGGTCGATATAACTCCGGGGTAAGTGACAGACGTCAGGGTGGCATTGTAGCCGACGTTGACGCTTGTGACGGGGACTACTGTTGCCGTTACAACAACGCCGACCTCGCTGTTACCGCTACCACTGTTGCTGCTTCCGGTTGCCGATGGATTAGCCGGGTTGTTCGCCGTAGCGATATACGTGGTCGCGACTATGTTCGTCGCCTGGCTCTCACTCCCTGGGTTGCTGACGATGCCGGTGCTTTCGCTCGGCTTGTTTACCACGCTGCTGCCGCCAGCTGGCTTGCTAGAGCTTGAACCAGCATTACCGTTGCCGACGGGATACACGGTTGTGGTCACACCAACCTCGGTAGTGATGGAGCCAACCGGGCAGTTTGTAACTGTCGGCGCGCACGATGTAATGGCATACGTTCGGGTCACCTCGACGGTGCTCGTAGCGTAGCTCCCGGGCGCTCCAGCGGTTGTCGTTGGCTTAGGCTGCGAGCCGGTTCCTGTAACAGGGCAAACAGTGGTTCCGATCGAGATAACCTCGGTCGTGACGTAACCACCAGCCGGGCAGTTGGTAACGGTCGGGGCACATGATGTGATGGTGTGGACAGTCGTCGTGTAAATGGTTGAGGTGGTCAACTCTTGCGTGGCCGATACGATGTAAGAGTTGCTGGAGTCAGTGGATGCTACAGCTCCGGAGGAAGAAGACGTTGTTGCCTGTCCCAATGTAGGGTAGCCGCCGCCAGTTGCGAGCGAGCCGGTGGAAGAACCGGTCGTGGTAGCCGACACGCTTCTAGTTGGTGACACAACGTATGAGCTCGAACTATCTCCATTATCGTCGGTGCACGTTTCATCGTCGTCATCCGAGGCGCTTGATGACGTAGCGCTATACGAGGCTGAACTAGTGGAGGAAGAGTTGGAGAAGGAGACCGAGCTGCTCAACGTGGAAACAGAGCTGGTAGAAAGGGTTGTCGACGAGGTTGTTAAGATGGCCGAAGAGGAGGTGGATGTGCTGACCGTGCTGGATGTGGTAGATGTGCTGGAAGAAGTTGCTGGGTCTTCTACCTGCTGGTAGATACGGATATCCTTGACCTTGAAATTGACCCCAGAGAAATCATCGTTCTTTTTGGCGACATATTCAGGGCAAGTAGCATATCCAGTCTTAGCCTTGCAGCTTGCGCCCCATTTATCAGTCTGACCGGCAACAGCGCAGAAGTCGATGTTGAAGACCATCTTCATGTCTCGGAAAGCCTTGTCAATGTCGCACTCCTTGATCATATACGACGGTAGGCCCCAGAGAAGACTGGGCGATGGCTTGCCCTTCAAAATATCTTGAGGAGCAGATGCACGCGGCCAATCCCAAATTTTTAGGTAGTCCTCAGTCCATTCCATCGCAAAGATGCCACCAGAGGAAGACCCAAAGGTAGCCGAGTATTCCGAAGCAGAGCAACCTTGGTATTCCCACTGTCCCTCGGCGAAGTCATAGCAGTTGGAAGAGTCGATCGTTGCCGTCATACCGTCCGCTACTAGTTTACATTCCCCAACGACATCCGGATCATCAACATGAGCCGTATGACGGTTGAAGGTGAGGTCGTTCCAGTTCTCATAGATATCGATTTCGCCCTTGGTCGGCCATGGCTCACCAAAGAACCACTAATGATATATATCAGTTATAAAGTACGTAAGACGGGGGTGAGATGACTTACAAATGCAGGCCATGAGCCACACACCGGCTTGGGGAGATAAGTGAAATCGGCAATGACCAGACCGTGGTTATAAACGTTCTTGCTTTCCAGTCTAACACTCTTTCGTCCAACTCCCGAAGGGCTATAATCACCCTTAGTGTGGTCTACGCCGATATATACCTCATCGTCCTGGTATTTAATGAGACCAAGGTTTTTTGCGTTGGCTTGGCTTTGGTACTGGACATAACCGCCGTTGGGATCGCTATCCTAATTGAAAAACTTAGCGCCTAGCCATAGGGACCAAAGCCTTAAAGCCAGTCACTTACTGTAACGAAGTTGAACTTATCAAAAAAGTTTGTCGAGTTGTAAACCTCGGAAACCTTGTAAGACTTGGTAGCACCAGCGTGGGCAGCCAAAGCGACAGCAGCCGCACCGACCGTTTTAGAGAGGGATGGAGCCATTGCTATGGCTATAGTATGTATATATGAACGAGTGACTAGGGATACTTAACGAAAGGACGACGTATAGTACGTCGAAAAGGTCAATGACTCCTCTGCCTCGAGATAAGAACTTGACAAGAGCAGAACGACAGAGGTCAAGAGGAGGACCTTTCAAGGCCGATTCAGCGGCCGTGGCATATTTAAGGGGGTTATCTATGAACAGGAACCCCCCAAATAGCAAGTATGAGGCTTAGACGATGACCAATAGCAATAGGCTTAGAGTAATGTCTAGACGCTGCAGACCAGCGGCGATACTACTATTTGGCAGACTCTAAGTACATAGGCTCACTCTTCGCTTAACTAGCGATGCTGCTATTGGGTGAAATTACTCTATGTCATAATCCATACTTGTGTGCCACGGAAGTTAACTTCCATTCTTGGGTTATGATCCGATTCTTGGGAGATTCTAGACTATAGCGAACACCTACATAAGTAACAATACAGTGGACATTATGGGGACTTTAGACAAAGCCGCGGTGCGAAAAGCTGAGCGTTAGCCCGGCTTGGCCCCTTCAGTTCCGGACTGACAAGGAATAGCCGCTGCCAATGTGACAGGCTAGTGCTTCGGGTACCTGAGCTAGCAACAACATCCTCAACGATGTATTTAGACGAATTTTTTTGTCCACAATAAATGTATCAAGCCTAGTAAACTCCAATAGGAAAATAGAGAAATATATCTCCGCCCGTCTACGTATAATTACAACTACGGCTAGGAAAGGACGAGAATTTCCAATAAGGTAGGCAATAACAAGAATATTTACCAACATCAGATACCAGTAAGGATCGACTAATACAACTATAGCATGTAAAATTCTACCCTGGTGGGCTGGCGTATCCACGTGGGTACATAAGGACTAGTTAGAATATTCGACTGCCCCTATTTAAGATATAACGCACCTCCTGTATGGAACGCATCGTTTTCTGTTGTTCGATAGGCTGATATTTCAGCTCCGGACTACCACTATCACTTACGTTGGCTTTAACTAAATCGAGGAACGTAACAGTCATGGTCTAAACATATCGTCAATTTGGATACCATCCCCGGTCTAGACTCCGACCAGCCAGTCAAAGCTTGGCGGATGCTGGCACGATGCTGCTAACCAAATTAATGCTATGATCAGCTCTTGATCAAGATCCCCGGGGTCCGCAACTACTCTGCTATCGATCATCGGATACTTCCCTGCATCACATCTCAGCCCAAACTGGTAATGATCTGTTTACCGATTCAAGCCACTTTTCATAGTACAAAATGGCCCTAATTCCATAACCTGAAAATTCAAAAATACCTACGTAACTGCCTCAAGCAGAGTACGTCTCCGATGCAGCGGGACATGCGTTAACTTATTACCACAATTTGCGGTCCCTCTCACAGTCAAATCAAAATATGGATCTACTGTACATGGAATGGTCTATCAACTTTTCAGCCCTCCTAGACTTTTAGGCACAGATCTAGTGATTTAATTTTCAAGTAGTGATCTTAACTTTCGACGCATCACCGCTTACTTACGTCGACGGCACGACTACCTAGGTTCCTAAGTATTAGGTAGTCTTCAGCGTGAACTTAGGTAGCGCCAAACATTTAACCGCCCTGCACCCCCGTCCCTCCCGTATCGCTTAATGATAAGGCGTATGTATACGTTCCAATGTACCGCCTATGCTGTCTGAGCAATATCCTGCTTTGTAGGGCATCCATCCAACCAACCAGTATCCCATCCTTCGTCCTAATCGGCGCGAGTATTTGTCTTTAGTCTGTTAAGATAGTGGCGTTCCTTGGTGCCTATTTTGTGTTATACGGAAAGCGATAGGCAACCCCTTTAGGGTAGCTACGAACCTTTCACCGTCATTTTTAGCCACACCAGGCGAAGCCATAGGAGGAACAATCTACATCGAATTGAACTTGCCTTATATTCAATCGATATATAATTCCTCCCTATGTTTTCTCTTCTCCTCGAGGATCCTCTTCTGCCGCTGTTGCATCCACACAAAGCCAAACACGGCGAGTATGACAACTACAGGGACAACTAGTCCGGCGGCGATTGCTGTGTTGTTGTTAACTCCATTACTGGCAGCTGGCTGGTTGGTCGGTTTAGACGGTATTATTATTGGTTTATTGAAGGGCTATATCTCTCATAAGCATCCGTGAATATCATTTATAGGCAACACTGATTTAATCCTTACATCGTCTGGATCAATTTCGTTCGTATCTTCTTCTGACTCGGCGATTGTGAAATATGGCGAGAATGCAAAAGCTGATACTGACGTCTCCGATTCTACCCAATTCTGAGACAACACTTCTACCTCATACTTAGATGTTTCGAGATATGGTAGCGGGTATGGTACGGTTTTCCATAGGAAGGAAGAAGCATTAAGCCCAACTATCACCACGTGTGAGAAAGTTCGATATGATTGCAAGGTGGACGCTTACTCGTGATGTTTACTTCCAACGAGTTTGCGCCGTATTCACTCGTCTGGTTGATAAGCCTAGAGCGGATAACAAGAGGATAGTCGGTCGCATTAGTTGAATTCCACTGCAGCAATAAGTCGGATCCCCGAGTAACATTATTGAAACTATTTTGGAAGCCCGCTAGGCAGAACGCCCATAGCTGGCTGAATATGGAGATGACCAAAAACCCCCTTAATATCATATTCGAATTCTTAAGGAGATGATGCCGGGATGAGTAACAAAATGCGACCGCGACGATGACTTTAGAGAAACGTCCTTTTAGAACGAGGAAACGTCTTATATCGTCGTAGATATGCCCATGCCACTTTTATTATGAATGCGTTGGGCTAGATATGTAGCGAAGTAGCCAAGGTTGATAATAGGCAAATATGGATATAGTGCCCGTTCGCCCAATTCGATCTTTAATTAGGTAAACTCAAGACTATTTCCTTTCGCATTTGAACATTCAATTCCCGTTATTATACCTAGGCAATCCGATTCCTATTATCAGTGGTTGGTTTACAAGATGGACATTTACATATTTCCACGATTGGATAATTCAGTATCTGCCCTCATTTACACCCTTATGTTTCGATGGTACTTCTTCTATCAGCCCACGAACTCACTAAAATAAAGAAAAAATAAAATAACAACAACAACAACAAAAAAAGGTCTAGTGATAAGGTAGTATTAAAAGTGATATATTTAGATTAAATATCCTCTATGAGATAAGTTGCGGTTGGTCCAAAGTGGAATAGGAGTATGGCTAAATTAAATGGAATACTGCCTACCAATCAGAACATCCTCTTCTATATGCCTTCCATATTCTCGGAACCTCAGATATGCCTTCCGCATATGAAAATTTCTTGCATAAGTAGCGAAACTCTAAGTGGTGTAGGTGATACATGTATGTTTATCTTTGTGGCACCAAGGCGAATCATCACAGCAGAGCGCACGGAATCAGCCCATTTCAGGGGTCTATGTGGGTTGCGACCACCACGATAAACATCTCAATTTTTTAGTTTTCTATGAAAAGTCTAATGAACTAGACGGATGACATGAGTATAAAAAGATGCGTTATTCATTTCTACTGGTGAATCGCGTCCCTTTTAACCATCTTCAACTTCCAACCCACGATCCACATTCTTCAACTTTCCACGCCGGCTTTCTACGCCTTCCTTAATATTAGGTTGATCATTAATTCTTTAGTCCCCAGGGACGAGGCTCATGTCAAGCCTTCAAACACGGCATCGCTGTGTCCTACAATAGCGTCAAAAAAGGCCGTCTGCTGAACACGGAGTTCAGTCGTGGAGCAGACCACGTAACAAACGCCATATGCTTGCCACGGCTTAAAGTGCGGTCGTGGAGACAAGACACGTAAATCAACCGCTGCACTGTCACAGAACCAGCGTTAAAACGGTGGCACATGACGGGCTCGATATATATCTCTAGCCAGAATATCTCAAGAACTTTGTTTCTTGACTTTCCGCGGTGAAGCATCCGCAGTATAAGCTGGGCTAGCTTCTACCTCGCTTATTGAAGAGTGGAGATGTGAACCTTATTAGTATCAGGTTGACGCTTGAAGACCAGGGAAGGCGTGGATGATCCAAGGGTTTCCAATGGCGGAAAAGAAAAGAACACATGGTAATTTATGTTGTCGATAACCCCTCTTTCTAGACAAAAGCTGTCGCAAACTATGGTCCGCTATGTCGTATTCGCATCGTCATCGAAAGGTCGAATCTTAGACAACGGATCACGACGGACCGGCACGAAACCAAGAAGCATAGCAACTTCGATAAGAAGAACATTCAGCAAGGTTCCCTTTGCTATACGGCGAGGATGAGTTCCCATCCATTTTTGTTTTCGTCTGAAAAATAATTATGCCCCTATATTGGCATCCAAAGACTACCTAGTCAAAACCATATTCCCCGAGCACATGTTTATCGTCAACTGTTACCTTGAACTCAACTCCACATGAGTCTAAACCTATAACAGCTTACCAAAACCTTGATCCCAAACGTATCGGGTACGTTTGGTGGGGTTATCGATGTGCCGTACTTCCAGTTCTTGCCGGCTATACGGAAAGATATCGTCATTAAGGCGTCTAATTCATCGAACCATCGCCGAGTAAGTCGTGCGTCAGACTTTTAATATCCTCTCATGATTCATTAACCACAGCGGTGCTCGCATTGCGAAGCGGTTTCGGTATGAATATCACAATATCAACATGGGCATGTCCACATGTCGATACTGTGTTTTTACTCGAACGCCGTATAGACGAAGAGGCATCCGGCCTATCAAATTTGACCAAGTGCACTTGATGACATTACAAAGAGTAATTTGATAAGCCGTTGTAGAGAAATAAATCGGTGTCGCCCGATGCTGAGCCTATCGTTGGGTCGTAGACTAAACTAGCTTGTTGAAAACGCTGTGCCGTTTCCTGTTCACGTTTAAGCCTGATGTATTCTGCTTGGAGGTTCGAATAGGCCTGGCTGAGGACATCATTCTTTTTCTGGGCCTCGCCTAGCAAGATTTCAAGATCCTTGATGCGTTGATCCTTTCGTTCGCGATAGGCTCTTTGAGATGCACGATTCTGAGCTCGTCGGCGCTACAACCAATAGTTTTAGTGGCTTGACCTCATAACCACATCTCTCAGATGAGCTGTTCAGCTTACAGACAGGACCGAGGGCGGCGCATTCTTGTATCTGTTCTCACGTTTTCTCTTCGCTGCAGGCTTTGTCGCAGGCTGCTGCGGCTCGGTCTGCTTCGTTTCTCCTGACTCGTCTGTATGCTCAGGGCTAGCATATATCCCTTGGAAAGATAAATCGTACTGTGAAGTTTCTGTTAGTCGGTGACTAGCTAGGTATACAATACTTGTGCATGAGCGACTCACCGGCGAATCCATAGGGCTGGAAGTAGCTGATGTATTTGTGGAGTCTAGATATAGGTCCGCATCGCCGTATACATATGACATCGACTTGGAAGGCGATGTAAGACCAACGATGTTGTCAATGTCGTCCATTGTTATGTGAGTATATTGAGGGTTTTTTTTTCTATCCTCCCTTGAAGGTAAGACTAGAGAATGCGAAGATGATAGACCGAGGGGCTTGAAACGTTGGGGGTTGTTTTGGGGGAAATGCAGAAAGAGCTTTAAACAAAACAAGATATCACTTAGGGGATGTTATCGAGGATATATCTTGGGTGTTCGTCTCTTTGGAGCTGGGAGAGTTTAACATGCATCATTCATATATGATAAACGCACCAAGTCTCACCTACTTACAAATATCCTTGTTGGACTAGACAAGAGGTCGCGTCGTCAACCTGCAGCGTTGCAGAAGACTCATGATGTACTCACAAGTACCTCACTATCCCTGTCTGAACTTGCAGGCGGAGCAGCCGTCTAACCGCATACGGGGTAACTATATACCAGGGCATGAGGGCTGGAGGTCTATCCCAAAGAGGTAGTAGAGGAGAACCCGAAGACCGGCATCGTTAAGAGTGAGTGGGGTTTCCTTCGGGGAATAGGTCCTCTTCGGCGACAGGGAACTCGGAAAACGAAGATTACCTAAGCCAGGTATTAACCAGATGGAGTCAGATCGGCTCGCGTGGCGTGGTGGCGTTTGCAGAGGCGAGTGCAGAATACTAGGTACCTAGGTAGAGGATGAAATATCAACCTTGATGCTTGGTGAGCAGCGCCGACCTACCAATTTACATATCTCTCGCACTTAGGCTGATACTTATACTTGAGTACATGGACCTGCCCTTGGCTTCGTGCAAAGGCCGAGGAGTTGTAGGACAATTCACTTTTTTCCTCGACACCAATATCATATCCACCTATTGAGAATCCCCAGTGCTAGCTGGATGTGACGTTTAGCATCGAACGTGAAAGCGTCGTGAATATAGTTGTAGGACTTGAGATACACGATCGCAAATACCTGCCTGCATCCGATAGACTTGCGGAACATTTGCGACCAGCTCTGGAGTTCCTAGCCGCACCGAATCTGTCTTGCCGCCCAGCCCCGTCAAATATTCTGCGGCAGACATGTCCCGGCGGATGGAGGAGCTGTCGTTACCTGTCATCGGAACCTGGTTGCATTCTGATTACCAATTGGTATTTATTCTAAAATTGGTAAAGCGTATGTCTCTTATGCTCGACTTTTACGCGATATCCGCGCTGCGACAGCCTACTGTACCTAGGTACTGACAATGCATGGCTCGTTAGGAGTTAGGATCGACATGTCTATCATAAATTAGGTACCTAGGTAGGCACCAAGAAAAATTGTTCAATTCGTAATCATAACCCTCCGACATCCCCACAGTTGCAGCCCAAGCCCTAGAGAACCGGGTCTAGGGCATCGTACCTTGGAAGAACATCTAGTAATGTGTCGACGGATATCAAACCCTAGCTTTCAGCATCAGGTTTCTGTTGATAACCCTAAGCTTTGATAGGGCCGAGAGAATCATCCTAGGACACAATCCCAATGTTGATTCGGCGTACTGGCCTGCGGAGGCTCGTCCGCAATGCACCTACCGAGGTACCTAGGTGAATATGCTCACTCCCTGAATTGCGAAGTAGCGACAGCCCCAAGATGACAGCATCACCCACCTAATCTACCATAAGCACCCAAACTGTACTCTGTAAACCAAGCCGCAAAGTGTCAGCGGCGTCAAAGCGTACATCGAATTCCTACATCGATACACAACGTCGTATTGCATCAAATTCACCCCACATAGCAAGAGCTCACTATAAGATGGTCTGCGTTTATACCTATGTGCGACTGCTGACAAACATACACGATATCTTTGAATATTGTGTCAGCTATTAAGTGTGTATTTATATATCGCTTGAGATGATTCTTAATAATATAGTCTTGTAATGGTAATATGAAGCGCGGATAGTCCCTAGAAGTTTCCTAGCAAAGCAACTAAGGCTCAAGAATTTTAATTAATTTATAAGTCGAGACTATAGATCGCTAGATCCCATCGGGGAATCGAGCCCACGCATAAAGACGTAAAAACCGGTAGAGTAGATAAGAGGAATCTAGAAACACAAGTCAAAGTTCAGGTGTGTATCTCTGGAATGAAGTTGGGACTTGCTCTTCGCAAGTAGAAATCCGAGTATTGGCCTTCAAGCTTGACTGGGGCGCTACTGTAGATCTCTTGGCACATCTATCTACTACTTGCAGGGATCTACGGCTGCTCCCTTATTCGAACTGGACTGGGGTTCTGGTCGGTATTTTGGTGTGATCGCTCGCGGGACAATATAGGTACCTAGGAACACACCTAGGTATATGAAGTATACATGTACAGAAAGACGATGGCGTTTGACGGCGGATTGACTAGTCGGAACGTCCCCCAATACCTACACTTGAGCTATTCCCGAATCTTACATAAGACAAACTTTTCTTTCTTTTTTTTGGATTAGAAGTTTTATTTTACTTTTTAATGTTCGAGTCCTAAGTCCTTCTAAATGTCCGCCTCCAACTCCTCCGGGGTAGTAAGAATTTAGGGGCCTCGGAAATAGAGAAAATATGCATTGTACCTGATGCTTACTATCAATGTATGAGTTCAAGAGATTCTTCGCCATTTAGAGAATTATAATCTAGCTGGGCCGCAAAACTACCGCAACGAGTAGGTAGAATTGAGAAAGGGACTCACAAGCCGCGCAGGAACAAGAGTATAACTCCAATATTTAACGACATATTCGTTTATTCCCGTGACAAGTATTACCCAGGGGCAATTCCATCACCTACCTAGCTATCATGTTGCTGCAGAATATGCCCACCGCCTAGACATATATCAAATTCTAGCAAAGCCGAGACCATTCATGTGGGTCGTGGAGTTGTTAGTTTGGTCGACTAGTCTGCGATATATCACAAAATCTAACCCGCAGTGGTTTCCTAATGAAGAGTTTGGAAGCTTTTATGTAGTGTATACCCCTTGGCTCTGCAAGATGCCTCTTTAATCTTAGAAAATGTCCGAGCAAAGTGAACTCAGGAAGGGCCAAGACAGACCGGCCGTGCTACCTGGAGGATAGCCAGTTAGATTCCACATGAAGTCAAATGACAAGTTTGTTGTCAAATAATAATAACTTTAAGCATCATGTATGTATGAGCGTATGTATGTCAGAATAAAGTTGCAGTGTCGGATCTGTAGTAGAAAGAAAATGGGCTTCAGAAACGCATATCGCAACGAGCCGAGGCGCTCGTCGCTCGTGCTCGTGGTCGTGGTTCATTCAGGGAACCAATAAGCCCGAAACTTGTTGGCGAATAGACAAGGTAACATCTATTAACTGGGCTATATGCTCCGGCCCAGGGATTCTGACAGGTCAGCGGGCATGCACTCCGCCCTTCCCCGCGGCCCTACTATGATTTGCTGGATGCGGACGCGAGAGCGGCAATTGACGTATGGTACCTCCGTGTACAGTTGATTGATTCTAGAACATAGGATCTCTTTCCTGGGTTATGTTTAGGATCGGAATTGGCACTACAATTGCAATTGTACTTTATCCAAGTATTAAACCCGGGGTTGATGAACAGGCAGAGGCTAGTAGTAGTAGAGGAGAACATCTAGGCAACCTGCGTTTTCGTGAGATAACGATGTTAACGGCTTCAGCATAGAACTGCATGTATCCCAGCTGATCTAAATAAAGCGTCATGCCGAACCCCGAGGTAATTTTATAATCAGCAAATATGTAAGCAGATATTCTGCTGCAGGTTCGGAGCCCCGGCGGTCGAGTTCACTGCACTGGTCAATCTTCTCTCCGTTGATTCCGCTCCCGACCCGCGTCACGATTGCCACTCCGAATGGTATCCAAAGTAATGTCACCTAAGACTTGTGCGAGGAATCCCCGAGACATTGAAATTGCCTCCGTATCGAGGTGTTGCTATTTTTGATAACTGTCCCGTGCATTGATAGTTACCTTTTCTGCGTAAAGAATTTCTTGCGGCAAGATCAACATCTATACCCACGACGATTCTCGCGATGCCTCTCATCCACCTATTACCAAAGTTCCTCTCGGCAATTCCATTGTCTTTAAAAACACACGCTTCATATGATTCGGCCCCGAAGTGGCCTGACAGATCTCCTATCGTTGTCCTATTCTGGCCGTATTGTAAATCAAAATAATCACCATGCATTGTATCTGTTGGTAGAGATATTCGTGCTTAATCTGATGGTGGATATCTACTATACTACATAATTCATAAGGGAGGGTTCAAATGTCTGCGATATGACGAAGCCCTTGTTCCGAGGAATGAAAAATATCGTCGCAATGCTGGTATTGTTTGATTATGCAGATCTAGTTTATGACGTCTTGGGTAGGCGTGTTAGGCCCTCCTGGGCTTGCATGGCACCCTCTTCAAAGGAGATCCTTCTACTTAGAGTCAAACCCTCCTCGAATCTACGCCTGGCTTCTTCGAGGTCCCCTGCCATGGTTGCAATGTCTCCAAGGTTGCAGAGTGCTACGGCACAGGCTTCGTCACATTCGCTGGTTCTATCCTCGCCCTGCACCTTCCGTGCTGCCTGTTGGGCTTGTAAAGCCCACGAGCGGGCACTAGCTAGAAGGGCAGCTCGCGTCGGTTGAGCACCCACGGCGGGCCCTCCTACTTGGGAGGATTGGCTTGAATTGGACGACACGTGGATAGGTTGCTGCGCCAGGGAAATTGCTAGGTTGTTCACTTTCAGGGGCTTGTAGTTAGCATAAAGTCCGAAACAGAATCATTCATCAAAATGTATGGAAAGGGCAGGGAAGAGAAATAAAATAATAGATATATAAACACTGAACGAATCAAATTTCTCCTTACTTAATACGGCGGTATGACAACTATTAGAGGGCGAAAGTGAAATAGCTTGAAGGAAGAGCGGCGCCGCGAGGTAGTACTGTGACTTGGACTCGTAATGGTTTCCCAAAGCTGTTCTTACTTAGTCATAACTGGGCTTGAATGGTAGGGTGCACCAACAGCGCCATTATGGCGGAAAAACGGGATGACATACCTTCCAGCGCACCACCAATTTGCCCCGGGCTCATCCAATCCCCCTCACCCGCCTTCACACCCTCAATTTGGCGCCTCTGCAATTCTTTTAATACGGTCTCGACTGCCCATACTAAGCGTTCACCGGCCGAGTCGCTTTGAAGGACATGCTCATCAGAATAAAGCTCTCCAAGCTTGACGCTAATCCCAACGGATTTCCCTAGTATCCTCGTCCTCTTAGCCCATAGGTTTTCTGGGGCTATATGTGCCTCGGACTCAGCATCTGCTTCTGCTCCAGCGCGTTGCGTTTCTAGTGAGCCTACTAGCCTTCCCGAATTGTCAACCAACCCGTCCTGAACACCCTTTTCCAATTTTTCAACCCATTTTCCGCAATCTTGTAGGAGCGCCTCTAGGACCTCAATGGAATTTTTGTAGCTGCCGATTTTTTCAAACCAAGCAGCTAATTGAATCCTAATCCCCATAACTTCATCAGAGAATGGGTCAAGACCGGCTTCCGAACACTGCTCCAACGCCATCTTGTAATATTTGAGGGCTAACCTCGGATCCGGTGTATAATTACTATAGTACAGAGCACGGCGAAGGGACTTAGCGATCGGTGGAGGGAATCGAGTGAACTGCTTCGACTGAAAGTAATTGAAATAAGCATAACCTACGTAAACGGATATGCCAGCTATACCGCATAGGCTTCAGGCAATTCTCGAAGGTTAGTAAGTCATCCACTCTTTAGTCTGATCGGAAGGGAAATTCTCTTACAGAGCAATAGCAAGGACGAGTTCTTCGGGACTTTGTCGAAATAGAGAACGAAGACTCTGGCCTCGAAAGGCGCTGAGCAGGGGACGAAAACTTAAGCCCTGTTTTAGAGCTCGCAGAAGAAGTTTCGATGGGGGTAATGGTGGTTTCTGTTCTGTTGGTTCGTGTGAAGAGGATTGGTATCGCTGTTGTTGGACAATATGAATTATGGCCGCCTCAGTACCTGCGACTCTGGCGCATTCTAATCGAGTCGAGAACCACGGCGCAACCAGTCTAGCTGATCTCCGACGGATGCATTGAGCATGCATGAAACTGCTTCTGGAGCCAGAAGACAGCCTTGCAACATTGCGCGAACTCGACATTGTAAGTATTAAATATACTGTTTACTATCAACGGTAGCGATGAGCCATGTTTTTGTAACAACTACGACTACTTGAAATAGTAAAAGTTGATGACGTTTTATGGTTGTTGTTTGGTTCGCGAATTTCACTAATGAATTTCAATTAGCGCTGGAGCTTATAGTGGACAACATTATGTAAGTCATTTGCCCCGCCAAAGTTAGCTCAATCAATTAGCTACATTAGGCAAGCTAAGGTACATGTATTGATTGATATATGTACCTCGGCTGCTGCAAGCGTATATCTTACGCATGGACCACCCCACATGTACATACCTTTCTAAGCATATCAGATCAGTTCCATTGCAAATGACGAAGTACCCTAATCCTTTTCCTACCTTCACTTCACCTACATAAATCTGCTTACCTCTCCCGCCTACCTACTTTACTCTTTTAAATCCACAATCACGCAAAGCAAACATTTGATATCGATCAAACGAGAAAATGGCAGCAAAATTTGAGCCCAAGGCTCCTGTGAACCTAGACCCTCCTAAGAATGATATTATCTCTGTCGAGGAATTAGCAAAAGCCGATGGTGGGTTGACCCCGTGAAGTAACTCCGAATATATAAAACCATATGTGCCTGGAGCGACATACCGACCCTCACTGCTATTCTCTTGTCATCATCATAATTCGAAGTGGAATGCGTGTTTTTCTGATCACCCCAACATAGGTACCGAGGGACAAAAGGCTTATGTGGCAATCAAGGTGCGTTTATTCATTCTGTTGTGTCTCCTATCCTCACTATCAGTTCAAAATTGACTGTGTACCGACCTTTTTCAGTGTTTGTAGTCTAACATGCTGTTTTTAGGGCAAAGTCTACGATGTCAGTGGCAATAAAGCATATCGGGAAGGGGGTTCATACCATGGTACGTGGCAGTGTTTCATTCACCATGAGATACTACTATTCAAGCTCCCTTTTCAGAAACACCGATGTCCCTATGGTAGCTAAGTGTGCCTTGTCTCTTGTTTGCTATCCAGCTATCTGAAAATTGGAGTATCCATCTCATGTCTAACCACATCCCTCCTCGTTATTTTGAATTGGCTCTTTAGGTGTGGAAGAGTAGAATAGGATGCTTGCTAATTCATTTAGTCTTCGCCGGGAAGGACGCTTCTCGTGCGTTGGCGAAGACGTCAACGAAGGCAGAAGATGTAAAGCCAGAGTGGCAGGATTTGGGTGACAAAGAAAAGCAAACATTGGACGACTGGAATACCTTCTTCTCAAAGCGTTATAACGTTGTCGGTGTCGTTCAAGGTGCAACCAACCAGGAATAGTTGGCATGCTAGTGTACATACGTGTGTTGGCGCGCATTATCGGGCTCTAGCAACATTCACTCATCGAAAGTCATGAGGGTTTCCTGAATAATCTTGGGTACCAAACCGCGGTAATGGGACATTGGCCTAAATCGATCCGCTCAACCTTATAGGACCGATGTGGAAACACGGCCGAATACCATACGCATCAATACACCCATGACCGACAGTGAATACAGAAAATCCTGCCTCACTTAAGGCCAGATACCTAGGTACCCATTAATTAGGCTACTAACTTTCAAGCAAGAATAGAGGCTAGTCTTCGTCTTGAAGGTTCTCTAGATGTCATACAGAAATAAATTACCTAGGCCCAGAAGACTTTTCACGACTCCTAAGCGTAAAGACATGTCCAAATTGCCCTGGAGAATCATGAATATGGGCCAAACTTTAGTGTGATTACTCCTAACAGGCTTATTGGTTGCGACTGAATATATCTGTTCCTCCCCTATTAAATGGATAATTATCTTAAGATCGTGCCCCGAATAGTACTTCCTAACCTATGCCACTGTACGTCTGTTTTCTGGCATAAGGTCCTCGATCGAGTCTCATCAACTACCTAGACGATACAGAAATACCTATCCTGGTAGGTACTCAGATAGATATGGCTTCGTCAAACTCAACGGGCCTGACACAGGCGAGTACACAATGCGTTTCGCTATGTGGCATCATTGGGAATTCCCGAATGGAAACAGCAACGTGCCAGTTAATGATTTGGTTAGACTAAGTCATTTCCATATTCTTCTCTCTCCAATCCATAATAATCGATACAAGTAACCACCTAAGCATATAGGCAGAGGGCGCATAAGCAGATTCTGAATCGTATAAGCACGTCCCACAGACAGCTGTCTATGCATATTTGTCCCCCCTTTCGAAACAATTCGCCAAAGTTCGTGGTAGTCGGTGAGCAACATAGAACCTTTTCTGCTTCGCTGCGTCCTCGACTCAAGCGATCGGAATAGCACATCCCGAGGCTGCATATGAACAGCCCACATAGGTCTGCCTAGACTGCTGTATTCAGTTCTCATGGATCTTGAAGCTTTTCGCGGACGTCATCCGACGTCAAACTGAATGCATACTGTATACTGCGTAATCCCCGGCAATATCTATCTCTTATGCCCGTACAGTATTCACCTCGCACGATGAGGAGGGGCCCATATCTTTCCATTCACCAAGCGAAATCCATTCTCGACACATTTTTCGCAGAGCTGTCCTGCCTGGAGCCACGAGTCTCGGAGCTTCTTGACTCCAAGGCAAATGTGATTGGGGTCGTTACGTGCGAAATGGCAGTAGGACTTCAAGCGACATACTGAGTGGTTGCATTCGAACCGGAACTCATCGTAATCGCACATCGTTGCCGCTTAAGAAATAAATTCTGGCAGGAGTTAGCCGAGCTTTTAAGCAATGTTATCAAGAGGAAATTTGTATAGTCTTTACTCACGAAAACCAGGTTGAGATGTTTGTTTTCAATTGCAGGGGGCTATGTCAAGTTAGATGTTGATATATTAGATGAGGTGTTCCGTTCATACCTCGAATTGCGAAAATAGGAAACAACATGAGATCCAGTGAAAGCGTAGAGTGGTGTCCAAGAGTACCTAGCACCATAACTTTAACCGATGAGATGAGGCTCTTCTTATATAGAAACCATGTTTGCTCCGTTCCCAAAGATACTTAACTTTTGGTGACATAATGACAGGGACAAACAGCTAGGAGGTTTTCTCATAATTAGAATAGTGAGGAGATACTCTATCGTTCTGTTTTACGCAGCTTTCCTCCGCTAAAAGGGGAAACTCGCATTAGCTACTTAGCTCGTCCACATATATTGTACTGTTCTTATCGAGGACGGCCGACTTGTCATATTTCCCCTTGCTCCACGATCATTCTGTCACAGCAAGATTGCGTGGTACGGCGTGCCTGTAGGGGACGAGTCATATGTTTTCCGTAAAGCTCCAGGAATGATATAATGAGGTACTCCTTTGGATATCAAATTCGAAGTACTCGCCTAGGTCAACTCGAGTATTGACTTGGTCGCGCTGGAAAGTGATAACGAAATAAGAAGAACTCCGAGACCCGGGCACCTCGTAGAGCTATATTGCCGCCCATTGGGCATCAGGGACTACCTAGGGTTTGCTGAAGCCCCTTCATGCCTAGAGGATCCGTAGAGAAAGGACGGGGACACGCTTAACCGTTCACCCTAGCGGGCGGGCTTTGAAAATGTCTGCTACCGCTGACCATGACTACCTAGGTACATATAAATATTTCATAACTTGAGAGAAAACGGTTAGTAGCTTCAACGGAGCTAGACCGACCATTCCGGAGAGCTGGTGTTACCAGTATATACGCTATAAAAAGGGCTTCGATGTACCAACCTACCAGCTACCTTGGGTACCTAGGTAGGTATTTACCTACCTGCAGGTGAGTAGAGTACCTAGGTAGCCATCCAATATTTAATATTGGAATGGAGCCCAGTTTGCGCCAGTGCTGGACCCCCCCTAGGTACGGCACGGCCCGAGAGCACAAGGGAGCAAACAACCCACCTTCAATCCAACGCGTAGATGCTGTCAGAACTCTAGACTGCAGTCAACACGTACGTAATGAGCACGACGGATCGCTACCGAGATTGTGATTTCGGGAGCGTTTGGCATCTAACGCCAATGACTCCTTGAAGTACCACGGAGATGCGAGAACTATCGTTCATGACGCATCGGACAATTGACACTTGTCGCACATAATCAAGTAGTTTCTCAGGCTACTGGCCGTTGCTGCAAAGATCCGGGTTGAACGCTTCAATTTCGTGCTACCAATATCATTGACTATTTGTTAAGGAAACGCTAGCGACCTTGATGGGTTTCGAAAGGAAGACGACATGATCGATCCAGTTGTATATCTAGGAAACGTTTGACGGGGGGCTAGCATATTTTCCTGCCTCAAGTCTGAGACCTGATCTTTGCATGCCACGTACTTTATGAGATGTAGCTTGAAGATGTGTCCTGGATAGTCTGATTGACGGGTGTCGCCCATGCTCATCGCTAAATTGAATAATATTCACAAAGGATAGAGGCCTATACGAAGGTGTGGTCGCGTGTGGGGGAGAGGGGGGGGGGGGTCGTGGTATTTAGCTATCAAACGGCGGAGTAGACGAAATCGCTTTTCCGTATTAAAATTGCTCTATTGGATATACATTTAACATGCTGCCATGTTGAAGTTCAATGCTGAGAGGAAAAGAAGCAAAGAAGAAGCAAAATCGATGATAGAGAAGTTTCAGAATAGATACATAAATTAAAGGCATCTAAAACAGTACATACATATGTACATACGATCGGTACATTTATCTTTATGAAATATACCTCAGTTTAAGTACCTTGGTACTCAGACAAGCAATCAGGCAACTAGATCCATAAAAATATTCAGGACAATGTTTGTGGCTGTGCATACATAGTTAAGAAAGTACTTCAATGAAAGGGCGTAATTATGGTGTGATGGTCGGTACTATACTATTATGCATGTATAAAAGTACTATATTGTCCTAGTTTTGTATAGGTACCTTAGTACCCTTAGTAGTTGCGCAATTGTCCGCCTCACTTTCCTTTTCTTTTTTTTCCTCTTAGGTCTTGACCGAAAACTATTAGGTCCCTAAGGTAGGAGGTATCTACGGTAAGAACCTACCTATGACTTGTGACCTGATTGTTGCCTTCCCGACTCAACATGCCTCGTACCAACCGAATATTTCGCTTCCTTTTTTCAACTTTCTAAGTAAAACGTCGGGCGCACCTGCTTTTCCATTCGATTACCCCGTTTTCCCTTCCGCTAAAGCCATGTTTCGCCTCTATCTTTCTTTAATTCTCGATTTATAATTCGGTTATACGTGCCCCCGTTCAATTGCAGCCTTAGGGCGTTTGGTCCGTTGGCCAAGCCGGCCTCGACGACTTTTCTCTGCCAAAACGACTCCGAGGAATTCATAGCACGAATCTCTATCTAGGAATCTGGACGTATCCTGATTAATCTCCACGTTAGTTGGTCCTTTAATAGTCCTCGAAATACCTGGCGTCGCCTGCTATAGTATTAGCACGTGTGCTATTGAAGAACGCATCGCTTCATTCAAACCACGTGCTCGCACTTCTCGAGATAGGCAACATATGTCGTGAAGACATAGAAGACGTCCCTCACACTGCCTATACTAACTTGTTTGTTAAAGAACATACTCAAGTGTGGAACCGTCCCTGGATTAAAGACACTTCGAGCCCAACTCGGTATATGTCTCGCTTTTCTCAAGGGCCTAGCTCAGCGAGCAAGTGGCAATACAAGCCTCGCAACTTCATTTCCTAGTATTTCACTTTCATTTTTTTTCCGCATTGATAACCGCCCACAGCCATTTGGATTGTTTCCGTAAACTCCACCCAATATGGCTGATCATCTCTCTTTGACTCCCTCTGGATCTTCGGACACCGTCATGGAAGGACATTCCCGGGTAACTAAGATGGCGGCTCTTAGTTTTGGCACATCGCCAGATCTTGCTGGTTTGGACCGTATAGACCGTGTAGACCGCAGTATGGATATGAATCTTCCGTTTCGCGCCGATCGAAACCACCCCGATTCCTACGGACCTAGACAGGGTGTGAACCGTTTGGCTTTGTGGTACCATAGGAATGATGGGCCTTGGACGCCCCCTGGCTTGACGTCCCCCCAGAGTGATCTCAGGAATCCATCTATCATAGGTAACCTACGGGGTAGTCCGCTGGGGTTTTCCAGTCAATACCGGGAGAGTATAGTGCCGTCGGAATGCGATACGGTACCTCCGGGAGTGATACCCTCTGATTCCGGATATGGTGGGAGTTATGGAGCCAAGCATAGTGTTGCCAATGGATCCGTCTGTGAGGAGTCGTTGGAACGGAACCCGGAGACCCAAAGTCTCATTGGACACATAGGTGAACTGAATTTTCGGTCTTACAATCAAGACATGGTGTCCAAAGGCGGAATAAATCCAGAATCCGCCTGGCCTTCCCTTCAACAACCGCACCCGTCATCCTCCTCGTCAGCCATTGACCATCAAATCAACCTCGAAGGGAATAGGATTTGTGAAGTCTGCCACAAACTACTCAAGACGAAGTCTGAGCTCAAGTAAGTCTTGACTCCTTTTTGGGATTTGAATAGCTCTGACGGAACTATCGCTAAAACACACTGCTACTAGGAAACACAAGCAGAGGCATGATAAGCCTTTTAAGTGTAATGTAAATGGCTGTACTCGTCGTGAGGGCTTCAGTACGCCAAATGATCTTGATAGGCACAAGCGAAGCCTACATCCAGATGAGGGTGCCAGTGGCAGCCGCTATCGATGTCCAGTAGGCGCTTGCAAACACAAAGACAAGATATGGCCCCGTGCCGATAATTTTCGGGCTCATATGAAGCGTGTTCACCAAAAAGATTCGATATCAGACGAAGATTTGGATCAATACAAGATCAGGTATATAACCATTTATCTCCTTATATATGAAGAAACCTCTGATTGTTTTTTGCAGGCCAACGCTTTCACCCAAAGAGGGTTTCAGCTCAGTTCGCGATAGCACAGCCCATGGATTTGATAGATTTAGTGTGTTTCCTGTTGGAAATACCAGCTATGCTTCGGAAAACTCGAGACTACCCCGAAGCCCAGTCATTGAACTGTCTACGGAAGCAAGTCCCGTGGAAGGTCGTGACCATAGTCAACCTGAAGCGGCCTCAACCGTGAATAAATTCGCAAGCGAAGACCACTTACGCATACCCAATAATTCCGCCGTTGGAGACGTGCGTCCGGAGAATAACGACATATATTTCGATAAACAAGCAGTAACATCGAACCAACCCTTAACTACACCTAACTCTGCACTTGATGATACCAAGGTCGTGAAACCAAGACTATTAAAAGAAAGTGATTCCGACCTCAATTCAGTGAACTCGGATTCTGAATTGGATGGTAACGTAAAACCCTTGGGCCATTACAAAACGGATACGCTCAATGAACCCCAGAATTTCCCAGGTGTCTCATCCAATGAGGGCTCCGAGCCTCATGGGGAGTTAGAAGTGTCAATTGACATCAACGAGAAGATCCATGCATTTCCTGGGGCAAGAGATCTTGAGATGGGGGACATAGATCTGACGAATCGCGATAACGTAGCGAAAATACTTGAAAAACTTCAAAGCAATGGTATGCTTGAAAAACTCGGGTACAAAAGGGGGAATCCACCGGACCCGGAGACTACAAAAGAAGAACCGATTGGCAACGTCCCATCCGAGGCAGCTCACGCCTGTCCTACATGCCACAAAAGCTTTAGCCGACGTTGCGAATTGAAGTAAGTGACTCTCCGCTGCCAGTTCTTCCCTTCCTCTATAAGGATTTATTCCCTCCGCCTCATTCTTTCAAGCGACTAACAATCGTATAGAAAGCACGAAAAGCGGCATTTAAAGCCATACGGTTGCACATTCCCAGGATGTGACAAGAAGTTCGGTAGCAAGAACGACTGGAAGCGCCATGAGAACAGCCAACATTATATGTTGGAGCACTGGAGATGCGATGAGAAATTTTCCGACGGCCCTTCCAAAGTCTGTGGAAAGTCAATATACCGACGTGAACTGTTCAAACAACATCTTAACACAGTACATCACATTAGCAACCAAGGAGCCTTAGAAGCCAAACTCGAAATGTGCCGCGTGGGGCGGAACTGCGAAGCTCGCTTTTGGTGTGGTTTCTGCTACGAAATAATCGAAATCAAGAAGGAAGGTATAGAGGCCTGGACCGAACGGTTCAACCATATAGATGATCATTTTCATGGGCGCAATAACCTACCACAAAGGCATATCAGTGATTGGGAAAATGAATGTTCACACCTCTCAAGGCCTCAGGAGTCAACACCAGACGATACCGGCAACTCTAGAGCCACTATGTCTGCGCCAGCTTGCTCGACCGATACTTCTAATATGCAAGGCCAGCACGAGCTTGAGAAGCAGCATATAAAGCAGAAGAGGAAGAGGGACGATGGGCGTGATGCGCTTGTTTCAAAGCGCGTCGAAACATTACAAGAGATGCCCAGGCGTAATTGTGTAAGTGGTCCCTCAGTTTGCTTATAACCAATGTTCTAACATGTTCGCAGTGCCAGTGTAGTGAAATTATGCCTCTAACCAGTAAGCAGTGTACTACAGTTTCTTGCCAACATAGGCTGTGTAGGGATTGTTATTAGTGCTATGAATCCCACATAGCATAGTAATAGCGTTATTTAATCAAGGGTTGTTTATTCGATTTGCGTATCAGTTATTTTATTATATCATATAGGGATTAGACAGCATCATACCAGAGGAAGCAACGACTCTTCCCACTACATTACGAGTAATATGATTAAATATACGATAACGTTCAATGATGACACGTATATTCAACAATAATCTTCTTCCAGATCTATAATGTGTCTTAATTGTGCACCCGTTCCATGTATGTTATGTCGCAGGATTTCTGATGGCGTCAGAATCGGCCGCGGTGTACTCGTAGGGTTGTAAGATTGTCAACAACGGATGACAATACAATCAAAATGGATTCGGAATATAATATCGAAGATATTATCATGAGGATTCGTTCTATTAGAAAAGAAAAACTCCTATGAAGTTAGCAATGACTACTTGGATGTGTTGAGCGGGGATCGAGTTCAATCAAAAGTGAGTTTAAGAAAGCAATAGGTCTTTTACGAAATAGAATAAAGAGAATCGTGATAGAGACTCACGTATTATCGGCCGCTGTCAAATAGTGACACTTTATCCTAAAGCCGTAGTAAACTATTAGCAAGCTCCTCGTTACTTCTGGTCGGCAATACCAGCACTTCTCTTTGCTTTTAGGCGGTATAGGAACACTCGGCTTTTAAGGAGGCTTCTTGCTTTGTTAACAAAAGAAAATTGAGCATTTCGAATGGTCGAATTGTACGGGGAATCTGCGACGTTACCACAAAATAAATACAAATTAGAATAGATATTTGATGGAGAAAGATTTAAACGCAAGGGAGACACTATCGACGCTTCCTTGCCTATAACATCACCCAAAGACCTTTATACTGTAGCAAAATACAGCATCTAGAGGAGTATCCGATCTCGCCCTCCAGGGCATAGACTTCTAGCAAGCTTGGTACCTTGAAGAAAAGACTTTCTGCAAAAATTACCTAGGTACCTAGGTATTCATGCAGCGAACTTCTGAGCACCCCTTTCTCTCTACGTCCTACTTGCCAGGTAGATACGTAGCTACGTAAGCGAATCATGTGAAAAAGGTAGGAATACTTAATTTTCCAGTGTCAGCGCTTAGCTAGTGGTAGATCTTGCGTCTTAATTTAATAATCAGGGGGTTGTACCTAGGTAGTCGTCGAGGCTCACCAAATACCGGGCAGGCAGCTTGCCAGAAAACTTTTACATTTCCTAGATTGTCCACTACCAAATAGATACTTATCTATCCTTTGAAATATAACATTTATTTCTTTTTCGCCCGCCTTGGCGGACCAAACTACCGTCACATAATTTGCCTATTAACCCGAAATCATGATTAGAAGAAACATCTCATATCCTCTCTTTGCTGAATCTTACCTAGGTAAATATTATTAATGTATAGAAGAATATATGAATACGTTTTCGTCTCGACTCAATCGAATCCAACAGGCTAGGATCTGAATATTCGTAGTGGGTCGTAGAATATTACTAGGTACAACAATAAATGGTTGCTGATTGATTAGCATTTTGATGACTGCTTATGACCTGCCGGAACCGAGGACCCTCGCTAGCGGTTCAACCCATACTGCGTCCGACCTCCATGCTCTCTGTTCATCTCGAGAGTCATTGGGTATAATAGAATACTCGGTTAGGGTTTTTTTTATGAATGACTAGGAGGACGCTAATACTAACATACAAACAAAGGGAGTTTGGAGGAATAATACGGATATACTTAAGATGGAAACTCAAGATTGCGGGACGTCGTATTGGGTCAGGGGTAATTGCATTTTCAGTCCCAACAGAAACCAGACCATAACCGCTAGGTGGTTTAATATGATACGTTCACATGCTTTGCATTATACATCGGGTCTAGGGGGAAAGCATCCCTCCTCAAATCTAGGGTTATCATGGGGCATTCTATGCGAAGTCTAGTTGGCACAGGAGGGCAAGAGATCCAGCAAGACGGTCTTTCCAGTCAAAGCATTAATGAAAGCTGAGGATTGCTTCATCTTCGAGAGAAGTCATTCATTTGCCTCAGGGGATAGGGAACAGGGGGGATCGGGAACCCAATCTACGCTGTCTGTACTTAGCCGGTGTAAGCCAGGATCGACTGTTAACAACATGTCTGAGCCACTGTGTTGGTGTAACAGAGCGCCGCGCGCTTAACGTAGGAACTATCCACGAGCCCGATCTACTAGATAGGCACTATGCAAGGAACGGATCTTTAGGGCCTGAGACAAACGCACGATAGCGGCTCAGCTCTTTGAGTTCTGAGCTTCGCGTGGGCTTCGGGCGTAGCGGGATGCAGTAAGATAACTGGCCAGGACAATGGAGGCCACACAGATATACCCCTTCGAACCAAAGGATGATTTTGACCGGTCTGGGGCTGGCCGCGCCGGAAATGAACCTAGCAGCCCAGGTACGTAATAAATTATTAGTGTTTCATGGACATAGCAATCCTTCCTAACGATAGGTCTTCAACTTTCTTCCTACGGGCTCGAGGACAACCCATCTATCTAACCTTGTCCTTTCCAGAAGTGCGGAGTCTCAGTAGACCTACTTGACTTAGACAGACAGCGGCCGGGCTGGGTCGCTTTTGGGGCCATACACGTGTACAAAAGTATCGATCGTGCGGCTCTGCTCGGTAAGCGTTGTGGGCAATGGACAGGAGTGCTAGCGGATATGAAAAATCCATGTGTCCGAGATTTTTAATGGTTACTTTTATGACAACATGGTGATCTTACATGCATATTTTATGGCATTTGTAGGAGGGGGAAGAAAAATAGAAGCGGGATATTGGAGAACGGCAGCTGGCGAGGTGTGGGTGTTAATGGGTGTGTGTACCTTAGGTAGGTAGGTAACTAATGTATGTATGTATGGATATGTAGGTAGATAGATATAGTATGTAAGTCCAGATGTCGTGTGTAAGTTGTATGGTACGGTATGCTTGTCAGCTACCCATGGTCGCCTTGTTTTTGTGATTTTCTTTTTCTTTTTCTTTTTTGTCTTCAACGAGGAATACGGTATAAACGAAGATACCTTAGTGCCTTAGTGCCTTAGTACCCTAATGTCCTAGTATTCATTTACATAAAGTGCATACACCTAGCAGACCGGGTTCAAACTACTTTATGTATATGTAGGTAATAACTACATGTGATAATGCTGTGTAAGTATGGCGTTCTGTAATTAGGTACACGTTTTGGTTGCCTTCTTTTTTATTTTATTTTATATGGCAGGCAGGTGCTGTAACGACCCCGGTGGACAGTGTAAATACTATATACCGTAAACGGATGTACCTCCTAGACTCTGGCGCTAGTCTTGAAATAGGCCCCCAAAGTGGATTTATTCGGTGACGCACAGCCCACCTTGTGTTTCCGACCACGTACCTAAGGTACCTAGATATCTAAGTACTCGAGGTATCTTCTCTTTTCTTCTTCATACCGCTTCCTTTACTCCAAATGGCTGTCCATCTCCTTATGGGTTATTATCACAGCCCCCACGACTTTTCGGTACTCCCCATTTCCTAATTTGCTGTCAGTTCTCACATCAATCAAATGAAAAAAATTGTCTACCGCCTGAATAATACCCTCGCTCTTCTTATTGACACATCTAACTAAGCCAAAGTAGTTAGCCATGCAAGGCAAATGGACATCCAAGATTTCATAATTTTCGTCTCCCTTTAATCATGGACAGGGTATCGTATCTACTACTACGTTGATAGGTACTGCCTGCCCGCCAGTCTGTCGTCATTTATGTTTCCTATTCTTCTTGGGATGGGCTTGTAGGCGATACAGGTTATGATCGTCATCTCGCCGTTCAAACATCAATGTACCGCTTAACTGATGCGGCCTTCCTATTGGCGCTTCTTGTGTTTAGCCGCTCAATGCCTGGTGCTTGCATTCAGCTTTCCTTTTGTTGGTCTCAATTCGGAAAGACAGCCATATTGACTGTCCTGTTGACTGTGCAGACCTGATGGAAGAAGGAGGGTGGGGGCTGGCCCAGAGAGATGGTCAGACACGACGTCGCCTGCAAGCAAGTACTTTAGATTACGTGCTCGAGTCTTGAGTACTTGGGCATTCCGACATTCGAGATATATGCGAAGGTTCATGATACATGTGTCCTGGCTCAACCGAGTATGAGAGCCCTTGTCCTGATTCTTATCCTTTCCGTCTAGGCTAGTTCGAGATGGCGGTCAACCGACTGGTGGTATATTGCAATCCCAAATTTTAAGGATTCGGTATGGGATCGTCTAAGTTCCCTCCATACCACCCTCTCTCTAAGTGGCCTGGGTCAGAATCAGCCCCCTGCAGCCAGCTCATTGCGAGAGAGGGGGGAAACACTCTACCACACAGCAGCCGGGCGAATATACGTAGTAGCGACAAGCCAACATTAGAGACTAACAGCAAAGGAGAAAAATTTTCCATCTCTTAGGATGTTACTGGGCACCTTCAAGATGCAGCAAAAGCGGCAGCAACTATGGGAATAGCGAATCTATTATGCGGTCAAGTATCTGTCTCTGTATGAATGCCGCTTATCGTGGCTTTCTGCCTTGTTGTTGCCGTCGACCATTGTGCCTAGGTGTCCAGGACGCCTTATTAGAGATCCCCCGCAAGCCTCCACGGGCTTCTCCGCGTTCGACTAGGCATTTTTCAGAAATGTTTCTACACATTGTCCATTATCGCGCTCCGATCTACGATACCATGTGCGTCATGGTCGGGCATGCGCCTCTTTCTTATCCAACTATGTACAACTCTGAATCTTTATCGCAGGTTTCTAAAGAGTCGAAATCGTGCGATTCACTAGACACGGCCCTATCGTGGGATGGATTGCGAACTACATACTGCAGATGGTTCGCGCTCCACTTCCATGTACCCAAGTCATAGGTACCCCGTTTCGATCTGGCCCGGCTTTCTGCCCCAACAGCTGAGATCAATTTGATCCGCTGGCTCGCTGGACCAATCCCAGCACGGATCAGGGGGTGCGTACCATAATTTTTGTCCATGCATACAGTGCTACATCACATAGACGCCAACCACCAACCAGGGGATGTACGAAATGGCCGCAATCACTTCAGCCCCTGCAAAACTACAGACAGGGTACATCTATACCTTCGACTTTGCGGCTCCGCGTGGGTCGACTTTGATTCAGAGTTAGAGGGGAGTAGGAGTAGGATGCCCAAGTCTAGGACACCCGGCAACATATTAGTTAAGTCGATTCTGTTTCCCCATGGCGTTGTTCAGGACCCTTGGAAGCAAGTTGCTTCATACTTCTTGCTTCGCCCCATTGTTTGTTGCCTATTGCCTACGAGGCATACCTTGTAGCACTTTGGAGATCAAGTTTATCTTCGTTTATCTTCTTCAAGTCCAACTATATTCTTCCCAGGCCCTATATTTTGCATGTCTGCCTTGCGACCTCTGTTTTTTATTTTTATTGTTATTATTGACATCTTTCCCCTTCCTGGATTTCATTTACACAACGGCCTTCTCTTCACAAGGTGTCGGCCAAGATCCAACATTGTCTAATTGGATACCTGGATACCTGGATCCCTCCAGTGGACACACTCCAAACACAATTCGTGGAAGCTTGTTGGTCCTTAAACGCAGTTGTTACTCTGAACACGTCTTAGCCCTTGCTGGGCCGCTCTGCAAAAATGGAATACCAGCACTTTCAGTACCCAGAGGCTATGCAGCTTCCAGTCTACATGGACAATGCGCCGATGGACGCTTCGATTGATGGCATGATTGATCCAATCCTCAAACCTTCCGCTTCTCCTTGGGGCACTCCACAGATGCAGCGCTACTTAACAGACAATAAGTCATCATTTTATAGCTACCAAATGGTCGATTCTGTCTTCCCCGAATCCATCGCTCGAAGAGACGACGGCATAGCACCTCTTCCGTCTAGCCTGCTTCATCGCCGAAATTCACCATCTTTTTCTCATACATCGTCAACAAGTAGTAGTATGTTAAGCCCGCCAAGGGACAGCGATTATTACCAAGCGCATTCGCCACCAACGCCCACTGATACGACGATTATGTCTCCGTATTTTCAGCAGTATGAGACCGCTAGCTCTCGTGCTCAGATGATTCAGTTTACTGGCCTCGCCAATGATTGTGTGAAGCCAATAGACATCAACCCCTTCCAAGAAACCCCTGAAAGTTATTATGACGACAGTAACCCTAAGTCGGAATTTCCTTTGAGGGGTCTTAGTATGTCAAGTGATGACAGCTGCGTCCATATGGATGTGTGCGACGGACGGGAACCAATCGAATCTACTCAACCAATGAGTCCTGAAGAGTTTACACCAACTGTAAAGGAGGAGATTCACATCCCGGAATCCATTGGAAGGTATCCCGCATTTGAATCAGAGGATGAGACGATGTCTAATGGGGAGGCCGAGCATCATAGTCTCAAACGTGAGGATGCAGAAGACGACGAATACAAACCAAACCAGAAGCATAGGCGGACCAAGTCCAGTGCAAGTCGTAGTACCCGAAACCGCAAGCGACGGAGTGTAATAGGGTCTACCTTGGAAACAAAACGACCAAAGATCGAACCTGGTACCTCTGCCACGATGGGCAGATCAACGGCCAAGCCTTTGATTCAAGGAACAACAGCAAATTTCTCATGTACCAAATGCTCAAAAAGGGTATCCTTCAAAGATGAGAATGGCTTACAGAATCACATCAAAAAGCAGCATACCCGGCCGTTTGTTTGCGTCTTCGGATTCGCGGGCTGCAATTCAACCTTTGCGAGCAAGAATGAATGGAAGCGACATTGCTCTTCCCAGCATCTTGTTTTGAACTACTGGATATGCCAACAAGACCACTGCTCCAAGACATCTAGCAAAGCAAATATACATTCTCGCCATCGTTCTAATCCTTCTTGCACCCAGAACACGATTTCACCGCCTCTACCCCACGGAACTATCTTTAATCGCAAGGACCTCTACACTCAACACCTGCGCCGTATGCATATACCAGCAAGCCTTAAGAAACAAGTCAAACAAAGGAAGCCTGCCCCTGAATGGGAAGCCTGCGAACGAGCGCATCAAGATGAGGCAAAAAGAACACGTTGTGACCTCCCGACTCACATGCGATGCCCAGCATTCGGTTGCAATGCTCGTTTTGATGGACCGAATGCCTGGGATGATCGGATGGAGCACGTGGCCAAGCACCTCGAGAAAGCTGTCAGTGGCTCAGAGCAACCAATCGAGTTCGGCGGACAACACGACAGAACTCTGATCGAGTGGGCCACGCGCCCCGATATTGCTATTATTGAGAGAGGAGACAAGGGGAAGTGGCAATTGCGCAACCCTCTAAAATCGAGCGGTGGTCTGCTTACCGAAACAATACCTGACCAAGGAGATGAGGACGCCGAGGGCGAGGAGGTAGATGAATGATTGTATCAATTGGCCGAGTCTCTATCATCTCCTACCTACATTTTTATACCTTTGGCTATGACTGGAAATCATGGAGAAGTAGAGGTATATCTCAAGGGTTCACTACGTAAATGTATCACTTTCTAGAAGGATTGTTCTATTTGGATGGGTAATGTTGAAGTGATAGTAATCAAGGTGAATATTTCTTCGGCAAAGATATAAAATGGCAGGGAATCATAGAATGGCCAGGTTTTAGGGCGTCTATAATGGTCTACGATGTAATGATACTTGGATCATGTTAGCTATCAAGGTGAATGGCGCGCACACGCCAGATCACCGCATACATACCTGGGTCCCTATTCTTGATAGCTTAGGTTTCAGGTTGTGTACCTGCTAATGAGTTCAATACGCGGCGCCTCGTGTTCACTACTAGGACTACCCTATTAAGGATCTAGTGACCGTTGGCGTTAGACAACCGAGTACCGGGACCCTTTTACATTTTTGACCGGTCGAGAAGGATGGCCGGTTCGCTACGTGTGATAGGCGTCTGGTTCGATAGACTCGGTGCCGAGATCTACCCTGCATAGATACCGTACCAGGAAATGCGGCTTTCTTTGTCTTAGTTTTGTGTTCAGCGGGCAGAATCTTTCTTCCCCCGTACCGTGTAGAGTGTGATAGCCGTCTTACTTACATACGCCTCCATGCCGATGACAAGCATCTGATAGCACAGACGGGTACCTAGGTTCCTCGGATCTTCGGTAGGTACCCAGACACGCAGGACAGGTAGTTTCACTTGTATGAGGTCTTATGTGCCATACTAAAATATACACGTGTTTCTGAGTGCAATGGTAGAGATAATACATGGTAGGTATTAGTTACTATTTTTATTTTTGTTTTACTTTATTTTCTTCTTCCCAGCTATAATCGGATACTTCTTACGTATATGAATTATGTAGGTATAATTATGTAATTAATTATACTTCTAACGGATATTCAAGTACAATTCTACCTAAGAAGGTATAGTTTAGGTACCTACCTTAGGTACCTTGAGTAGCTCCCCCGCGAATAGCGCTGAAGATGACCAAGTGCTGACTTGGCGGCCATACTCCCCCAAAATCCCCGCTATTAAATGCTTCAATTGTCTTAGCCATATCGAGTGAATGGATGTACCTATTTGCATCATGTATTGTATTAGGTATGTACGAGTACCCACCTGATATCTTGGGTTAAATGCCTAGGGTACTTGGGTACATACATCTTCACCATTCAAGTTATAGACATGCATGTGGGTACTGGAGAGTAAGTACATAAGTACCTACTTAAGTACACAATGATATAATACCTGATCGAATACCTAACTTGGTACGTAAGGTCGTACAGACTTCAGCCGCAGTTATCGGCATTCTTCTCATTCTTTCACTTTTTTTTTACCGGGATAATAACAATACTTTTCGGTCCTTTTCCGATCCTATAGTTAAAATTTCCGTTATAGATTGACGTAACCACGTTGATCGGTCCTCTAAAGGATTAAAAAGGGCTCATAACTCGAAGGTTCTTGCGAAAGCCGCATAGGGACCCACCGATCCCGGGAATGGCTGACCTAGAGCAAGATCTAACCCACCGAGATTTACCATCTTCGATCGATGATATTTCCGCTGACCCACGTGAATCAACAGCCGGCGGCTCTTCGAGTGAAACATTAGTCCCTAACGGACTCCCCGACGAGAACCATGAGGAAGTACTCAGCAACCCGGTCGTTATCGATGTGCCTACAAAACATATAGGTCCTCTTACGACCGGGTGTGACGGTCAGATTGGCAACCAATCGGACCATCGGCCAAAGCCAGATGATAGAGATAAAGGCAAGGCCCCTGTGAGGCTCGGTGAAGATTTATGTATTAGATCACGTCCCATTGATGATACAAACCCCCAATATACAACCGAAAATCAGGAAAATCAGGAAGAGCCTAACCCCAGTACAGATGGGGGAGACCAATTTTCGCCCGAAAACGGGATCCCGCATGAGGCCCGACCAGCACTTTCCGAGTCAAGTTCCCGGGTGCCTGATATTGCACAATCGGATGAAACTGGCTGGGCAATGTCGCCAAGGTCACCTACAGGTGGCAAGCAAAAACAAAAGATGATATCGGACCCCGAATTGGAGCCGCAACTGACTGATTCGGCATCCACTGAAACTAGAACCCAATTCGAAAATAGCGAGACAGGCGAAGCGGCAGGGTTTCGGCCACTTCAGTACGGTGACCCTGGATGGGAGAAGTCAGCAGATCGGCCACCGAAAAAGCTACCTATCCGATTTAAGGACGCGGTCGGGCGCAAGTTCGTCTTCCCTTGGGAGAAGGGTAAAACATGGGCAGTAAGCCAGAGTTTTCTTCTAGTCTAAAGGTTGATGATTCGACGTTGAGCCTCACCTCGACTTGGCAGGCCCAGGAACTGAGAATTGCTTGTCGACGTACTATGTATCGTTCTGCAACTAACCGCATTTTAGGGTATGGAACGTCTAATCCGAAGCTGCTTTGCTCACGTGAATGTCCTTGGACACTATGTCAACGAGGGACGCTACGATCTTCTTACTAGCCTTCCCTTCTCAACCGACGTCGGAGCTGGAGTGTTGCATTCGTCTACGCCACCGTCCGAAGTAGAAATTGTAGAGCCTCAATCTGGTGGTACACCAAGCGAATCTACTATGCCGCACGCTCCAACCCCGCCGCCAGCTCCATCGGTGCCTATACAACATTCAGCTATCATCATTCTACCCGAACTGTGGGAAGATTTGGTCGAACCGGGCATGTATATTCAGATGCAATTCTGGCCTATTGATGCCCCGCCACCGCCTCCGCCCCCACCGTTACCACACCATCCTCCTCCAGGTCATCCAGCATTTGGTCACTTGGGCGGTGGTAGGGGTCGCGGTAGAGGCCGTGGTATGGGGAGAGGCCATCCGGGAATGATGGGATCAATGCCTCACCTCCGACCCCCTCCGCCGCCGGGATGGATAACGATGGAAGCTCCGAAGCCGAGAGGCAAGACACGGAAACGATCAGATGGGCCATAGAATTATAGGAGTTTCGATAGGGTTTCTAACTGCGCGTTGAGAGGCGTACCGTATTGATTGGCTCAGCTCTGGATGGGGTCCCTTTTGCTATAAGCGCTAATAGGGGCCGAAATTCGCCTCAGGATGTCATAGGTTGATGGGGATGTTAATTCATTTGTTCTTTTCTTCTCTTTTTCCTTTTTCGCGACAAGATATGTGAGGCTGCGCTTACACAAAACGCATATACCTTATAGGAGAAATCTGACACATGGCGATCGCGATATATTTGCTTTTCGCATATAATCTTACAAACCGAGGCATATCTCTGTATGTGTGTGTGAAAGGAGAGACATCCATACACGTGTAGGGGAATACGGTGGACACGGTAGATACGAGTATGCGCGCCCATAATAAACCATAATAAACATCTTTAAAGTGGACCTAACAGAGCTTAGCTTCGTTGTAACCGCGACTTTTAGTGGAGTGCAAGCACCTTAACAGGGACCCCGCCTACCTGCGTTAGCGTTGTGCCCAGGTGGTCAGCTCACTGAGCTTACATGCTGCCATGATACGACCCGGAAGTCCAAGTCTAAGTCAATTCCAAACAGCCCTGGAGTTGTCGTAAACGTGGAGCTCTGTCATGTTGACCAATTCGGTGTCTTCCTAGAAAATCTGTTTGATTTTTTTCTTTTTTTCTTTTCTTTTTCTTTGGTAATATCGCATCATACTACCAAAATTGATATATCGAACACAGCCACTATTCTTACGTACACCTTGTTCAAAGTTGTTTCCACTGACAGACGCACGTAAGGAGGTACATCCTTCATTACCCATTACCACCCCTCACTTAACCATTGGTACATGTACCCATCCATCTGATAATCTTACGTCACATCTCGCGAGCTCAGGAACAACCAGACTAAGCTCATGCAATAAACAAGTCACTTTCGTCACCCCCAATAGTCTTTTAATTATACCAAACTATCTGAAGCCTCGTCGTCTGTGTATACCCTCGCATCTGTATCATCAATAGTTCCACTTACGTTACATCTATTGTAATCACTGCAACGATGGAGTCTTTTGCAAAGCTCAAGCGTCGCGGTGCCGACTTATTCAATTCCCTTCCGCACAGCTTACCTTCGATGCCCCAGTTGCCCCAGCTGCCTCACCTGCCTCACCTGCAGCGTGCAGGAGGAGGTAGCCCGGCGATGAAGGGCACATGGCAAAATATCTCTATCCCGTCTCTACCGCGATCTTCCCATTCAATCGATATCATTGCTGGTAACGCATACATCTTCGGTGGCGAGGTCGAACCTCGTAAGCCTGTCGACAATGATATGCACGTCGTTGTTCTTCCCTCGAGTAGCGCTTCCGCCGATTACTATGCCGTCAAGGCCAAACCATCTTCCAGAGAACAGCTCGCTGAGAGAACCCCGGCGCCTATCACAGAGGAAGACGAAACCGCAGCTGAACTCAAAGATCCTCTAACTGAAGTCCCTCTAAGCTCTCCACCTCCAACTTCAGCCGAGGAACCATCGTCCGCAGCATCCGACAAGGGTAAGGCTAAAGAACTCATCTCCGAAGTTCCCTGCGCCCGTGTCGGTCACGCTACCGCTGTTATCGGTTCCCGTATCTTCGTCTTCGGCGGCCGAAGCGCCGAGTCCGCCTCCGAACCTCTCGACGAAAATGGCCGTGTCTGGGTCTTCGAGACGAAGACGCACACGTGGTCATACCTAGATCCGTACCGCAACAGCCCCGTCCCACCCCCACGAAGCTACTTCACCGCCGTCGCAACCGACAAGCCCCGCGACTTTGCCATTAAACCTCTACGCCGCACCTCGAGTTGGAAAGAATGGGCCGAGGGCGACTCAGCCGAGATTGGAATCCCGCAACGTCCGATCGCCGGGAATGTGGCCGCCAGCGCGACAGATGAAGAGGATGCCGGATTCGGTACTTTCATCATTCACGGCGGTTGCACGGCAGGCGGCAGCCGGACCGGCGACTTATGGGCTTTTGATGTGCGCAGCTGTACTTGGAAGGAGCTCCCTTCGGCACCGGGTGCGCCCCGGGGCGGGGCCGCGCTTGCCATCGCTAAGAGCAGATTATACCGCTTCGGTGGCTTCGACGGCAAGGACGAACTCGGCGGTCAATTGGACGTGCTGGATCTCGCGCTTGACGAATTCGATGATCGTGTTAGTAAGGGCGAGATCGGTGTTTTCGCTCGCGGCGATTGGCAGACTCTCGTTGCACCTGCTACGTCCGCGCCGCCTCCGAGCGGGACTGATGAGACGGCTAAGCTGGTAGCTACTGAGGAGTGGCCTGGTAACCGCAGCGTTGCTAGTAGTAAGTGACACGATAAACTTTTTTACTCACATTCCTGAGTTTCAATATCTACGATATAATCCCCAAGCAATTAACTGACACATTTGTTATAGTGGAGCTCGTTCTTGGTGGTGGCGGACGTGAATACTTAGTCCTAGCACTTGGTGAGCAAAGTCCTAGCGCTGAGGGTCATGCCGGGGCAGGCAGGTTCTACAGCGATGTATGGGCGTTCCAAGTGCCTCCGCTAGGTATGACAGCTGCGAGTGTCACAGATGCCTTCCTACAAGCTGTGGGGCGAAAGACGGGAGAGGGCCGATGGACAAGAGTCACGACGGGACCGTACGATAATGAAGTCGCTGCGGATGTAGAGGGCCCAGGACCGAGGGGTTGGGTCGCAAGTGCGCCGCTAGGTGACCTCGAGGAGAACGCCATTCTGATTTTTGGTGGATTAGGCGAGAGTAACAAGAGACTCGGAGATGCCTGGATATTTAGGTTGGAGTAGGAGGTATATATGTAAGTAAGGCGATGAGTTAATTTTAAATTTGGACCGGGAAATATGTGAGATTAGCTACGATTAAGTTTGGCCGGGTTAACTGATTTCGAAACGGATTTATGATAAAACAAAGTACGGAATGTTATCAAATGAACAATATTCTGGTAAACCACGATAGGGCTAAATGTGCATACAAAACGTCAATTAGCAAGAGACAAGCATTTTTCCGTGGATATAAGTATAGTTTATGTACAATGTCTACGTCTGCGCCCGTGCTCTAAAATATCACCGGATTTTATTTGTTCTCATTTACAAATCCTTCCTCGTAGTCTCAATGCCCCAAGGCTCACTCGTCAAATTTGTCTGGCCAGCACTGTTCTCGCAGGTTTGCCGACCGCTCAGGGGGCCGGGTGTCGGTAACTTAGCACTGGTGCTAGATGATGTAGCGCTCTCTTTCAATGCTGTTAAGAGCTGCTTGGTGGTCTCGGGCGTTAGGTCTTCGTAGTAGTCATCGTTGATTTGGATCATTGGGGCGTTGACGCAGGCGCCTAGGCATTCCACCTCGATGAATGTGAAGAGCCCGTCCGCCGTCGTCTCACCCTGTTTGATGCCTAGGTGTTCCTTAATCGCCTTGACGATCGCGTCACTTCCGCAACCACCGAGTTGGCAGGGTGTCTGTTCCGAACAATATCTCGTTAGCAGCTGGTACGTATTGGTGGGATGTATCGTATAGCGATCCATCCGGCGAAGGTGGGGTTTCGGTTTCTCAGAAATCTGGTCTAGCGCAATCGGTGGTGTATCACTCGTATGATAATCTTACGGCATCGTTCTCGCGAGGGAGAGTTGAAGATGATGCGGGGAGAGGAAACTCAGCGCAAACTCACTGTAGTGCAAGCCTGGACGAAGAACTTGCCAACTGGTGTTCGGTTATACATAGTATAGAACGACGCGACTTCGTAAACACGGGTGGGCGGCATCTCAAGGATTCTTGCCACCTCGTTCATAACGGATATGGATGTAAAGCCATGCTGGCGCTGGCCTAAGTCGAGTAGCGGCATTACGGCGGCCTTCTTGTATTGGGGCGGGTAACGCTTCAGGATTTGAGCAATAACTTCTTCATTCTGAGCTGAGAACTTGAAGGGTAAATCGGGGTTGTTGTCGGGCGTATTTCGATGCTATAATCGCGACACAATTCGAATGTTAGCAATGAACATTTGGATGTGAGGCAAATTGATCGGCTTGAAGCTCTTCTGAGATACTCAAACGGAAATTGAGAATAGAGGTACGCCGAGTTAGAGATTTGGATGACCTCTAGGTCTTCTAATATCCAATATACTTCAATGACCGGTATAGAGCAAGCTTTCAAATGTCCGGAGAGAGAATATAACGAAGAAGGCATACCACGGCGAGAGTTTCGCTTCTCCTCGAGCTACCAGCCGTAAAGGTGCGAAATTGTGATCGGGGTGCTCGGCATGCTGAGCGAGCTGCTGTTCTGAGGAAGACAGGGGCGAGTTTCGACGCCATAGTTAATATGGTATCGCAGGTTCAATTGAGGAGAATAGACGAAGGTGAGCAGATTCGCAGGTATTCGGTGATTATTACATGTATGAGGTTTCGATTGCAATTGGCGATAATCCAACTTTTGGATCCAATCAGCTTAATCGTGTTGGTCAAACTGGTATCCACACGGTTAAATCTCGGTCCGTCAATCCATCTCCACTATTACGTATTTGCATTCATTGGATCTGTACCTAAGTACCTTCTAACAAGACTCAATCTAGGCCTACAAATAAGAAACATACAATATTATACAACCTCTAATTACACGGAACAAGCAGAGGGGTACCATGTTAATTTGCGAAAATCATGTACCCTATCCGGTCCTTCCATTGTTCCTATCATTCTACGTTACTATCGACACGCAAACTACTAAACACATCAAGACCATTGTGCTACGACTAGAAATGAGGTAATAATCCCTAGACAAAACATCAGATAGGCGTCCATTTTTTTCTCCATCACTCTGCTTCTTCTTCATCTTCATCTTTCTTTTCCTGAGCAGCCTCACCATTAGTAGCTTTAGTCTCTTCTGCAGGATTTTCTTCTGATTTTTCATCGGCCGTCTCTTCTTTCGTAGTGACTCCATCGCTTTCAGCCACCAGTTTCTTTACCGCATCAACGGTCGCAGCAGGGCCGCCTGGCTCGGCAAGGAGGACTTTGCCAGTTTTGTCAACGGCAAACACACCACGAGTAGTACCTTTAGGCGCTTTCTTAAACCCAATGGCGTCGATTAAAGTAGCGCTGGGATCGCATAAAAGCGAGTAAGGTAAATTCTGCTTGGTTTTGAAAGTGGTATTGGCCTTTGGTGAGTCCGTCGAAAGGCCGTAGATAGCAAGGCCACCCTTTGTCAAGGGTTCGTAGGAGTCTCTAAAGAGACAAGCTTGGTTGGTACCTATATATATCGGGTTAGGCATGGCTAGGATCACTTCGCGACGGCTACTATATAGAATCAAGCTTACAGCCAGGCGTAGATGCCTTAGGATACGTGAAAATGACAACGCCAGATTTGCTTTCGTCGATTAGAGCCTTTAGGGTTGTCTTATCGCCATCATTGGTCTCAATTTCGCCACCAAACCCATCAAGAGTGATGGTGGCACCGACGATAGGCTTCGCGGGCTTGGATGAGCCATTGGCAATAGTTGACTTAGCAGGTTTGGCAGCCTTGCCCTTGACGGTCTCCTTCACCTTACTAGCTACCTTGGAGGTCTTGGATGGCTTCTTCGTTGGTGGCTCTGGGGCCGGTGCAGGAGCTTTGCGCTTGCGGAGCTCAACAGGCATTGTGGAGCGATAGGGCTGAAATAATGCGACGTGGAGAGGGCAAAATCGAATACAAATTGCCTAGCAGTAATCGCTAGATTATGGCGACCGTGAATAATCAAATTTGGGGGGAAATCGGGTAGAAGTTGATGAAGAAATGATGGAAACGGGGACGGAGACGAGAGGCAGTGAGGTTGAGGTTGAAGTCGACGAGGTTGCAGGTAAACAGGAGGTTGCGACGAGCTTCAACCAATAGGATGAAGCCATTGTGACAGCTTCCTACAGGGATACACGATACTTAAGTGGTTGTGTCACAGGGATATCTTGCTGCCGAATAATTTAAAATCATTGCTAATGGCGAGGCTAACGTGATCGAGCAGCCAATTCCTGTAGAGTTCCAGCGCAGGTTTGAAGGGGAGGGGGGGAAGGGTGGGAGAGTTGATTGCAGCAGGACTGGGGGACGGGGGGGATGGGGAATCTAGGAAGCTGAAGGGGGCGGGAAAAGAGAGGGGAAGGTAGGTACCAAAACAGAACTCATAACAAACTAGATCAAATTATGTAGGTTAAAGTAGCTCTGTGGTATAGAGGGGGAGAAGGAAAGAGGTCACTGCGGTAACTTCCATCCAAGGTTGTTGAGACCGGGATAGAATACATGTATCTGTAGTACATGTAAATCTCTCCACGTCTTGGACGAGGAAGTGGTACCTATGGTTTATTAACAACTGGGAAATTAGCTTCGGCGCAAAGCTAACCGTTTGCGTGGGCACGACAGCAGCTGCCAGTTGGCGATCGGATGATTTATGCACAAACTAATCCCGATTAAAACTAATATTGGAAATTTAATTCCTCAAGCAACGCGTTTTTCTAGGTACCTAAGTAATGAAAATATGCCCTGCTTGCCTTTATATGTATTAGTTCTTCTATGGAATAAGACGAATAGAAAAAATAGAGAAGAATCACTAACTTTTAAACCAATCCAAGTTTCGACGTTGTCTAATAAGAAGTTGTTCACGACCTACCCTTCTTAGACATTATGCAGGCATCATTAAAACTTATCCCACCCCCTTTGCTTACGAATACTAACTCACATAAGCATTCGTTTGTGTCGCGTCGGTCTTTCGGGGACGGAAAGTTCGCTGAGTTGCTAACAGTTAAGGTCCACACAGATCATTCTCCATCACCCGTCGATGACGATGTGGCTACCTGCTTAGGCAAACAAACCATTTATGATATACGATCTTGGGAGTTGTGGGAATGAAGTATCCATAACTCCAAGACGGTACCTGTCAGTCGACATCTGCCGATCAAATATTACAGCTTTGGTTAAGAAGTCGGATGGTCAGGTTGCGAAGTGAAGAATATTAGCATACCCTTTATACGAGCTACGACCTTGCAATTTTACATCCCCCAAACATAGGGTCTCGGCTGCGATGTTTAACTACGAACCGAGAGCACAGGCGCGCAAACGTATAGTTACTGGTCTATCATTGGAACGGCCGCTTACAAGCAATGGGACGCAATGGACCTAGCCCCAGCAATCAATCGAATCTAATAGGTGCACACGCAGGCGGACACTATAGGTTGGAGTATATACGGCTGCAAGTCAAATTTCATCTCAATCTTGAAGATATAACGTCGTAGTGGAATGTTAAACGAAGAACCCGAGGCTCAACACAAAAGAAGAAAAGACGCAGTGAAGACCGGTATATCGCAGTACATATTACCGTAACAATGCCTCGACATTTTTAGATCTAAGTATAAAGGGGAAAATCATATAACGAACCATTTAGTCTTTACGAATTTCATCCCCGAGATTTCATACTTCCGAAAACACGATTTCATCAGCAATCGCGGTGCTAGATAGAACCCATACAGGCAAGATACTACTTAGTTCTCATCAAGTGTGCGCCCTTCTCCCACCTAGCATGTTGTTAGTGTGCATTAGAAGGGATACCATTGAAAAACGAAACTCACACGAATCGCGCCATCGCGAGAGACGCCGTGCGACCAAAACCCGTCAATGGAGGGCGACGTTCGGGTCATATTATCATGCGTAAGTAGTAGCCAGAAGCCGAATACCCCCTTTGCTAGGACATCAAGAACGGCGTAGGCGATGATCTCGCCATCAACGTTCACGCGATGAGCGCCATCAGCAATGCCCCATACACTAGCGAGAATTAGCAGACATTCAATCCCTCTGTGGGTAACCATTTACATTGGATATGCCGTCCATAGGAGTAGCGTGAAGAGCGATATAGCTGCAAAGAAAGTCCTGGTGTTGTTGTCTCTAGTCGACATGGCATGACGCCCCTTATAACCGACTTGGTAGATAATGTTGAGGTAGGCTATACAAGCAAAGGTATACCATCCCCACCCCTGAGCCTCATCTCTCGAGAAGGCCGCAAAGAGGCCAGTCAAAATCATGATTACGTCCGATACCACGGTCACCAAGATGCTTGCACCATTAAGACCAGCAAGAAGGCACAGGTCCAGCAATAGGAGCGGCGTAGTAAGTGACCACTAATACTTTTAGTCAGCTATTTTTCGTCATGATAGATTCGAATAATCTTGACAGAACTCACGTCCAAATAGCGGGCCCAATAGACATCACGTTTAACAACTTCCGTGATAGCCCCATGTCTCGATCTGCCGGACACATACGTGTGTGAAGCTATCCCGTCACCCGTAGCCATGGCATAGTACGACAAGAAGGCAAATGTGGTGACTAAAGCCGTTAAGACATGAAAAAGGCGTTTTTGCTGTGTAGAGTTAGTACTTTGCTTTCTAGTAGGTAGGTACATATTAGGGGTGATTCATACCACGGGCACCCTCATAGCCATTATATAGAAGGCTATCGAAGACAACCCCATTAAAACGCAAACGACCCTAATACAATCCCATATAAGTGACTAGAGAACGACGGACACTGGGTAATAATAGTCTTACCATAGAGTCCTATGGCCTACTTCGCTGGAAGTTTGGTAATAAACTCGAGGAATGTCTGGGATCACGGTAGGTAACGGCGTATGGCTTGTCTTGGGGGGCCTTAGGACGGTAGCTACTTGGGTAGTGGCCTCTGAAAAATCCTGGGGGATAATCATTGCGATACCAGTTTCTCTTGATACAAATAAGTATTCGGAAGTGTTATATTCAAGGTAGCTTCTAAATTCCGTGTAAGTAGGCGAAGAGAAGTAGAATAATTCTCACCCAAAACTTGCTTAAATAGTAACAATAGAGAACATGCAGGCACCGCAGTAGAAGAGACTTCAAGCAACCAACGTCGGTTTTCATCAAGAGCTGTAAATAAGGTGCGGCGAATGTGGTGTCATTACTCTGAATAGTAGGTTATGTGAGAGTTAAACCAATCATATACTGAAGTCATATTCAAATTAGGTATTCAGCTGCATATATATGTTCACCATGAACCTTGTCGTTGGACGATTCCTCTTACTTTCTTCTTTCTTATCCTTTTAGATTTAGTATACCTACATGATAGTAGGTAGGAGGAAAGCTGTAATTCAAATATAGGGTGCATTTATGTGATTCAGTCGTATGAAAGAAGCCATAAGATATAAGTAAACGATTGGCCCACGAATATGTGCCCTTCATTAGTGAGTAGGTAGCCGGATGAGCGCGGTAACTTGAAGGATCCTAGGAGTATTTCCAAGTGGAAGTCGTCGGACTCGATAAATACCTAGGTAGCCTCTATATTTAGGTAATACCGTAAGCTTCAAATCTTGTAGTGCATAGTCGCGTACCGTGAGAATAAATCCGAGAGTTACAAGAGCGATTAGGAAAATTTGGGAACCTAAATAAGTTTACAGAAGCATCCGTGATTGAGCTGTTCTGCTATTCACTACCTACCTAGTAAGCTTAGCGCACTCAGACCCCACCTCCCCCTAAAGAATCGTTAATGCCCCGCATGGGTAGGCGCAATTTTGGTGGTCTTTCAGGCAGAAGCTCCCCCGCGTAGTGGAACTCCCCGGGTACTACCTAGGTACCTAGGTAGAAGCTTCCCCATCCTATCTCATCCCACCACGCCGCCAAACCTAACGCTACCTACCAATTAAAAAAAAAGTCCATCATCATCATCATACCTCATACAAACGCGAGAGTAGCCACTTGTACATTAAATTCTGTCAACATAAACTCAGTTACCTTAAAGCCATTAGCACCGTACGAAATCATTCTCTCCGTGCCGATCCATCCTTTGGCTGCTTATCGTCATGGATAAGCTTGCGTCGACGCTGCTGGCGTTTCCGCCCGAAGCTAATCTGGCCAGCCTCGACAACGAGATATACGACGCAGCCGCGAGAACCCATATCAGCAAGCTTTCTAAACTTCTCAGAGAGAATCATGCAGAATTATTAGCACACGGCCTTCAGCTCCTCGAGTTACTCGATCCGAGTGTGAATTCGCTATCCTACCTCGCTGTCATTCATACTCTCACCATCCCCAGTGTAGCCTCTTCCGCCTCTGTCGATTCCATCCTTGAGAAGCTGGTGCTGTTTCTGCTCACTTTCGATGCCCGACAATGCCGATATGCTAGAAGTCAATTGCAAGATGTCCTCGTCGCCGTTGGAACCGGACATTACCTCCCCGTAAGTTACCCTAGCTATGTCCTTTTATGTATGTATATACGTTTTACTAATTGTGGTTTTTAGCCCTCTGTTGCTGTCGAAGCGCTCACGACCGCCATCTTGAGATTAGACCCGACTGGTAGCATTCTGACAAACTACCATATTCTTCTTGCGAAACTCGCCTATAACACAAATAATACCGAATCGGTTCTACCAGTAATCGACAAGAACATTGTATACTTCCCGGGGATGGCTAACTACGGCGAGCCTGGGTACCTCTGCGATCTCACTCTACCACCCCCTGCCTATCTTTCGCGAGAAACAGGACTTACCAGCAACCTGAAGTCCACTGCAGTCTTGGAGTACGACTTGATTCGTGGCATGATATATTGTTCTAGGAGGGATTGGGAAAGTGCGTTTGCAGCATTTGAGAGGGTCATTACCTACCCCACGCGTGAAGGCGGAGCGAGTAAGATTATGCTTGAAGCCTACAAGAAATGGGTGCTAGTTAGCTTGCTCTCTAAGGGCAAGCTCGTTGAACCCGAATCATATACAGGGGCTGCAGCGAGCAAGATCTACGGGAACATCGGGAAGCCGTATACAGCACTCGCGGCCCTGTTCGTGGCGGACGACGCGCAGGTGCTAAAGGCAGATGTTGAGAAGAATACCCAACTATGGTTTGAAGACGGAAACACGGGCCTGATCCAGGAGGTTTTAGCTGCGTATCAGAAGTGGCGGGTACTAGCATTGGAACAAATCTATTCTAAAATTTCGCTCCCCGAAATCCGACAACAGACTACGAGCGCAGAAACAGGTCGGGTGCTCGAGAAGGACGAGGATATCGAGACCCTCCTTCAGAACATGATAATATCAGGCATGCTGTATGGTGTGATCGAAAAGAATGACGATGGTACGGCATTTCTTACCTTCCTACCGCCGTCAACGCAACTCTCGGAGCCAGAGTTTGCTAGCGAGCTCGCCCATACAGCTGCGCGGTTAAAGCAATTGCACCCCATCTTTCAAGCGACACAGGAACGCTTAGGGACGAGCAAAGAATACATCAAGCACGTAATTAGAGAAGAGAAACGAGCTGAGAAGAACGACCCGGATCCCACTCTAGCCTTTGATGTTCACGTGGACGATGAGGACTTGATGGGTGGTATTCTTCCTACTGGTTGAGTGAGCAGTCGAACTAAGCGCTTTACGCCGCTTCACTGCTCGCGTCGAACCCCCGCCTTGAACAGAAAAATTTCTCGGGGGTGTTCTGAGCTTATGGTGTTGAACCTTCCATACGATGGCACTAGTCAGCATGGATAATCTCGGTTTAGCACGTCTTAATTGCTTACCCACAGGCGACAGCATTTAGAACATTTATATCTCTAGGGGCGTTATCCGGACAAGAATTGATTCGAGAAATGCCGTTCGACTAGAGATCTACGACGGTTACGAGTGATCGAGATCCTCAACCAGCTCATTAGAGAGCAATGCGTAATGAAGAATAAAGACATTAATATCCCATTTTGCTATGCTATTATTCATCTTTCATTACCAGTCTATGCCATAAGCGCCCTTTTTCTCCTAGGATACATGTGCATATGGCTTTAACTTATCTTAAGCTATGGGCCTCTTAGCGGTCAGCAACCCTCATTGCGATACGTTAGTAGATATCGTATCCACTACTGGCCTATGTTGTCTTGTAAACGTGAATCGTTGGCAACTGAGACCCCGAGCCATTCCAGCCTACCTGACTCACCCTCCAGGAACGTATAGTATCTTTTATCACCATTCATTTCCCCGAAGGCCTTTGTCACCTTCATTAGTGATATCATGGAACTATGATTCCGTGGATAATGCGGACCGTCATCTACCCACATGCCGTCGTCCCTAGACCATATTGGGAACATCCCACTCGGCGACATACCAAAACAGGCTGGGTGGCTGCGATCATGAGCTAATGCCAAATTGCTTGATCATGTCCGATAGCTTCAAGGCTTCGGCCCGGAAGTCCAATGGACTGGCACTCATGACCTGATAACGCACCCTGTAAAGCATTGTAAGCTATTGTATCCCTTTATAAGTTAGATTGTGATACATACCGTTGGTTTTCGCCATAGGTGTCCATCTTGGCTCTACACCTAAAATGTAGCTTGGAACAATTCGCAGCCTCGAATATACCTGGGACACGGTCTTCGTCGTTCTCCTTGATCTCCATCAACTCATCGGCCGTCATACCCATGATAACACGCCCAACATCGTCGAAGCACGACAGCCACAATTGACCGGTATGGTCGTTGACGTTTACGCTCATGATGTACCTGTACTGGGGTTTGGCGTGGCTTATGTTGCATTTCTCACACCTCCAGGTACCATCGCCTTGATCGACAACCTTCTTGTTGCACTGCTCGCTGCTACATGCGGGGTACGCGAAATTTTCCTGCTTGATGTAGACAATCGTAGCCTTTAGATTGAAGTAATCAGTATTCTCCATCCCAAGACCCTCGTCCTTGACTTGGGAGATGACCCTCGTTTGGTCGACACGACCTGTTGCGTTACCCATGGATGACATATTGTTGTGATTAGCGAAGCTATCAGTACGGCCTTGAGAATCATACCAGCCCTTCAAGCGGTGCGCTTCTTCAATATCGGGGTCAATAGACATGGTACCAGACTGAAGCAGGGAGAGCGAACGACCTCCAAAGTCGGACACCTTCACGCCCTTGAAGGCAACAATAGACTCCGGTTGGGCAGCAAAGGAGTTGGCTGTCTTTCCCCATAGCGTAAGGCGCACCGAGAATTGAGAATCATCGACCAAAGTTAACTCGCGCTTGTCATACGGTCTGCCTGTGCTCTTCGCAGTGATAGAAGAAACCTCGCCAACGTCCTTCAGAACACCGACGACATCGACCGTAGCATCTTTTTCAATGGATTGAAGTTCCTGGATGTTAACAAAGTTGAAGCGTACTTGGGGCACACTGGACTGGTCCTCAGCCTTCTCAATGACTGTATCCCTCTCAAACGTGAGTTCGTAGTCGTTGGGAAGATTGCTGAATTGCTTCTTCGCTAGGGATACACGACACGGGTTACTAATATAATAAACTTGGCCCTCTTGCAACAAGTCGTAATACTGATCGCATTGTTCGTTGAACCCGGTTGCTTTAATTTCGCCACTTTCGTCGAGAAGGTTAACGGAGAATAATTTGCCTTCGCCTGATGCCTTGTGCCAGGTTTTGATATCCGACTTTTGTGTCACACGGGCCTTGATAGTCCATTTATGCGCGTAGGGAGAGAGTGCTTCAATCGGATATACGACATTATTCCCATTGCTATGGGATGTTGTGTTCCCGCCCATACGCGACGACATTGGTTCAGACTTGATGGCCGGTGCCGAAGATTCGGTTTTCGCACCGTAGAAATTTGAGCCGCCGATGGCGGCATTTCCCGTCTGTGGCTTGGCTTCGAAGGCTTGAGGCTCGCCAATTCGATCGTGGACACCGAGTTCTGAAGCAACATCGAGATCGAGGATGATAAGAATGCTGTAGTTTGTCAGCCGCCATGATGCGTAACCCATAAGAGCTCAAATACTCACTTCTTTCCCTTTACTGCATTTGCCTGGTATGATTTTACTCGAACAAGACAGCCTCGGACAAGGGCACCATTGTGGATGACATGATTCGCCTCTATGGAATACATAAGCATTGCCTTTATATCACCTCTTTCAACAGGAACCGTGATACGTACGAGTTGCTAACATGCATTGAACATAGTTGCGTATATCGCTTAGAACTACACGATACCGCTCAGGCTGTGGGCCACTAGGGCCTTGTTGTGCGGCGAGGGGCTTGATTTGTAGACATTGTAGGACAGGGACGGGAAAATGTTGCTCAACGTGTTCGGGGTCGCTGAAAATAGCACTGGATTTCGGTTAGTATGGATGTTCAGTAGTAGTATTATAATATTATAATATCATGCAGAATTGCTCTATGGTTGATTTGCATACTCTAAAGCCCCTTGGGTAATAGCTTGTTGTGCTGCGGTGACCGACATGTTGAACAAGATTGACCTTAATAGATCACAAGTGTGTATGAAGGCAATAGAAGGTCTCTTGTCGGTGATGAGAAAAGAAAAGGAAATAATAGCTGACTGATAAGAAAGAGAATCAGTTTAATGAAAACGCGTCAGGGTCTAAAAAAGTCGCGCCAAAGTTAAAGTGGTGGGTAACAATAGCGTGGCACCGAATCGTACTGTACCCTCAAACGCGGGGTTTCATCGTAGCTGCTAAGGTCAAGACCCAGGTACCCACCCAGATACCTGGCAGCTGCCTGCTAATGGTTACATTGCTAATCAACAGGGGACTTTCTATATTGATGGCAGCTGGCAAGCCCCCTCGTACGTCATTCTCTCAGATGTCGACCCACATATATTGATATACATGTGCGTGTTGCCAAGCATAGCTGCTGTCTTTGCTTGCCTCATGTGCATCTTACAGTACACCTTCAGTTCTTTCATTAACATATACTAAATATCTTCTCCAAATAGTTTCCAAAGCCCTTTTCAATTCCTATTTCACCTACCAACTCGCATTTTAGGTATCTCCCGAAAATATCCCCCGTCATGACGGAAGCAGATGTCGCAACAAAAGCTCCCGAGAGCGATGCGCAGGAGACCGAAATCCCAGGCGATACACCTGCACAGACCGGTCCTACGATGGGTGAACACTGCACATCTGACAGGCCGACCCGTAAGTGAACTTTAGAATCATACATCGACGAGTGTCGGAATTGACATGATTGTATATAGCTGCTGGTTTAACTCCAAAGGGAGAGCTAAGAAAACTTGGAGGAGTGGATGTTAGTACTCCTACAGTAATAATCGCCGCTTACTTTCAACTTCATGTTAACCGCACAATAGATATACCTTGCGAAACCCGATTCATATCCCACATCTCCCTCCAAGCTCCTCCTTCTACTCTCGAGCGGTACGGGCATCAAATCGACAAATAACCAAATCCAAGCGGACAAATTTGCAGATGAGGGGTTGTAAGTACTCTAGAACTTTTACCTATTCGCGGCTGGGAACGGAGCTACTTCTACTATTGCGAGACATGAAATTGATTCTGTACGTAGCGTCGTTGTCATGCCAGACCTCTTCGAAGGCAACCCAGCGCCCAACCCACCACCTGTTCCCGACTCCGAAGCAGAAGGGACCTCGTTCCTCGACAAGATCAAACTCAAAGCCGCCGAAATTGCGAAGTCCTTTGTAATCGACGAATGGCTAGCCCGGCATACCGAAGAGAAAGTCATGCCTATCCTTGAGAAGGTCATTGAGGCGTCTAAAGGCGAATTTGCTGACGCAGTGGGTTATGGAGGTGGTATCTACGCCGTGGGTTACTGCTTTGGTGGTCGATATGTCCTGCTGCTCGCAAGTGAGCGCGAGCGGATACAAACAGGTTGGAGCGGTGCCCAGAAATCTGCCGACGAAGAAGCGGGAGACGGGGCCAACTTGGCCAAAAAGGGACCCTATATCAAAGCGGGTGCATTGGCGCATGCCACACTAGTGTCACCAGATGACTTCCAGGGCCTCAAAGTGCCAGTAAGTTTGGTCTGCGTAGAGAGCGATCCCATGTTTCCCGACGATGTTCGAGAAACTGGGGAAAATATCATGTCCAGGGCGAATCTAGAGCATGAAGTTCAGGTATATCCTGGTGTACCCCACGGATTCGCAGTCATCGGTGATTATGACGACGCAAATATCAAGAACGCGCAAGTGACAGCTTATGAGCAGCTGCTAAAGTGGATCAAGGAACATTAGTGAGGGGACAGCGGATTCCAACCCTATGGCGTTGTGTAGGCGTTGCCTTTTAGTGTCAATGAGAGCATGGCGATTAGGTTTTCGAGCACTTGTGGTTACGCAGGTTTCGGTCATGAAATAGGCCCGGCGGGTCGGAAATTCTTCATATACCTAAGTGGTTTGTTCTACGGGACCGTACAGATGATTTTTCCAGTCGTCTTGTTTTCTTCCATCAACTGGTGTGCTTTAATGACGTCGTCCATCGGTAGGATGGTGTCGACGAAGACTTTCAGTTTGCCATCTATAAAATGAGGCATATACTCTACCAGCTTATCCCTCAATCGACCCTGGTAGTCAGGATCCCTACTTCGTAGCGCACTACCTTCAATTCGCAGTCGCTTGTAAATCAAGAATCCAATATCGACTCCGTCAAGTTTTGTACCACCCATCACTACAGTGATACGAGTTAGTCGCCGCTCTTGTGCAGTGTGGAATTTGGTGTGTTGAGTATGTCTTGAGAGCCATAGCACCCCGTTTGAACGTTCCGTTTTATATCAAATTAAAAGGGAGGGGAGGAGAAACATAAGACTTACTGCCTAACACCACCCATTTAGCATCCCTAGCCGCGACCGTTAGGTTCTTTTGGAAGTAGCTGGCGCCGACGAAGTCTATAATAAGATCCACGCCTTTTCCACCGGTTGCTTCGAGAATTTCCTTTGTCCAGTCCTGTGTTTTATAATTGAAGGCCTTAGTGGCGCCAAGCTCGCGCTCAATAAATCGACACTTTTCATCCGTACCGGCGGTAGCGTATATAGCACTCGCTCCGCTGTCGCGACTAAGCTGAATTCCCGCAATGCTTACACCACTAGCCTTTGGGGTTAAGATACAACGTTAGCTACCTAGGTAGATGCAAAGGAGTTTTATAAAGTAGGTGAACTTACGCCGGCGTGCCACAGTACCGACTTGCCTGGTGCGAATTCACCGACCAGATGCAAAGCCTGTGTTGCCGTGATCCATGTCTCGGGGATACCAGCCGTCATCTCCCAGGAAAGACTGTCGGGTTTGTGCAATAGCATTTTGGAGCTCACGGTAATGTATTGCGCATATGCGCCACCGTACGCAAGGCCGAAAACAGCATTTCCAATCTGAAAATCGCCGTGTGAGCCAGGTCCGAAGGATTCAATCGTACCGCTGAACTCAACGCCGAGGGTGGCCGGGGCCTGTGGTGGAACCGGATATCTCCCCTCACGCTGGAGGAGGTCCATACGGTTCAATCCAAAAGCCTTCACCCTAACTAAAACTTGGCCTTCTTGAGGCTCGGGCTTAGGCGTCTCGGGATTGATAAAGAGTGAAGTGGCAGGCCCTTTGCCGCCGTGGATATCTATAAAAATCACAGTACAATTAGTTATGTCAAAGCAAACGATATATACAGCGAGATGTTATTATCCATACCAACAGCTTTCATATAGTTACCCATTTTGACGCCCAAGAATAGTATTAAAGGAATTGAGTATTCCGAACGGTTTAAGACATTAATATTCGAAATTGGGCGCTTTTGCCTTTTTATATAGTACGAAGGAAAGGAAACGTGCTACGGTTGGTAATTAACGGCAACTTAGCTGTAAATGTTGGCCAACATAAGTAGTTAGATTAGTTAGGTAACAGCTAGAAACATGTGGAATGACATCAAGTTTACAAAGCCGATTGGATTTCAGCAACATATTGAATCCAATGCCGCCCGCAACTGCACGCTAAATCCCGCTCTCTACGTTGCATATTCGCAACCGCGGATCTAATGTAAGAGTCTTGGGGATTTCTCAAACTTTGGTCGCATATCGGATCATTTACCAAAGGCACCTCAAACAACTTCCACCATTCCATATAAAGAGCAGGTAGTTGGATAATAGGCATTATTGCCTACTAGGAGTCTCCTGGAACGGGTGTAGCTCGAGAACGCCGTATACCCCAACGCCACCATTCTCCTCTCACGAACAAATCCAGGGTATAAGGAGCTTCCTTACTGTACTCGTTAATCGCTTAAATACGTATCGATCAAGGTAAGGCATTTAGTGTAAAGGCGCTTATACGAATCCATGGGCGATGTTCGTAAGTTGCTCAAAGATATAGTTGTCGATATTCGAAACTTCACTCCGGGTTAACCGATCTTGGTCATCAAGTTTCATCACTATGACATGTCTACCGAGACTTGTTACAAACCTTCCCGTTCCGCATTGGGACACAACTAAGTATACAAACATAGAAGAGCGACCATAGCATAAGACGCGAAAGGACCAGCCTAAAGACAAAAGAAACACACATGCACGCGCACCGGGCGTTGGCTGGTGATTACGACAACGGTAGCCGTATCGACGATCCTGGGCGACCCGTTGCAGTCTAATCCAGAGCCCACTATATCCTAGCAACTTCGGAACTTCGCATGCAGGCTGATGAGTAACTCTATGAACGAGCCTCATTCGTATTGCTGGTTTCGGCATTATAAACTCACTATGTTGCTTATTGGTAACAGCGACTTCGCACTGATAATGGTTTTATTGCCTACCTATCTGTCTTTGTCGAAAATCATGCATGGTACATTTACACCGACGTCTCACATCGAGTTGAGATATCCTATGTACTTGGATGGGTACTTGAATGGGACAATCATACTCAGTTGAGCTAGATCCGACCCCAACGGCTCGAATCGTAGATGAGATCCATCACGCCGCCGAACGACTGGGCCAAATATACTATGTATGGCTTGTGGGACCAAATCAGCGGTGATCGAAAGGAGAATCCATGCCGCAGACGCATACTACTAGTTTCCCTTTTCAGGTCCTAACCAAGTTCTAGTTCAGCTTATCGGAAATTTTACATACATGTGCCTCTTGCTATGTTCCAGCATACATGAATGAAACCTATCTGCATTATGTTCAGAGTACCTAGGTATTTACTTAGGTACCATATTTCAGAAGGCGATAAGCCCTATCCTCGGATGCTTTGATCCTTCAACGACAGACCGACACGAGATATTAATTTTGCGGGCAATGGTATCGTCTGATGTTACCCTTGTCTGGCTGCCAGATCTGGAATGGAAGATACCCCAGTGGTTCTTATCAGTTTCGCAACATGACCAACTTCCAGAAGGCTTCAAGGAATGCTGGTAATTTCCGAATTGAGCTAAGAGAGCCAATCCAGATTCTAGAGATGGCCGAGCGGCTGTCGGTCGCTTTCTGTCAGCTAGGGTGTCTAGGCGTATCACCACCTAGGCAAGGTAGCATCGTCAGGGGAGTTTCCTAAACCCCCGTCGCAAAGCTCGGAGTGGCCTTACGATACGGAATTATCTAGGTACTCACCGAGCAGCCTCATACCTATCTTAATAATGGCATTTCACTATCTTGGTGGATACTAGATAACTGACCCCAATCGTGCGTTTTCAAATTAGATGGCTCAAAGCGGCGTCAGCGCCTTATCCGAATTCGGAGTTTATGACAAGTTCCGTCAGCTTCAAATGAAAATGCAAAAAACCAAACCCCCTGAAGGGACCCACTAAACTTATCGCTGTCTTAATGTTATTTAAGAAACTCAAACTGCCTCTTTTATCAAGTTAGACCTACCTAGGTGGTTTAGGGTTAAAACTCGATGAAGTTTTATATGTCTAGACTAACTTCTCAAATAAGTAAAGTATCTCGTACATTCTTGTCTGCTTAGAGCTATGGTAAATGAAATATCTACCTAGGTAGATACCTGGTTGGGCGAGGTAATGTGACAACCTTGCCTTCTAATTGTGGTTGGTACATACAATTAAATTTTCTGCTTACACGTTATGTAGGTACCTACATGTACCTAGGTAGCTAATTACCCGCAATTGCAATGTTTTGTTCCTGCAGAAGCGCAATGTGTTCCTGCATCTGCCTGCTACGCTACCCGACTAAAAAAAGTCTTAGAACCCAATCCATTTCGCATGCATTTATTCGACTCTAAGAAATAGTATATTTTCCTTATAGGCTTAACATGTTTTAAGATTAACTTAAACCAATTTGGTAAGGCCCAAGTGTATAGATACAATCCATGGATACTTATATAGATATTAGTGGGCCATGGCTGAGCTTCGTATTACTTTCTTGTTCGTATTCAAAATTTGCCTCCCAAAATAATATTTCGAACCCATCATTATCACATCGACAATAGTTCAAAAACAATAATTCCAAAACAGGTTATTAACTACATCAACTAAATGTTATTAGCCCACGTACCAGACGTATTATGATCTTTTTAGCCAAGGAACAAAATAGCGCTAGTGGCGTTCCAATTTCCGCATCGACAGACTTGTCGCTGGCCTTTGTCCCATCCCGGTCAAAGGCCGCCCTGTTCCTTGCAGGACGTTCTGTATGCTACTGTATAATCCTTGCTCGCATCATCCAACAGGCGTCCAGATCCAAAATAGTACCGAACTATTGTCCCAAGGACCCATCTCGTGTTCCTATTATGCAACCTGATAACAATTCATCACTGCTGTTGTATTCACTCATGCCATTAAATTCTACCTAGGTAACGAATCGAGTAAGGATTTAGCAGTTATATCTGATCTGTATACGCATAACGAGTAAATAGGAATTCCAGAGTATGTATGAAATGCTGGAGTGTACTTATATCAATTCGTACATGTAGGTACCTATGTAATACTACCAATGACTAAAATCACTAAGGAGAAATCCACTCTCCACTCCGAAAAGGAGACGGTTTTGGCGCTCATCACCCACCGAACGAATAGGTCTCCTTTGATGGCCCCTCTTGGGCGAATAGATACGTACGCATAATCCATACACTATGCCAATTCACATCAGCACTTTTTTTTATTCTTTTTTTATTCTTTTAATTTTTTTTATCAGGTACATAGTTAGTATTATTATTCTTTTTCCAGACCTGGGGAACGTAGTGAATTATGATTGGACAGCAAAGCGAAATAAGATGTGGAAAAAAATTAATATGGAGTATTAGATGGATGGAGATGCACCTCGACCCTACTGTCCTAGCGCCTTGGGTCTATCATCCACTACCTGGGAGGTACCCAGCCCAAAAGAGCCAGGCCAGGGGTAAGGCGTAGGGGGCGGTAGGGGGAAGGCGTACTCCGTGGGCTATCAACAAGCAAAGCAACTACCTACGGAGTAGGTACTGTAGCTGGGCCGCTAGGCTGCTGGGCTGCTGGGAAGGTGGAAGTTCACGTTGCGTCGTGTTCCCGGAAGCGACCTTCCCCATGGCCAACGGTGGTTCCTGACTTTGTCCGTCCTGTATATAAGTCGACACTCCCAAGGACCGACAATCCTTTCTCTTCTTTCCTTTTCTCACCCACACACATTCTCTGCAAATAATCACCCTGACTTTTTAGTCAATTTCATTCGTTAACAAGCATATCTAATTGCTCAACCCTATATACCTAATCCTCGACAACTTTTAGCTCTTCACGAGTCACTTAATACCAGACAAACTCAGTCAAAATGAAGTTCTCCATTGCCGCTGTTGCTTTCGCCGCTGGCGTTTCTGCCTCTTACCCGGCCTCCAACGCTACCCAGTACACCACTGAGGTCGTTACCTCGTACGAGACGTACTGCCCCGGCCCCACCCAGATCACCTACGGCACCAACACCTACACCGTCACTGAGGTATGGAGAGGACTAGAGGAGATGATGAGTTAAAGGGCGTGTAGTGACTAACATGTTGCCAATAGGCCACTACCCTGACCATCACTGACTGCCCTTGCACCGTCAGCAAGCCAGTCTACACCACCTCGTCCGTATCCTGCGCTACCTGGTAAGATAGCACCTGTAAACCAAGATTATAAATCTAACATATCGAAGCAGCGCCCCGGCTCCCGTCTACCCGACTTCTGCCCCGGCTTACCCTACCTCGGCTCCCCCGGTCTACTCTAACAGCTCTGCTTCTGCTACCACCCCCACCCAGGTTTACCCCACCGGCGGTGCCCCCGGCACCACGACCTCTGCTACCACCATCCCCACCGCTGGTGCCGGCAAGGTCGCCGCTCTCTCCGGTGCTGGCCTTGCTGGCCTGCTCGGTCTGGCTGTTGCCGCCCTATAAATTGACTTCTAGTTGAGCATTCACGTCTATGACCTACGATTCTCTTTTGTTCGATAGTACCTAATCCTTGGGGATCGAGAAGAATGCTTTCGACGCTCATGACGGGAAAGCAGACTTGGAGTTGTATTGGGCGGCTGGGAGTGTTTTAGACTGGGAGGATTATTAACGGCACACGGGTGTTCTTGCATTGCACTATGGAGGATTATCATGGCCACGCATGCAGGATCTAAATTTTGATTGTAATTTCTTGTCTCGGTGTTTCAGGCAACCAGACCATCTCGCCACGGAGGATTTACAATGTGTGAGGTCTTCTGGTCGTTGGAACGGTCACAGAAGGGATATTTTTGGATAGGGAGCTGATTTCTTGCCGATATTGGATGGAGGCTTGCTTCGCTTCCAGAACCCTTTTGACAATCAAACCATTACAATCACCAACCGTTTCCTCGCCCAAGAAATTTTCGATTCTCGTGCTCCCCTGCTCCTTGTTGACTTCTCGTTCTTGTACAAATTTTTGAGAGTCAATAGCAATGTTAAATATTTCGGCAAGGTTTTGCAGGCTTTATCACAGTCTTAGCTGGATGTTTTATTGGTCTTTGGTTAATTCTCCCGTGCTTGCGGAGTCTTTGTACAGTAGTTCAATGGCAACGCAGACACGGCTGGGAGGCCAAGTTTTGGTCCAGCACTCTTACATCGTATCCTTCTGCTGTGATTAGTGGCTAACCTAGGTACTATTGGGGCTCTGGATCGTTGAGATATCCGTGTTACGTTATTCTACTTTTGTCTGGAAAGAGGCATTTAATTCATGGGCTTTTTAAAATCAAGATTAGCTCTATAATAACTTGAGTTGCGTCGCTCAAATAGAAAGTTGATTTAGACTCGTTGCATTTTGTGTTGCAGTGTCGCGTATATTATCTTGTTCCCGTAACATGTATTTAATGTGTTTACGGGTACCTTCCGGGCCTCTCAATCGTGTGGTACCGTTTTCTACCTCCTACAGGCAATTCAATAGGGTACAGCGATCATCAGATAGCGTGTCTAGTTGGATCGATGATCACTGGGCACGTAAGCATGGGCGCATACACTTGTTGATCATCGATGATCCGATAATCTAGTAGTGGTGTAGGCTCATTGGCTAATTATAGGTACTTAGACAAGTAAGTCTTAGATGGGAGACACGCATGGACAAGGTTATTGTCTGATATCCGAGACAAAAGGTACGTGTTTTAATTCGAGGAGTTACTAATCTAACCTTCATGAGAGTCTATGTAACAACCAACCATGGAGTTAAGTATATACCTCCTATGAAAGATGAGATTGCTAGGTATGGGTAACCCTCCTTTTCAAAATCCTACCTAATATCCAATTATATTTACATGCTCAAACGTGAGATAACCAACTGTATATACCTACCTTTTATACCTAGGTACGTACCTAGGTAAGCGGAGGGATTGTCTTGGTTGGTTGCACGTAACCCAGCCAGCACCTTTTCAGTAGAAATTGAGATGAATCCAACCAACTGGCCAATATAGAATCATTATGACAATAAATGATTGTTTCATAATCAGCTCAACAAGATTCGTCCGAATCAATGTGCCAGTTTCATAATCCCTTACTTAAGAAGAAGAAGAAGCTTATCTCAACCGTACGTACTATAAAGTACGTAAATACGTATAAAAGTCTATCGGCCCGAAATAGATTGTTTGATGTTTTCAATCCTGCTCAAAATGGCAACATCATCTTTCTAGCATCAATTAAGTACCTAGGTAGATACCTACATATGTATCTGGGGTACCAGTTGCATAATATTATCGGGCAATTGTTACAATATTATCCACATTTGTATTCATTATGCTATGAAATGCATAACTTCGGCGTAGATTCGTCGCTACGGCATAATAGAAACATAATTTTGCATTCTTCAATTTATCTTACTATTCTTCAACAAAACCAACAGATGATATTGCCAGGCATGTAGGTATTTACGTCAGAAGCTTAAAACTGCCAAATATCTTCTTAATTGGTTACATCGGGTCCTCTACGCCGCCAGTTAGCAATTGGTAATACCTAGGTACTTGGCTGGCTATTACTGACACCTTATCAGTCTTGATAGCCGACGATCAGAATCATGGCTGTCATAGCCCATAACCAGAACAGGGACATTTCCCCTCAGTCTAACGCCCATCTCCAATTCTAAACCCATTCACCGTTCCATCATCTACATCCAACTTTCGAATCTCGTATGTTAGTATCATGGCCGAGGTTAAGGACGTACTCGCGACAACTACTCCGCATGATGTCGAACAGGCTACGGATTCATCTAAAGCCACCGAGTTCAATTCCATGCGCAGACATGTTAACAGCGATGATCCAGATGAGGCACTCAAACTCGTGACTGGAGAAGCTGTAACATTAACCCCAGAAGATGAGAAAAGGTTGTTGAGAAAGATAGATTGTAATCTAATGCCTTTACTATGTGTCGTTTACGGTTTGAATTACTTGGACAAGACGACTTTATCCTATGCCTCCATCATGGGAATTAAAGTGAGATACACTATTCTTAATACGAGATCTGGATTCATACTAACCAGTAACAACAGACAGACATCAATCTAAAGGGTGAGCTCCTAACATTCGGGGACATCTATACCCTCTCGTGGGAATTTTCTACTGAATCTGACGTATCTTAGGCCAAGATTACTCTGTAAGAAACTTCCATTTGCCGATTCGGTATGGGAATGCGCCTGCGTCGATCGCCCCCCAGGAACGGACATAAACATTAGTTATAATTCAAAACCTCCTTATATCTCGCCATATGTATTAATTATATAAGCGATACTGACCCTTTCGACAGTGGATAGCGTCTATGTTTTATTTTGGTTACCTCTTCTGGGAATGGCCAACCAATCGCCTCCTGCAGCGGCTGCCTTTAGCGAAATATTCGGCCTTCAACGTGATAATGTGGGGTCTCGTTCTCTGTTGTATGGCAGCTGTCAAGAATTTCGGCGGAGCAATGACTGTTCGATTCTTCCTCGGCGCTTTCGAAGCAGCTGTCAGTCCCGGCTTTGCCCTTTTCACGTCGCAATGGTATACCAAGAAGGAACAAGGGGCAAGAGTCGGGTGGTGGTTTAGTTTCAATGGTTGGGGCCAGATTGTAGGCGGTTTTGTAGCCTATGGTATTGCCGTGGGTACGGAGGCTCACCCCATCCTTATCAAATCGTGGCAACTAGTCTTTCTTGTCACTGGTTTCTTCACGGCTTTCATGGGCGTTTTATTTCTTTACCTTATGCCGGATAGTCAACTGAACGCGAGGTTCTTGACACAAGAAGAACGAATTATGGCTGTCGAGCGCATCCGCATGAACCAACAGGGCGTGGGTAATAAACATTTTAAGTGGTACCAATGCAAAGAAGCATTGTCAGATCCAATGATTTGGGCTTTTACACTCTTCAGTGTCATTGTCTCGGTCCCTAACGGTGAGTTGCGAAGCCACATGTATACGAAATTGAGCTAACGTCTTGGTTAGGTGGGATGTCAAATTACTTCTCACAGCTTATTGTCTCGTTCGGTTTCACTGAGAACCAATCATTACTCTTGGGTACTCCAGGCGGTGCTATCCAGGTATTCAGTCTCCTTGTCGCTGGTCATCTAGGGGATCGATTCAACAATCGCATAGTCAGTTATTCTAAATCGTACGCCACGCTCGGAGCTAACAAGTCATTTATAGTTGTTTGGTGCCTCTGGAGTACTGATTGCTGTGCTCGGATTGTTCCTTATACTTCTCTTGCCGATTAGTAACAGCGGAGGACGGCTCGCAGGCTACTACCTGTACCAATTTTCGTCAACTGGCTTCGTAGCCTTACTTGGACTCATTTCGACCAACGTAGCAGGATGGACGAAGAAAACCACAGCTGCAGCAATGTACCTCTTGGCCTATTGCGTGGGAAATATCATCGGGCCCCAGTGCGTTGAAATTATAATATGCTATTCTCCAAAATTCATTTCTGACACTTATTCATAGGGCCTTCCAGTCGACCGACGCGCCACAATACCGCAACGCAAATATTGTAGTTCTTGTTTGTATGTTCGTCTCGTTCGCCATCTTGATTTTCATCAACTTTTGGTGTAGGCACCAGAACAAGGCCAAGGCTACCATCCGAGCTAGCCCTGGTTATGCCAAGGTAGATGGGCAAGAATTTCTCGATCTGACTGATAGAGAAAACCCGGAATTTATCTATACCTTGTGACGAGGGCCAAGCATAAGCGTAGGGGGGCGAGCTTATCCACGTGTCCGTTTGCTTTGGTTCTCCCATGCTGATTGTGTGACAAGAGTCAAGCTAGGTACCGTTTGTGCTTGTCCTCCGGTATTTCTGAGTCAGCCCGAATGCATGTCATATTGGATTATATAGCTAATTCCAACATCACTTTAATGGCGCATTCGTAAATGGGGCTACTAAACCGACGGTTGATAACTTACTTCTTTTCATCGCATACGACCTTGATGCGCATAACCATATCTGTGTTAATCTACTCTAATTTTGTCTATATTCTATCTATATTCTATCTGCTTTTGTCTAATAGTGAAAGGATGGATAACAGACGCTAGGAAAGTAGACAGTTTAAGGAGCGGTAAGAACTGGGCTGCTTTGCCAACTTCCTACGTAACTAACGTAGGTAGGTGGAGAGCAAGGACCACGACGACCAAATGAACTTCATAGAAACGAGAACCTGACTTCCCTCCTCACCTCGGCCGCTATCTTTAATGCATCCTTTCTGGATTTGGAGAATACATTAAAATAGGCCACGAATGTGTTAGCTCCAGAACTAGGATGCGGAATCTTCTGGCCCCTTTTCGCGAGGCAGCCGTAGCGATTGACTATGATATCTAAAGTTAGTCTTCAGTTCGCACGAATCTTTAGGGTTAATACAATGGGAGAGACAGCATATATAGAACATAAGTCTAGGATGTACTCACTATTTTGTGCCAAGTCTGGTCGCCGAGTCAGCAGTTCTTCGCAGATATCATCAGAATCGAATATTCCTTGGCAGCTCTCATGGAAGTCGGCGCGTATCAATACCATAACCCCAGTATGCTGGGCGCCATTCAGGAAGGAGTGAGAGAGCGCTCTAACTCGCTCCTTGTCATTTATAGCTAGAGTTAGCGCGACACCGAAATAGTCGATTCCGTATACCGACTCAATGATGCGACTAGCGGTCAATCCTGGTGGTCGCGGATTGATTTCTAAGACCCAAGGAGCTGGAGTGACGGACTTGATCTCCTTTCCATTCGGTTGCAAATCCAGAATACCTTCTTCACAGCGGTATTCAACCGATGATTGATCAACTCGAGCCTCCACATGCATGATACCACTGGAAAACCCAAGCCGTCGAATCGTCGCACTAATAGATTCCCTAAGCATTGCCAATTCATAGGATGGAAGTGCCGAGGGGTGGACGAGATAAGTTTCCAAGAAGTTTCTTTGCGATTCTGGGACGGTTTCGTCATCTTGATCTCCTGATTTAGGGAAGTCATCAGATATTTCGGAGAAGAGTACTTCACCATCAAGTAGAACGATGTTTACGTCCACTTCTGGCCCGTCGCAGTATTTCTCGATCGTGAACGACTTGAAAAAGGTCTTCTGTATCATCTCCACAGCTGACCGAATCCCTGCCGCATTGTTCACCCGTACAACCCCCTCTGAGTTCAGGCCTAAACGTGGTTTTAGGATTAAGGGATACTGGAGGTTCTCGTTCGAGGCGAATTCTAGAGCCTCCTCGGCGGTGGAACCATGAAAAGGTCTACGGTTTTCGAATACGCCTAGCCTGTACTTATCAGTTGCAATCTCGTACGCCTCCGCTGGTTGACACGGAAGACCAAGCTGTTGAGCCGCCCTGCTGACGGTGGCGAGAAATGGTTCTAGAAAGGCGACTATCCCATCGACTTTCTTCCCGTATGACTTGACCATTTCGACAATATGATCTGCCATGTCGTCCCCGGGAGGATTAGACCACCAGGCGCCAGCGGGCAAGAGAGCTTCATACCAGTGTGAATACTCGCTTCGCTCGATCCAGCTCCCGGGTTTCTCGATAATAACTAAATCGATTCCGAGGGCATGGGCTGCATCACATGCGTATACCGTCCAGGCACCTGATGATGGATCGCGATAGCTACAGCCAACGAGCACAAGGCGTTTGCGAGTTAGTTGCTCTCGTGTGATCCACGAGATCGACATCTTGTTTTCAAATTCGGCTTCAAAGGCTGGATGTACAGTGGCCTTATTGGAGATATGCCCGTCCGAAGGAAGCTCCTGTAGTAATATCCCCCCAGCTGAAGATCGAAATATCTCGGGAAGTGACATCGCATCTAGACGCAGAGCATTTCCAGGAAACGATTGGAGAGGGTCTGAAAATGACGCTACTTTCTCGGCCCCGAAGGCGCCTTTAAGACGAAGGGGTAAGATGTCTGACCTGACAATTGTTCCTCTATGGAGGGGAATCACAAGTCTGACAATTCTACTCCTGGAAGATTGCGTGGCCTGGAGACAGCTCAGAAGAAACTGAAAGGCTGCATGTGAGCCAAAAGACTCGGCATTGATAAGTTGGGCTTCATTGGCGTCGTTCAGAAGCCAGGCCGTGTTTTCCTTCGGGGTTTGTAGTCTTGTTAAACTTGGCGACGCACAACTCGCTGTTAACAGAAGGTCGACCACCTGTGATGCCGTACTATCGTTGACATCACATTTGGTGACTTGCGAAGTGGCCCAACTACACCGAACAGCAACTTGCAAGATGTTAGTTCGAATATATGACGTCGTTTTTTTGGTCAGCCACTTACCATTATCGCCCCAAATTGTGGTCGACTCTTTTTCGGCCATCATGAGGAGGATCCACTTTACTTCAATGTGTAACTCCTGTAGAGCTTGCTGTCTCCAGCACCTCCAGACTCCATGATTTCTAGTTGACAAAGTTAACTTATATATAATCATTTCTTTCGTTCTATTTCCTGTTTTCTATCCGGTTTCTATTTTTCGTGTTCTAGGACTAGATCGTGAGAGTATACATCAGTTTCCTATTTAAGACATTCGTTGCGTGAAGCTGAAGCCTCCCCCATAAGCTGAGTCATTATCGACTGTGAAACGACTACGAGGCCGCTCACGAGCTCTTTCTAGTCGCAAGTGGACCTCCTTGAGTATACATGTTGGTTTACGGAGAAAGGCAACGCGGCCTTGCCGGCCTGTACTCGAGTATCTTGCGGATGTGATGTATGCGTCATTTACTATTCTATACATTAGAAGGTATATTTAAGCTGCGTGAGCGACGCGCCCCCAAATTTTTGTTGAATCAGATTATCCCAAAAGCGACGGGTTTGAGCGAGCGCAACTAGTTGACGTATATAGTATGGCTATTGCGATTGGCGGATCGAAAAATCGAGGTATTCAAACGAATGGATGCGCAAGCCCTAAAAACCCGACCTCAATCCGAATGCTAGGATCCTTCTGCGGAGACACGGGAGGGATAATGAGGAGAGGCGAAAACCAACACAATACACAATACATAATACATGTTGGGAGTGTTATCGCGTCGCCACAATCATAAATAAGCATTGGAGTGTTGAACCTCTAAGCTGAGCGCATATTGTTTTGGTAGAGACATGTTGGTCGTCGTCATCGGAAATAAGTGATATCCTTTCAACTCGTGATCAGCAGGTACAAAAATAGCGCTTTGCAGGTTACCATCGTCGCATTCGCGTCTTGGCCGACAAAAAGGATCTATAGCTTTGCTCTAGCCTCGATAGCCTTATGGGCTTCTCCTTTGTGCTTAAAATATTCTGCGACTCTCGATCTTGCGACCTCAACCACCGATGCGTCTTCAATGGTTGCCGGGTATTTGACTTCATTATCGAGCTCCCCGTGAACAGCGTTCTCGACAAGTTCCTTTAAGACTCTCCGTAGCGTCTTACCCGATCGCGTTTTCGGAATCATTCCCCTACCTTGTATTATACCACCGAGCGTGGCAATACCCCCAATCTGCTTTCGGACCCGACTTTGGATCTCTTTGGATAACATCTCATCTGGCACAGCAGAAGTGGGGTGCTCAGGTGTCGATAGCGTTATGAAAGCAAAGGGGAGTTGACCTTTCAGAGAGTCGGGGACGCCAACAACGCAGGCTTCGGCAACCAGGGGGTGGCTGGTTATTGCCTGTTCAATAGGACCTAGCCCATTTGTTTTAATACAAAGTTATGATTATTAATCCGGATATGGGATCCAACTTACTAGTAGAAAGACGATGACCGGCCGTGTTTATCAAATCATCGCTCCGGCTCATTATACTGATATACCCGTGAGGATCTATCATCCCGGAATCTGTTATGATAAGTTGGGTTAGAACACGTAAGCCTTTCATAGCCTATAAAAGACCTACCGCCGGTATCTATCCATCGCCCACCAAACCTCTTGAGGTAGCCACTATAAAACCTCTCTTCATCTTTCCATAACGTTGTAAATCCAGTCGGCGCAAGCGGTATCGCCAAAACAATATTGCCCATCTTTCCTCTCCTCACCTCTTTACCATCATCGTCCACCACCACCACATTGAAGCCTGGCATCGCCTTGCCGGCACTTCCTGGCTTGATCGGCAATGGCTTGTGGCTTTGACTCTTCCCATCCCTGGTATCTACCGCCCGGGGAGCTATACTGATACCTGATATAGGCGATCCAGATTCTGAGGACCACCAATTATCTACCACGGTGGCATCGTCCGCGCCATAACGCTGTATGAGTTCTTGGTACATTGTAATAATTGAGGGTTCCGACCTCTCCCCAGCCAAGAAAATAGCCCTAAGACTTCTTAATCCGCCCTGTGCACCTATTTGTTTGAATGCCTTATTTTCAGGATCGTCTCTCTTAATGGCCCGTAAAGCAGCTAGGTTCGTTAGTGCATTGCGCTGGCGTACTTCCTAGGCGATACTCACTGGGCGCAGTAAATAAGCTCGTTACTTTGTAGTCCTGTATGATTCGCCAGAACGTCGAACTATCCGGCGTTCCAATAGGTTTCCCTTCAAAAAGAACCGTCGCTGCGCCGATAAGAAGAGGTCCATAGAGGATATAGGAGTGTCCAACCACCCAACCTATATCACTGAATTTCGGGTTAGCAGTTATGGCAAAGCAAATTACTCTTCAACTCCACTCACCTCGCCGTAAACATAACCTCATCGCGACCGTGTACACCAAAGAGATAGCTTATTGAAAGATGCAACCCTACTGCATGGCCACCTGTCTGCCGGACAACACCTTTAGGGGAACTCGTTGTCCCGCTGGTGTAGATGATGTAGATCTCATCAGTGGCATTCACGGGAACGCAATCGGCCTTAATACCCCTTGCTTTACAGCTACGCACCATCTTGAACCAATTGCGTTCACTGGATGTTTTGTTTAGCACGTCCCATCGTAATTCATCTCGTTGCCAGATAATGACGCGGCTTGGCTTATGACTAGAAAGTTGAATAGCTTCTGTTATGAAAGGTTTATAACTCATTGGGGGTTTAGCCCCATCAATGCCACACGAGGCCGTCAGGATAGCTACGGGTTGACACGCCTCGATGCGTTGGGCTAGGGAGGTTGCGGCAAACCCACCAAACACAACAGCGTGGACCGCGCCTAATCGGTTGATTGCAAGAATTCCTATGAGGGCAGCTGGTATCATTGGCACTGTATATTGTTAGTCAGGCGTCTATTCTGATAATAATAAAAAAAGCAAAAGAGATGGAGGTATACTATAGACCAAGACAACATCTCCTTTCTTGACACCCTCCTCCCTTAGAGCACCAGCCGTAATCTCAACTTCTTCCAATAATTGCGCATAGGTTATGGTCCTCTTCGTTTTAGTGACCGGGCTATCGTAGAAGATAGCAGGCCGATCCCCATTGCCGGCGAGGACGTGCCGGTCAACACAGTTGAAACAAGTCGATATCTCGCCGCCTATGAACCACTCCCAATGTGGGTGCTCGATTCCGTTCTTCAGCTTCTTTGTCGTCTTAGTCAGAATAGATTCGGGTTTCTTGTGCCAATGCAAATTATCGGAATGGCGAGCCCAGAATGCATCTGGATCCTCCAGCGAACGCCGATGAATTTCATCTTGTGGGTGGCTCATGATCGTAGGTCAGCCTGGAACTTCGCATGAGATCAAGCGCCTCCAATAGTATATCCAAACCCCGATTGAATGGGATTGGCTACAGCTTGAGGTAACGGCGATTTATTTAAATGAACTTATATAATACTTTAAATTGAGTATGTCACATTGATATGACGCCCTCGAGTTTGTTTACTCGAGATGAACGGAGCTTACTTGATATTGTTTAGTCAGATCGGCAATAAAATGCCCCGCGGGGAAAGAGGCTGCTGGCGCTGGGCACAGACGGTGGCGGTATGCATATCTGGGAGACATCCTCGGTAAGTTCCAACCAATTCCATTGCACCGAATTGTTTAACAAACAATGATTCTAGATGTATGTATAGCCGCGAACTAGCAATTCTACTACGCAGTTATGTCTAGGCAGATCTACCATTATCCCCCAAAAATAATCCGAAAGCATCTCAGAGTATGATTTGAAGCGCTTCGAGGAAAAACGTGGTAATTCCCCGATCCCATGTAACGACCAACCAACAACGCCTTTGGCCCGTCCAATACTGGCTGCTTTATGCAATTGATGCTTCATGCTGATGTGTCATGCAACGTAACCAACCCCATGTATCCTATAATGCAATGTTGTAAACCCCCAATGCGACCGTGTCGTGTACTTGTAAGTAGCATCATAAACTCATTCGCCCAGATAGCTTCTTCGCATTACTTAAGTACCTACTATGAGATAGATCGCTCTGAAGGAGTTTCGGCCTTGGGATATAAGCCGTATACGCTCTGTTGGCCTTTAGAAGCGACTTTGAGATTGCTAAATCTCGCCTCTGGGAGTCGTTTGCCCGCCTTGATACTCTCAAGAACCCATTCAACGCCTACGAACTTGACTCCGCAACCACCGACCTTCTGAATTTCTTTTTGCAGTTTCCCTCCGGCGAGGCCACCACCGGCACCACCTCGTCCGCTGGTCGGCCTGCCTAGAATCACATGGGTTACCTGCCGCCGCCCTAGATGAATGGATGTTCTCGCGCCTTGCTCTGCTAACAAGTGTTTGAGTTTGTGATCTGATATCAGAGGATGCGTGCTGCCGTTGGTATAGACTATGACGCCATCAAAAATTCCCCTCGGCTGTTCCTTTTCTGCTTCTCGCGCTTCATCTTCAACTTTGCGCTGCGCTGAGATCTTTTCTTCCACTGTCTGATTGCCGTCACCCTTACCAGCAGCTTCCGAGTTCATGCCAGACACTGGTGAGGCTGATGAGGGCGTGCTCGTGGCCATAGTACCCGGCCTCGCCAACATATCCAGTACGGAATTTTTAGAGCGTGATCGTAGCTCGGGGGTGACAAGGGTATTCAACTTAGGGTCCCAATCTTTGGACCCAGCCCCGACTTTGTCTGATATTCGCGGACCACCGCCTGGTCCCCCTTTGAATTGGTTCGTAAGCTTCGAGCTCCGAGACTGGCGCCATCCCGTAGTTCTCGCCAGGTGATTTTCAGCTCTTTGGTGACCGGTGGCTGATGAGTTCCATGAATCAAATGACTGGCCGTATTTGGGTTCTGCAGCTTTCGGTATTGTTGGGTTAAATGAATTTGATGGTGGTGGCATGGTAACTCAATTAATCGGGGGTAAGAATAAGGAAGAGTACATAAGAATGAGAAGTTAGATTTGCGAAGTGTGCGCGGTCCCCTACGTCATTGTGTTTGTTTGTATTTTTAGTTTTTATTTTATTTTTATTTTATTATTCTTTGAGTGAGATATTGCATGTTCATGTTCAAACTTTACTAGTAACTTAACTTGACGCTAATCGAAGAAACCGCGTCCTAAGCTACCGACCGGGTAACAACTTCTAAGGTTACGGGGGGCAACACAACAGAAGAAAGAACATATCGGCATTAACACGTGATGCTCCGTCCATTTTTATCTATTTTAACTCTAGGTTATGAAGTATATTCTCTTTTCTTACAACAACTTAAATCAATAACATGGTACCTACCTCATAATTAATAATGACAACAATAATAATGTCAATAACAAAAAAATATTGTCGTTAATAACGGTAGAATATTGAGGATTGGTTCGCCAAGTCCGCACACGATATCGCGCAAAATCCCCTTTTTTTAATCATAAAGGCTAGGCTAGGTACGACATTCGACGGCCGACAAGGGGGCTATCATATCACGACATCTGACGGAGGCGCCCAGTTAGGTACCTGGTAGGCCAATCGGGTGCTCGCGTTTCAAAACCAAAAGCCCGAACAGTCTTGTTTTTGGCGCCAGCGCGGGTTGCAGTCGTAGGGATGGATTTATGATTTATTAGCAGGATGGTCACTGTCAGATCGAGGTGAAGGATTCCATGTCACGAGGGCGGCAATTCGATTGTTGGTTGGCAGGCTCTGGCTGTCTGGTCTTAGCACCCCCGGCCGCCCGGCCCTGGCCTGGCCTGACGAAGATGCGACAGGCATATCGAGAAAAAAAAACCACTTGCTTGTCTCGCGATGGGATCGGTCCCGGTTCGATTTCCTGTCCCCCGCACATTTTTATGCAAGCAGCCCACCACATCTCCCGTCATCGTTTCCCATGCAACCCTCTCCCTCTTTTCTCTCTCACCCTTTTTTTAACTCTCTATCGTCGTAGTCCCTAAGAGAGCTGAGCTGAGGTACGATTGATGTACATGCCTACTACCTACCTACATACGTACATACGTCCTCGCACACCTACCTCGCATATCTTCGAGCCCTAGCAGGCAAGATTTATTTGTACGGACGGTTGATGCACATCATTGGGCAGGGGACCTACGTCCTTCAACCGGCTTGACACTAACGGTCTTCTATGCTGACAGCTCACATTTTCATCATGTCATCGGAGGCTGATGATACACCCCGATTGTCATCTGCACAACGGGCAACCCACAGACGGGAGCTCCCTCCTTGCTTCCCACATTATGTATGTATGTTCTGTATATGCCGAATCTTAGCTCTCGCAAACCGTTGATTACTGCTTACGGGCTTGAAGTCGAGGCTGTGATCCTCCAGGAGCCGGGGCAATACCTCCATACATGATAGTACCTACTATTAGGTACCTACATATCTACTACCTACTTACATGTTAGCTTCCCGTCGAATTTATCTACTGTACGTACTTAGGCATGTATATATCGCACACATACCACACACACGTACGTACCTACCTATGCTGCTAAGTATATACGTACACAAATTACTACTAATTCATTCGGCGGGCGTGCTCTAACTCCCCATGCTAGGCGTTCATGCAGCCTGGCGACTGGGGCCTCTTGCCGTTCTCGTTCTGTCTTGCTATGCTGTGTTGCTTATCCACTTTAGGGTCACAGTGGATGGGGTTGCCATGATTTAATACTATCGAGTCGGGTTGCATTCCCGACCCGTGCCTCCTTTCTCCTGTGCAGCCGCAGCGATTCTATGTTTTACCGGCATGAACAATTGCCACCCTCTACTGCTTCGAACGTGCGAGATTTGCTCTTTCTCACCCTGTCCCCTCCGGCTACGTTGCAGTGGCCTTCCTGTTGGGTCGCGGCCAATTGTGTGGTATTGTTTTAAAGAGATTGACTTGTGCATCTGGCTATTGGTGGGCAAAGATCCGATATAGGGTCGTTGTTGTAGTCGAGAATTCCTTGAGAAAACGGGCTTGCCTAAACTCGAGCCGAGCCTGGTTACGTTGCGACCCGGAGTTAAAATCCTCATCCCTCAACGTAGAAACGTTGATTCATCCTCATACAGTAATCTTTAACCAACCCTTGATCTTTTCTAATCTTTCTCGGACCCCTGAGAATTAATTACTTTCGAGCATGTCTTTGCAAACACGTCAGTCGTAATAGCGATTTGGGGCCGAAGTAGGGACTTTAGATCCTTGTTCTCAGCCTTCTTCGGACACCATGTAGCATGGATATTTGTCACGAGCTACTTGGGCTGCTAAGAGGAAACAGATTGACTTGTCAAAGTCCCTGGAATAGGAAAACGAAGAGGGCGTATTGGTGGGGGGCTTGACGCTCTCCACAACAATGGGGGTGGCACAATTTTGTCGATATGACATGGGTAGGCGGGAATATCGAGTCGAGGCTAGCCCTTCAAATAATCATAAATAGTGCACGGGAAGGTATACGGACAGGCATCAGTACCTAGGTAGATTGTCACTAACCTACATATGCGGATCATACTTGCTTCTGCTCCCTGCTTGGCTAGCACTGCCTGTTGGTGCTGCGGCGGTAGCGGAGGCGGATGCTCACGCGTGCCCGCTTGCTTGCTTGCCTTTCTCTGCTTGTTACGTGGGGTGGCTGGGAGTTCGTAACTTGGAAAAGGGGGGGAGGGGCTAGACGAAGGTGATTCGACTGTACCGGGATGAGTCGCTTTCCCTTTACGAAGGCCGCCGTGAGAAAGGAGAAGGACCTCGAATGGCTGACGGACACGGGGCATTCGTACATGTAACGTGGGCCGAAGTGCGGCTTTTAGAAATACTTTTCGGCTGTGATCCGTATCCTGTCTCCCTTTTTAAAGAAAAAAAAAAGGAATTCTTTGAAAAATCGCCTTTCGTTTTGTACCCGTCATGTCATTCTGGAAAAAGAAGCAGGGGAGGGAAACGGTTGTCAGCAATTGCTCGTCCCCCATCCCCTGTTCGCTTTTTCCCGCTAGATATGTGAGTGCGGTTATGTGCTGTAGTCGTACCATGCCGCGCCGTACATACATATGTACACTACAGTACATAATGCTACGTACACCAACAATACTTATTATATGTAAGCACCTACGGTAGCTGAAAATGAACTCTGATTATTTCAATACATACATAGAATACAGGGCGTGGCCCACGGTGCATGCACGATGTAAGATTGGTTTTCAGATTAACGGTGGTTTTTTTTAGGAATTAGAAATGGTCAATTCAATTCAGATATTTAATTAATATACCGCCAGACTATATTATAATTCATAAGTAATTATGATGCCTAACTACCCAGGTAGATATAAAGGTAGGCGTAGAAGTATCTGTACATATGGGAAGATATCCGTTAAGGGTCGTGGTTTATGAACTGCTGTCCCGAAAACGCTTGCTAATACTACTTACAGGATAGCAGGACAGCTAAACTTAGACGCCTTCTCACGGCGATCAACATTTTACTGATTGCTCACCGTGCCCTAATAGATAGGCCACAGGTCCATGCGAAAACGAAAGGTGCAGGGCTGGGGAAGGGATCTGCGAAAGCTGTTGTGCCCACTTCATGTAATGTATCGTACATACCGTATCCATAACTTTTGTTGCACAGTGATTGTTACAGGTAACAAGCTTCTCGAATACATAGGTATCTTGGACCTGTGACCGCCCGGTCTTGGGGAAGTTTTAGATGAACAGGAACAAGAAGGGCAGGTTAGGAAGAGCAGGTACCAAGGTCCAAACTAGCAGACCGATGAGCTGCCCGGAAAACCTTGCAGTCCCATCTCAATCAAGTCACACCGGTCAACCTTCGCAGGGCCAAGGCCGCTTCGAAGGGACGAGATTCGAGACTATTTGCTCCAAAAACCAGCCACCACCCACGTGAAAACCGTGGCAAGACGCTGGAGTGGGCGTATAGGCGTATGTAGTAGAATCTCCATAAGGGGCTAAGAAGAAAAATTATATATGTATTAAAAAAAATAAAGGCTCTGTATCTAAAATTCCAGGAAGGTAGGAAGATAGCGAAACCAATAACCGGCGATCGTCGGACAAGCGCGATGGAGCATCGGCAAGGATTTGCGGCGACAAGGATGAGAGGTAAGAGGGGAGGTTATGAAGAGGGGTGTTGGGCTAAGATCTGGACATGGATAGACATGAACTTCCTGACGAAATAGCGGTGAGAAATAATCACAGTAACTGTAAATGGATAGAAGCTTGGGCCTATCGACTTATCGAGTGTTCAGATATTTTTTGTAGCTATTAATTGTCTACTCTGTAATAGGGTAAAATCTCATCACCAACCTCATTGAGTAGCATCAGATGCCCTACGTACATACCTATGTATCATGTATTGAAGGTTGACGGGCCATGACATGGACATACCGTGATGATTCAAGACAATGTAAGACTAGAGCACCATAAGATTTTTTCTTCTTTCCTTTACCATTAACTAGAATGGACCTAGACAATGTTGAAATTTTAACTTACCTGCGTTACTTTAATAGATATTTAGGTATATTCCATCCTGATAAATAGATAAAGCGGCGACTTAAAAAGATTTTTTCCTGGCATTGTTATACAGTAAGATATCACTCGAGAAACCCGAGAAGATCTTGTTGAAGCTATGTGGTTTAGTTCAACCACGTTCTGGTTTCTCATTGGATTGGCAAATGGTTTCGACATAAAGACATGTTATAGCAATTGGGTCTTGCCGTATCAAGAATTTGTAAGCTCTACGGCATCTCGATCCTACCGTTGAGCGCCTCTCCGACTTCAACTCCACGCCTGATTCTGCTGGTCTTATGGCTCTCGTCGACTTACCAATCTTGGACAAGCCGCCTAGATTATTCTTGAATGGATGGAAATGTGGACACTAGCAGAGTTGACACGCACACCACACCTCTTTCGAAGCCCGAGAATGATTTTGCTCACGTGTAGATGATGGGAAAACCCGACTAGTTAGTGAATTAAATTGGCTTCCATAGTATATAACAAGACTTTCTGAAAGAAGGTTGCGAAAGTCCGTCTCTTTTCCAACCTTTTTACTCCTCAGATGAAGAAAGTAGTTTCGGTTTCGGGGCGGTCGTGGATAGCTACGGTTCCGATTTCCGACTGTTCAGGACATAGCAATCAGAAATGCTAGGCCCTTTCCGGTTCGGTGATGACCAAAGAGCCCTTGGATAGCTTCGGTCGCTCCACCGGTGCTTGTTTAGTTTATCGATCTAGAGAATATTCCCTTCCCCTCACAGTGAAATAAAATTTGGTGGTGTTTGTCGACGTGGACACGCTTGATTGGATG